AATAATTACAGAGTCAAAAAATGTCAACGGACGTTTCAAGCTGAGAAAAAGGATTCTTCGCGATTTGTCTATCATTGATAGTAAAAGAAAAGATTGATTTTCCGGAACTTAGCACAGCTGCTTGATGTATATGTTATAATAGATGCGTGAAAACAGTAGTCTTTTTCTTCTCTCTTCCTTCTAACGTGCTCATGCTGCTAGCACGATATTTGGATGTTGTCAGTTATGATGCAAGTATTAACATATCGGCTCTACTGCCAACAGTTTGCTTGACATATTCTAATAATAACAGACACATACGTGTCGACTCCAAAAGATTAATCTTAGATACTGAACACTCATTTTCTTCTTTTCTGACTGTATCAGATAACTCTCCGAACGTACCCAGCACATGAAGTTGAAAAAGATTTTCTTCTTTTGCGGTGAAATTTTGACATTTGTATAAGCCCGATGATTCCAATCGGACATTGAACAAAATCAATTGATATGTATAGTAATTTTCTTGGTATATCAGATATTTTTGTGGATCGTTCGAAATTGAATTAACACCAATTACTTGTGTGTCGTCTTTATACCAAAGGATAATGTTACCCGATAAATTGTTATCAAATATTTTATTGAATGACGATAACGACGGAACGGACGCGAGAGAATTTCTTGCTTCGGAATTTTGTCTCATGTTGAGACGACATGTCATAGTAACATTCGCATTTTCATGTACTTTGATAATTTGAGCAGGATTCGTTTGGCTCGAGAGGTAAAATTGTGAAACAACGATTAACAAAGGTATGAAATGCATCTAGAAGAAATAAATAAGTAAAAGACGCAAGAAGGTTTAAATAGTTGCTGTTAATGTCATTTGGCTTATAGTGAAAGTGGACAATACATGTGTATATGTACATATACTTTCTCTTTCAATCTACATGTATATGTGTACAGTTAGCAAATGTTTTTACACGGAACCTTTTCTTCTCCATGTCGGACATCTACCAATGATGACCATCGAGAGAAGAAATATGAGAAAGGGAATGAGAGAAGAGGGAGAGAGAGAGAGAGCGAGGGAGGAAAAATGCGGAGGAGAAGAAGAACAAGAGGATATATACCTTTTGTGTCATTCTCATACAGAAGAAAAGAAAAAGAAAACGACGACTGTCCATTTATTCCACTACTAACAGTAAAAAAAGGAAAATTATATTGAAGTTCATTGAAATAGATGAGTCGCACGTTGCGTACGTGACAAAAACGACCATCTTCATCTCTCATCGTCTTCTGTTTCAACAATGATTTATGTCCTATGAGTAGTGATTGTTTTAACAGAATATACACACATCTATGTATATATATATACATATACACAATGTCAGACGTGCTTTCTCTTTGGTTACTCTAGGCGCACGTTGCTGTTAATTACCGGTAGTCTGATTCAGTCGTTTAGGGCTACAGTTACGGTCATCTTCTCATTAGGATAAAGAAAATCTCGAATAAGAACGATATTATTGCACAATGTTACACACGCACGAATTCTTTTCTATTTCTCAGGCTAACTGTATTGTATTTCACTTGTAGGAGGAAAAAAACGATGTCTAATGATGTAAAAAAATGTGCAACTCTACTCACAGTCTTCAAATTTCAGTGAGATAGGGATCGACGCCGCTCTCGTCATCTTCTACATTTCACAGACAACAGATCAAGTGCATAGTTAATTGTTATTTTACACACAGACAAACACAGCATTCATTCGCACCTTGAAAAACACACATCAGTCTTTCTTTTTGCTTCAAATTCGGAATGTGCCGACTCAAGCCGATAAGAGACAGACAACAGGGGAAGGACACGACTGCAAGGCATCGAATAGATAATAGGTTGGATGTGTGTATATGTTCAAACACACACGCACACACAATTGTTTTAACAGAAGATGCCTTCGAGCATCTTGACGTAAGAAGGCCAACGTTCTAATCAGATGTCGATTACTATGTTTCTTTTTTCCTTTCTATTGTTTTGTATCTGATAAACGGAAGTCATTTGTCATCCTTAAAAGAGAAGTAAAAGACTCATAAGTACTCTATCTAACAATGAACTTCATGTATAGTTCATGATATTGTATGTTGGAAGTGAGAAAAAATAAAGCACCCTACTGTTCTCTTTTTGTTCATTGCGGAAAGATTCAATTGACTGAATGAATGAACGAAAGTGAGATCTTTTGATTAAGAACAATTATTAGCGACTTTCAAAGAAGAAAGGAGGGGGGGGGCAACGATTGTACGTCTTGTTTGATGAACGTGAGTTCGAATTCAGTCGGTTTTTTCTTACACATTTATGAATTTTCAATATCATGAATAAGAAATCGGAGGAGAATGTCTGTGATGTCGGCATTGTCATCGGAATCATTCCGTTCAATCACAAATTCACAGACAAGTGAAAGTCGCAAGGTGAATGAATTAAAAATGATTAAATTCTCTCTCGATATGTCAACATCTTAGACATACAAATCTATTTTAACAAGTCGAACAATAAAGAATGATCATATATATATATATGGATACGCACGCTTCTTCGAAACCTTGCAAATACAAATTAATTCTCTATGATAACTGAAAAAGAAATCATACAACGCTTCCGAAGACAATATTAGTTCATCGGTTAAGACGAATATAGTCATATCTGTATGTACAAACGAAGTTCTACAAATAATCCCTTCGTCAGTATATGCACATGTCAAAGTAACATATCTTGGCAAGAAAAGGTCAATTAGAACATACCTGAACTCTTGGATCACTTTCAATGGAATGACGATATGAACGTATGCATGTGAATCGATTCTCTTAGACACATTATTCATTTGTCTCTCATTCTCTTGTATTGAAATAAATGTCATCAAGAATTTCTCTCCCATTTGACGGCAGCATAACGATGTGAACAAATTAAGGCATGCATGCGAGTCTAATGTGCACAGTTTAGTTCGTTCTCTTCTCTCGATTTGATTGGAACCAACGAGGTGCATAAGATGCGACATCGAGTCGTGTATATGTTCAAGTATTCAAACTTCAAATGTTTGGAACTTATATATGAAAACAACGGCTGAGAATATTGTTTAATAGTTGAACTAGTTTCAAGTAGGACAATTGAAGAGAATAAGTGAATGTACAATATGATTAACGAAGGCGACAATGGTAAACAGACATGACATCATTGTTAATAGCGGCGCCTTGCGGAAAATAGCTGTCTTTTTTTAAAGATTAAGCATATGTTCGACTACTGAGGACATCATATTCATAAATAGGTGATCCGTGCGAACATCAACAAGATTCGGCTTAATGCAATGAATCAAACAAATTGTGGTGTTTTGCTCAGAGCATGACAAGGTCGAATCCGTAGACAGTATCGTTGTTGAAATATTCACCAGTCTTGAACATCTGCAGAAAAGATTAAGTACAGTTGAAAGCTTAGTATGAATACAATCGGCTTTTTTTCCTCGCTGAAAAATAGACAGGTGTTGAAATTGGCTCGGTCATCGGATTAAGACTCAGATAAGATTCCGCAAAATGATCAAACTAATTGTGTCAATCAAGCAAATAAATAAGAAAAGAATTGTTCATTCGATGTTGGGAGCAAATGATCAATGAGAGAGATTTTATTTATTAAAAGGGTCGTCTTTTCTCATTCAAAACAAATTAAAATCGTATGTACATCTATGCGCATAAAATCATCATTTAACAAAACAAGAAATCTCGCTCGTGTGTACGTGCACAAAAGAGTCATTTCAATTGTCATCTGATCACCCACACATGAACCTTGACGATATGCACTGAACATGTATTGATTCAATGTGACACATTCACACGCGATCAATTAAAAAGAGAAAATGATGATAGCGAGTAATTTGTTTGTCTCTTTGTTTTCTTCTTTTTTTTTATTATAAAACATTAGGTCCAACTGGAACACCGTTCACATTGAATATAACTTTGGCCATCTTTTTTTCTAATAGCTTCATATCGAGTTCGGCTGAACTAGTCGCTTCTTTTAGTTGTTCTACTCGGCGACGAAAATTAGCATCGAGCGAGTTCTCCTTGGGTCGATTCTTGTTGTAATTTGTTCGCCGCTGGTGACGAGATGATGAACGGTGCATAGCAGATGCACCAGCTGCTTGTGTTGTGGTTAGCATTGACATATCTTTTTGTTGAGAGGAACGTATATGAGAATTCATATGGGGAAGTTTGCTGTTCGTGCGATTTTTTGAGCTGCGCGTTTTTTTCGTTGGACTCGCGTCTGAATGATTAGAACAGAGATATCAGAACATTACTGATTAGAGAAAGAAGAGGAAAATCAATACCTGAACGTGTTTTTCGACCACGTTTAGGCGATGTTATACGTTCAATTCCATGTTGACCTTCATCATGTTGATATGAAGGATTATCGATACCTTTACGATGATGACGATCATCACTCGTAGGTTTACCGTGATGATGTCGGCTTATACGATGACGAATCTTTCTCTGGAAAAAATCGAAAAATTTTACACGAAAGCCATCACGAAGACGGTTTCTTACACTAGTAGGTCCACCTTCATCTACAATTTGATATTTTCCTGCAACTGTATCATTGTTAAATCCATCAGCAACTGCAGCTGCTTGGATGAAAACATCTTCATCACCCGATCCACCTTGTGATTGTTCATCATCATCACCTCTCATTCCATTAGGTTGATTATCGTTTTTATCCAATTCACCATCGCTGTAATCCGGCAACGGTTCATTTTCTTCATCGATTGGCTACAATACGAGAATGCATGTCGAACATCTTTTCCTTTAACTATATGATTTGCTTACTTTAATCTGTTGAAGTATCTTCACAATATCCATAATATCTTCGATTCTCACGCCTTCAAATTTGCTCGAACGAAGTTTTGTCGATGCCAAGATGTGTTGAAACGTATTGTAACGATGACAAAGCATAGCGACGAATTGAATTAAACATATAATACCGAAGAACAATATCAGCATAACGCCCAATGGCTCAATCATGGCGTGATCATTGTATGAACTTGGTATAGGTACAGGAATGAAGAGCATATCTTTCAAACGATTCTGTGCCAGTAGCACCGAAAAGACGAAAGCGACCCATAGTGCGTCAACCATGAAGAATCCGAACACACCTTGATCCCGCAGATCGTTCAAGCCCAATTGCAGTTTTTGCTTCTCTAATGCATCCATGTGAACTGGTTTGAGATATTTCTGTATCAAACGTCTCCAAAAGGTAAATTCGTTCTCGTTTAAATATTTCACGTCCGCATATTTCACTAGTTGATGATCGAACCAGTAGGGATGCAATCGATCATCGTATTTATTCATCAGTTGTTCATGAGACTTCGGATCGACATTGGGATTTTGGCTTAAATGCTTTTCTTGTTCTTCAACAAGTTCTTCTAGACCGAGACCATGTAGATCTAAACCTTTGTTCAAACGTTTGTCAAGATCATCGAACATGTTGATGCGATTCAAAACAGCAGTGATTTGTGCTAAGAGTTGATCACTCGATTCTGTCCGTTGTGCGTAGCATTCATCGATTAAGTTCTCGACAACAGCTAGAAGTTCATTGGAATTTTTTGCATTGGCAAATTGTTGTTCGAGAAATTGTAAACACTCCGCTTGACTTTTAAATTTCTGTTTCTTCTTACGATTCGGTATGAATATGTCTTCACGTGTACCCCAAGAGTTCGCATTCAAATTCGTTAAAGCATAGATAACCAAAAGAACGTATGACGTCGGAACACAGAGAAAGAAGAGCAAACATGGTTGTACACAATCTAGAACAGAATGTGATGTTGATGACACCTTCATTTGAGAGCTATCTACGTACTCAGTTCATATGGATGGCAAATTGCGGTAAAAAGGAAGATTATTCCCATAAATAGTAGAAAAAACACAGCTGTTGTTTTCCATGAACCATCGACAATCCTCACAATAGTCCCAACGACGACAATCATCATAACAATTGCATAATAGGTGCCGAAGATTGCAGCACAAATAATTTTCTTCTCTTCTGCTATATCATGATAACAAATCATCAGAAAAGCAATCGCTGGAAAACAAGCCAATGTATACGCAGCCCATACGTCAATATCAGTCGTAGCATTGAATGCATCGGCTATAGCAATAGTGATTGTCGCCGGACTTAAGATATATAATCCAAGATAAAAGACATGGTAAAGAACAGCTAAGAATGAAACACTTTCATTGACTCGAATGGTACGACGATAGTTTTTCAAGATCGATATGGTAATGCCGAGTGTCGATGGTATCCAACGACGGCGTTGGTTGAAAAAATCTGTAAATGTCTCTGGTGCATGTGTATAAGCGTCAGCTGCTGCACAATACTCAATTCGATAACCCTGCTCAATTAAAAGTTTGCTAAGAAAGCGATCTTCGCCTAAATCTTGAAGAAGATAATCTTGAGGTGTTTCACATTGACCAGCAAAAACTTTCATAACGTTATCGTCCATGAGAGCTGAAGCGCGATACAATGCAAAACAACCAGGAGCACATAGGACACATCCAAGACTATGTTCAGTGGTCTTTTGTAACCAGTAGCACATAGCATATTCCATTTTCTATCAAGAACAAGATGCGAATATCATTTTTTTGTTGTTGTTGTAATCGAGTGGGAGTGACGTTACCTGATACCAAATCAGTGGGCCGCTACCGATGGGGTGAATTCGGCTACTGACTGCCCCAACTCGTTTGTCCTTTTTCATTCGATCTGTTAACATTCGAACAGAATCTGGGCCGAAATCCACATCGCCATCAACGGACAGAATAAATGTATTTTCAGCCTATGTAAGTATAGCAAAAAATGCATGATGAATCTCTGTTTTGTACTCCTACCTCAAGTAACAAACGTGGTCCAAGAACGTCTTTGTAATAAACGTGTAAGTCTTCATTTTGATCGAAATGCCGACGATAGTTTCGTTTATCGGGCGACTCTTCAATTAATTTCATCAAAGATTTCATTCGTTGTTCACATTGACCAAGAATACGATAGCCAAGTAAATAATACATATACATTACCTTAATGAAAGCAAACAGTTCTTTTTCCTTTGAAAACAACGGTCACTACTTTCGAATACATACCATACTCCATCGTTTCTTCTTGCTAACTTTGAGTTTATCTTTCAGGTGAACAACAAGCAAATTCCCACCTGGTAATCGCCATGACAAACGACCGCCATAGGGTGTTGCTGTTTTCTGTGGCGGTGCCAATTTCATTCCTTCAACATCATGAACAATTCTAAACACAAAAGATTGATATTAACACGAAGAAAAAGGAGATGTTCGATTTACCCCGCAGCTTTGTTGATTGCTTCAAAGAAATCTTTCACAAACATGTTCAATGTGCGCTGTTGATTTTCGTCATGATAGAATGCATCATCGAAAAAAACATGCGCTATTCAAGAGAAACATAATATCAATCGCGTTTAAATTGTATTTTCTATTCATACCTTCCATGTCGTAATAATCCGGATCGATCACTTGAAATTCATATCTTGCTTGCCTTCGTGCACTTTGATCAATATCCATTCTAATGTGCAAACATAGGATGAGAACAGAAAGAGACATTTCGATTGTTTACCTCATGATCGATTTTAACATTAAGATCATTTCACTGACTGTTTCATGCCAGAGAGTTCCACAAAGGTAAATCTTTGTATTACTTTCTAATTTTTCATCACCAGCTAGAGAAAAGTAAACGAAAAGATTTAATAAATTTCTCTCATCTGACATCTACTATTTTCTCATCGTAGTTTTCATGTTTGTCCAGACATTCAATCAAAGAAAAAAGGCCATCAGTTTTTCTCTTCTTCTTTTCTTCTCTTTCAAACAATTAAGATGGTCACATTCACGTAAAGAAGATTATTGTGTAAATATCTTTCTATCACACAATAACCTTACGACATACATCATCTATGATGTCAAAACAAACATGAACAGAGGAGGAAAAAGATTACTTACAAAATTCAGCCATGCCGTCAATTATATCCAGATCTTCGAAATGTTCTTCGAGTTTATTTTTCTGATGTTCTGGTTCATTCCGACGGCGATTTAACAGGAGAGATTGTTCAATCAACGAACTGTCATACTGAGGAAGAACAAACAACCTATTGAATCAAATAGAAATGATTTCGTTGTTGAGATATGCAATTCGTTCTTCATTCTTACGTTTCTGTTGTCGCTAAACGCTTATTTTCCGGAAACCATATATGTGACGTTATCCATAGTTGGGATAGATACCAAAGGCCAAGACCGACAATGATATGCCATGTTATCCTACTTGTACTTAAACTCTCACTGCATTCCCAATACATGATTTCACGAATGAAGACGATTTGATCTGTCTTCCACTGACATAGACCAATCATGATTGCTAATGTAACGGGCGTTGCTAATGTCAGTGGTACTGCAAAAGCCATACGTTGCATTTGCATTTTACAAGCTGATTTCGAAAAGTAATAACATAGGCCCGTTGAGAAAAAATGTATAATCATCGGTACAAATGGTCCAAATGAATGCCAATAGTCATCGATCGTTTTCTCCTAGAGATGAAAAGCAAAAACGAATGTACTTGTCTTTCCTTTCTTTACCAGTACCTTGTCCGGTTGAAAATCGAATGGATCAGCGATCATTCCAGGATCTTCATCTCCATTGGGAAATAAACCCATGGATTCTTGACCACCTATTCTGCCCAACAATGTATTGTTACCATCAGTAGGAAATGGCATTTGACGTTTATGTCGGACGGGTATCTCCGAATTGCTCATATCGAATTGATTTGATCCAGCATCGAAGTTATTAAAATCAGCACCCGAATGTACCGATGATTCCACAGGCAGATTTGAAGTTGGACTACTGCCTACTGATACGAACACATTATCAAAGTGTTCTCTTGGTAGAAGAAGGTAACTGAATGCCACGGTAAGAGCTATTTTCCAAATTGATGCACCAATGTTTGCCTTTGATCGTACTGACTGTAAATGTCGTTTATATGTACCTAACGGAATGTTCAATTTGCCTAATTTAATATCACGGTCAACATAATTTTCCCACCAAACGATTGATACGCAAAATAGAGCAACAGGCGCTTCCCAACCGAAACGTAATCGTACCTGTTCCAGAGTGTCCGATGTCGATTTAATTGAATTACTCACTGCTGTATTAATCGCGTCGAGAGAATCTAATGCTGATGGCTCATCAACGGCAGTTGCGGGTGTTGTTGTCGTTGTCAATGGTTTACTCAGAAATGCTGTGTATTGCGTGCTTGTAACAACAAAGTAGACCGAACATTGAGCAACAAAAGCAGCCAAATCGATAAATAATGATAGAAAGCGCAACATTGGTTTGGAATTACTTTTCGACAATGTTAATTTACAAAATGCTGGAATTGTGCAAACAGCGTTCATCAATAAGAGACCACGTATGACATCACAACTTGGTAGGACACGAAATACGAGTAAGCAAACACCAAATGTATGAATACTTTCCAAAAGAAAGATCTATATGTTGGCAAAAAGAAATGTTTAGATGGTCTGTTTGCAACTATTTGACATTACCGTGATTAGATCGGTGAATACAGGACCACGACGATTACGAAACAGACTTTTGGCAAGTGCTTCGAGAAACAGAAATACATATGGCACACATATTGTAGCAACTAACATCATTGACCAACGACTTGCATATTGTTTTTCCTAGAAAGACAAGTAAACACTACGAAATATTTCCTTCAATCGAATTTAACAAACTTGTAATCGATTCCCTAAACTTTGTGTCATAAGAAGAAAGGATCCTTTGCTGGCAACGGCAAAAACCAAGACGCCAACAAAGTAGACCATGTATGCCGCACATTTGAACAAACGTTTCGCATTACGCATGCACAACGTCGTTTTTCCATATCGATCAGCTGGTGACTCCAAAATACCGTCGCCATAGGGCATGGTTATAATCTTAGTTCTCTATGCAGTTACTACTGACGTAATGATGTACACAACGAGAAAAAGAAGCTCATTGTGTGATTGAGCAAAGACGAGTACACGAAAGAGACAGGCAGAGAGAGAGAGAGAAGTAAAAGGTTGTCGGATTAAAACTAGGTAAAAAATTGTTGTCTCTCTCACTCTCTGCATTCGAATAGGAAGGTAGAGAGAGAATGTGTTTAGTAAAAGAACAGGAAACGTACAGCACGACGATAAAGACAACGACAATGATCAGATCCATTTGTAAACAAGCAAGAAGAAGAAAGGAAAAAACCCGCATGAATGTACGTAGTTTACGTCGACTTGATGATTGAAAGTAAAATACGAGCAACGAGAAGAAGATAGATACTCTGCACATTATGTAAACATAAGAACTCCTCCCCGATCTATTAGAAAGGGGCGAGAACAAACTAATTAGACGATGGATGAAATAAGAACAAGAAGGTTTTTTTAATACTATTCAAACAAATCTTCTCCTAGAAGAGACGAAGATTGAATTAACAAATTTGTTACAATTGATAAAATTTCAACGAAGAATTCCTATTCTCATTGACGACATGGATTTACCATCTCTGTACTAAAGAAAAACGGTACTTAATGAATAATCAAAATGAAATGCAGTAGCAAACAAAAGTTCTTCATATTCCTTGAAGAACGTCATCTTTGCATGAGCGTAATACTTTGGTACCGTCGCGATATGTCTTGTCTCCAATTGTTTTGATTGATTATTGGTAAATAAACATACTGAAAGTGGCTTTCTCGACTAGAATCGTTTCAAATCGATCAAATGTCAACAAAATCAGTTTTCTATTTTTGGAATGATCAATATTGACAATCGACATATCGAAATAAAATAAATAGTCGCTTATCTACGTTTTTAATCAACGACATATTGTGCGCGGAGTTGTCTTTGTAACGAGATAAAAATTAGTATACATGCGTCACTTTTTTTCTCCGTCAATTTCCTTTTTTTTCTCAAACTCTTGCTCGATTATTAGCATACAAATAAACATATTTCTAACGTGAGTCTGAAGAACTTCATTCTCTATTCTTTTTTACCTTTTTTCCTCTTCGCCTTTTCTTTACATAAGCATTCTTTATTTTCTATATTGTGTCGCTTCTTGATTCCTTTTTCTTGTCTCTGACGTCTTTTCTTCATATTCTTGACATTATCCGTGTAGATGAATACAAACATAAATGACATTGTACTTGTATCGATCGTGTCGATCAATATAGAAGATTTTCGAGAGTTGCGTGTCCTCTTTTTCCTCACATTTACTAGCTTGATGTTTACTTCGAAGAACTAATTTGCCATTAGAGATGTTCGAATAAGAGAAAAATATTGCTTCTAACTAATATATATATGCCAGAGGAGAGAACCCAGTTTTTCACTTCGTTACAACAAATGACACTATCCAACGACAGTAGCTAGACTTCTGAAATCAACGAAACGATTGAATAATTGAATTTTTTCTAATTCGATCATTGTGTCATGTGTAGCTAAATGAAAACGGCACATACAGGAAGAAAAGAACGAAGCCGATCGAAATTGCATCGACGATGTCTCTTTCTTGATAGATTATTCTGACATAAACATACATCGGAATGATGAACATCAATCAACGTCAAAAATTTGTTTGGGTTTGTTCATTTTAAATAAAAACCTTTGTGTGTGCGCGTTTCATTGAGATGAGTTGTATATGAATAGAGAAGAAATCTTTCAATTAAATAGATACATCTAGCCGAGAATATATGTCTCGATGGTTAATGTTCGTAAGAATGTTCATCGTTGAATGTTTTTCTTTCTTTCTAGCGAATATTGCACGTCCCAAACCTTGCTTAGAATGCGCATACTTGCTTCTTCCATTCTAACTAGCAACTACCGACAATAGAAATTCTCTGTCAACCCTTCCACTTCGTGCGATGCACACGCAAATATATCTGCCAAAGGAAAATACGGGGAAAGAACAAAAAAAACGTAGTAGCATGATTATTCATTTTTCTCTTTTTCATTAGTTCTTCGAACTCTTACTACTACTACTACTAGTACTACTACTACTTACAGCGACGACTCGTCATCACATCAAACAGGCGAAGGAGAAAGTCGCTTTTTAAACGTACTTGTGTCTTCACACGTTTGTTGTTATTGTCATAATTATTGTTGTTTATCATCGCTTATGGGCTTTATTCAAGAGCGCAAGATATTTCTAATCTTTCCGAACATGAAAGGCTTATCTCAAATTCTACTAAATGATCAAAGCTCTAATGCAACTCTTAGGTGAATAGTTTTTCTAATCAACATGAGATCTGTTGTTTTTTCTTTCTGTTTCATTTCTTTTACGTTTGCCTATCGTCTGCCTGTTCTTTCAGATCGATGTCAGATCTAGTGTAGATTCTACTCGAATGTGCACTACACTAATGATGAGAGTCATGATGACAATCATCACCATTCCATTGCATGAAAATTCTTCTCTTTCGAAATAGCGCATCATTCTCATTGAATGTTTGCCTATTTCTGGTCCAAATTTGATGCACACGATACGCGAATCTTGGACGATGCCAAGGTAAATTGATTCTTTCTACTTTTTGCAAAGCTTCTAAACACTCAACGACAATGCACTTTACTAATAGGATTAGCTGTGAGACAGGGAGATATCGAGGTAAATTAGTCAACGAGATGAAATTTGATCAGTGCAAAGGAGAGAAACGATGCAATAGCAATTTTATTGTCATTTTTTACATTACATTTCCGAAAAAGCTTCCTGCTCATTGCTCATTAAATATTAGTTAAAACGGATGATGAGACCAGCGTCCCTGATCAGAAGTGACATCTGTTGAAGACGCGCAGAATCAGTAAACTGAATCAAAAACTAGATCACGATTGCGTTCTGTAAGTAGAAAATAAGTCTTTGATAATAGAATCGAATGTCATCTTTTGACAATTAGTCAAATAATTGAAGCTGTCAGAACGACGTTGATAATAATCATGCTTTAATGCCTGATTTTCGAAAGTTACGATCATTCCAACACGTGTCTGATTAAATCTTTGTTCGAATTAGAACATCAATCAATTGTGTGTGAGTTTCGAATCATATCGTGCTGCGAGTACTTATTTCAAAAATAATTAATCATTCTTTTCATTTTGGTGATTTTCATTACCTAGTTCTTTTTTCCATTGTTGCGATATTTTTGTACTTGTTAACTAAAATAAATGCTTTTTTCTCGCATGTTAGACAGCCTTGAGTTCTTCGTTTTCCTTTTCTTCTGCATTTCTCTCTCTCTCTCTCCTTCTTTCTGTATCATTATCATTATCCTCTTGTGCTTCATTCTTTTCTTTCTGTCTCTCGCAGTAATGAGTAAATGTAACAAGCGCAAATCTCTGTTTGTCTCTACTGAGTTCGCACGCAAACACACGATGGAAAAGAAACACACTTGCCGTAGCTCAAAATCGATGAATTCTCTCTTTTTCTTTTCCTTTTTCTTTTCTCTTTAGTTTTCTTAGAGTGAGCGTTAACATTCCCTTGCCGTGTATTTTAGCTAAACACATGCAAGAGCGAGTAAGAATACGGCGGAGTTCAAATCAAATGCGTTGTGCATTAGGCCATGCGAAGATAATAGCAGCAAGAAAAGAGCAGTGAAAGGAGAAGAAAAAAAAGCGACGACGACGACTGAACGACAACATAACGTGAAAGAAGAAGAAAATCGATCAGAGTAGAATCACCAAGAGAGGAGACGATTTCCCTCTTTTGTTACCAAACAAATACACACAACGTCTATCGTTTATGATTATCTATACCGTTCCATCAATGAATCGTCAGATGTTCCATGAAGTTTTCAAACAAATCTCTTCAAGAATCGATCAATTGAAGCAAGTTCCTTCACCTACTACTCAGTTTCAGGTAAACAAAAACGCATTAGACAAATCTCGAAGCCAAGGAAAGGAAGAAGTCATCTTTGACTGTCTTAATCTGTCACGAAAAGAATCATTTGCATTCGAACTATGTATCTAATTTGTTTACTCGAGGGATGAAAAGCAAGCAGTAAGAGAAAGAAAAAAAATATTCGTTTGGTAATTTTCCTAAATCTTTGCATGTCGCACCCGACTGCTCGCAAGTTAACATGAATTAGCTAAGTTCTATTGCGTTAGATTTATAAGCTGATAATAATATGTTTAGTTAACGGATATTAAGGTTAATAGAGAAAGAAAAGAATTAGACAAGTCTATTCTTTATGAAGATTGAATAGAAGAAATCGATTTGTATGTGTGTGTATGAGAGCTTTCCTTTTGATTCATGTAAGCATGACGGGAAGAAGAAATCTTCAAGTCAATAGAACGTAATCATATTAGACGTCGCCGTTCTCACGAGATTCCGTATCGTATGAAAATATTGGATTGTGATCGGTATATTCGAGAGGATTTCATATACCAGACGTTAGATAGAAACGAAAAGAAGATAGATTAATGTTATTATATTTACTCATCTTGACTGGAATCTTTCGTTGTCATAGGTGGAAAACGTTCGTTTGACTGATCGCTTCAACACTCGCCAACAGATCATTGGTAAATACAATACTTTTCTTTTCTGCTTCATCTGTATTTCATCTTGCGTTCTAGGCACGCTCTATCTAACTGCTACACATCTGATATTTATCGATCCAGAGGGAAGACGAGAGACTTGGGTAAGACCGAATGAGCGACATCGAGATGTAAAGAAAGAAAATTTCGTTTCACTTAGATTCTTCACTCATTAATATCATCAGTTGATAAATTACCAACTACGCAGCAAGGATGTCCTCTGCGTGTTCGAACAAAACATTTCCTTTCCGCTGAATTGACTATTCCGAAAGAACGTGATTGTGCTGATCTCTACACAACTCTTAATCAATTGAAACCAGGTACAAGAACGCAACAATAACACATCGTTCTAGAGCAAAACATGACTTTTTCTTTAGATTCCTATGAAAAGCTCTATTGTTTTCTGTATCAAGCTCCCAATTATCTGGAGAAGATCTGGGATCCATTTCTTTTGGCGACAGAATACATGAGAATGGGTGTACCAAATGCAGATTGGAAAGTTGAAGACGGAAATAGCAACTTTGATCTTTGTGATACTTATCCACCTTTAATCTATGTACCAGCCATGGCAACAAAAGCAATGTTAATAGGAAGTTCAAAATTCCGCAGTCGAGGTCGCCTACCTGTTCTCACTTATTTGCATCCAAATGGGGTAAGTTAAACAAACTAACACGATCGTTTATTTTCGACGGAAATTTCAGGCATCGATAACACGTTGTTCACAACCACTGTCGGGCTTTAGTGCACGTTGTCAAGAGGACGAACAACTCTTACAATGCATTCTGAAAGCTAATCCACACTCGACGACGATGTATATTATCGACACAAGACCGCGGGTACGGAACATGTAAAAATAGATTCTTTAGACTTCTATAATTAATCTAATGAAAAAACATCGAGTCTTCCATGTTTGAACTCTTTCAAGATAAAAACAAAACGCGTGATAAAAGAAGAAAATCTTTCCTTCGGAACTGCTTTGATGTTGTTAACTGATCTCGAAACTGTAGTGTAATGCTGATATCTTTGTAGATTAATGCTGTGGCAAATCGTGCGGCTGGAAAAGGCTATGAAAACGAAGATTACTATTCGAATATTCAATTCAAGTTTTGTCCAATTGATAATATCCATGTCATGCGCGGTAGTTTACAAAAACTACTTGAAAGTTAGTTGTTGCATTACAATCTTCCGCTTTAAATGCACTTCATCTTTCTAGCCTGTGAAATGAAAAATCCAACTATGAATCAATATCTGAGTGCTTTGGACGATTCTTTTTGGCTACAACACATAAAAGCTGTTTTAGATGCTGCTATTTTAATCACACGTGTAAGTGGATACTCTTGTTCACTCGTCCACTCGACTAATGAAAACTCATATCGGGTATCGCAGGAAATTAAAATCTTCTCTTGCTCATTAGGCTATTGAGATCGAAAAGAAAAACGTTCTAATTCACTGTTCGGATGGTTGGGATCGAACAGCACAATGTTGTTCCTTGTCGTCTCTTCTACTCTGTCCATACTATCGATCGATTCATGGTTTTCGAGTAAAGTTACAACTCTATCTAAGAAATGAATAATCATTTCTTCTTCTTCTGCTTCTGTAGATGCTAATTGAAAAAGAATGGCTTTCATTTGGACATAAATTTTCTGATCGTTGTGGACACACAACAACCAGTGATAGTAAAGAACAATCACCTGTTTTCCTTCAGGTTTGCATCGTGTTTTATGCAATTGTCTTTATTATCTTTGATTGCTTTTAGTTTCTCGAGGCTGTCTGGCAATTGAGTCAAATTTATCCGACAGCATTTGAATTCAACGAACGATTTCTCATCTCCTTACACGATCATTCGCATTCTTGTCAATATGGCAATTTTATTGGCAATTGTGAAAAAGATCGACTAGATCTATGGTTTGTCGAAGCTAACTTGAAAATCAAAGAACATTCATTGTCGTTCTGTAGTGTCAAAGAGCGAACGTATTCATTTTGGAATTTCATTTTACAGAACATAAATGACTTCAAAAATCCACTCTTTCGTCCACAGTCACCTTACGCAAATGAAGTTCTTCTTCCGACGATCACCTCTCAAACATTAAAGTACATTCCATATTTGGACAATGACTCTTTAATCTTCCTTTTCTTTAGATTTTGGTTGAATATGTACCATCGTTTTGAGAGTGCTCTGTTGCCTAAAGAAAACATTTCGAATACATTGACACGTCTTGTTGACCATACGACATCGTTGAGTGACCATGCGCAATTATTAGAAAAGGTACTTTGCTTGACATTAAATTTCTAGTTACAAATTTGTTTATCTCGGTTACTCTAGCGTATTCGTGAATTGCGATCGACGCTTGATGCTGATCAAATAACATTGAGCAGTAGTGCAACCACTACGTCGAACGAAGATGCTGATGATTCCGATATTGAAAAAGGCAATCAATCAAACAAAATTTGTCTTCCTGAGTTTGATAGTGGTTTGAGTGACGTGGATCTGTGCCAAACACAGCAAAGAGATTCCATTCCATCGAAAATGAATAGAATTCTTCAGCCACCACCGCCACCACCATCATTCTCTGATGTTGAAAGTGGTTTCAGCGGAGATTATTCCCCACGTGGAAAGATTCCGCTCTCCTCATTTATTCTTCCACATCAATCAAGTTTAGATATGAACGACATTCCCACATTGGAACGTATCGCACTTGAATTGAATTCAATTGCACTCGATTGGCGCTCCTACAATGCACCGGTCCATTGTGATTGCTCGTTACCGTTCGATTCTGCTCAACGAAAAGTAGGAGAAAAGCATTTCACACGACTAATACGCTATTTTTTTGTTGTTTTCCGATTCCAGTACAATTGCTGGCGATGTGGAGAAAACTTTTGTACACGCTGTATCGAACGCAGTATACATTTACCAGGTCTCTATAGTAACAGTTTGGCACCAGTGTGCAAAACATGTGCACGTTCAATCAAATCCTCTCCGTCATTTGCTGATTTTTCTGCATTAGTCAAATCGAAATCCACTGATTTTATTCGTAGTCAAACAGCCATGAAATTATCTCGATCAATGGTTGATCAGTTTAATACACTCCGGTGATGAATAAGATGTCCCTTCGTTATCAATTCCATGCATAGTACTTTGCTTGATTGATTACCATGAATAACAAGAGCCAAGAAAGAACCAACTGTTTATTTCCACATTTTCTGAGATAGAACAAAGAGGAAATACTTTTGTACAATGTATTTGTGTATCATTACTAGGTCCTTTTTGTTTCGAACAGATAATGGAACTAATTCGATTTTTTTGTACACATATATTTATGACTATTCATATCTCAAACCGCATCCATTAAAATGTCATCAGCTAACCTTGTTATTGGTTAAATACTGATCATAGACAGCGTGAAATGTACTGTCTGTTGCCTTTATCATATCTGTAAGGGGAACAACGATTTATGCTAGTTGAATTATCCGAATAAAATTGTAGATTTAGTATTTATTTCGCTATAGAATGTATTCAAGAAAAAAGATCGCAGTTTCGAAACATGATCTACCCATACATACGTATGTAAGAATTGACTAAAAAGCCCTCGTGCTCGTAACGAAAAATAGGTCATATTAAGTTATTAGGAAATAAGCGAACTTATTTCGGAAAGCAAAGAAAAGAAAAAACGAAAAAGTACTATGATGTCAATGGTCAGTAAATATCGTCTCCGTGGGATGCATTTGGGCTATGATGTGATAAGCGATTTATTGATAATGGACGCTGAGAAGTTTTCGAATGTGAACGTTGAAGATATAATTGAACTGGACTTGTATTCGATGAATTAGAGCCTGTAGAAAGAACTCGATCTGGTCGCTGTGCTGCTGTACTTGACGAACGAGAAACATTCGTTAATTGATCGACAATGGATGCCGGTCGAGCATCTTGCAACAGATGTTGAATCGATGATGGAACATGATCGGTAAGATCATGGTAAGGATTGCAATTATAGCGGCTTGTATATGATGAATATTCATGATCACAACAGCTGTAATCCTTTAATACAGTTCTCAATTGATCACTTGGCGGTGGCAGATCTTCGATACGTTCAACGAAACGTACATCGCCACAGTTCGATTGAGCACCGTGTCTCATATATTCACATGGATCGACGCGAAACACACCTTCTTCGATGACACGACGAACAGTATGTGCTTTCAATGGTTCATATTCGATCACTACATTGCGGACTGGTTTGATTGGTTCGGGTGGTGGAGCTTTTTGCAGTAAAACTGGACGTTTCACCTTTTTGTAGGGTAGCCATTTTTCGAAAATAACTGTACGTGGTTTCGGTGGTGGAGTTGGTAAACGCTCAACGATAATCTGCCGTGGTTGAGGGGGAGGAGGAGGAAGACATTTTTCGATGATGTGAGGTCTAATTAAATGAAAGAACAGAAAATATTTGGAAAATTATCATGTCTCTCGTTTCTATTTACTGAAGTTTTGGAGGTAGCGATGGAGGACGTTCACGGATGGTTAATGGTGGTGGTGTACGAGCGTCAGGTTTTCGCTCACGGATAAGTAAGGGCTAGAAAAAGAAGTAAGTAAAAAGAACATGTGAGCTATAAATGACATTTGACGAAAACAGAAAGAGTTAATTACTGATTGAGGCGGTGGTGGTGGAATACGCTTTTCGCGAATAATGATAGGCGCCGGTGGCGGTGGAGTGGGTGGTTGTAAATAACGAACACGAATCTCCTTCTTATAGCACACATTCTGTGAATTTGGTTTGACTACTTTGATCGGTGGATTTTCACATGAATTGATTTGACGTAGGTAATGTTCAGCCGACCCCGATGATTCGATGCAACGAGATGGTAGTGGAGGTGTGCATGGTGAGTAACAGTCAGTCATGTTGTTTATCGGTAGTGAACTTGTATGACGTGAATCAAAAGAAGATGAATTGAAAGGATATGATGTATTTACTGGTGGAGGTGGTGGTGGTAATGATGAAGCTGCGTTCTGAGTATTCGACGAAGGTGGATTGAAGAGAGATGCTATAACTGATGTGTTTGCTTGTGGCGGTGGTAAATTTGTATTCTGAGTGTTTGGTAGGGGTGGATTAACTGGAAATGATGTATTTGGCTGTGTTGATGCCGAGGTTGTATTTTGAGCGTTCGATGAGGATGGGTTGAAGAGTGATCCTAGGATTGAAGCGCCGGATTGCGTTGGCGGTCGTGGTGGTGGTGCTGGAGGTTGCTCAACGTAGGAAAGTGGTCGAGCTGATGTGAAGATTGAATTCGATCGTGGTTGCAATAGCTCTTTGCGATCGGATCCTTCCTGTGGTGGATAGGCGGAGAAAGCTGAAATATACCCAGGTGGCGAGTTTTGTGGACTACTATTTTCTGGCGGTGGACTAAATGTGTAGTCACTCGGATTTAAACCAAGTCCGGAGAGAACACTGTGTATTTGAGTATATCTGTTCGTTTGAGTCGCAGCTGTTTCTTGACCGCTGCTGTTGCTTGTGACCTTGCTTGAATCACGCGCTCTAAAAAAAACCGCACAACAACTCTTGTCAAGAAAGCTTATTAATAGAATTGAGAAAACAGCATGTTATTCGGCTAATACTTGAAGACAAAAAGAAGCGTCGAATCTATCAATCTGTAACGTTATTTGTAGTTGTATAAATGAGAAACGAAACAAACATCGGCAGTAATAATCACTTGAGACAAAAATCAGTCTAGCGGAACTACATCAATTAAAATATTTGGCAAGGACACTAATGTATTGTACTCTGCTCACATGTTCATACATATTTCTGGGCAATTCAGTGACAGATTCAAGTATCCTCGGTCTGTCTTGATGGATTGAAACCGTGTCTATGTTTGCATCTTTAGATCGAAATCTATGTACCCTGTTCAAACGCATCGGTTATATTGTTTTGTGAAGTAATAATAAGTAAACGAACAAATACGAACAGCCGACCTTGTCAAAAGAAAAAGCGTAAGAAAAAAATGCTGAAAATCCTTGTAGTTAATTACGATGATTACGATTTGTTTTATACATATTAACGCGAAGTAAAAGTGAGCAAGAGTAGACACAAAAGGGAAAATTCGTCAAGGACTCACTGTAACTAATCTGCGCTCTCAGCTATGTCATGTCAGTCACTATATGGGTTAGATTGAGAGCAAAAATCCTATCAAAGACATTGTTTAGAAACATCAAGGTAATAATGATTGTCTTAAACGCTTGAATACGATTATATCAGTAATCAGAAGTGTGCTTGTTCAACTTACGTAGCCATGGCTTATCGTTTTCGAGACGGAACTGAATATTCACCAAATTCAACAATATATGATCGTCTGTCGACACTCTGTTCACTTATCAACTGAAATAAGTCATAGTTCAAGTATCTTTCTATGTTCAATGTGATACTCTCTTTTTTCTCTTGCAGGCTTCTTTTTTTCTTAAGAGAAAAGGTCGTGCAAGTAGCGCATTGATGCATGACCGGTGAAATAATTTCATAAGGTTCAATCCAGCCAAGGCATAGATGTACAAGAAAAATGAGCATTACTAGTTTTATTCAGAAAGAATCCGATCATTTTTCTTTTATCATTTCTCCTTCAGATTGACGTGCAGCCTTCATGTCTGATCGGTATAGCTCGTGTGCCGATCTTGTATTTACACACTCGATCGTTTTTTGTAAAAAAAAAACTGAAATTTATTTGAAAATCAGAAGCTGACAATATCGAAAAAAAACACGAAGTACGATGCTTTTCACATATCTGCCTCAGTCCATTCTCGAACAACATACCATTGATCGTGCTTAGAATCAGATTGTTCATTTTCATCGACAACTGGTCGAACTTGCTCTTGCCATTTCGTGATAATCCGACTGCCTAATGGAATTCGCACAGCTGCATACTGTGTCGGAACTGTTGATGATGGACGATCGAGTTTGTAGGTGATCGGGTACGAGGTTTGACTCACCATCACAACTCGCCATTCAGATAGAACAACACGCCGTTCAGTTTCTAAAGACATGATTCGACGCTCTTTCTCTTTGATCAATAACGAACCGATTCGACAAACGAAATTGGTAGTTCTCTTTCGTACAAAGACAAATACACTGTATTGAATTGAATTGACAAAAAAAAAGAAGTAGAGAGTAGTATTTTTGTATGTGACATTGAAATAAACGGTACCACACCTTGTTAAAGTAAAATGCTAAGTGATTATTTACAATCAGTAATATAATATCACGAATTGAGAGCATTTATAATAAAAAAAAAACGAGAGGGAAGTACGAGACTAGATATGTCATTTCATATTACCTTCAGTTATACGCTTAGAGAGCAGTCGGGAAGAAGGAGCATTGATGGAAACTTCATTGTCAAAATTCGATTTCTCTACCGATTAGCAATCGAATTATCTCTTGATCTAATTATAGTGACAAGACATAGGCAATAGCGAAATCAAATATTTGAATAATCATCCATACTTCTACTTGAGTCAACGAGAAATATAAAATGTGTCGACAAATTAATCAGAAGCGAAGATAAAAGAAAAGCTCGATGACATTCGACGATGAAGAGATATATCTGACAAGCATTCAAACGGAAAATACGCTTGATATCATGGGAAAAATCAGTTTCCCTGACGCATGAATCAGCTCAGCTAATAATATCGGTACAGTCATTTGTAGAGCTATTGCGTATTTATATTTTCATGGAAGGAAAACTATGATTAAACATCTCATGCAAATCTTATGCAACAACTATATACAAATGCGTTTGTTTGTAAGCCTCTAAGAAAAATAGCTAAAGACAAAAAGAAGGTGAGAAAAAGAACTGTTCGCTGTTTTGTTATATGAAAGTGCTTGATTGAGGGTTTATTCGTTATAGAGAGGATATTGTTGTCGTTGAGATACAATACCAAGGTCATAACCAGTTAAGTTTCGGACTAATTTTTTAATATCTTCCAGTAATTGCTGGAAGTATTTACGGAAATTTTGAATGTATTTGAAATCACCATTGTAGTCATCGGTTTGACCTTCTTGATTATCGTCAACCGTGGTCGTTTTTGTTGAACGAGGCGTTGTGCTTGATTGTGTCTAAACGATAATAGAGTAGAAAGAAAGCTCTTTTGCTGAGATAGGATTTACTTGAATTGGTCGTCGTGACGGTATCATGTTTCGATTTCGTGTCGGAAAATTGAAAACCGAACGGCGAGTGGTTGTTGTAGTGGTTTCATCGTCTTCCGCTTCATGCTCATCATCATCATCTAATTTCACTTCTTCCTGTGGGACATGTTCATCGTCATCGTCATAATGCTGAAAAACTAATTGCCGACCTGTTGTTGTTGTTGTTGCTGTTGGCGACTGAAATGTGCAGAAACAGTACGTGTCAAGTATAAATCAAGCTCATTTGCAAGGTAAATTTACCGTTGGGGCTGATCGAGCCATACAGATGAGAGCCAGCAGAGCGAAGACAAGTAAGAGCTTCATAGTAAGCGCTTTGTTCGAATCGATAATCTTTCTGTTAGAAAATCTTTTCTCTAGGTCTATTTATACTAGCATATCGTGCGAAGCGATATCGTCTGTTTTCTTTTGATATAACGAAGAATCATCGAGAAGAGAGAAAGAACATGATGATACATGATGATTGTTTTTTTCCTGGAATCATCGGTATCTTTGTACATCGTATTGCCAATGGTTACACATGCATTATACATGTACGAAGATGAAAGAACGAAGAGAAAAGAAAAGGACTCGTTATCAATAAGTCTGGTTCGAAGGCATTATTAATGTTCGTTGTTCTCATATCACTCCAAATAAAAGCGTAGTGCTTGAGGAGGAGAAAAATTAGCAATGAATATATGGTTAGAGAATTGATTGAGAGTATATTTTTGGCGTTGTTTGTCAAATTGCAAACATACACACATAAATTATTTACATATACAAACGCACGCACACGCAAACTCATATGAAAAAAGTTCCGTATATAACACGATTGTGAGTATAAAGAAGAGTATGAAGTAAATATCCCAAACAAAAAAAAGTTCAAATGAATACAGATAAGAAAAACAAAAGCAAACATTTTCTTTTTCTTCTTCTACGAGAATGAAGTTGGTACGAACTCATAAGTCGAGAATAAAAATCAAATAGGAGACAGAGATAAAGAGAGAGAGAGAGATGAAGAAGACACTGTTGATGCAAATTCGAAACAAAAATAAGTTGCGTCATGGTTCCGTGAAGTGAATAGAGAGATCAAGAAATTGTCTGACAAAAGAAGAACAAACGATGATGAGTCATGAGATATAAAGGAAAACAAACGTATGAATGCATGAAAATTAACGATGTTTAAACAGTGCCGCGGAACTTGGATCGGTGAAAAGTGGCGGTGGTTGTGCACCGCCTGCTGCTGCTGCCATCATAGCAAACTGCATTTCTCGTTCGCGTGCTTGTTGTTCGAGAAGAAGACGATAGCGATCCGATTCGAGATGGTTGCTTGCTGGTAAGGGAGGAAATCCAGCTGGTAGTAGAGGTGATCGAGTAAAATCGAACGGTGTTGAAAATGGTGGAGGAAATAATGATGATTTTGGTGAGTCACTGTTGATAGTATTACGACGAATAGATGAGGATGAGGACGAAGACATTGGTGGCGGCGGTGGCATTGGCGGAGCACCCGTAGGAAAGAGAGAAGAAAGAAAGGGCGATGGTGCCGATGAAGGTAGCCCGAACGGTGGTAGCAGATCTGGAGTGGGATTTAGAAAACGTTTACGATCATCATTTGGTGAAAATGTTGGAAAAGAAGGTTGTGAATACGGTAATAGCATTGACGGCGATGAAAAATCCATCTATGAAAGAAAGAAAACTAGCTTATCAGTTATGATTAAATTAAAAATGACTCACCCTCATTCGATGTGATGGTGAAGGTGGAAGAAACGTTGATCCCGAGGGTGTTCGTGATGACGGGGATGGGGACGGAGATGTATGTCGCATACGTTCATCGATCAGTGGTATTTTTTGTTCACGCTTTACAGTTGGTGTTTTAATTGACGGCGACGGCGAAGATGATGATAAGGTCGATGATGTAACTGTCGGCCGTGGTAGTTTTGAGCTTGATAGTGATCGAAAAAGATGATTCTGTTGTGAATGGATATCGAATGGAAAGGCGAATGGAGAAGGTGCTGGGGGAGGTAATGATGTACGCAACGATGACAAGTCATTGTTTGCATCGTTCAGTGGCATTGGTGGTGGTAGAAATGTTGACTGAGATGACGGTGATGAAGAGGACAGCGACTGCATTAGAGATGACGACGGTCGAATTTTATTTGCTGGATTTATCAGATTTAGTTTATCTCGTTGTCGTTGTTCGTTGTGATAAATCATCCAAGCAATATGAACATGAGCTGTTGACCATTTTCCATTAGATGGTTTCTTTAATTGTACCGATGATGACGATGACGAAGACAGCGACGACGACTGATTATTATCTTTCTTGCTAGTAATAACCGAAAGAAAACCTTGTGGTTGCGACTGTTGTAGTGATGATTGCGGCGAATGTTTAATAACAGATGATGATTTATCAACGAACATATCGGTAACGGAAAAACCTGCTTTGGGCTTTTTCGGCTCATTAGAAAGAGGAGTTTTCGATCTTGGAGATGGTTGTCGGTCGTCTTTTGTGGTTATGTTCAATTTATGTTCATGAGTATGATTATGATTGTGTTGGTGCTGGAAGAAAAGAAACAAATACAATCATTGGGAAAAGAATGAATCGAACAAACCTGATGAAATTCTGTGACAATAACGGGTGCGATGTAGAGTGGGGGGCCTGCTGATGTAGATGAGTTCGGTATGTCGGAATTGGATGCGGATGAACTGTGGCGACGATGATGATGATGATGGTGATCGTTCGGTGACGGTCCTGCATGATTCGGTGATGGTTTTGCATGACCATCGAATAGAGGTGATTTAGTCGAACTTGATTTATTGGATGCAGCTAGAAGTTGTCGTTGTAAGTTGTCACGATGTGACCACAGTGAATGATCAGGAGTATGTGGAGAAGCACTATGCATTTTAACATTTAATGATGAAATAGGCGAATTACTATTCGTTGATGCAGCTGCTGCTGCCGAAGCTGCAGCTGCTAGGTAACTTGGTAAAACGCCTGGATAGTATTTTTCGAACATTTTCTCCATGGATGCCGATGCGTCGAGGTGATTTTCTTTTAAAGAAAATCCATGCTGCAATAACCTTGATGGCGGTCGAGGTGGCGGCGGCATTGGAAGATCTCGTGGATATTGTCCACCGTAGAAACGGCTCGCTAACATCAGCGAAGGATCATAAGGACCGGCGAAGGGTGATGCTTGTGACGAAGGTGGCGGATGAGGAAATGGAGCAAATGATGGAAGAGGAAATAGTTTCGGATCGAAATGAGATGGAAAATTGAATGATCCTGGAAATGGAATAGGTTCATGTTTTATATGTTGTTTGGCTAAATCAGACATTGAAGTGATTGTCGGATGTTTATTACTACTGAAAAAGAAAAACGGAAGTAATTTGATAATTAATTAATTTTGTTTTTATTATTGTTCCTTTACCTGTCACCATTAACACTTATATCGTGTTTAGTTTTGTGACGTTTATGTGATTTATGATGATGATGGTGGTGGTGATGATGGTGATGATGATGTTTCTTTTCGTCCGATTCTGTTTTCACACTATCGGACGATTTCTGTAGTGAACCAGTGGAGTTTTGATGATGCTCGTTGTCACAATGATTATCTTCATGCTCGGATGTTGTTCGACTTGATCGATTTGTTCGATCGGTCGGTTCACTTTTAATGTCTGACATTGACTGTCGATCGCCCGTGTTTTTATTCGGTGATAGATTTTGCCATAGAGATAAACGATGACTAAATGAACAAAAGTTTCATTTCAATCAGATCATGAGAACGAAACCTATGAAATCAACATACTTTTCCGAAGAATTTTCGTCTGCTGGAACTGATGTCGGATGCGAAGAAGTTCGATGAGTATCTTCGATCTTACACGGGACGCTAATGGAACGATGTAGACCATGCTCATCGAAATGATCTGTTCCATTTCCATTCTTCTTGCCTATCAACGAGAATGATTTTTTGTTTGCGAAAGCTTGTTGTAACTGCTGTTGTTTGAAATGATCGAAAGCTATTCGCCAATCTTCATCTGTGTCGAATGTTAAGAAAGCGAAACTATCCAAAATATCATATTTTCCAGTTTTGGTCTTTGCGACAACTTGCTGCAGTTGTTCTTGTGCCAGACAACTACGCGTTTTCTTCGATTCGTGTTCATTGGTATTCACGTTTTTGTTCGATAATTGTGATGAATGACTCGATGAAGATGAGGAACGACTCGACGAACTTGAATGATCGCTTGATGAACGCGTGCTGTTTGGTTGACGACGTCGCTTATGGCGACGTGTTGTACCATTTGCTGTTGTTTGTTTTGTTAGACGAGATGCTTTGACGGTTGTCGACGATGATGAAGGTTTAAAATCATCATTGGAAATTGAATGTTCTTGTTCTAGTGGTTCTTCCATTATATTGCCATGCTTAGAAATTCTTGTGGTTTCTTGAGATAAAACACACTACCTTTTGATCACTTGAACAAGTTCACATGATCTAAAGTAAAAAAAATCGAAGCGTTTTTTCAACAGAGTAACAATATATGAAGTGCAGGAGTGGTTGATGATTGAGAGAGACAGAAGAGGGCAAGGAAAGAGACTGATTGAAATCTGCCATTAATGTGTATCATTAAACTCTAACAAGGCTGATTGGATAATGAATAGAAGAATTCATTGCATATTGTTTCTCGAAAAAAATCAACAAAAAAAGAGAATTTAGAGAAATATTTTCCATTAATAAAAAAATCAGACGATGTTTTTCCTTGAAAAAAAGTGACATCTATCACCAGAGCTAATTTATTCACATTATTGAGATATACGCGATACATGACTGATTGATTCGATTTGATTGCCTGAGGATAGCTCTTGTTCTGTTTGGTGCAAAGTTGGTGTACTCTATCGATAAATAATATCAGCCATTCTTCAAAATGTACGCACCTTTTACAGTACATTTTTTCTGATTATTCAACCGGAACATATTTGCTTACTAGCGAAGACGCGACTCTTGATTATTCTTCAAATTTGTTTCAATTATCTATTACTCGCATAACAAGCGACAAGTCATGTTTTATTATCTCATTCTATCAATCACTCTACTTTCTCTATCTCATTTATCTGTCAATGCTGCTGACGAGTTTGAAGATTATCGTTGTCGATGTATTTGCCCATCATTTACAGTTCTACAAGATCCAAATATGACCGATACACATCGCCGAGTGTACATCGACGTTGTGCCACCTGATAATTGTACCTGTGAACGGGTTGTTTTCCATACTATACCAGCAACGTCTAGCTTTCAACAACGGTTCTGTCCGAGGTAAAATCCATGGAAACTAAGACCGTAAATTCTGTATGCGTTTCTTCTCCGATAGATGTGTGTGCAACTATGAAGTGCGTAATACGACAACAATGAAGGTAAGAATTCGATATGTGACGAAAGTTGTGCTCATTCAACAAGATTAGGTCGTCGTTATTATCATTATGGTCGCAATCTCATTACTATTTATATACATGTCATTCTTGCTTTGTCTTGAACCATTGATGAATCAAAATAAAAAGTCATCGAGAAGAACGACAACATCACCTGCAAATGGTGCACGACAAGCGAAACATCATAACAAAGAGACTCATGAGGAAGTTCATCTAGATAATCCAACACAAGAATGTGTATTTAGTGAACCGGTACCTAGTAGATTGCAACGTACTACTGATCGTTCGGCAACGGTTTTAAATTTACGAACATACGAAGAAGCCAAGTGGAGAAAAAATGTAAATGAGCATAGTTTTTTGCATTGATTCTATGTAATTGATTCTCTTCGATATTTTAGGCATCGCCACAGCGAACATCCGTTGGCAGTAAACTGGATGCACTTAATTAGTCATTCCGTTGGTATTATCACAGTAAATAGAAAAGCAAAATATGTACATAAATTGTCGATTTTGTCTTCCGTATATGTGTGGATCTGCTATTAGTCTTGGTTTTCTATAAATTTCTTTTATTCTTCTATATTATTTACTTGTTTGTCGATATTTTTCTATGTAATGAAACGGCAAAAGACAGTCTGTAGTGTATGGTTTTTAGAACGATTGATGGCAGTTACAAGAGTGGACTATTTTTCTACTTGAAATAAATCTTAAATAGCTAGTTTTGAAGAACAAGGTCTTTTGCTAGTCGGTGTGGATCTCTGCATAGTAATGCACGAGATATACGAAACAGAAAACGACAACGATGGAGATCTATCGTTAGAATAGATTGTTTTTGTTTTATACTGTATTCTCTGTGGGTTACTTTGTGCTTATCACCTAGAGCAAAGAAAAAGGAAAAATTTACAATCTAATATATATTAAAAATACATGACGAAACGGTCATCATGAGAAGAAGGAATCCAAACAGAGAAAAAACGGTATACAAATATTATTGTACATATAGATACACGAAAGACAAGCATGCATTTTCATTGTTAGTATATATAAACGGACTATGACTCAGTTGAATAGAAACAATTCTAAGATGGGGCACAATCGAATGAATGAATATGTCTTCCATGTCGCGGACCATCTTCATCATTTTCATCTTCATCACCATCTTCATCGTCGTCGTCGTCGTCGTCATCATCATCCTCATCGTCTGTTTCTTCTCCCTCGGCGTTCTAGAAAAATGAAGTTCTTACTAGTCAATAGAAAGCAATGAAATATCGTACAGCACGTCGAGCCATTCGCCGAAAGACAGGTCGCATTAGACGCAGGAAACTAGTTGGGTCCGAATCAAACATATTCGGGAATTGAAGTTCACGTTGACGATCGCGAGCATTACGTTTCATAATCTGAATCGAATAGTTTTATTTTTCCTTTCCATATGTCTTCAACACCTACCATTTTTAATCGTTTATAATCGACTGAATTGTGATTAAGTGGCGCCCATATTTTCACATCATGATCGAGACCACTAGTGGCAATAATGGGAAAACATGGGTGTGGCTCGAGAACATTAACTGTTCCATCGTCATCACCCTTGGCATACCAAGCACATTTTTCTGTCGGCTTATCCCACATGAATACATGGCCACAATCACTTCCACTTATGATATACTCAGAATTGCGACCATAGAAATTCACACCTTTCACTAAACATCGGACACAAATATATTCTGTTAACATCGACTGTCAGGCTACTGGACCAACCTGTATTATTGTTTCGATGGCCTTGATAGTGGTGAATGGCATCGGCACCGTCTGAATGTGTTGCGTCAAATAAATAAATATCTTCATCGTTGTAACTGCCTAGGATTTCTAAAAGAAATGAGGTGACGTCGTTTTCTTTTGTATCAGCGCTACTAACCCGTGCCATTATGATTGTAAACAGCACAAGTAACAGATGGTTGACTCCGTCGATCTTCAATCTTTTTCTGAAAAAGAAAACGTTCGTCCATTCCACTGATTCAACTATTTCATTTACCAATACATCTGGGCAGAAGCTTTTCAACGGTTTATTCGCTTGTGGTTCGATGTATCGACGATCAAAGAGTCGAATATGTGGATCCATTCCGGCTACGACAAATTCATTCTGATGATTTCGATTCAATTCGATCGAGTATAGAGGTAATTTATTAGTCCTCTCATTGCTAACTGTTAATAATCTAATAGCAGAAAGCACTTCAATAGAAACTCAACAAATGAAATCGAACATACTTATTAGGTTTGTTATCACGAAGATCAATATGATAGACGACGCCATCTTCGCCGCAAGAGAATATATCAGTGCCTGTTGTTGTATCTACAGATAGCTAAATCATGCGAAATGGATTCATACGTTGGGATATTCTCTCATGTGAAATGAAAAACTACTTTATGAGCTGATGATAGATGCTGAGCAATTTTTTTTGTACTTGATAAGGTTCCCGATGAATGGAGTTCAGCGAGACGAACTTCACCATCTCTTGCACAACTCACAATCTTATAGTCACATGACAATGGTACGAATTTTGCCTGAAATGTCTCAGATGTGATTCTAAAAGCAAATTTTCAAACGATCGCACTTGAAATACATTGCTGCGATGATGACTATCGAACATGGCGGCAATCTGTGGCCTAGTCCATTCCCATACGACGATTTGTAAATCATCCGAGGCACTTGCCAATAGTGTTCCTAAAATATTTGTCAATAAAGTATCTGGAAGGAGTTGGCAGTTTCTGTTTTCTTACCAATTCGATTGAATGATAAAGCATTGACACAACCATTATGAGCATCGAGTGAATGAGATACTTTCATTCGTTGAACGATATTTCGACTAGCTATAATATTTTCATGAAATACGCGACTTGTTGTACGCTGTCTTGGCCGGTGGAAAATGCCAAGTTCACGTTGTCGTAGATACAAATGACGATTGACGGTAGGTGGTAAATTTTCTTCCTCGTTGGTATTGTCTTCCTGATTGTTATCATTTTTAATTTCATCATCCTCATCTTCATCTTCGTCTTCGTCTTCCTCCTCTTCTTCGTCATCATCATCATCATCATCATCGTTGTCGTCATCAGTAGTCGTTGATGCTGTCGCAGATACTTCATCTTTCGTTTCATTCTTCGTCGTGTTTGTTGTTTGAATTGAATTGCTTGTTTTCCTCTCTTCATCCGTCACTTCGGTGCTGTCTATGTTTAATCTACGACGTTTTGTAGAAGTCACTTTATCGTCCAATAATTTATCATGGTTTTTTGATGATGCTTTTGTTTCTTCACTTATATTGTCATTAGTTTGTTCATTATCTCTCTTGTGATCGATTTCTTCTTCGGGATGAGATATGAAACGTGATCGTTTGCGCTGCACACGGTCGTCGGAAGTGGATTCTTCCGTCAGTAGTTGTTCATCATCACTATTACCCGATGATTTCTCTTCTTCTCCTTCTTTTTGGCCAGCTTCATTCGATGATTGAGCTTCCATATCTTATTTGAAAAAGATCTTAACAATCGAAGCAACAAAGTTGAAAGATCTATTTTTATATATCGCTTATATGCGCAGTCAGAAGTATTAGGTAGGGTGGGTGGATGGATAGATACTGGGAGAGTGAATTTGATTGCTTGTCACGAATCAACCAATAGAATGTCAGGAGACAAATATGTTTGTTGCTCGACGACTAACGTTGAATGAATTTATAAATGGACTTTATTTGGTTGATTTACAAATTACGGATTAGTCGTCATCGATTGCTTTTTATAACAATTTGATATTTGAACAAACTATTCGAACGGGAAATTTCGCTTTTAGATAATTTTCCCAAACTGCTCAAAATGTTCCAACAAGGTATGAGCAATGTTATTTGTTTCTCTTATCAGAAGAAGATAACTTTAGGAAAATCTATTGGTGTTTCGACACAAGATCGACTGATGTCTACATCGTTTCGATTCGAAATCAACAAAGGAAAACCAGACCATAGTTCTATTCGAATGCAAAAAGCAGCCGAAGTAAACATGCTACCAATAATTGAATTCAATTACATCATGCGAAAAAGTTTATTTTAGAGTGAAGAGCTGCATCTCAAACAATTGAAAGAACTTGAACAGTAAATTCTGTTGTAGACAGCCCAAAATACCCAGCGACCTTGTTCTTATTTAGAAATAAATATCAGAAATTCAAATCTGATTGGGCGGAACGATCAGCTTGGTCCAACGTTGCCTCACGTCAAACCGCTGCGAACAAACAACGCGAACAAGAATTGTTTCTACTTCGTAAAGCTCATCTGACTGTATGTTTGTCGGAATTTCATCGCAGATATAGAAATTTCTCATCTAACCTCCCATAGGCTCGTCGCGCAGCATTAGCTACGCTACTTCAAAACGAACAAGTTCTCTACGAACATGAATTCCGTCGAAATGGCCAAGCACTTTACAAAGATATGTTCCAAGTGGATCCTCAATATCCATCGCTTAGATTATAAAAATGATCTTTTTTTATAAATAAAGATTTGCTTCCATTTTTTGCGACCAACATTTTCTTAACCGACGCTTTTTTCTATTTATGAATGAATACTATATTTGAATATTCCATGCAACATATCAGATAAGAGATCGTTTTCTAAACGCAAAATAATAATAAAATCTCATTCTTCTTTCTTTCGGACGGAGACAAACGAGTGCAGTCATTTGCTTGTTGATATTTTTATCTGAGCTTTCTTCTATATACATGATGAGGGTATAATGAATGTCGATTAGTTAGAAACCATGAAACGTCGAAGGTTGTCGTTTTTCTTTTGCAAAGTGTTTCACTTATACCATTCTTTAAACAAATGTCCATGACGTTCGATGAAGCACACGTTGAATAAATAAAAACTTTACTCTTTGCATTTCTTGTCTTTATGTATAAGTACATGTATTATACATGGAAGAAATGTTGTTATTGTAACTTCACAAATACTTTTCTCTTCGTAATAAAACAAATTCTTACCAGTGCTTTTCATTATGAATGACAAGATGTGGAATTGCATGCAAAATTTTCTGCAACAAATCCAAACGGAAGTTAAAACGCGCGATTGGAAACAACAGATCAATGCGAGTTTGGTCTATGCCAGACAATCATTCGAAATCAATCAAGAACAATCAATTTACAGTAAGCAGATATTGATTGGTATGAAATCGCGAACTTAGTTCGTTCGTCTTCTAGCGTTAGCAACGATTCTGATTCTTGATTTGATTTTTGGTTGGAATGTTTATCTGGTCGGCGTCCTGCTTGTAGTATATTTCTCGTAAGTTCGAAAGATCGTTGTATGTGTGTAAAGGCTTTTTCGATGTAGAGTATCCGTTTTTGAATATTCCGTAACAATCAATGAACTGGATTGGTTGTTTTATTGTGCGATTTATATAACGTTTAACGTAATTGAATACTCCTGTCTTCATTATCAATTTCCATTTCACGTGATCTATATGATTAATTGTATATGTCTACCGGGATTTCTCTTTCCCGACGAAATATATGATAACATAATTATTATCCAGAGAAGTGTCCGTGAATTTGTTCTGAATTACAATAAGGTAAGTTTTGGCAAGTTTCTCTTGTGTTAACTGGTGTTTTTTCTTTGCTAGCAAAATCAAGAATTTTACAACGCGAAAGCTGGCCAGAGTAATATTGAAGATGCTTCCACCTACGATCAATATAACAATCCTATCGATGGAGAATATGATTTAGGTCGTGATGGTGCATTCACTGATTATCGAATATTAATTGGACAATTCTATAAAAGTGGAGATATGAAAGCACCTATTGATGCATTAGAAAAGAAAGGTTTTCACGTTGAAAGTGTCAAAACTGAACTCGAGTTTATCGCCAAACTTCGATCAGAACAGTATGAGATAGCTTGGGTGATCAGTTCCAGTTCTATCGAACAGGTTGCCTTCATTCCAACCCTGATTGACTTCCATGCAGCAGGCGGAGCGATATTTCTCTTCGCTGATAATGTCCCGTATGTTTCTCATGCCTCGGGATTTCTCAATAAAAAGTTTGGCATTTCACTTATCGGGAATTATCCCGGGAATAAAACGCTTGTCTTCAATGAAAATGGCTATTTAGAACCAGGATACTTTGGCCAACATGAAATATTTACGGGCATTAAAAATCTCTTCGAAGGCGTCACGATTTGTCATCCTATTCAATCCAGAATCACAGCTTCTCAAGCAATGACCACTTTAGCAACAGCAACCGATGGTCAGCCATGTATCAGTGTATTCGAGCCTCCAGCGGGCTCGTCCGAAGGACGTTTATGTCTCGATTGTGGTTTTACGAAGCTATTTATTAATTGGAATTCCGCTGGTACTGCTAGATTCGTGGTTAATGCTAGTTGTTGGCTAGCGAAAGCGATGAAATAACATGGAACAACTGATTCAATCGCATCAATATCCGATCAATCACAAAGAACGAATAGCTATCGTTTTTTTTTGTGCATCATTTTCGTAGTTTTAGCATTTAGAAAATCTTCCGCGAGGATACATTCCAAATTTGACTTTTATTATGACTGGTGATGAAAATTGAGCTTGCATTATAAATACTAAACGTACAGTGTAGTACACAGTGACAATACTGAAAAAAAAATTGAGAACACATCGGTAAGAATTGAGTAAAAATCCTGAGACATAAAAAACGGAACAACACGAATTTGAGCGGTGCGATGAGAATCAGACCTGAGAAGATGAGATTATTTCAAATAAAACTATCTGATCGGCAAAGATGACGCATGAAATGATAGAGCGCAAAGATGAATCGTTCATTATCTTCATTGATTTGTATCTGCCGAAGCGATGGAAATTTCTTCCAGAAGAGATCAAGTAACTTCACTCGTTGCATGGAAATGTTCGTATCGATATCGAGAAACTGAAGAACATGATTGGATAAATACCGACAAGCAACATTCTGCAAGGCGGAGAGATTATTAAAGGTAGGCAAAGATGCGGAATCAAACAGTTTGGAAGCTAAATTTTTGATGAATTGTTCGATCGGTTCTTGTTCATTCGTAACTGTGGACGTTGTTGTGACAATAATCGGTATAGCTGATTGATTTGCAATAAGAAAATGATCGAATGTTGTTTTTGATTGTACTGAAACCTCATCGAAGATTTGTAGAAGAAGAAAATGAACTCCTTCAGTTGATAAAACCTTCGACGATTGATGTTGATAGAGAAAACATTTCAATGGTTGAAAGCGAGCAACTGGTAGATTATGTTTGTACTCATCCAGAATCGAATGTAGATTATATGTAAGACGTTCAATTGTTAATTGATTGGTTTTATCAAGCATGGTTGCGAGAGACAGATTTGAATCAATAGGTGAAATTGCAGCCAAGTACGTTGAATCGTACTTCGTCACACACGTATCATAATCTGAACTTGATTGCGTAGAAGACGAGGTTGTCGAAGCGATGGACGAACCATACGTGGTTTGAGCAGTTGACACGACAGGACTATTGCATGGTTTGCTAGCTGGTTTTGATTCACTGCTCGATAATAGATGCTGACGACGTGCGATGTTTACTGCTACAAAATCGAAAAAAAAGCCATTCAAATTAAGTCGATCCCGTATGAACTGTTACCTTCGCTCAGTGTTAGTTTATTAATCTCAGGCAAAACACGAACCCGCTGTTGTTGGTTTGGACTTGAACATACAGTTGATCGATTGGTACCATTGATCAAGTCAGGTTGATTCCCTGAAGATGTGTTGGCTTTTTTCACTTTAAACCACCATAATTTCGAAGTATAGTTATCATTGATATCGGTCTTTTTCAAACATTCATCTGCATTACTTTTGCTCTTCTTCAAAAGGTTAATCTTTTTCGATTTCTTTGTTAATGTTACTTGTTTCGTTTGCAAATCAGGCCCCATGAGAACAATACCCTGAGTATTAATCATCGATTGATTTGAAATAAATTCAATTGTAGGTGGCTTGACTAAATTCTGTTCTTCATCAGAAAATGAATCTTCCTCGTCTTCATCTTCGTCATCATTTGTTGTGGGTAATTGTTCAATCATTGATGTCGATTGAATCGTCTCGACATTCGGCGAATTGACAGTAAAATATTGTGCCATAATTTCTTCGTAGAGATGCATAGACGACGATGATGATGGCATATCTATGGATTTCTCTTGAGAATGGGCATGTTCACATTGACCCTCGATGATTTGATGGCCTGATCGATTTTGATGACAATTGGTGCACAATAATGGCTTCCATGGATTTGCTTGGAAAAGATCACACATTGTTAGATCTAAAATTTAAAGTGAATAGAGAAAATTTTATTCTGAATCAAAAAGTACGACAAAATAATAATCTTTATTGTATCAATGTACAACAGAATAATAATACGAAGAAAAGGTTACAACGATACGATAGACGGTCAAAAGCATGCACAGTGATTGATTGATTGATTGATTAGACAGTTGTCTAAAATTCAAAGAGATTCAGTGGAAAATGTCGAGAATGATTCGGAACATACAAGTTTTTCTGGCAGAGGAACATCCATTAATGTTTGATAGGTGCGTCGAACTTTGGTTAAAAATTCGTCTTTACTTTCCGTTGTTAAACTTTGCAATGTCCATTGAAATTCCTTCGTTTCAGATTCATCAACAAAGTCGAACACAAACATTTGTGGATGATTGGTGTAATTTGTCTAATGTGAAAGTAAACTTGATTTCAAAAGAGAAAATAAGCACGTCACTTACAACGTTAACCAAATGCATAAGATCACATTTCAATTGAGGATTGGTATTCGATTCGGATGTTGGTTGAGCTGGTAAACGAACGTGACGCGAGTTAATGGTTGCATAAGCATCTTCGATCATTAGAATCCAATTTTGAAGAAGCAACAGAGCAATCATTTGACTATTTCCAGCTGAAAAAAATAAAGATTAGATCATCTTTCTTCGAAACATTCGTCTTCACATACCTTGATCCATTCGAATCATAATCGAATAAAAATCTATCATATCGTCATTCGGCTCTTCGATATGGCATTCAAGTTTGATAATATCGAACAAGCGTTGTCGGTATTCATCGGAACTAATACGACTGATTTTTTGTAGTGCACCTTCACCGCTTTGGACAATGGGTGAAAGAACTTCTACAAAAACAAAATTGTCAAATACAACAAGAATTCGATAGGAAGATCTTTACCGAGGATGTGATTAACTATTTTTTGCGTTTTTTCTTGGTTTGCAAGAAGAAAGGCAAATGCTGCTGATTGCAACTCGATCGTGAATGTTTGCATTCGATAACCAACATCAAGCATAAGTACATTAGTCAACAAATCTTTCCCGACTAATATATATTCCAAATCTTCTTCATCGTTTGATCTTGAAAAGATAAAAGATGTTACGAAGTCAACGTAGCTGTTCGAAAAACATACGGTTCATATTGGAATATGTAGATACCATGGTTGGTAAGAATAGTTTGTGCGATGAAATATTTGCTTGTTGTTGAACGAACAACAAAACACTGATTGATAAGAAGAAATTGAATGGCTTTCAATAGAAAAGTGAAAGCTTTTACTTTGAAATGCAGTTTGATTTGTTCATCATTATGTGTAAAATGTTCAGTTGCGACATGAAAATGTAATCGATGATCAAGATTAGTATCGTCAGAGGAAACATCGATAGTTGTCCGTGATTGCACCGATGAAATGGTTCTATGGCAAACAAATGTCGAAGAACAAAAAATCGATTTGTTAGACACTTACTCAACCGGAACAGTTGGCAACGTCGCATTCTGACAATTCAAACAAATGGGCGACGATGTATACTCTACAAAAAATGAGATTGTCAGAGAAAGTCGGATATGTTATGTCATAATTACCAGCATTGTGCATGCTAGATAATGGTGGAAACTTTTTTCCACAGCTCGAACACTAAATGTAAAAGAAGGTTAGTTATACGCATTGAAAGACTCGGCATGGTACGAACTTGTAGGAATACGGGCGAAACGACTGATAATTCCACAGGTACTGATGACTCTAAGTGTCGTTGGATTTCTTCAATAAATGCCTAAGATAATTTGTAGTATGACTATTTTCTTTGTATTTATCTTTTACTATTTGATCTTGTTTTGTATCGAATAGATAAATTCGATTTTCCATTTCATTTCTTCGTTTTTCGAACGTGAATTCTACTGTTTTCGCTCGACTAAACAATCAACGAAAGATGTAGTTAACATTTCTTCAGATTTCTATCTTACCTATCTTTATTAGTCAACAAGTTAATCATCCCATACGGCATTTTCTCCAGATAATTTTCATCGTCATTATCTTTTTCAATAAGACACATCGGGTCGATTTCGATCGTTAGCAAACGATTACTTCCATTGGTGTTCGATGTTTGATCAGTGACGAAATATATTGTTCGAATACTATCTGAACAGCTAAATGAATATCAATATATACTTGAAAGAAAATATGTCTTCTTCTACCGCCAGTATTTTCGTCCTCATGAAAGTGATTTGTTGGTTGAAGAACCGGAATCGGTGTTTGATGTTTTGTATCGATAAGAATGTTTTTCTCTGATTTAGGTGAATCGGGTACGGGTGTATCATCAGATGAAGTGTTATTGGCGTCAAGAACTTCGAAAACGAGCTTGTTTGGAGCATCAGCTTTACGAGCACGCGGGCTTTTCCTTCGATTTGGTGACTGGAAATGAAAAGGGAGAAAAGTTTGTTTTTCTACAAAGATTAAATTTATTATCTTTACATGGGATAGGTCATTGGCCAATTTTCGTGGAACACTACTTGCGATGGGCGTTGCTGATTTCGATAGATTTTCATCTTGTTCCATGATTACTGTTTGAGCAAGATTAGAACTATTATTTTCATTACGTGATTCGTTTGTTTTGTTTGACCGACGCCGATGAGCATTAGATTCATTGTCAGATCCGGATGTTGCTGAGCAAAACTAATGAATATTCATCAACAAAATGCCGTTTCTTACCTTGTTCAGTTGGCGTTTCATCAGCGTCCAATGGTCGTAAGTTACCATCACGAAATTTTCGGCGAGATCGCCTTCAAAAGTAATAAAATGTTGTCGATTAATTCTCTTTCTTGCCGATAGAGCATACCGTCGAGTAACAACTGTTCCTGATGAATTTGTTACGATTGATTCTGGTTCTGTCGTCGACTCACTCGTGGTTGTATTCTGTGTTGATGGAGGTGGTGAATATAATGGAAACGACGGGATTGTTTGTTGCGGTCGAGTACGTCTCAGTGGAATACGCTGAAAGAGGAGAAGAATCTCCATATGGGACAATGGTTTTCATGAATGAAGCATTTACTTGTTTTTCTCTAGGTGTGAGTGCTTGATTATCAATTAAAAGCTAAAACAATCAATAGGAGCAAGTGAACGAAGTCGAAGTCAAGACGAAAGAAAATACTTCTCGAGCTTCTTGTGCGAATACAAATGGTAAATTCATGATAATTTCTTGACGATAGTTAGAAGCATATGTAAATGGATTTCGTGCAAAATAGAGCTAAAATACAAGTCATGGAAATGATAAATTTCATGATTCTATTCGTTACTCGTTTGAGCATTGACATATGTCGGATTTGCTCTGGGATTAATGTAATAAAATTATCACTCAAATCTAATTCATCGATGGATTTCATATTTTCAATACCTAAATACAAACGCGAACTCTTCAGATACGTTTTGTTTTGCTCTACGAGAAAGAAGAACATACCAGTTATTTCTTCAAGGCAATTTTGCCGCATTTTAAGTGTTGCTAACCGACATTGACCTCTTTCACCGGACCAAATCGGTACAATGCGTAATTGATTCGATGAAAGATTCAAATGTCTTATATGTGGTATAATCTAGGTAAAGAGAAAAAAAAACGAAGAATCAAATGATGCGAGAGACGATGCAATCATTATGTCTACTCACGTCTAATATATTCGAACAATCCTGTAATCGATTATGACTTAGATCAAGTACCTCAAGTGCAACTAAATATTTCTAAACGGAAACAACGATGAATTTCAATTTTTCGATGAAAGAAGTGATTGAGTGTCGTACTAATGATTGATCTATCCGTTCAATGAAATTATGAGCAAGAAACAATGATTTCAGTCGAGGCCATGTGTCACGTCGGACGGAATCACCAGCACAGTCACCGATCAAATCCTAAGCAGAAATTCCAATAGAGCATTCAATCATTTACCGATCTACATTCATTACTTCGATATTTGTCACCGACTGTGAGCATATCAATGTTTCCAGTTGGGGACGGAGTAAAGACAATCCATGCACCATATGCGATGAAATTTTTTTCAACTCCAAGCATGTGACATGTTGAAATGGATAGAGAAGAACATTACCTCGAAGCGTACCAGCATGGTGAATTAACTAAAGAGATCATTATAACGATAAAGTTACCTTCAACGCTCCTCACGTACTTTTACAGTTTGAATTTTCTGTAGAAAATCATGTAGGAATAGTAAATCTTCGCGAAGTTTAGGAGTAATTTTGATATTTTGAATTGATGTTAAGACCGGTAAGGGTGGTAATGAATTCGTTCTTGGACGATCCGTTGTTACTGGTATTGTAAATTCAAGTTGAGCAGCTTGAAAGTAATTATTCAGTAGTGTTAAGGAATCCGATGTGAAACACACTTTACTATCACCGTGCAAGACTCGATGGCCATTGGAACGAAAGAGATCAACTAAACGATGAACGACTTGATCCGAAGACGACGACGAACGATTCGTCGCCATCGAAAACCGTATCTAACCGAGAAGAATGTATATATCTTAAATAAATAAATAAATAAATAAAAACTCTTAAAAAAGACAAAGAAAGATATTTTCTCTTCGTTCGACGACTCGGGAGATAAAGAACGAATGAGGTAAGCAATGTGTTTCATTTTTTAAAATGATAAAGAAAAAGAAAAAGTATTTCAAGATGGTTTTCAATCATCATCATCACCTTCAAAAGGAAACGAAGTTTGATGCGATGAAAAATTATGGTTCGCGTTATTACGGAAGTCAGTCAGATAGGTATGCAGAGCATTTTGGGACAACATGAGTTTTCGCGTAGGCTTCTCAGCAATTAATTTCTTACGTCGTTCCTCGAAGAAATGCACCTAGAAAGTACAATGAGTCAGATCAGATCAATTCATATGCGACGCTTTTTCCTATACCAATGAAGGACTGCATGTCAAATGAAGTTGCTCGATCTGCTTTTGACAATCGGATTCTCGGTTATCGTATAAGTCCAAGCATTTCCACCAAGCATCACGTGCTTGCCAACACTCGGATGATGATTTTGGATGATTTCCACCAATCGATGAACTCGTGGTCATCTTAGAGTTAAAAGTACATGGAAGAGACAGACATGAGAAGAGAGATAAAAGAATGCTCTCGTGCTACTCTCGAAGTGCACCAATGGCAATTCTCTATCTGAATCATTGTCGTTACAATCAATGTGAACTGTTTTCATTGCAGAAATACATTCAGAAGATAAAATTTTTAAAAATGTTGGAGACCAATCTACATAGACATCTATTTCTTCGTTATTCAAAGTTTTCTTTTCGGACTCTACGTTAGTACTGGCTGGCTCTAATCGATATCCATTTGTTTATTGTTGTTTTTTTTTTCTCCGACGGTAACTTTCATTTTCAATCGAGAGATTTTATTGGTAAGTGTAAATGTTGAAGCAAAACAGACAATCGAAGATCAGAGTAGATTCTATTCGTTTACCTATGGATAAAATCTTAGTATTTTCTTCGAAGATTATCTCCAGAGATATTTTCGAACGAAGGTTTTCTTCGTTTATTTACAATATCTCTGCTGTCAATAAGATCATCTCGTGAAAGATATACACACCTAGAAAATGTCTACTAATTCGAAACTCTTCGGAGATCGGAGTAGGAAATAGACGTGTGTGCCATTGGATGTATGTCTTTCCGATCAGGACAGTGACATTTCTTCGAAAAAAGATTTCTAGTAATGACGAAAAGAATGAATTTCGATCTGTTTTAGAGTAAACAATCATGGCTGAGGTCGTACAACGTCATCTAGAAGATATGTTAACGGAATTTGAGCAAGCTAAACGAATTGGCTTGTTCAGTGAAGCCGAGATCAAGTATGAAAGTAGTTCTTTCGATCCGTTGATGGAGTTTGTTGAATTTAGAAAGATTATCCGAACTCGTCGACGACATGAGTACAAAATTATTCGACGAACGAAAGAAAAAGAATGTTATTTAGATTATATCAAAGTATTACTCAGCATTTGCGTATTCATTCGAACAAAATCTTGTTTTTAGTATGAAACCCATCTTCTTAAATTAGTACAACTTCGTCGAGAGGTAAAAACAAATTTGTCTATTGCTTTCATGAAATATATATATATATATATATATATATGATCTTCGATTCGTTTAGAAATTAAAACTTGGACGAATGCATAAGAAAAATGAAATCGATTTAGAAATTAAGCGACGCATTGAGCGACTCTTTCGAGTAAATGTCTTTAAACTGAAATATTTTCATTCTCATTCGTTCGTCTAGAGTGTATGCCATCGGTTTAAAAAAGACATACAACTATGGTTGACATTCATCGAATTTCTTAAGAAACAAGTAAGTGTGTAAATTTCTTCTCCTATCGCTCGTATCTGACAATTATCCATTTCTAGCACGATTATTCGACTGCCTCAAGTGCATTTACATCTGCATTACAGACACACGGCAATAAATATTGTAAGTGACGCGAAATCTATGAATTCAGGAAAATTCGAGGTGCGCTTTTTCTAGGGTTGTGGATAATGGCGGCGAAATTCGAATTCGAAGTGATGGTGTCTCCATCGTCGGCTCGAGCACTATTTCAACGTGCACTGCGAATGATGCCACAGGAGAAAAAGCTGTGGCTTGAAGTAGATGATGATTCGTATTGTTTTGAATCTTATCGTTGATGTGTTTAGTATTTCAAATTTGAATTGCTTTATGTTGAATTGGTGCAAAAAAGACAAGCTATACTCGATCGAGCATCGAAAGAAACGGCAAACAACGAAGAAGATGCAGTTCTACAAGGAAAAATCGTCGAAATTGTGTTTAATAATGCACAAGCAACAATCGAAAGTAAATTTTATCGACCAGAATTTTCTTCGAATAGAAATACTGTTTTAGATGATCCAAAATTTCTCTGCTCATTCGCTCAAATCCTTCACGAGTTCTCACAGTTTTCGTTTGCTGAATCATTGATTGACCAGATCTATTCGCTGTATGTAGTTTGCCTACGGAAAATCTTTTAAAACTGCCGTTTTTCTAGCTTGAGAATAAAATATTCGTCGAATGCTCTTGCTCAGTCGCTAATAGCGCAACGTCCATTGATAAATGAACGTAAATTAGTAGAAGAAGCTGCGAAGAAGGAACAAGACGCCAGTACGTGTCATTTTTTCGACTGTGAAGTGTTAAATTCATGGAATTGATATAGGTTTTATGGTTGCTGTACTCGAACAACAAGTGAGAGAGAATTATGAAGAATTATTGAAAGATACAACTACGAATAAAGGTATTTTAATTGAATTTGGACCTTGAAAAGTGCTGATTCGTCTGGCTTTAGACGAATTGTGGAATCTTTATTTGGATTTTTGTGTTCAAAGATTAAGTCAAACATCAGATTCGAATAAATCTGAGGTAAACACGCCAGCGACCAATGATCATCGTCGTTATCTTCATCTATTTAGCATATCTCAATATGTGATCAAGTATTCTCATCAGCCAATGAACAGATTTCACTAACACCCGAACGTTACTTAGAATGGGTAAGCTGCAAGAGCCTCATGGAATTCTAATCTAAGCGCTATCTTCTTTTTCGTTAGACTTCCATAGTTGATCGAGATCGTGCGAAATCTATCATTAAAAAAGCCACAGATCAATATCCAGACGATCCATCTCTCTGGGATAAACGACTTTCATTATTCACCACTGAAGCAACTGATTCGAAAGTCATAAAAAAAGAATTCAAACTTGCTTGCCGACACCCACAAGTTAAAGTAAGATATTGCAGAAGGCAACCCTAGATTAGCCTTCACGAATCTTTCCTTAGAACTCTCCTTTGATCTGGAAGACCATTGTCGAATATGCTCGAGAACATTGCGATAAATGGACAGAGGAATTATTTGAAGTAAGGCGAGAAATGTTCTTGATGCATATGCTGAATATTTCTTTCTAGGAATCTCAGACAGGGTCATTGGATCTTTCTGTAGCATTAGAACTGAAATCGCAATATTTACAATGGGTTAACCAGACAAAATCAATTAAACAAGTTCGACAACTATTCGACAGGTAACAAAACTAGGCCTACCTCATTTTCACCATCAAATTTGTCTTCTTTTTCTTCAAATCTAGACTATGCAGTCGTATACCCGCTTCCTTGCCATTCTATATGGATTACATCAAAATCGAGCAATCAGCATCAACTATTGATCGAACACGCGTTAGAACGGCTTTCGAGCAAGCCATTATCTACTTTGGCAAAACATCAGCGGGTAAATCTTCCATCTCCAGAATAACGTTAGCTCACTTGTTTTCTGTTCAGATCTTTGGCTTGCCTACATGGATCATCTGAAACAACATCAATCCCTTGATTTTGTTACTATATCTCGTATTCATTCACGTGCACTTCATACACTTGAATCCGATGAATTGAAACGTTTCAATACTGAATGTGCATTGAGAAATTTAACTTGATGCAGACCGCTTTTGTTGTTATTGCTGTTTTTGAACGTAGATAAAGAAATTTTTCTTTGTTAATCATTTGACAAACAAAACAAATGATCGTTTTTAATATTTCAGATCGTTGAGAGGTTTCGTTTCATTGACTACGATGACAGATCATCATTGTTGTGGTGGATCACATTCTCACTGTGACGAGCAGTCCACAACCAGTAAGAATGGCACCGATTTATCATCGAGTCCTCAACGAATTTCGTCCGATGATGTTCATAAACATTTCACGTCAAATGATATAGAGAATGTCAACGATGAATCACAAACTGTTTCTCAGCTGTTCGATATAGCTTGGTCAAATCAAAACGACTTGCAAAGTCCATCGGTTGATACGACAACTGATGAATACTCAAGTAAACTCCTCCATACAATCCGTTTGCTTGAATCATTGGAGAAGCGTCTCGCTTCACTGGAATTGTTTAGCGATAACGAACATATCGATGAAGTTTCGACAACAAATCTACGATATTTACTTTTAAACGCATTTCTTGCTTGGTTATATCAAACAAAACGATCAAAACCATCACAACGTTTAGTGAATGTTCAACATGCATGCGATTACTATGCGAAATTCCTGACGATGACGAAAAATTATGAACTGCATAAATATTCCATTCCGAAAGCACCATCGAATGACGATTGTGGGAAAACCGAACCGGTGTCTAGTCGAGATGTCGACATGATGAAAATGGCACAAGATCGAGCTTCGAAGATTCAAGGGTAAATTAGTTTGAAAGAAAAGCGAACAAGTGTGATCACTAAGTGTTGCTTGTTTAGTCATTTGAAACGACGTGAAGCGGAAGAATCGATGCGAGCATTTGAAGAAGCGATGAAACATGACGCAACTGATGAAGAAGCTAAACGTAGCTTTTATCTAAGTAAAATCCGTTGGTGGATCAATACAGCAATGGATGACCTTGTTTACTTACATGGTAAGAGTATGAAAGATAAAGGTAATCTTATCCAAAATTCAATTTAGACGAACTTCGTGTCTTATTACAACGTCAATCGATCGAACCGAATGCAGATGAAGAGCGTCATCGACGTCCCGGTCCTCCACCATCATCACGCCCATTTAAACCATTGGTCATCACACGCGATATGCTCCAATCAAAAGTCTTCGGTACCGGTTATCCTAGTGCATCAACGATGACAATTGATGAGTTTTATGAAAGTCTTGCTCGTCGAGGTCTAGCACCTACGCCTGAACAAGCCAAGGAAATGGCTGCTGGTATGTTGCATGTCTAATAGAGTGTCATCAATGCTATTCTTTCTTGCTCTAGGTCCGAAATTTCCAACAGCCAGTGAAATGGAAAAGGAGGAAGTCGCTCGAGAAAATCTCACTGAAAAAGATGATTCTGATATGATAAGATATTTACGATCAAAAGACGATTTCAAAGATGAGCATCACCGCGGCGAAGGAAATCGTCATAACCGTTCTTAGAACAACTAAAAATTAATTTTGTATAGTGTTGCTTTTCTTTTTCTCCACTACGAATTTGTTCTCTTCTTATTCATATGCAAATATTTCTCTTTTAGATCATGTTATTCTATTCATTTTTCAAATCCCTCGTTGGCAAAGAGGTGGTCATTGAATTGAAAAACGATCTTTCCATCGCTGGAATACTACACAGCGTTGATCAATACTTAAATGTTAAATTAACAGAAGTGCAAGTGCTTGATCCGGAAAAGTATCCTCATATACAATCGGTTACATCGGCATTCGTTCGTGGTTCGGTCATTCGTTACATTCAATTACCACCGGACGACGTCGATACGCAATTGCTGCAAGAAGCAACACGAAAAGAAGTCACACAACCACGAAAAGAATAAACATATACCAATCATCACAACTTAGAACTCTTTTACATTTCCTCTTTTGTTATCTTTCAGATTCTGTTTATGTAAATACATGTAAGAAGAGAAAGCAAAATAAAAAAAAAACAGCTAACGGTGAAACTTTCTATCATTGACAAATGTTTCTCCTTTTCTTTTATTTAATTGAGATTAATCTATTATGTCAGCTACAGTTAACACACAACCAATATCAACTTCGATACGAGTGTACCCTTTACGTTTATCACCGAACAAAGATGTTCTTACCAGCATAAGATCATTGATGAATGACGCTGGACTCCGCTCCGTGTTTATTATGACTTGTGTCGGAAGTGTCAAAGCAATACTACTACGAATGGCGAATACAATTGATACAGTTGAATTGAAACAACCGCATGAAATCGTTAGTTTAGTCGGAACGATTGATCGCGATGCACAGCATATTCATGGTTCATTTTCCGATGGCAAAGGCAACGTGATCGGTGGACACGTTTTGGATGGCCATCCAATGACTGTTTACACAACAGTAGAAATTATGTTAGCAGAATGCGAAGATGTGACTTTTTCTCGAGAAATGGATGAAGAAAGTGGCTATCCTGAATTAGTCATTAAAAAGAATGCTTGACTAGATAAAGCAATGTTTCTTTCAAAGACTTATTTCTTTTAGATACATGTTAAAATGACATCGACAGAAAAAATTTCAACAACACATAACGAAACAGGAGCATTCCCTGTAAGTAGACATTCATTTAGTTCTACTACTACTATCATTCAACCTTTTGTCTAATCATAGTCATTTCGTTCGATGAATGATGGTGATACACCGAATGAACAGTATCGATTTGATTCAACTCCACCTATACATTCTTCTCATTTTCAAAACGTACTTTTATCTTCATCCTCATCGCCAAGCGTTCTTCGAAATCCGTCACCACCGCCTGCTGATGATCTCACTCGAGCAGATATGGTGGGAGATGAAATGTACTCTAAATCGTGGTTCTGTCAAGTACTTCTCAAATTAATCAACGTAAGAGTCGCATTCCGATTTCATTGAAATCAATCTCGTATTTTAGTTCGTTGCACCTGAACAATTACAAGATGAAATCTTTGCAAACATTCGACAACAAGGTGATAATTTTCTAACGACTAATTCTCATAAGAAACAAGAATTAGATGAAGCATTCGAGTCTGAACTATGCGAATTATGGGATGTTAGTATGAGTGCTGATGTTGCACATCTGTTAATTGAATTCAATTCACTCGATTTGTTCAATGTTGTTCTCATCGAATGCAAAGACAAACGCTGTACGGAGATTGTTCTTGGCATTCTATCCAATCTGGCATGTTGTAAACGTAATCTCTCATCGACGAATCAAATGAAAAGTGTTGCTCAATGTATTATCGAACATTCGAATCTATTTTCAACGATTCTCTCTATTTTAACAAGCGATGATTATTCCGATTGTCCAACGCTCGTTCAACTATTTCGGTTAATCTACACGCTCTTAGTTCGACAGGATACGCGTTACTTTATGATCGAGCATATTCAATTAACCTTTGAACCTTTATGTTTCATTTTACAATCGTGTTGTAATAAAGAATTATTAGAACAATGTAGCTGTTTACTACGTGTTTTATTAGATGAATGTAATTTATTCGATACTAATGAACAAAATGAAGCTGCTTATCTAGTCTTAACATCGATGACGACGGCAATTAGCGCTTCACTGGAAAATGAAACGTTCACAATCAATTCTATCCTAGAAAATCTTTTCAACTGTTTACAAATCTATACCACACATGAACATTGCTCACAAATGTTAAACGATCACTGTCAAATAATTATGAAATTAGTTGAAACAACGTTGAAATTCTTAGTTCATGATGATATTGTACAAATTCACGGCGTGTTGTTACTATCATGTATATCGATATGTAACTTTTTCATTTATAAAACGGGATTGAAGATGGTTACTAAAGAACTATTGGAATATTTCCTCATCATCGGACATGCGTGTTACAAAGAAAAACAAAGAGACGATCATCGTAAACACGCTATGCGTCGTCAACGGTCGCGAACCCATTCGCATTCATCGAATAAGAGAAAGGACATGGATATCACTGGCAAGGCAAGTTCGAATAATGACAATGAAGTTTTATCAAAAAGTGACAATCCATTAACCAATATTGAGTGGGAAGAAGATGCTGATATCGAGCAAACAAATAATGAAGATTTGACTGGTGCGTCTTATGCACTTGTCGACGAAATATTTCTCATACTTTTTCATCATGGTCTTCGGCAAGAAACATCAGTATTTACACAATTGAATCAAGATCAACGTGAACTTTTTCGAAAATTAATCAAACATTTCTGTAATATAGAAAAACGACTCGATCAAATGTTGAATTTGTAAACGACATGAATCATTCCTCTTGTGCGTATTTGTCATTTGACTTATTGTAAAAATAAAGTAAAACATGTCATTTCTTCTTTTCTAAAAAAACCACACTATCCTCGTTTTTTGCCTATTTTATTTCACGATTTGAAATCACAGAAAATCGTCGAGTACCAAAAATCGGTGCTATAGATATACGTGGATTGTCATTGTCCACGGTATCAATATCAACGTCAGTTTCTTCGTTATATTCTTTTAACATTCGCCGTAGTTTTCCTTCTCGCAAATGTCTCGCATATTCAGCATTCATTTTCGTAATTGAATCTAGGATTAACTTCCAGCCAGTAACAAATAAAAACAAAGCCATCAAAACTTGAACAAGATCATCCAAATGTGCGAACTTATTCAAAAACGTCACACGATCCCAAAACAACAATGGAAAAGCCATAATTAACCCGATCAACGAGTTCAATGCATCAGCCATCAACGCTGTTGATTTAATTTGTTTACTAAGAAAAATTTTTATAATCGATAATAATGTAAAGACAACAATGTGAACTAATGAGTAGGTAAAGACAACAAGATCAGGACGAACGGATTTAGCTAGGATCATATTTTGAATTGATCGTGATTCAATAGCAAGAAATGAACCAATGAACAATGCTCCGATAACACAACAAGCTAATCGATCACGACGATGCATATCGGCAACCTTCTGTGCTGTTAAATGCCATCCAACGAAAGCTGTGCATATCGAATCCATCAATGTATCTACTGAATACGAAAAGCCGACGAATGTTTTCGATCGAATACAATTAATGAATGCTGTTAGACCAAGACCAATATCTAAAAGGAATGAAACTACGCAGCACCAAAAGGCGACACGACGAAACCGTTGGAAATGAATAAAACTGTGCGAATCGGTATGCAACATCCGACCACCTTGAGCACTATACTGCCGTGATGCTTTCTGTGGTGCAGCCAGAACAGTTAAAATTTCATTGTAATTCGATGATGTTGATGGACTATGTACACGACTTCTGAAAGCTAACGATTCATTTCCTACTGATTGTCTTAGTGAATTTGAAACAGACGGCGTCAATAAAGAATTTTGAACGTTTCTATTCGAACATCCACTATCACTAATTCCTGGTTCAGTGCCATTTTCTGATGCCATGCAATACACTGCTCACTAATGATTGTTTCAGATTTTGATGTTTCGTATGCGTGCATAACCGTACATTTATCTTTCAGATTCTAATCGAGCAAATCGATGAACCGAAACCCACTCTTCTCGTTCGTCCTCCCATGCTTACATACATTCACAAATACACATCACTATACATTAAATGCATATATTAAGATAAACAGAAGAAAAAAATTGCGGACAGATTTTTCGCTTCAGTCCGCGTTATGACATCGAGATGAAATATGGAAAACGAAAGCAAAGATACTTGTTTTTACAAAGTTTTAGCCAATAGTTGACAACGATCATGTTCGCCAGCTAAACTCGCTAAACGCTTTTGGTCGTATTTTGCATAGATGATTTCATCATAGATTTGAAAGCCTTGTTTACGAAATGCTTTCGAAGAATAGAGACTTGTCGCTTCGGAAAACGCACCGGTTAAATGCAATACTGTTTTAGCATGTTGTATACTCGCATGAATCAATTTCTCTGTTAAACGCAAACCACGATAGTGTGCATTGATAGCAATAATGACGACATGTAATAAACGATTAGTTTTCAGTTGATCGAATAAATCGATGTTTTGATGTACATCTTTGAGAACAGTCAAGATATAACGTAACTTTTCCGAATGGAATTTCTCAATATTGAATTGATCGTTGTCTTCCGAGCTCGAGTATGGTAATCGTTGCTTGATGATGTTTAGTATGACACCAATGACTTTCTCTGTTTGAACATCGACGGCAACGAATGAGCATTGATCTTGTATGGCAAGAGATACGATTAATTCAGTGAATTGAATGGGTTCGTGAGGTATCTCGAATGCTAAGCACTTGTTTAATGGCTCATCACGGAAAAACGTATCGACAACTAAATCGTATACCTCTTTTCGATGTGCATCAGTCATGAGACACAGCGCAATCTCTGGAGGTTTCATCCATGTTGCTGACATCGGTGGCGTTGACGGACATGATGATGATGACGATGAGAAATCAATATCATCAGTTGGCAAAGTAAAATATCGTTCATTGAAATGCTTTTTAAATAACGAAGAATGCATTGCTCCGGCCGCTGTCGAGAACTTCAACTGAAAATAATGCTCTTTATATATGGAGAAAAGCGTGTGTTCTATCAAATGAAGAGAATCAATAGAATCTCCAGGCTCTCTATTTTCCTAGATAGGGAGGAAAGAGTAATCGTAATTTTCTCAACGGAAATCAACTGAAGAGATAGCGCAACAAACATGCGTATCGCACTGTGATTTCTTTGCGTCGATTAAGTATATGACGAGAAGGAAACAAAGGCAATGTCGCATATCTATTCTTTGTCTCGCATTCAAACAGTTAATATTGCATTTCTATGCCTAGATTATGAATAGAATAAAAGACTTCGTTGGTTTGATTCGATCGAGGACTAGAAGTATAAATATACTTTTCCAAGGAAAATAATAACATCCTAAACAATCACAGTACTGTTCAAATAGAGAGCGACGGCGTGATGGCTTTGTTGGTACCGAAAGGGAAAGAATGTAATTTCTTTTTTTTTCTCGACATGTTCATAAAAATCTTTTCTATAGAAAAAAAAATACATAAGAAAAACGAACATGAGAAAAAAGATAAAGCAAATCGAAAGAAAAGAAAACAGAAAAGAAGAAGAAGAAGAAGCAGCGTTTTATTTATTCAGAACTATGAAATAAGAAGGAAATAAACGAATAGTGGATAGATAATGTTCGAATAGCACAGATCGTTTTTCTCTTTCTGCAATGAATATATATATATGTATAGAGAGGGAAAGGTGGACACTTGCCTAGAAACTATTTGTAAACAAATGTACTCAAATCAACTATGAAAAGGACAGGGGAATGAATATGTATGTAGATGTAGGAAACAGTACCACTTCTGATTTGTTTTTTTTTCTCTTCTCAAGTTCATTTCGCACGTCCAAAGCACCTTGACTAATCATAAGAGAGAACAACACGAGTAGTTGAGCATGCGTATACACACACAGACAATATAACAAAGCTACTCAGTTGAATGATAATTCAAAACAAGGCAAAAAGAAAGAAAATATAAAAAAAAAGAGAGAAAGAAAAGACAGAAGAAAGAATTCTCTAGCATATATGCATATAAATAAGAGAAGATTGTTCGATGGTTTTGTTCTCAAGAGAAATACAGTTTCGATTTGCGTTTTTGATTTAGACAACTTCGATATGCCATGGAGAACCTGGAATATGTTGATCACCCCACTTTACAATCAACATATATTCGCCCTTTTCTCGGACAGTCTAAATTACCGAAAAGCAAATCTAGACAACGAATAAAATATGAATATCAGCTTACATATTGAACATTATATTGATTATTCCCAATGTGTTTAATGAACACTTCTTCGCAGGGAGCTTTCGGGCCGAATACACCGACCATTAACATTGCATTACCTTAATGAAAATCAAATAGAACTCGATATTCGACTGTAAGATTAATTGGAAGGAACTTACCACCATCACGTGTGTCAACTGTGAATGTTGCTTTTTCATTTCGATATGCACGTGATAGACCATCTCCGGCTGCTCGCACACGACTGGCGTCAACGACTGCATAGTTATTATTTCGTGAACTTGATGAATAAGATGTCGTTTTTTCGATAGTATCGTATTTTGTATGAGAAGTAATGTTTCCTTGAGATCGTTGAACGTACGATGACGAAGATGTTGTCATTGTAGTCAAGCCACCATCTACACCAGCATTTCCACTACTGCGAATTGTACTCGTACCACCACCTGAATCAAAATTCAATAAGTTTCTACAGAAATATATTGTTGATAATTTTCTTTACCTCCAACTGTACATTTGAATGGACTACCAGCAATGTTAGTACCAGCAAATTTAATTGAAATAAGATAATCACCCGGTGCGGTCGGCGTAAACGTGACACGATAGCCTGAAAAGATATGAATTGATTTAGAATGACGAAGACGAATTCTTTGCACACAATCATCTACCTTCAGCTACTTCTCGACAATCGAGTTGAACTTTTGATGGTCCATCCACTGTCACAGCTAACGCTCCAGCACCAGCATTAGTTGTGTCAATCAAAAACTCACAAGGTTCACCTAAATGACATATCTCAGCAATCAAATAGCACATATCGATGAATAACATACCAGTTTCTCCTTGATATAAACCGGAGCCAGAAGCAAATACTCGACCTGGATCAGCATTGGCTTGGCCGACAACAACACGAAACGGTGAATCCGGTATGTCGCGTCCGTTAAAACGCACGTGTATCCAATGAATACCGTTTTCTTTTGGAATAAATTGAATAGCATAGTGATCGTGTTCGATTTCTTGAACAACACACGATTCTTCAGCTCCGCTGGGCGCAGTGACGCGTGCATCAACACGACCGCGTGCACCATTGACATTTACTGAAAACGTATATTGACGATTGATTTCTAATCCTTTGGTTTTGAGACTATGTATGGTTAATTTTCTTGCGTCACCAAATGGTGGGACGATCGATACATTGAACGGTGAATCAGGAATATGCTGATCATTGAATTTAATTGAAATTTGATATTCGCCTGCTTCGGGACATACATAGGAAACTCCACATGAGCCGTCTTTACGGTCGAAGAAGTCGATTTCAGCTTTGGCTGGACCTTCAACAGCAATAGCTAAACCACCCGCACCCGCTTCACGCGTGTAAATATTGAATTCATCTGAAATGAATTCACGTCGATGAAGCATATCATGTTAACAAAAAACGAACGTACTTGTAGCGTTGACTTCGCCACGTTGTAGACCACTACCACTAGCACGAACTTTGTGAGCACCACCACCTTGAAGTGGACCAACAGTGAATTCTGAAGAAAAATAAATTATATGATTAGTATTAAATGAGCTTTGATCTTTGTGATTTGCTATTTACCAAAAGGACTACCAGGAATATGAATATCTTTGTGCTTCACACTAACTGTATGAACACCCATTTCTTTCGGAACAAATCTGATTGAATAGTTATAATCTCCAACATCGCTAGAATAAATTAGCTCATGTTTGATAGAGTGACCATTTACTATAAAGACTTACTTAATTTCACAGTTTTCTAAACGTCCAGATGGGCTTGTTACATAGGCGCTCATATCAAACGGTGATGTACCTAACAAATTGATAAACAATTCAAATCTTGTACAATCAAAGTATAAAAATTGTACCAGGAATCTTCAATGACAATTCACATTGACTTCCGATATGTGTAATATCGGCAGCACGACGTTCGCGTGTGATACTTTCACGTAATCGATTTGAACTTTGACCGCCAACATTGACTGTGAATGGACTTCCTAAAGTAGAAAATGATCGTTTTTATATACAAAATATTTACTATTCATTCGCACGAACTAACCAGGGACGTGTTTATCAGCAAATTTGACATTGACAATATAAATTCCAGGTTCGGTTGGTTTGAACGTGACGAGACATGAACCATCTTCATTATCGTGACATTCAATATCCGCTTTGGATGGCCCTTCGATCGAAAGCGATAATCCACCGTAACCTATGCGAATAGACGAAAATAACTTTCCCGATTTTCAATGTACTTCGCTATGCTACTAACCAGCATCACGTGTAATAACAGTAAATTCATTTGTTTGATTAGCATAACCTAAATGATAGTTTTTTTTAATCATCAATCTATTCTTCGAACTATACCATTACCTTCTTGTAAACCTCGTCCAAATACTTTAACTTTACTAGCATCTCCAATTTCGGATGAGCCAACATGAATACGAAACGGGCTGTTTTTAATATGCTTTCCTTCTCGGTAGACATTCACTAAATGGTCACCAACTTCTCTTGGGATAAACGATATTCCAAGACTTCCATTGGGCAGTTTTTTCAATAGGCATGGTTCTTCTACCCCACTGGGCGATCGAATCGTAGCAGTTAAGTCATGTATATCATATTCAGTGACGCGTAAACTAATTTCACTTTGGCTGCCAACCATAACTTGTGATTGTCGTTGTTTTTCGACTGCCGGTGGAACGCCAGTGACTTTCGCAGTGAACGGCGAACCAACGATATGTTTGTCAGCGAATTTAACTGTAATGGTATATTCGCCTGGTGCAGTCTTCAAAGTAACGTTAATATTAAGAAGATCTCTTGAATCTATTAAACTATTTCAACTTACCGGCCAGTATGTGACATCACATGTTCCATCTTTGTTATCTTTACATTGGATTTCCGCTTTCGAACTGCCTTCCACAGCAACGGAAAGACCACCAGAACCAGCATCTTTAGTCACAATACGAAAGTTACATGGTTCATCGCAGACACCATGACTAAGACCGGGCCCGTATGCAGTAACATAACCAGTTTGGACTTTGTCGACATGAAATTTGAATGGAGAGCCGGCAATTGGCTGTCCTTGATAGAAAACATCGAGTTCATGCAAACCAATCTCCGATGGTTGATATTTGATCGAAACAGTTCCATCTTGATTGTCATCAATAATTGGGGTATGAAATTTGCCGTTGGGTGTTCGAATTAATGCTAAAAAAACAGGTTTTCAAACATATATTTACATATGACAATCTAATAGTTATGTGATAAAATTTCTTTCAAATCTACTTGTGAATAGTACTTCTCATCCCATTATTCCATAAAATAAAATTCTTCTCATAGCGAGCGAGTGTCAAGAGAGAGTCAGAAAAGGAAAGCAAGATTTGTTTTGTAACATCATACCGGTTATATCACCAATCTGACCTCCACCAACTGGTAGGCGAAAATCAACGGGACGATATTGAGTTGTTGTCGTTGTCGTCGTGGTTGTTACAGTTTCTGTTGTTTGAGTACGGTTGTATTTACTAGAATCACCAGCCTTTTGAGGAAAAAAAAAGAAAAGAATCGTAAACAAATGAATTCTATTCAAAGATCGTTTTGGGTGATCAAGAAGAAGCAGAATGGTGCTTGAAATGTGAAGTGAAAGACAATAACTATATTGAACTCGCAATTGTTTCTAGATACGATCGATATTCCTTTTCTTCTCTCTCGCTAATCTTTTTTTTATCGATACTTTCATTCTGTAATCTTAAACGATTTATGAATTTGCTTGACACATATGTGAGATAATTGAATTTAAATATTCGCATACCTCGAGATCGTCTGCACCCTAGAAGAAGGCGAAAAAGAAGGATCATATAAATCAAATAATGAACCATAGTTCGGCATGGATGTATGCACGTACACTTCGCTAAACTATGTTCATCGAGGACGAAGAAATCAAAATTGGAGAATAGATTTCATTACAAACATTCATATTCATAGGGAAAGTATTTTTTAAGTAGGAAGAGAAAGATCGATTTGGATGTCAACATACCGTGACGATGAAATCACCACCTGGAACATCTTGTCCACCAAATTTAATTTTGACAACATAATTTCCGGGATTATGTGGAGTGTAGTATACATTGAATGTTCCATCTTCGTTATCGACAATATCAATATCAAGATCACTGCCGGCAGTCGAACGAATACGACATGTTACCGCGCCTGGACCAGCGTCATGCGTATCGACAGTAATCGTATATTCTTCACCCACTTGGACACTAGAATTGGTGCCACTGCCTGTAAGAAAGAGCAAAACTAATGATCGACAAAAAAAACAGCTAATCTCTTTACCAGAAAGGTGGCATTTAGTTGGATCTCCAGTCGGCTCCACTTTTACGTTGAACGGAGAATTAAGAACCGGAATACCGCCATAATTGACATTAATTATATATCGACCGACATCATTTGGTTTATAGATAACTTTGTATGTGCCGTCTTTATTATCGATTAATTTCGAAGAAACTAAAACGCCTTCGGGATTCTAAAAGCAGAAGTGAAATCATGAGTAAGTATGATGGCTATTCTCTTTACCTTTATCGAAACTTCGGGTTGTTCGAGACCAGCTTCACTTGTGTCAATACGAAAAGAAGTTTCAAGTGAAGCAGGAATACCGTTACGAATACCGGGTCCGTCAACAACGACTTTCTGTGGTTCAAAACTCGGCAGAACTTGAACGTTAAATGGACTAGTGAAATTTAAAGCACAGTTAATTCCCACTGTTTCTTGAAAGTCAATCAATATACATACCTTTGACGTACTGGTTTATCACTCCAGTTGATATCAATACGATGTGGACCTTCGGTTTGAGGAGTAAACTCAGCTACGTAGACACCTTCCCCTCTTGGTCGAATGCTAGCTGGTTTGCGTCGGCCTGTAGTACAAAACAAAAGAGAATTGTGTGTGCCCTTATCGAATGGAACAGGTTGGAAGAGGGGAGGAGAAGAGCGAGAGAGAAAGAAAGGAGAAAGTGGAAGAAAAAAGAAAAGATGTTATGTTTGCTGCTTAGATCGAAAATCAACTTCATATGTGAAAATGAAGAAGAGAAGAAATAAAAATACTATATGTGATATTGTTCATTTGAATCGCGAGAAGAGATGAATAGCAATTTAAGCTTCTCAAGTTGTTCTCATATGTCGAATTACCTTATCAGAGAATATAAAAAGCGAGTCAGAGAGGAAAGATTTATCATCGTTTCAATTGAACAAAAATCGATGAAGGTTGAGAACCTTTTTGGCACGCGCACACGTACTTCTCAATACATATATGTATATATAGATGAAATATAAAAGCAAACNACCGTGCCATCTTGATTGTCGTCAATAATTGGAGTATGAAATTTGCCGTTGGGTGTTCGAATTAATGCTAAAAAAAAGAGGTATTCAAACGTATAGTTACATATGACAATCTAATAGTTATATGATAAAATTTCTTTCGAATCTACTTGTGAATAGTACTTCTCATTCCATTATTCCATAAAATGAAATTCTTCTTATAGCGAGCAAGTGTCAAGATAGAGAAACAAAAGTTTGTTTTGTAACATCATACCGGTTATATCACCAATTTGACCTCCACCAACTGGTAGACGAAAATCAACGGGACGATATTGAGTTGTTGTCGTTGTCGTCGTGCTTGTTACAGTTTCTGTTGTTTGAGTACGATTGTATTTACTGGAATCGCCAGCCTTTTCAGAAAAAAAAAGACAAGAATCGTAAATAAATGAATTCTATTCAAAGATCGTTTGGGTGATCAAGAAGAAGCAGAATGGTGCTTGAAATGTGAAGTGAAAGACAATAACTATATTGAACTCGCAATTGTTTCTAGATACGATCGATATTCCTTTTCTTCTCTCTCGTTAATCTTTTTTTTATCGATACTTTCATTCTGTAATCTTAAACGATTTATGAATTTGCTTGACATATATGTGAGATAATTGAATTTAAATATTCGCATACCCCGAAATCGTCTGCACCCTAGAAGAAGGCGAAAAAGAAGGATCATATAAATCAAATAATGAACCATAATTCGGCATGGATATATGCACGTACACTTCGCTAATCTATGTTCATCGAGGACGAAGAAATCAAAATCGAAGCATAGCTTTCATTACAAACATTCATATTCATAGGGAGCGGTTTTTTGAGAAGGAAAGAAAAGATCGATTTGGATGTTCACATACCGTGACGATGAAATCACCGCCTGGAACATCTTGTCCACCGAATTTGATTTTGACAACATAATTTCCTGGATTATGTGGAGTGTAGTATACATTGAATGTTCCATCTTCGTTATCGACAATATCGATATCAAGATCGCTGCCGGCAGTCGAACGAATACGACATGTTACCGCACCTGGGCCAGCGTCATGTGTATCGACAGTAATCGTATATTCTTCACCCACTTGGACGCTAGAATTGGTGCCACTGCCTGTAGGAAAGAGCAAAACTAATGATCGGCAAAAAGAGAATAGCTGATTTCTTTACCAGAAAGGTGGCATTTAGTTGGATCTCCAGTTGGCTCCACTTTTACGTTGAACGGAGAATTAAGAACCGGAATACCGCCATAATTGACATTGATTATATATCGACCGACATCATTTGGTTTGTAGATAACTTTATATGTACCGTCTTTGTTATCGATTAATTTCGAAGAAACTAATACGCCTTCGGGATTCTAAAAGCAGAAGCGAAATCATGGATAAACATGATGATTATTCTCTTTACCTTGATCGAAACGTCAGGTTGTTCGAGACCAGCTTCACGTGTGTTAATACGAAAAGAAGTTTCAAGTGAAGCAGGAATACCGTTACGAATACCGGGTCCGTCAACAATAACTTTCTGTGGTTCAAAACTCGGCAGAACTTGAACGTTAAATGGACTAGAGAAATTCAAAGCACAGTTAATTCCCACCGTTTCTCGCAATGCAATCAATACACATACCTTTCACGTACTGGTTTATCACTCCAGTTGATATCAATACGATGTGGACCTTCGGTTTGAGGAGTAAACTCGGCTACGTAAACACCTTCTCCTCTTGGTCGAATGCTAGCTGGTTTGCGTCGGCCTGTTGTACAAAACAAGAGAGAATTGTGTATGCCCTTATCGAATGGAACAGGTTGGAAGAGAGGAGGGGAAGAGCGATAGAGAAAGAAAGGAGAAAGTGAAAGAAAAAAAAGAAAAGATGTTATGTTTGCTGCTTAGATCGAAAATCAACTTCATATGTGAAAATGAAGAAGAGAAGAAATAAAAATACTATATATGATATTGCTCATTTGAATCGCGAGAAGAGATGAATAGCAATTTAAGCTTCTCAAGTTGTTCTCATATGTCGAATTACCTTATCAGAGAATATAAAAAGCGAGTCAGAGAGGAAAGATTTATCATCGTTTCAATTGAACAAAAATCGATGAAGGTTGAGAACCTTTTTGGCACGCGCACACGTACTTCTCAATACATATATGTATATATAGATGAAATATAAAAGCAAACGATGAAGAAGAAAAGGTTAATGAAACTCGATTAGATTGTAATGGTAGCACTGTCCGTCCTTCATTGCCTTGGCATTGCTTTTGCCTTCCTTTGCACTTTTTCTGGCTTCAATACATATATGTATACACACTCACATCGATGTTCTTTACATCTTTACCTTTCAATCAATCGATTTTTTAACAATGTTGTTTTCCTTTATCGTCTTCATTCGATTACTTTCTTTTTCTTTTCGATTCAAAATCGATATAAACGTTAAATTGATTCAAATATGCAATTCTATAAATAGCTTCTCTTCGTCATAAATAAATACATTTTTAAATAAATATACATATGCATTTATGACTGTTAATGAGCAAGGTAAACTAGAGTTCTTCTGCTCTCGAAAAGAAGAAGAATTTGGAATGGTGAAGGCTTACCGTGCGAATCAGTGATGTCAATGGATGGATTACCAGGTCCGGCTGTTTGACCATCGATAACGATTTCTTGTAAGGTGTTCGCACGCATAGTGGAACTCATTTTCACATTAACATGACTAGCATCAAGTCGATCACGTACATTGACATGAAACGGTGAGCCTGTATAATTAAAAAAGATGAGAAGTTTGATAAACACTGAGCACTTTTATCATGTGCAAACAAATGACACTTACCTGGTACATGTTGTTCAGCAAATTTAATTGCTATATCATATTGACCGGCTTTTGTCTAGATTAAAAATAGAAAGTCAAAACATGAAAAAACCTTGCATTTGTTTGTCTTCATCTCTTACAGGTAAATATTCCATAATGCATGTACCGTCTTGATTATCTTTGCAGATCATTTTCGCTTCCGATGGCCCTTCGATAGCTAGGCCGAGACTTCCTTGACCAGCGCCTTTGGTTTCAATTGTAAATGTTGTCGGTTCGTTTGTTGTTGCACCTTCGAGGCCCGGTCCATAGGCACGTACACGTGCGGCATCATAACCGGATGCAGCATTGACACGAAATGGACTGCCTGGAACAGGAACATTCTCGTACGTTACATCCAATTGATGCATGCCTACGAGATAATATATAAATGAATGACAGGGAATTTCTCTGGCTGAATGGCTAACCTGGTTCATATGGGGCATACTGTACTTGATAAGTTCCATTTGACATGTTTTTCACTGGACATCGAACAGGTCGACCACTGGGTGATGTTAATAGACATTCAACACGACCTGTACCACTGCTAGTCACGGATTTAGCATCAACAGTAAACTCCGTTGGACTTTCGAGAAAAACGCCTAAAGGAAAATCAAGAATGTATATCATCATTGAAAACAAGTCTAATTCAGAAAGAAATAAATAAAATACGAAGCGTCCCAACATGCACCTATTTCCGAAATACAGTCCATCACCGAATAGAATATGATATATTCTTACAAGGATTTTTGAATAATATCGATTAGTAGTAATTTTAAAAAGATCTAAAAGGGTTTTCTGAGGGTCATATATACATCGATCTAGAAGAATATTGTTTTTCCTTGTTCATTAGGTTTCAACGTGCAGGTCTTTCGAATAAAACCACGTCACATAAATCGTACAAGAGAGAGAGAGGCAGAGAAAGTAAAAGCAATGATAGTTCATGCAGGCGAGATAAGACAAGACATGCGGGTTTTGATGGTTAAATATATGGTTGTTGTACTCGTTAAGTACACACCGTTTGTATCAAGACCAGGACCATAACAGCGTATGCTACGCGTATCAAGATCCGGTCGTACAGCAGCATGAAATGGTGAACCAGCGATGTGTTTTCCTTCGTATAAGATATTGATATTGTAATTACCAGGGGCTGTATTTCATAAGATACGATGAAAAGTCATTAAAATAAGACGATTGAAAAAAAAAGCTACCTGTCGGATGGTACGTAACACGACAACTACCATCGTTATTATCTTGATAGTCAATTTTGGATTCTGAAGGCCCTTCAACTGTGACGCCAAGCTGACCGTTACCGGCACCACGTGTGTCAACAGTAAAATCAGCTGGTTTATTGACAGTACCTTGGGATAGACCGGGCCCATAGGCACGTACTTTACTTGCATCAAGCGGCTCAATAGCTGTAACTTGTGCTGGACGTACCGGTATTGTATACACATCTGGTTCAATGACGTAAGTGCCCGGTTCAGGCACATTGAAACGAAGATTATAACCTTGTGGAGCTGGTGTAATAATTGCATCCTGAGCGTTGCCGGAAGGTCCGACTACGCGCGCACGAATAGCATTTGCTGGTATTGGACCAGCTGCTATCGTATTCAATGTTACCTGCGCAGGCTGTCCAACGGTGGGTGCTATGATTGGGGAAAAGAGAGATAGAACGTTTGTAAGAGGAAAAAAATGCTTGAAAAAAACAGATGCAGCTACATAGAGCGAAGGCAACTCGATCTAATCAACTTTTAAACTTCGAAGAACATGAAGAACTTACGTGTTTCGAGGCCTTCGATACGTATTTTACTGACATCAACGGTTGGTTCGACATTAACTTTGAGTGGTGATATAGGTATTTCATTATCGCTGAATAGAACACTAATGCAATGAACTCCAGGTGATTTTGGCGTATAGTCTATTTTAAATGTTCCATCTTGTCTGTCATCGATTGTAAATGGAAGATCTTGATTTTTAGCATCGGTTAAAGCAATTGAGATATCTCCTGAAACGAAGAAATCAATTAGACGATTAGTTCTACGCATTCATTTTCCTATAGCATGAAAATCTAATCGAAAAAGTTTATTAATCAAATACGCAAGCAAGCAAGCAGTTAAACTAGGACAAGCAAAATGCATCTACCAAACAACAGCAACATTCACAAGTGTTACGCGTGCTTTCGGTCTGTATGTAGCATGTAATCCATGATGTTTATCATCATTTTGTATCGCTAATGCATACTGTTGTTGATTATCTAGATCTTGAATATTGATCTTGTATGGAATGATATCGTTGTCACACGTGTCAATATCGAGAGAATCAAGTGAGCGAAAACGATGGTTGAATTTAGTAGGAATGACTAAGAAGAGCATGCAAAGAAGAGTTTATTAATCATGCATTTGTTAGTAAGTGACAAAGAAAGAGCATGAAAAGCAGAATCAAAACGAAAAAATGCAATCCTGTTACTAACCTGGTCCAGCTTCCTTACAGTCAACAGTAAAATGAGTTGGATTATTCATTTTTACGCCACGCTCAACACCTGGACCATAAACACGTACCTTCGATGGATTCGAAGGTTCAGTAGGCCAAACCTATATGATATATAAATTAGCAATAACAAAAGAAATGGGAAAAGGAGTTCTGTACTCTAAATGGACTGTTTGGAATAGCTACACCACCATAATCAATAAGAATACAATGACGATTGGGATTTGTCGGTGTATAGCGACATGTATAAGTGCCGTTACCATTATCGCGTACATGAACATCAACTGGCTGATAGTCTTGATCGATAGCTTGTACATGTAAAGGAGCATCGCCGGCATTGTGTGTATCAACAGTAAACTCTGTTGGCTTATTGATTATCTGTCCGGCTGGTTCAAGACCAGGACCGTAAGCTTTGACCTAAGCAACAATTAGTATTTAGTGATATTTTCATTGGCTAGTGCTACTTTATTCGAATCGAAGCTTCCAGGTGGTTCAATCCAAGCCATGAATGGTGAATGTGGTATATCTTCATCATTACATAAAATATGTACTGCATATTCACCTGGAATGGTTGGCCAATAACGAACGTTTGCTGAACCATCACCATTATCATTACATTCAATACGTGCTTGAGATGGTCCTTCGATTGAAAAACCTGGCAAAAAAAGGAAAAATCAACAGTCGAATATGCTGATGAAAACAGAAGAAAATGAAAGTCAAATGCAATCCGTGCATCATTCTCTGAGACCATGGGTAATATTCATGTCAAACACACACTTACTAATATCGCCTAAGAAATTAGTTTAAAAATGAATTTCAATAAAGATCACTGTCAATGATCGAACATTTATCTTACATACCTAATGAACCTGTTTCACCATTCGTTTCAACAACGAAATCTGCTGCACAACCGACAATACCACCTTCGAGACCTGGTCCGAATGCTTTAATTCGTGTATCTTTAAATGGTGCGACCGATACAGGAAACGGACTCTTAGGTATATGAGCACCACCATATGTAATATTCACTGTATGAGGCCCTGCACGATTTGGTACATAACCGCACTCGTACGTTGTACTATTTACTTTAGTAACACGACAGGGTATTTCCGAACCATCTAGATAAAATTCGTCGTTTATTAATCAATTCGGCGGCACATGACTATTACCTGGTCCAGTGACAGTTGCTTTCATAACGCCTTCTCCAGCATCTTTGGTAATAACACGAAATTCTGCTACATCACCAGTGCGAACACCTTTTGGTTGAATACCTCTTCCATAGGCCCGACATTTCTTGGCATCAGATGCTGTAGAACGAGGAAGAAAAGAGAAACGAATATTAACATACATGCTTATGATATTCAAAAAACTACTATCCAATCACCATTTTAAGAGAAAAAAAATATCAGTAAAACATTCCGACTGAATCCCCAACTACAAAAAAAAAATTGCACACAAACCCTTCTGATATTTATACGTCGATGCAATATCGAAATTCATAGAACTCTTTGGTTTTTTAAATTCCATAGACGAATGGTAGCTCTCATCGTTTCTTGAATATTTTTCTCCTCTCTCAATCGATGAGAAACGTGATTTTACTAGAGACAAGTTATTTCGACGTTTTCGCGAATGTTTCATACATAACGAATCGAGAAGTTCTACTTACATGGGGAGACGTTGACACCAAATGGACTACGTGGTATAGGCCGGTCAGCAAAGAATACATTGACTGAATGAAGACCAGGCTCGCGTGGTACATATTCGCAACGGAATTTGCCTGGACTTGTTTGTTTGACTGATACAGGAACGGCGTTCTCTCGATTATGTGGATCGACAACAGCCACTTCTGCAAGACCATTACCAGCATCTGGGAATCAGTGATACATTGATAGAATTCTTTTCAAGATAGAAAAATTATGGTAACTTACTTGTAGCATCAATTTCAAACCAGGTTGGCTTATCGACCATCACACCGTTGGGCTCCAAACCAGGTCCGCTTGCTCGACATTGACTGGCATCACCTGATTTGCCCTCGATAAAGGGTGAAAACGGAGACTTAGGTACTTCTTGTCCGGCAAACTTTACGATAACCTATTGCAAATTCGAACGATATAAACACTTTTCCCGTTATTTTCTTTGAAATATCAATTACTTTATATTGTCCTTCCAACGTTGGATAATATGTGCAATCATATGTTTGATTTTTATCATTTCGAGGAATCACATCGCACTAAACGGAAGAATATATGTTGACTAGTTTGTAACAAAAACACTAATTTACTTTTTCTTTTTGTCCTCTTGGATTGAGCACGATCACATCGACAGTACCCTTACCAGCAGCAAACGTTTCGATATGAAACTTAGCTGGTGCATCAACATGATTACCAGTTGGTTCAATACCTAATGAGAAGACAAATGAAATAATTATTCGGAATCAGCTAGTTAGACGAACGCGAACGACAATGTATTCGTTTAATCCACTGTTCTTCAATCGTATCTTTCGATTTCTTTATATGACGCTTAAACGTATAAGATTTTGTATTACCAGCTACATCCGATGAACTCATTATTTAAAATGACTTTTCGAAAGAAGAAGAAGAAGAAGAAGGAAAAAAGGCGGTGACCATGAATGAAGAACAATGGCTAATGAAAGAGACAGAAGAAAATGGCATCAGCTGTCGGCGCTCGTCTTCTCTCTCTCTCTCGCATTCCCCTAAAGATACAAATCGTTCGATTGTACAAACCTTTGCCATAACATCGAACACGTGCTGAATTTGTTTTTGGCCGAATAGGTGCTCCTGGTTTCAGTTTAGCATTTGGATATTGTGATAAGTAAGTCATCATTGATTGTTCATCAACTTTCGGATTAATCATTTCATGTGGTTCAACTAATTGTGGCACACCTAACCATCGTTCGGCTAAATCCATCGCTTCTTTCGCATTTTCCAATGCATTCTTTGGATCACGATCATTCCAATCCGGATAAAGTCCTTTTAAAAGAAAATTTTGTCAATGCACTCAAACAGGATTATTTCTTTTTTTTCCGTTCTAATGAGGATTACGAAAGTGTATATGTGTGTACATACCGGGTGCGCATGCGTCAACGAGTGCACCAATAGCACGACCATCATTCCAGTCCGATGTAAAATTTGAAACAGGTAATTCTGGTGGTAGTTTTTCTTGCACCCAATTCATCAACTTTTGTTTGGGTGTGACATCTTTGCCCGAACCAGGTGCATCGGGTTGTTCGAATTCCCACATTGGTAACGAAATCGAATAATGTAAAATCAATGTCCATATTAAACCAAGAATAAGTTTTAATTTTCCATCAACAATATGTGAAGCATCTAAACAGACATTTTCGTTTTGAATAACAGATCGACAACATCGAGACGACCTTGCCGTTAGAAAGCTAATCTATGAGTCAGAAAATGATTGAGTAATAAAAAGTTATACGATGAACAGCTTCACGTGACGCTTCTCACAAAAGGTTTGAAAGAAAAATCGATATCAAAATGCATTTTGACGTTAATTGCATAGTCAACCACACCTTGAGGATATGTCAATTCAATCTTCGCAATAATCACTCACTTCTACACTCAATTCTGAACAATATCAATCGTGTAGTAAATAACTGCTAAGATAAAAAATTTCAAAGAACAATCGCAGGAAAGTAAGTTTTATTGCGCAGATAGTTATCTGTAGACAAATTCTGCTCTTCAAATCCTTGAGTTTTGTTGAATCGCTCGAAATCAGAACAAGAGGGTTAAGGACGATATTTTCTTGACTTTTTTTTTCTCGATCAATTTCTATCCCGAACTGATAATTATATCGCTTGTTTTTTTTTTCGTCTATTTGATTTGGTGAAACCTGAAACGTTGTGTTTTCGAACTAATGTTTCTCTTTCTTAAAATAGGTCACTATCAAACAACGAAAAACACTGATGGAAGAAAATCCAACTTACCAATATTAACAAGACGTATACGTTCAGTATTTTCCAAGAAATCTAAGACGATAGAAACATTTTCTAATTTGTGAGGACGTAAAGTTGGCCTTTTGTTATAACGTGGAACTTTCTTCTGTGATAAAACTTCAATTAATGAAATCAGATTCAATCCATCTCCTAATTCAAGCTGTAGATCATCTATATGTCGATTGAGCAATTTGAGATGTTCGTTTGCCCAACGTGTAAATGTATTTTGCTGTATTCTTTTCCATGGAGCATCATCTGCTAATTCTCGCTGCATATCTTCATAAAACTCTGTTGAGAAGAAAAATAAATGAATTCAATGTCATTGGTATTGATTGAAGATAAGATGAAATAATATGTGTTTTTCTCGTATCTCTGTTTACCTTCTTCTGTGCGTCCGAATTCGTCTTCTTCAGTAGGTTCACTGTGTTCGTTACGTTGAGGATTTTCAGGTCCGCCTCCTCCACCTGAATAGCCGTTTGCCGACTGGTTGTTCGTCGTTGACATTTTTTTTCTTTTTCTTTCTGTTCAAAAGCTTTTTTTTTCTTTTCTTCTTTAGCGACGACCCGCAATAGTAGTTGAGATGGTTGTACGTTTTCGAATCGTAGATATATGATTCACCTAGTCAATGAGAAGAAAAGGAAGAAAAACAGAACAAATGAAAATTTTTCAAAAAAAAAATTCGTTTATATGTCTCTTATTCGTGTACATGTACGTGTATGAATATGTATATTTATACACACATACACACACACACACGAAAGAAACGAACAGAATAAAAATCTTCATCACAAGCCTCTATTAAAGAAGTAGTCAACATACGTGAAACAGAGAAGAAATGAAGAGCGGAGAAACAAAGGCACTTGTGTTAAATGTGTGCACGCGGTGAAATATTTTTGATAAAAACAAAAGAGAATGACTTAAAATACGGACAAACATAAACTCATGCAATCGACAAAAATGCCATTACAATCAAGATTTCGATCGAATTCTTATGCCAATGAAGACAATGGAAAAGAAATCAAGTGACTCAAATAATCTCATTAGATTTGATCTTTTCGTCTTCTAATCAAATAACAAAAGATTAATTTGTCTTTGTGGGAATAACTATAGAAACATGACCAATGAAATAACTCATCAGGAACTACATATTTCCAAGCAAGCGACATCTCGCTATTGATTCGTACCGTATTTATCAAACGAAAACGTGACTAGTCGCCACTACAGACAAGGATCTAAGTACATGAATGTTAACTGCTCGATCAAGAAAAGGGAAATCTGACTATACGTATAATTACTAGTGTATGCTATGCTTGCAAAAATAACTATTGTAATTGCATATTCAAACTAACAGACAATTTGAATACTTTGACAATCTAAAAGAATCTACATACAATACAAAACCAAAACAACGAATCAATCTTGTTCCTCCCTTTATATGACACAGCGGAGTACTGACTCACACCTTTCTTATTCATTTTTGTAAAGATGAATTCTAATAGGTAAAACAAGTAGGTGTATTGATTCATCATTCTTATTAACTTAAACGATTTTCTTGTTAATCACGAACAACTTAAGTAAAAACGATTTATCTGATCAGTCTATAGTTATTCTCAACTAAATATCAAATGATTATGCCTTTCATCTCAATACATTCGATTCTTCCTTTGACATGGACAAATATATAATGAGCGACATTTCATCGCACGATAGTATATCAATGGTCGTTCTCCTCTCGACTTTCGACATGGCATTGTGTTGAGCACTCGATGAGTGGCATCACTAAGCTTCGATAGATTGACAATGTCAAAAAAATTAAGAGACTCAATGCAAAACTATACCTCATAAGCCAAAAATGCTGCCATCCGAACGTCATGGATATTTGTGCTAACGGTGAATTAATATAGGACAGCTGTAAAACGGTTTCATATATGTACGTATAGATGAAATTTCTTTTACTATAATATGATTAAAGATCGTATTTACTGTCTTTAGTTTTTTCTCTTTTTACCTAAGATACTCTCAAGTGTGTGCTAGTATACGAAAGATTATTCCACTTCAACTTCAAGTACACTTTTTAACCTTTTCGTCTTCTTTATGCCGACAGAGGAGGGTAGGGGGCAAGAGACACAGAAGGGAATTCCTCCTATTCATGTGTTTATACTTGCAGCATAAGTTCTCATGTGTAGTAATGTTACCTTTTTCTGTCTCGAACCGTTTGTGAATTGAACAAACGCTCTACTATGAAGTTACAATTGACGTGAAAACAAACAATAAATGTGTATTAACGCACTTAGATAAGACGAATATATGTATTTGTATGCATAGAAGATAGAATATATATTTCAAATATAGAAATATCTATGACGTGGGCAGTCTATCTGTCGCAAGAGGAGGACAAATGCCTAAAAAGAAAAACATTGAGTAGAAAAGGGCTATTTCTATGTTTTTTTTCTCTTCATTTCTAGAGATGAAAATAGAATAAGAAAAAGGAAACACCATTCCAAATAAATATGTTTCTATGCTTCGGATATCGAAGTAGAGAAGTTTCTTTTTCTCTTCTTCGTCTTTCTACTTAGCATCAGTCATTAACCTAAGGAAGAGGATCACAGAGAGACAGCGTGTAACCGAAAAGATAACCCGAGAGGCAAAACGCGCTATGTGCACGTATGGTTAAGACAAAGACAAAGACAACAACAATAACACGAACAGATAAAATACCAGTAATATCCAAGCATCGCAAGAAATTCTTCTTTTTCTTGTCTATACGTACATTATATATACAACCAAACATATGTAATAGAGAAAAAGAGAGAAGAAGAAAGATATTACATTGCTTCTACTATATACATGTGTGTGTATATATTGCTCTCTTTGTTGCGCCTACTGTACATATCTCATATTTTACAGCGGATGACTAACTGCAAATATATTACAAGAATACTAATATTTCAGCACGAGGATTGAAATGCATCTGAAAAAAAGAAACATAGACTAGAATGAAATTCGTTTTTGCTTTGAAATATTCGATGCTCCCACGAGTATGTGACATTGCTATAAGATGAAATTGGAGAGTGTGTCTATATGAATGATTATAAATTTACATATTTCTCTTCGAACAGGTGTGTATATGTTTAATAGAAATACATTGGACATGTAAGTTCTATCTGATTAGCCTGTTCTCTTCCTTTGCTTTGATCGAGTTGTTATTTCTGTTTTTTTTCTATTTATCGGACAACTTTTATTACATTAATAGTACAAGCAAACTTACAAAAAACGAATGTAATTGATATTACATAGTAAATACCATCATTAGATTCATTTATATTTCATTGATATACTTAGACGTCGAAAACGAGAGAGAGAGAGAGAGAGACGCACTGCAGGTGACACGCTGTCTTTCTTCTCGCCAATGAGATGTACATATATAGATACGTTGTTATCATTTTTGCTAATTCAATAGAAAGTTTTCTGGGGGAAAACATCTAAACAAAACTAGATACAAGAGATGATTATTGTTTTATTAGTATACCAGAAAAAGAACAAAAGTACACAAATATAGAATGAGAAGGTAATTTCAATTAATCGTCGTCTTCACTTGATGATGCTAATTGACGACGTGCCTTCTTGATTGGCCGTGATGACAATATTTCATCATCGTTGTCATCGTCATCGTCGTCGTTAAACATTGTAGAAGAATCATATTTACGACTTTGTTTTGTTAATACTGGTAACGATTCTTCTCCGTCTCCGTCATCGTCTGGTTCACCTTGTTTTTCTATGAGTTTAGGAGAGTCTTCAGCACGAGGTTTCGCTGATTTCGCATTTGAATCATTGGATTTTTCATCATGCTGTGCCGATACACTTGATTTACTACTAATCGAACGATCGTCCTTCTCCTCCTCCTCCTCTTCATCGTTGTGATCCTCATCAATATTGGGAGCATCGGAATCAGATCCAAAATGGTTTGAATCGTTGAGAAAATCTTTTTTCTTCGATCGACGGCTCGGCGCTTTTTTCCTGAAACAGGTACTTTAAAGATCGTTCAAAAATCAAATTAAAAATTTTACAATTTTAATTCTCTTGTCGATTTAATCAAATCTTGATTTTTCAATTCTTTGATAATTTGCCGTCGGGATTTGGTTTTATCTGTTAATTCCAACATAATTTGATCAACAATATCAGTTTTGTCACGACCTAAAAAGAAATTCAGAACCAGCATAATAAGAAATCATCCAACCATTGCTGTGCATACCCAGGTTTTCGGTCTGTTCGTCCTTAATCTTTCGAAACAGATCTCGTAATTCAATTTGATGTTCTACCGACCATGCAGCTGCTTTTGTTTTACTAAATTAAACACAACAATAGAGAAGATTCCTATCGAAAAAGTCTTCTCTCACGTTTCGCCACCATCTTCACGAGTTGGCTGTCGATATCCTTCGAGCATTTCTTCAACAATACTTCGATCTTTCCAGAAAAGTAATTCAGCATAGATATAGGGATTCTTTTGTGCAGCTTGAAAGAATTTACGTAACAGCCATGTACCAAATTGTGACAATTCCTACAATAACAACACTCACGTTCGCAATTGAAATCAAATGAAAAGAAAATGACCGAAAATTGTTGCGATTTGGCCATTGGATCGAGATGAAATTTTTGCAGAATACGAAATAACGACATTTGAAAAAGTATGCCAGGATAGTTACAATCGATTGTTATACGATAGAGCATACGAATCAGGCAGTGATTCAGATACGGAGTATTGCTTTTATATGTCCGAAGTACATCAATATAGGCTGACAAGATGCTTGAATGTGCAAAACTAAAATGAAAGTGTAAACTTCGTTCGAAATATGAACAATCAGTTTTTGAGAACTAATGATGTGTTGAATGTTCCGTATATGGACATTGTTTTCGTTCTTAAGAATGTTTGTTAGAGAAAAATATTCTCCGAAAGTAAACAGATAAGATATTGACAGACAAATAGTCGGAGTAACTATTCGCGATGGATCATATCAGAACTATTTTGTTTATAATATGAGAGTAATGTTTATCGAATGCTGTTTTTCTACATCTACGCTTGATTATGTCAATCAAATGATTGTTATTCTATCATTTTTATACGTACCGCATAATGAATTTTTTAAAATCGAATTCTTCTTCTCGTTCGACGGTATGCATGCATTCTTGATCATCTAAAATAAATAGATCGAGTTATATTTGAATGTTCCTGTGACCCGAGAGATAGACTTCTTTTCACCTACCCTCTTCGTGTTCACCGCCTGCCTCTTCGTTGTCATGTTCATCTTCGTCGTTTTCATCGTCCTCATCCGCATTTTTCGGTAGAAGACTCTCCATTTTCGTTGTCATGAAAATTTCTCGCAGTAAATTAAATTCTTCCTCAGCTCCAATATCTTCGTAACCGAAGGTTTTCTCCGTCGGCCAAACTTCTCTAAATATAAGATCGAAGATAATCAATTCCGTGTTCAATCCATCGAAATCAACCTTGATGCACGAAAAAGTGCGATCGCTTCGTCAATTTTATTGGTGCGTAGTGCATGTTGAATACGAGCCACAGCCGTAATACTAAATATTCGATGATTTGCTCAACGACAATCAAGAGAATCGATAACTGTCTAACCTTTGATCATCGACCGGAACATCCGAAAGTGCATCGAATGGACATATATCCGTTTTGTTTACTGTTGGTTCATCTAAACCTTGTAGTAAACGCGATAACTGTTCAGAGACTTGATTTTGCCATTCTTCTTCCAGTTGCTCATTTGGTGGTTCAGTAATTTCTAAAGCAAAGTGATTTCTGTGGCGTGTTTACATTGATCTCCTAGTTCAGTCACCATCAACTGGTACTTTCTTCTTCTTCGAACTCTTCTTTGTTGTTGGTTTGCGAGCTGTTCGACGGCGTTGAACGAAGACATGCTTTAATTTATTCGTATGCTCTTCCAATAGTTTCAGAAACTCATGAGTGCTTTCAACCAGATCATGCAGATATATGCTATACACAAAAAATAAAGGGAAATCATATAAGATGCACAGCAGATATCTTCATCGTACCTGCTCATCTTTGTATTGTCAAAATCACGGAGTAGCTGATAGATTTGTTCACGATATTCTTGCATGTAGAATATATTATCTAACAGAAGAAACGAGATCTATTTCTTCCAGCGAAATGTTTTTATGTTACTTTTGATAATCGTTGCAGCGCGCGTAACCAACTCGTCGGTACTTGCTAACATTGATTTCACACAGAGAATATATTGTTTAAAAGCTGCAAATCCGATTTGAAGTCTTAATAAACATTTGTCTGCCAGGATTTTTGTTCTAGAAAAGATTTCTACCTTTTCGCCCATAGTTTAGCTTCGGGCTTGTCGATCTTGATCATTTCCCGATAATGATCCATTTTCGTATGAAGTAAATGAAATGTACTCATTTGCAGTGTTTCACTGGAAAGAAAAAACTCAAAATATTTATCCCAGCGAAATACGAAGCGAATTCAACCTAATACGATCAATCGACGAATGTGCGTGTCGATTAAATTCTGTAAAAAATCGAACTGCCCAGAAGAAATTTGTTTCATCGCTAAGCAAACAAGTCGATTTTACGATCATTTCCTAAACAAAGATTTTTTCAAATTTCCATCATATATGAACATAAGTAGAAAGATGAATACCCTAGCACGAGGCATAAGTATATTATAGCAATTGTCTAAGAATGCCAAACAGAATTCTCGAAGAAATAATCGAATGCCTAGTGCCGAATGGTGGTGTTGAGAATCATCGAGATCATTTTTAACGGGTGCACGATGTTTCGGTCGGCGTGAACGGCGTTTCTCGCGATCGAATTCCATAGCATTCAAATTTTGTAATGGTCGATGGCAAATCAATTGATTTTCGCCAATGCCTTTCGCATTACACATAACATATGTAGCTCCACCAAATGCTGATCGACTAATGTAAAAAAGTACGATATGAAAGTATCCATGTACAACAATCTGTCGCTCACCCAGTAGTTAGTTTATTTAATTGTTGTTTCTCCGCTACTTCACGTTCATAGAGAAGATCGAGCGTTCTAAATGTATTAGTAAACATGAAACCTTTCTTCTGATCACTATGCAAACTTACTCATTGTTTTTCTGGCGTTTATTTTTCGTTTGTTGTTCGCCTGTACAAGCCAATTCTTCTGCAGACTAGACAAGGAAATTCAATTATAGCACGCAACTTTCAAACTTACTTGTTCTCGTAACATTAAAACAACAATTTCAAGAATATTCATAATACGTTCATCCCCTTGCGCTTTGTTACCACAGTACAGGATTAAATTTTCCATATTACTCTTGTGAATCGACCTGTAAATTCCCGATGATTTGCCATTCGATCAAAAGCGTCTTTTCACTTACCATAAGACAAGATCATGTGCATTGATATCACTTTCTTCTGATATTTGTCTTTCCGACTTAATCGATAGAATATTTCGCACGAGTATAAAAACGGCATGTACAATAAAATCATCGTCATCCGAGCGATCCAACCAGTCCTGAATAAAATATTCAATAATGAACAGTTACAACAGTTTCAGATCTTCGCCAACTAACTTTGTCAAGTACAGGCTGAACTTTGTCGACCAGAAATGTAAACAGTTTCTCATTGGCTAAACTCTACGAAGAGAAAATTTCGAAATCGAAATCAATTTCGTCGACAAACCGTTTTAGTTTTTTGTAAATGTGCTTCAATATTCAGATAAACATTTGTTAATGCCACATCTTTCGGTAGTTTCCCATCGAAACATACCAATGGTGGTTTGGTTAAATTCACAAGTAATCTAAATAGATTATCTGTTGAAAACCGAACGTTATGAAACTAAAAGTACTTCAAGGCATGATGCACAATTTTCAGATCATGTTTACTATTCAAATGTATCAGAATAGGTATGAGATCGTTTTCGATGATTTTTGAATCTAACATTTGTACTCGCGCATCTTTACGTTCGTTTTCGTATTTAAGACAACGAAGGAGAATGCGTAGTGCATCTAAATGCACAAAAAAATGAGATGAGAACAACAGAAATTGGTCACTCACCTTCGCAATCATCGTCTTTTAAATAAGTTTTTCCATCGAAATAACCAAGTGCACCGCACGCTGTCTGGATTTGATTGAAAGACGACATATCTTTCGGTGGGTAGACTACTGAAGACGAAGAATTTTCGATTTTGAAGTAAAGAAAGGATGATGATTCTAAAAGATTATCATCGATTGGTACTATTTCAATGTCGCCGATTGAACAGAAAAAGATGTCACTACATATATAGTGGTAAGGAATACGATGAACTTAGAGTTTATTAAACTTTTTCGTTAGTTCACACCTCTACGAACGCATGTTAGTCAAAGTCAGCTAACATATTCGGATAGTGATTAATTCGAGAGATTTTCGTTTTTGCTCTTGATTGAATGTCTTGCTCTGTATTGTTATTTGGTGGGTGTAGTTCAAACGTCGGGCTCTCAGTATGATTGTCCGTTGTTACCATCGAATTTGAGTTCACTTCTCGACTAAAATCTGGTGAAGCGTTGAGGGATATTTGTTTATCGTTAGGAACTGATATGTTAGATGAAGGTGCATCGAAACTCGTGACATTATCACTGTGTTTCCGATGTTGATGATGTCGACAATCGCCGCTTTTTCGGTGCTTATGTTTATGTTGAATTGTCAGTATACAATCATTCGAGGACGAAGACGAGCGATCAACACGCTTATCCTATCGTGAGTCACAATTCAGTGAAACAAGATGGATGTCAAGTTATTTTTACGGGCTGATGAATATTTGAAGAAGATTGGTGCTCAAATAGCGTTGATCGATGATTTGCTTTCTCATCGAATGGGATGGAATCACTTCGAATAGAAAATGTAGGTGATGTTCGTAAACGAGCAGTTTTCTTCGCACGATTTACCTTGTTTTCGAGCGATATTTAGCACCGATGGGTGTGTACGTCTCCTTTTCAGTCGTGCTCATGGAAGTTTCTGGATTCAAATTCGTTCTTGGGGTGTTAACACTTTCGAAGATGGTACTTCCGGACGAGTGTTTCTTCTCCACAGGTGTGGAATCGAAGATTGATTTGATCTGACCGGTTCGTATTCGATCAGAAGTCTTTTTTTCTGAAGGTGACTTTTTCGGTTTCGGTGTCATTTGAAGTTCACGTGTTGTAACTATTGGCGAAGGAGCAGAATACTGCAAATAATCATTGATTTCATTTTTTAAGAATGTCTGATCTTATACAACAAACCTGAATTGAATTGGCAAAGGCATACCAGTCAGTGACTTGGCCGGCATCATCCCCGCATGACTGAAGAACTTCAGTGACCAACATACGAACTAGCCGATCAGAATCCATATCGGTCTTCATTGCAAAGAATCTTTAGCAAGTCGCGAACGAGAAAAAATAGCTTACGACATTTCGAAGAATATCCTCAATTTGTTCTGGTAAACAACATGATAACCGATGCAACTATTCACGCATAAACATAGGGAAAGGGTCTTCGATAGAGTAATAACTCTCACCGATTCAAACGGTACATGATTAACAACTTGACGAAGAACATTCGTAACAACGTAATCGATATATTTCCGTTTATTATCGAATATTTTTGACAATGTCTAAAAGAAATCACTGTTTTCTCTTAAGCTTTTCGAATGTCTCATAAATTTACCTACAAACTGATGTCGATTGAAATCAGGACATTGCTTCATAGCATCACAATCGTTTATAATACGATCTGGAATATCTAACGAATCGTACCTTGTTTGACATACTTCAACACAACGTTCTTGCCCAACGGGATCTTTTATTTGATAAAAGCTGTGGAAAATTTGAAAGAAAACTCCTCTAACTATCACCAAATCACCCTACGTTCTCTCGATACATGATGGAATTCTAGCCGATGGATTTTGTTCTCTCTGAATTCTAGAACTAAGTCGATGTATAACATCAGCACATGGATCTATTGCAACAGCAAGTGTTTCACATCAATTCGAACTGAAAGAATCCATTACCGATAGTGTTATTACAATTCATTCAACAAAATGAAGAAAAGCAAAGGAAAAAAACTAACTGTGCGCCAAGGAATTTCTCGAGTCAATTTCAAAAATGATACTATTTTTATTTTACTAATAAGTTATGATATATATATATATATGTGAATAGATATAAATTGATAGGATATACAATTTACAACACACATAAATAAAATCTATTTTGACACAAATCAAATCTCTGCTTATAATGTGATCATTTTTTTGGCCATCGATCGTGTAATCCGTCCGTATGTACGACGAAACTAAAATCAAGAGAGAGTTGAAGTGGTTGCAAAGAGCCTTTGTATTTTACTTCTTTCATTTGTTCATTGTGAAGCTGTTTAGCTAATAAGCGATCGGCATAGATATAAGCATCTTCATTATATTCAAAATCCAAAGTAATAGTTAGAATTTCTTGATTGATTTATTCGACTTACCTCCCAACTGTGATTTTGATGTTCGACGATGATATTTAAATTGCTCCTGTTGTTCAATGATCGATCGTTTTGGAGGTCGTCCTGGTCGTTTTCGTTTAGGCACAACATCAACTGTTGCTACGATGTCTCGCTGGATAATCAATTTCGAATAATCAGGATTGTGACGAAGCCATGTCGACAATCGGCAACGACAAAATGGACATGACAATGCTGAATGAGCACAGATCATATGAAGACATGACAAACATAGCTAAACCAAACAGAGCAATTTTCAATCGAACGAAAAACGCTCTTTGCTTTACATTATGACCACATGGTAGTTCTAACAATTCGTTCGTATTATCAGTCATACATATTGAACAATCGTATGCCATTAATGATTTGTTTTCCCACTTAGCTTTACCTTGACTACGAATCGAAGATTGGGACATGATTTTGATGAAACAAAAGATGAATTAATCGTTTCTATCAGAAAGATGTGAATGAATGAACGAATTCGTTTAAAGATCGTTGATCCCTCGATGGAGGAAAAGAATAATTAGTTTTAACGCTGTCTACAATTCAAATTTTCTAACGGTTGAAGCACTTAGGTTTTCTAATGAACTCTTTTCTTTGTTGTCGGCTCAGATTAGATATATATTCTTTTCGACATCACAATGGTCAGTCGGGGAAAGAAGTGTTCTCATCATTGCCTTTAAGTGTTAAGCGTAAAGATATCCCATGCATAGACTAGTTCTTTTATATACTAGACAAAGGCGAAACACGGTGGTGATTGTGTGGTGTGTGACTTTTTTTCTTTCGTTCTTCGTTCTCTGTCTTCCTTATTGATGAAAAAAAAGCTTTCGTTTTGTGATTTTATTTCTATCTGACCATCAGTGTTTTAATAGAAGAGAAAAAATATTCATTACATAGACAATATACATAAGACTAGAGGAGATCAAAGTAGATCTCGAATTTTCACCTTACAGCGTACAGCATCTGAGAAGCCTTCGTTATATGCAAAGGAAATCAATGCCTTTCGTTCACTTGGCTTGTTCGTTGAATCGCCCTGATCCGATGACTCCGACGCTGTACGCGGTTTCTTTGGGCCGAGTTTGAATTTTGCAAAGAAATCTCGTGGAGCCTACAAATAAACTTGAGTTTAGTCAAATCAGTCGATCGGAAAAATATTTACATTTGTCGCATTTGGAACAACTGCTTTTGGTAACAATTTCGTTACGGCTGCAACAGGTTTTCTAGAAGTGTAAGAAAAGAACTTTGATTTGTTTTCGGAATGGAAACGATGTAAATGAAAACACACGGTTTAGGAATCGAATCAGCGGGACGATTGACCGCAACGGGCATCTGTTGTTTATCTGATTTCACACGAATGTTGCGCTTCACACGTTCTTTCAACAATTCTTTGAAGATCATCTGCCGAGTGCCGAATGACAAACCACGTTTGTCCGACATGCCAGGAAAGTAAGCTACTGCATCAACCGGTCTATAACAATCAAAAAAAGAGTCGAAGATCACTACGATGCATTTCACTTACGGTTCGAGTGCAAGAATATTTTCACCATTGGGTGATCGTTGTTGAATATATGATAAATTGAATGTAATCATCACATCAATTAATGTTCGTATATCTCGCATTTCTTTATTTGTGAACAGCGCTATATTGGTCTAAAATATTCAATTATATACGAAGTGATCATTTCAAATGAATAGATTTACTTGTCGAAGGCGAGGTTGAAGAATTTCGAGCATAAATGGAAGTATGTCGAGTACAAGAATGTCTTTATAAACGAATTGACGAAGGGTAGGGATGATATCATTTAACATTGTTTCGATAGTTGTTATATTTGTACGTAATTTGTTTTGCATCTAAGTTTGAAAGAGTTTCGGGTAAAAGGAAGAAAAGTATGAATTTCGTTTTGAAATACTTCAAGTTGTTTTTGAGGATATTTCATTTGAATCGGTCGATGAGTGATGAACAAAAGATGAAATACAATGGCTGGATAGGGTGCATATTGCCAAAATGAATAGTTCTGTTGGGAATACATCTCTTTATTCAATACGTCATAGAATAGTAACCAATCATTAGCATAATCAATCTAATAAGAAGTAAAAATAGAGTGAAGGCCGAAGAAGTTTCATTCCTTACAGATTTCAGTTTCGGATCATGAAAATGAAGAGTCAAATAGTGTTCGAACAGTCCGTCATACAGCCGATCATATGCACCGATGCTCGATACTAAGTCAACCAATTGTAAACGTCTAGAAATGACGATATTTTGGCAAACTTCCGGTAAGACAACATCATACCTTTCTAATGATACTTTGCCAGATCGTTTTAACGGATCATCCAGTTGTAGGGTCAATTGTGTTCTAAGAGAAATACGAATTTTTCGACTGAGATCATTCTCCGTGACAATCAAACAAACTTTCTCGATGCTGGCACTTGCAAAATCTCTGTCCAAATTTCAAATAAACTTTTTTGAGCATCTTTCACACCCAGCACTGCCGTACTTTCCACCAATTTTTTCGTTATTGTTCGATTTCGTTGTGTAACAACAAACTAATGGCACATATAGACAAAACTTCACATTAATACTTTTGCACGTACTTGCATAAAATGCAGACAGGACCGAATGTCACATGCTGCTTTGCTACATAAACTAGTCAATGTGATTAAGTCGCTTTGAATGTTCAGTTGCTCGGAAATCTAGATGAAACGATATAGTTATTTTTCATTGTAGAAATATGCAACTCGTACGGTTAGTAAACGCTTGGCGAGAACAGTTTGTTCTATGCGTGGGAAATTGAGAATGAGAGCAATTTGACGAAGGGGTTTCAGCGCAGGTACATATCTATCGACATGAGAGAAAATCAGTCATTATTGTAAGAAAATAGATAATGGTTGACATACAGATCGTTACAAATACAGATAACTGGTCGTAGAAGAACAAATGAATTATTCCTTTTGGTTTTTCCACTTGCTTGTTGTTGATCGACTGGCATACGAGTTACTAAATCGACTAATAACTGGACTGAGGGCTGAAAAACAAGGATATTCGTATTGAACTAAGAAATGCCTCAAACTTACTGCTGGTGCTCCATCAATTTCATCAATCAGCAGACAGTTTGGTTTGTAGTCTTTACTTAATACTTCTTGCATCTGAGTTGCTGTTTCGAGACGAGTACGAAACAATTCGATACTTCGATCATCACTACGTACCGAACAATAAAAACTATCGCTAATCTCAAGTTCAACTCGAACACAAACCTTGCGTTCATTTCAATTACATTATATCCTGCATGTCTTGCTACGACATGTGCTAAAGTCGTTTTCTAAATAACAATAGTTGAGTGTACATCTCGCCCTATTAAGATAGACACGTACTCCTGCACCTGGTGATCCACAAAGCAAGGCAATCTTTTGTATCGGTCGTTTATAAGCATCTAATTCGAACTGAATATCCGATGGCATCGGTTTTTTCGTCACATTCGCTTTTGAACCAATTTTATCTTTATTCGCTTCATTGGCAGCTATTTGTTGATGACGCGTCAATATTGCCAAAGATTGAGCCATTCTAATAGCGTTCGATTGATGCCCTAGAAGAGAAGAAATACTAGACGTTATCAGTTGAGATGGTTGATCATTTGCGAACGAACGATGTCACTGAGTAGATCGCAGAAGGCACGCGGTGCAAACTTTTCAACCCATAATTCATCTGTGTATCCATCAATCATTGGCAAATTGCTTTCCATTCTGAAACAAACAACAATCACATAAACAAGAAATTGTATTCTCTCTGTGTAGTTACTCTTTTTCGACTAGCGCAATTGAAGGATCATCTATCGATTTGGTAATTTCCTCCAATTCCTAAGAATAGTGCAACTTAACACAATTTGCTTTGAAAATGAATGCCTTTCTCACCCGCCGAACACTTTTTTCAATCATTTCATCAACTGACACTTTGAGTAAACTAGTCTTCTTCCCATTATTCGACGAAAACTAATTGAAACTCAGGTTATGATAAAGAAAACGTTTCTCTTCAATTACTTTGAAACAATCGTCATCGTCATCTCGCACTAACAGATAATATCGTTCGTTCTGATGACTGGTCAATACGACGAACGGTTGATTTGGTATTTGCGAATGGTAACGCGTGGCTACAACAAGGAAAAAACTTTTCGGGTGAAATTTTCACATTACCAATATACGTACAGACAACTTTGCGTTTTTTGACTGAATGTCTTTGTTTGATTGCGACAATTTCATCATCATTTTGATCATTTCCGTCATTGTCGTCCTCGAATAAGCGTTTTTTAAAACCCACTAAATGAAATCGAAGCCAAAACGAAATTTTCATCCCACTGGCTAACACATTCTCATTTACCTTGAATCGATGATCCGTTTTCTGTAGTTCCCAACATCATCTAGAAGTAAAAAGAAAAGGCTGATCTATGACTCATGATTATTCAAGGTGAAATTCGATCGGACATTTCCTAATCAGAAGCGCAAAGATAAGACAATAAACCTGTTGAATATAAAAACACTCCCTTGACAGGTAACATTTCATAATCGAAACAATGAAAGAATTTGGCCCTCTTCTTCTAATCTTATTTTCTATCACGACTCTCTTCCATCCAGTATTCTGTGCGAAGACCCGTGATAAACAACCAGTCAAATCTCAAGACGATGCGTATGCTTATTTAAACAAATTCGGTTATAACCCATGCAAAGATGCCAAAGTTCAATGTAGTCTAAGTTTGAAAAGTTTATTACAAACTTATCAAAAACTGTTTCATCTGAAAGTAACGGGAAAACTAGATGATTCAACAAAACAACATATGAATCGACCACGGTGTGGACTTCCGGATAAGCCACTTGCACAATCAAAAGCTCCGAGTCAATTGAGTAACTACATATGGAAGCGTTCGTCATTAACGTATTCGTTACGTAATTTTCCATCGCAAATTACTCAAGTCAACACCGATCGAATCATTCGCGAAGCATTCGATGCTTGGCTGATTCATATTCCTTTGGAAATCCAACAAGTTTGTTCGACATGCAATGCAGATTTTGTACTGGAATTCGCTCAATCTGACCATCGAGATAATTATGCATTCGATGGTGTTGGCGGAACTTTGGCGCATGCTTTCTTCCCCGAAGACGGTCGAGTGCATTTTGACGCCGATGAAGAATGGACGGAATTGTAAGGACAGTTCTCTTTTTCCAGGGTTCGAATACTATCGAAATCTAATCTCTAGACGTTATGTGCTTTGAGTACTTCTCCAATGACCTTAATCGGATCATCCAGGTATCAGAAAAATGAGTCATTCACTAATAGGTTAATTTCAATTTTTACTGAGAGATCAAGATAAACTAGTTATCTATATTAGAGAAAAACATCATCCTAACCTTAAACTGTTTTCTTATAGGTTCAATGGAGTCGGTAACAACTTATACCTAGTAGCTGTGCATGAAATTGGCCATGCGCTTGGTTTAGATCATGTCTACAATACCGAGTCGATTATGTATCCATCCTATCAACTTATGAAGAAAAGTAATGTCGTACCTTCGATCGATCGTCGACAAATTCAAACTTTATACGGTCAAAAACAATCTTCGCCGACGACAGCAACTAGGAAACCGACAATTACGACTACAACAACGACAAGGCGAAGTATCATAACAACAAAACCATCCGTTACAGTGCCTTCAGGAGGTTTACATCCTCGTTGCCGTCGTTTTCTTGATGTTGCCTTCGGTCATCCCGATGGAACATTACACACATTTGATGCTGGGGTACTTTGGCGTTATTTGCCAAATGAACATCGATGGGATGGCCGAACGCAAACTTTTCAACAGGTCTATGCGCGTTTACCAAAACGACTCTCCGCAGGTGTTTATGACCCAAATCGACAGAAAGTGATGATTTTTGCCGGTCGTAATATTTATCAATATGATATCGATCATCAACATCGTGCGCAGTATCGAAGTGGAGGAGTTCTTCCACGAAACCTACAAAATTCTGTGGTGGGGGCTATATACTACAAAAGGGCCATTTATATCATCACAGCGCAGACTATACGTTTGTTCGAACCGGACTCGAACTATCGATCATCAAGTGAACGAGATCTTAGTGAGGAATTTCCTGATTTCGCTGGTACAGTTACAACTGCATTCAGTTACCAGAATTTACATCACTTCTTTACGAGTGATCGACTTGTTTACGTTTGGGATGAAAATATGGGGACTTGGAGAACATTTGGTAAGCCTATGGAAACGGGTTGGTTTGCTTGCTCAAATTCAGCGAATTCTTATGCGCATGGAACACCACCTGATAAATCGGGTTTTAGATCCCCTTCTGGTGTTTCTCATCGTCACCACCACCACCATCGTCATCAGGATTACGATTAATCATCACTGTAAAAAAAATAACCACCGAAAAAGAAACAAAAAACAAAACCTATACGCAATGTGTTTGTTGTTGTCTTTTTTTTTATATAAAATAAAGCTAACAAACCAATTCAAATGAACGTTGAGTGTGGAATAGAGACAAAATATAGACCAAAGAATACCATTGAAGGATAGACCAAAAAGAAGAGAATCGAGCGATTTGTAATTATTTGAATAATCTCGGAATGGTGTATATTGTAAAAAGAAATATACCATAATACCATCATAATTATTGCCATTATTGACTCCCCACTGATATAGACTCATAGGACGGCGGCATAAGAACAGATGTTTGTTCACCGGTTGAACCAAGGACAGGATCCGTTTCTTGTGGACTAGTAATGATCACTGTTGGTGATGTACCATTCACATTTCGCTGAGTATATATACCAGGTATATCATCGTTTTCCTATAGAAGATGGGAAAAGTATGGTTCGTTGTAATCCATTGTTTGGTATCTTACCTGGAATGAGGAAAAGACATCGTCTTCTTCACGTTTGTATTTACCACAGCAATGATTGCAGCAGAAATTACAACAACAACCGCAACCACAAAGGCAGCAGCAACCAGCGCCGAAACAACAGCAAGTGCTGATACATAAAAATGCAAACAGAATTTTTTTCCATCGAGGCATCTGCGCCAATGCTTCAGAATATTCTACAAAAATTTTCTTTTATGATTATTCGAAATGGTTCTAAGCGGTATTGAACTACCTTCGTTCATTCGACGCATAGCATCGGCCGCTAAAAACCATAAACACAAATCATTGCACAGAATTTAACCGTGTAATCAGAAAACTATGGTACTGTTACTTACCTTTTGGACCTAGTTGATCATAGGTCGATCTCAATTTTGGATCGATGAGAATTTTATATGCCTTGTCAACCGCATGAAATTGAGCAGCTGCTTCAGGATCAGGATTTTTGTCGGGATCTACAAGGAAAATCAAAGCATATCATAGGTTATTCAGTCAAACACAGAACTCACGCAGACGTAAAGCTGTTTTTCTATAAGCACGTCTTATTTCTTCATCAGTCGCTTGTGGTGTTATGCCTAGTAAGTCATAGTAATTTTGCGATGAAGAGACGCCTGTTCTGGTTTGGTCTGGAGATGGTTGAGTATTCGTAGCCATATGAGAAAATATCGTTATTTAAATAGAAAAAAGATATAATACGACTAACGATCACTTTCTAGTTCATGAACAAAGAATTTCGAAGAAGATTCATCTGAAAAAGTAAGATTCTAGTTTAAGTAGACAGCTGTAGATCTACATTTTATTAATCAAGATCAAGTTCAGTCCGATTAATAGTATCAACATCAAAACTATGTACAGGAAGGGTACAAAACCGTTTTCGATTATTTGTGAATAAATCTTCTGGTGTATTATTGACTGACGAAACGGTAATCGTTGATTGTACACGTTTGGTTTGTTCGTTTTTCAAAGCCAATTTCTGTAGGCAAGCTTCTTCGATTTTCAATCGACCTAATTGATCGATAATTGATCGACGTATTGTTTGTAATCGTCCATTCCAATCGATGGCTTCAGGTTTTACCGCTGAGCTATTCGCCAGAGAATTTAACGGTTTATTGGCGTAAAGTTTGACACATTCCAGAAACTCCATTCAAATTATACTGAAATGTGATGATGATGATTGTATCGATGCTTTTTCCATTGTCTGTTCCCATTCGTTTTCATTTGAAGAAAAATAATGCGTGCAAGTTTTTTTCTTCCTAGGTGGCGCACTAACTCGACGAGATAATCAAACGAATAGTTACAGTGTCAATTGCTAAGATAATATAACACATCGATTCGTTAGCTCAACCTGACAAATTCATCCGTTTGTCAAATGTTTCCTGCTTCGATTCATTCGACATTTCATCGATCTTTCTCAAGAACTCGACTGGTGAAAATGAACTAAAATATTTGACATGCGACAACCTTGGCATTTTCTAGCACGGAAATACATTTTGTTAAAATAAATTCCTACCTTTCGAAATAAATTAGATATTAAGAATGAGAACAAAAAGATTGTTCAACTATGAATTTCACAAGCTCTTACCAGAAGAAAATCATTTCTCTTGAGATGTTTGACATACATGTTCCATATATTCTCATCTATATGCTTCGGAAACCTCAATAGTATTCTGAGAAAAGTGTGACATACTGAATTTTAATTAAAGTTCTTTAGACAATGGTAACTCGGCAGAAGAAACTACTAAGACCAATTAACGCCCTCTACAATAGTGTCGTTTGGTTGATGCAAATATTTTCACCAATATTACAATGAGAAAAGTTTCATGGCATTCGAGAGATTTTCGTTCGCGACATGAGTACGACAAATACGAATTTTATCGATTTTCTACATGATCATTATTCGAATGGATCTACTGACGACATATCGCAGACATTGGCTCGACTTCAGCAACGTCTTGAACAACAGCGGAAACTTGTTTTGAATGAAATAGCAACTGTAAAAAAGGAAGAAGAAGAAATGAAAGCTTTTGTACAGACAAATCAACAACAATCATTTGATAATTCTTGTAAAAAAGATTCTTTAGATATTGAAGAATTAAATAAATTACCATTAGATCTCTAAAGTCTATTTACTTCTCATTCTCTCGTGTTTCAGATGGTTCAAGAAAAGGAAAACTTTGTTGAACAATCGAAGCATGCATCATTCTATACTGGTGGAGACTTTTACGTCTCCCATGATGGTCGATACTTATTATGCACTTTTAATGCACTAATTCATGTTCTTGATATTCAAACACAACATATCGTTCGTTCGATCGGACAAGATGATACATCATCTGAAGTAGCATCGTTTGCCTTATTCAACGATCTAATCGTCGTGGCGTATCGTAATCAACTGTTACGGCAGTTCAATTGGACAATAGGAACATGTCTACGCACATGGAAATCCGTGCATAAAAGTGCAATTGTATGCATGACATTCGATCCGAATGGAACATTATTAGCAACAGGTGGAGCAGATTTCACGGTGAAAATCTGGGATGTCGAACATCTCTATTATACACATAATCTGAAGGGATCAACATCGATTATAGGGTGAGTAAATCTTACGTAGTGAAGTGAAATAAATGATAACATGACGTGTGCTGTTATTTCTTTAGTGCGGTGCTTTTCTACACAGCAGAATCGCAGAAAATTCATGTTATTAGTGGTTCTCATGATGGTCGAATTTTCTTACATAATCTACATGTGTCGGGTGCTAAACCAACTGTGTTAGAAGGGCATATGAGTGCAGTTACTTCATTGGTTCTTCACAGTGATCATACATTAATCAGGTAATGGAATGCGAGAGATGAGATCGATTTTATCTTTGTGTATGTTGTTGTTAGTTCTGGTCGCGATCGTGTTGTCATCGTTTGGGATCTTCAAACTTTATCATCAATTCGTACTATTCCTGTTATGGAAGTATGTGAGATGCTTTTGTTGCTTATTTACAAAAAAAACGAACTTTTCAGACAGTGGAAGCACTCGTCTCTCTGCCATCTCACGATTTTCTCAAGCCGTTAAAACTGAAACATACATTTTCATCTGACGAGCCTTTGTTCTTTACATTCGGCAATTCCGGTTTAGTTAAATTATGGTCAGGAACAACGGGTCGTTGTCTATTAATTCAAGAAGATAAGACTTACGAAAAAGTGGCGAATAACTCGTCATTCAGTAAAGATATCGAACATCAACAAGTATTTCTCAATGCTTATTTCAACGAAGCAACACGGATGTTCTATACAAACACAGTCGATCATACGATCGTTGCATTTAACATCAAAAAGTTAAAATTAGAGAAACAAGTAAGCTACGACAAATACTAAAATGATAAAGTGGCTATTGATATACCCGTCGCTTTTTTAGTTTATTGGTGAATTGGGTGATGTTCTCGATGTTCGTTTTTTGAATGGAGATGAAAATACTCCAACTCATGTAGTCGTGGCTAGCAACGATGACAAAGTGAAGATTTTCAATTTGAACACATGGAATTGCCAACTATTGAAAGGTCATACCGACATTGTCATTGGCTTAGACATTAGTCATGATCATAGGCTAATTGCAACGTGTTCTAAAGTTCGTCGAACAAAATAGTTTCTACTGAATTTTTTGTCAATAATCATGTACATGTAGGATGATGTCGTACGAATTTGGTCGTTTAATGCTGATAGATCATCATTTATATGTACGGCCACGGCTGAAGGACATACTGGCGATGTTGCAGCTATAGCATTTGCAAAGTTTGTTGACACATTCTAGAAACGGATATTAATTTAGTTTACAAAAAAAATGAATTTTCTTCTAGAACTTCCAATTCTTTTATTGTATCGGGTAGTCAAGATACAACAGCTAAAGTATGGTCCTTAGAAAATTTGGTATTAGATGCTGAACAACCACAGAGTCTGTCGTCGCTGTTTACATTAAAAACGCACGATAAAGAAGTCAATAGTGTCGCCGTTTCTTTCAACGATAAACAATTTGCAACGGGTTCGGCAGATAAAACAGCAAAAGTCAGTGAATAAAATCGTCTCTTTACACCATTAAACTTCATGTGCACTATCAATTAGATCTGGGATTTTCGAAATCAGAAACTATTAGCAGTTTTATCTGGGCATCGACGAGGAATTTGGTGTGTCCAATACTCACCAGCCAATCCGGTAATTAAACATTGCTTTGCTCCTATGCCCATCGTTGGCTTTTTTCGCTTATTAGGAATTGGCGACTGCTTCTGCCGATGGATTGATTAAAATCTGGTCAACAAAAGACTATAATTGTTTGCAAGTAAGATATATCTTGTCTAAAGAGAATATTTGTGCTATAATAATTTTCAGACCATTGAAGGGCACGATGCATCAGTTCTTCGAATCACTTATCTATCTATGGGCACGCAAATCATTAGCAGGTAGGTCATGAGTTGCCTTGTTTTGATATCTGAAATTGAAATGTTTTAGCGGCTCCGATGGTCTTTTGAAATTATGGGATTTGAAGAGTAGTACTTGTGTGAAAAGTATTGACGCTCATGATGGAAAAATTTGGGGAATGACCGCTTCGACGGATGAAAGTCTCCTTGTTACTTGTGCAAGTGATTCGACAGTTACGATCTGGCGTGTATGTTAGAAGAAATTCGCTAGTCTTTCATTGATATTCAATAATCGTTTAATCTCTACCTTAGGATTCCACGGAAGAAGATCGCCAAGACAAACGAGAAAAAGTCGAAGAAATTTTGCTTATGTAAGTCGAAAGAGTTCTCTTTTCTTATCGAATGAATTACTGTTTATGATTAGGGAACAAGAAGTATCAAATCTATTGGTGAATAAAAAGTTCCATGAAGCATTGAAAATAGCCTTAAACCTCAATCAACCATACCGAACACTAATCATAATTAAAGGTAATAGGAAAATTTTGTTTTTTTTGACTGTGATTCGACTATTGTTGTATTGAATAGAAATTCTCAATGAAATGAATGGAACAGACCAATTGAAAGCTACTCTATTACAATTTTCCGAAGATCATCTGAGTAAGTTTGACAATATGTTCATCAGTTCTGTAACTATTTCTCCTTTAGATCTACTTCTCACATATGCGATCGATTGGAACGCAAATACAAGACACTCGACTGAAGCTCAAACAATTGTTAAAATGCTATTAAGTATCCTAACACCGGATCAAATCATGAAACTTCCCAATGGACAAAAATGCGTTGAAAGTTTATTACCGTATACTGGTAAAGCGAAGATCTTAGTATAATCTGATGATTACATGTGTTACTTTTAGAACGACATATGTCACGTATTGAGCGACTTTCACAACAAGTACTTTTTCTCGATTTTAGTTGGCATTCAATGAAATATCTTGAGCAATCAAAGTAAAAGTTTGATATTTCTTGATTCAGGTGGTTCGATGTATTTCTATTTTCAGTCCGCTATCTTCCGACGAACTTCAAACAACGTGATTAATACATTCGGTTGTTTGTTTTCGTTTCGTAATTGCCATGCAATGATTGTTCTCTTTTTTTTTTGTTATCTTTTTTGAAAGACAAACAAAATAAAAACAGTTTTGTTTTTGTTCCAAGAAGACATGAGAAAGAGGTGATTTCTCAGCGAATTTATCGCATGTTAATTCAATCGAATGTTTCCAATGTATGACAAGATCAATGACTCAGCGTAGAATTAGATTTTATAAAGCCAAAAGTCAGGTATTCGCTGAGAAATTTCATCTATTAAAGAGAAAGTTACGTAGTGTACGTGGAATCATAAAATAATCTGATTGACCAATGGAAAATGAACTAAGGACTGTTAATAGCGGCATCTATGAACCTTTGACAAATAGAAAAAAATAAACAATTTGTTTATGTCGTGTTTTGAGATTTATTTCCAAGTAATTCATAGTTACTTATCGGAAGCTTTTCCATTGTTCTGCCGACTCGATTTTTGAAAACCCATAAAACAATATTCTCTTCTGATGCATCACAATGGGCAGAGTCCTGCTTTTTCCACTTCACACCTTCCAGATGATCAGCAGAACCCAAAAGTACATAATACGATCGGTAAGACGATATTTCTCAATTAACAACTTTTTTTTGTTTTCCATTTAACTTGATTTAATTTCAAATAATCTGTTAAGTTAAACTGCCACGGTACTATGATGACCAAAATGCGAACGCGGAAAAACCAAAATCACCAGGTAGCCTAATCAGATTTTTCAATTGCAACTTGAATTTTTTATTTCACAACTTTCGTTAAAGATCCCAGCGACGAGAGAAGCACTGGTAATATACATGATTCAATGAAGATAATGACAGGAGAAACGCTTATATACAACCAGCAGCAATGCATCTTCAAAGGAATACATTCGTGTAGGAACAAGACATTCTATGCATTAGAAAATGAGAGGCCAATGACTGGATATAATGGAACTTGTCCTGAGTGTCATCGGACTTTCTCAGATTTCACCGATCCAAGAAAAGGCTTCTTTATTTCAGACAAGAGTTTTAATGATGCTATAAGAAAACATAAGTTAGGCATGGAGCAGTCTAGAGGTCGCAATCCCGTTAATGAATTAAAAACTATAACACAAAAACTACCTCCGCTGGAACATCCAATACTAGGCAGAAACAAAGGCATTGCGGGTGATTCGAATTCATGTTACATCGATGCCACTATTTTCTGCATGTTTGCTTATAATGGTACATTTGATAATTTACTCAACATGGATGTTCAATCAGAGCCTTTAAAACAATTACAAAGTGTATTACGTGACAACATTGTTCATGTCCTTCGCGATGAGAAAAGCGGTTTTGTTGAACGTATAATTTTTTCGAGATCTGTCTCCTTTTAAAGAATTTTGTTGTATCGAATAGGCGATGCTGTTTTCCAACTTCGCGTTCGACTAAGCGAGGCTACGCAAGATCGAACATTTAAAGAAGTAGAAAAAGATCCAAGTGAGTTTTTACGAGTGTTTGAAGAGCTCTTCAAGTACGCGCCGATCAAAACTATCCCACGCGGTCAAGTACCGAAACCAGACGAATCAAATGTGACCATAAATATCATCTGTACGTTTCTTTTATTTTTAACTCTATGTCTGATGCTTATTCTTCTGAATTTTGCCAACGACAGGGGAAATGTTCGATGCTAATCCACAAAATCTTCTATCTACAAGTATTGCAAGTATTTTTCGAAATTCTCTTTCGGAAATTCCAGCAAAACTAGCAACAGTCCCACCTTTCCTCATTTTGGTCGCACCACGTCATCAACGTTCAGAACGTTCATATCGTTACATTATACCTGATCGACAAATTACACTTGACCATGATATTGTACAAGTAGTGTGTTCGAAATGCAACAGAACAAACCATGATCCAGTAATGCCATCTGATTTCTTTTATTGCAATAAATGCCAACCGCAAGAATTAACGACCCCATTGTCAACTGATGCCGTCATTAAAGCTCAGTGCGCAGAATGCTTACACAAAATGCATGCAAATTTATCGTCTGAAATTGAAAACCATTGCACAAAAAAAGTTGAACTTAAGAAGCACAAACTTAATCTGTTTGCCGTATTATGTATCGAAACGTGCCATTATGTTGCTTTCGTCAAATGCCAAAATCGTAATATACAAAAGTCTACTTGGGTATTTTTTGACAGTATGAGTGATCGAATCAACGATGAACAGAATATACCACTTGTCGACGAGGTTCCAAACTTCGATCGATGGATTGATGAAGCTGAAGATACGTCACAAAATTTCTTTGATCATTTGGACAAACTTCGAAGGAAGACTGGACCTTTGTCACAAAAATTTAGTCCGGATGATATGCGTCGACTACGTTTATTCCGTGATGGCGCTTTTTTCTTCTACGAAAATGCCAATATGAGCTACCATTGAAAAGACAACATTTGATTTGCTTTTTATAATCAAGATATGACTGTTTATTTTCTTGTTACGTTTTTACGATTGAAGTATATCGGTTTTTATTTTCCAATTGTGGTGCCATTATTATACATTTGAACATCCGAAAAATACTGTTCGGTACGCGTATATATATATATATATATTTCTATTTTTTCCAGATTGACATTTGAAACAAGCGATTCCAAAACATGACAAAGCAAATTATTATCTATGGAGGTATGCATTTCTTTTAGTGCAGAGAAGACCGAAGTTTGTTGTTGAATTGTAGGTCGTGGAGCATTGGGTGATTGTTTAGTTCGTTATTTTAGAAGTAAAGATTTCGTACGTAGACTCCTTTGTTCGTTTGGTGTGCTTACAATATTCGTTTGATTTTTTGTATTAGAAAGTAACTTCGATTGATTTGAAACAAAACGAACAAGCTGATGTTAATGTCACTCTGGCTGATGTTCAAGATTTGGAAAAGCAAGCTGAGTTCATTAAAGAAAGTAAAGGATCATTGTTGAAAAAGATCTGCTTGACTGGTTTGCGTAGAACTTCAATCATCATTGAATGGCGAGCCTGTTGAAGCTATTTTGAATGTTGCCGGTGGCTGGGCTGGAGGCAATGCTGGTGATAAGGGTAATAACGTTTTTTTCTTTTCTTCAAACGTGTTGATTTGTTCGTTCGAACAGATTTCATCAAGAACTCGGATCTAATGTTCAAACAAAGTGTTCATTCATCATTAATAGCGGCATCATTAGCTAGTACATTTCTCAAGGAAAGCGGGTTATTAGTTCTGACTGGTGCTGCCGCCGCTCTTGATGCCACACCAGGTTATATTTTTCAAATATGATAAATCTCACCATGCATCTATTTTTTACATTTTTCTGCAGGTATGATTGGATATGGTGCGGCTAAAGCAGCGACAATTCACATTGGTAGAAGTCTTGCGGCATCTGACAGTGGCATGCCAAAAAGCTCATCCGTACTTACCATTGCACCGTATGTTGACTTGATAAGTAGATTCGTGAGGCAGATTCGATTGAATATAAGAAGAGAAAAAGGAAGAGAGACGGATTAACGTCACACTCGAGTAATCTCGTGTATAGAAACATAATTGCTAAACATTCTTTTTCCATTTCTATTTAGAATTACATTAGACACGCCGATGAATCGAAAATGGATGCCAAAAGCTGATACTAGCACATGGACACCGTTAGAGTATATTGCTGAGTAAGTCAGCTGATCCGAATACCGAAAATTCCATCAGCAAAAATGTCGTTTTTCAGATTATTCCATAAATGGATCAATGATCCATCATCACGTCCAACGAACGGTTCTGTTGTTAAACTAACAACTAAAGGTGGCAATACAGAATTAAGCTATCATTGATAATCTTCACTAAAACGAAAGCAATGTTTATCTAGTCGATAAAACGATAACAATTGAACAAACATTCCTCTTTATATTTTTGGTGATAGTCTTCTATGTTTCCTTATTGTGCACCGCTCATGCTATGGTTCACTGCGTTACCTTCCTTTTTTAACCATTGGTGATTGTTTGTCAGTTTACTATTGTAGTATCTTTTTAGATTTGAAAAACTGAACAAATATTATGAATGAACCATCGACTTTATCTGAGATCGGCATTCGCTGTCTGTCCAAATATTTATTACCTTTAGTTACTGATGAACCTATTTACATCTCGGAATTATCGTATTTAACACCGCGTCTGGGCAATTTATTACTAAAAACACTTCTTGAATTGAAACAAGCCGATTCATTCAATACAACTGACTATTTCCTTTCTCTATTCAGTAAAGCTTCCCAAAAATCGGAATCTAAGTGAGTCGAACTAACATGTCATCGTATCAATCGCTTTTCCCTTCTATCAATTAGGTCTAACGTGCTCATTCAACTGACAACACTACCATTTCGTTCGTGTTCATTCATAACAAACCAATCCATATCTCACTACTTATCATCCCATGAATTCATTGAAACGATCGATTTGCGCGATTGTCGTGTAAACTACAAAATCTTTCATCTATTAACCAAATACTTTCCTCGTTTGACTACATTGTACATCGGTATGACTGAAAGTCCGTTAGATCGTCAGTTTACCTCATACGAATTCTTTCCAAGAAACCCGCCCGATCCGAAATGTTTTCTAAAAATATCCAAATTGAAATATCTCTCCATCGAAGGTATTTACAGATCTGCACAACATGATTCAATCGAAGATTTTTTCCATAATTCATTGACACAATCAAGTGAACAGCTTCGTGTGCTGGATCTATCAAGAAACTCTTCCCTGAAACAATTGTCATACATCGATTGCTTTAAACACATTCGTTCATTGATTCTCTACGATATTTTACCAGATACGATCGAACTGTCCATTGATTCGATATGTCGTTTGCGAACACTAGTTCTCCTCGATCTGTCGTTCAGTCGACGTGACCAAGAACCACCAAATTATTCGAAACCGACGATTATTTTAGCTAAATTGATACGATCGCTGCCGAAGTTACTTTCACTAGATATTAGTGGAACAAATCTCGCTGGTGCTTTTTCATTTGATCGAAGTGAGGAGCTAGCTTACATAAGAAAGGAACTTAACATCGATGAATCTGAGTATGTTAAACAAAAAGGCATCAGAATACTTCTATTAAGAAAATCTTTCTCTCTCTCTCTTTCTTAGAACGTTCACTGTGCAATCGGGTATAGCTGGTTTATTAGTGTTAAAAAATGAATTAGATTTCTTGGGTCTCTTCGATGTCGATGAGAAAGGTTCAGCACGGCAATGTTTACCAGCGAAGAAGGTAAAAAGAATAGACAAAGATCAGATGTACTGTCGCTTGCAACAGATTATCTGTTAAGAAAATGTAAATTTCATACAAATGAATTTAGATCACCGGTGAACACACAGAAGAAATGATGATCACCTCGCTGATACACTATATAGAACGGCCGACTGTGTTAACACATGTCATGGCACATTTATTTCGTCTATATAAACACTATACTATTCACAACCCTTTTGATGCCGGAAAGGTTTGAAAAATGTCTTTGTCTTCAGGATTAACTCACAATGGTTTTCTATCGGATGTTTAGCTGGTCATGGATGCGATGGAGAGACATTTGTATGACCGTAGTCTTCAAACGTCTGGTAGTGCCTGTTTATATTATGTGGTAGAAATGTTTCAAAATGAATCGGATACAATGTTAGCGAAATATAATGATTATCTAAAACGATTGTTGATAGTCATCCTCGCTGCAATGAACACACATTTGCAACATCCAGCAGTAAGGAGAAAAATGAGAATTTTGTCGAGAGATTATGAGTGCATCTGTTTAGATGATTCGAAATGGTCTGTTGACAATCTCTCGAATACAAATGCATTTACCAAACCATATTGTAAGTTACCATACTATCACGTATGGAAAGTATATTTTCATGAATCCTTTAGATGAGCGCCTTTGAAGAAACAGTGAATGTTTTAATAAAATTTATTCAATTATTTCTGTACGAAGCAGTTGCTCATGATCAAATCTTGCTTCATAATGCTCTTTCCGTGCTCAATCACGTAGCGTGTAGTGTTGATGGACAAGAAAAACTCTACATCGGTCGAGTTGGAGTTATTGAAGTAAGAAAATCTCTTCTCGATTCCATAAAGTTAGCCGTATATACATTGATGTTAGACTGCAGTGGGAATTATTCGTCGTTACTGGACGAAAAAATCGAACTGTGAAACAGTTGAAGTAGCTTGGACATTATTGTGGAATATAACAGACGAAACAGCCGAGAATTGTCGACGATTTATCGAAGATAACAATGGTTTACAGGCGTACTATGATTGTTTAGAGTTATGGTCGGATAAACGCGACCTCGTAAGAAACATGTTAGGTCTATTGGGAAATGTCGCCGAAGTTAAGGAATTACGTCATTATTTAGTTACACCTATGCATATGGATAAGTTTAGGTGAAAAAAAAACAGACTAGGAGTTTTGTTGTAGGAAAGATTATTTTTACTTTATAAATTAGGATGCTATTGACTCGATCGATACAAAATGACATCGAAATTCCGTATAATTGTGGTGGAATTCTTGCAAATATTCTTTCTGATGGTCTTGAAGCATGGACCATAGGTTCGAAGATAGAGCAATATGTCGTTAATCAAGATATGTACGATGCGGTACAGACATGGGATTTACGCCGACAACGAACAATCAACTATCGATCACTAGCGCCTATATTGAGATTATTAAATGAGAATTATCCAAGTGGTTGTGTTATGTGGGCTGTTTGGGCAATGACTAATCTAACTACTGTGCTACGTATGTTTATTTTCCTTGTGAAGAAATCGAAATTTTTCATTTGATCTGCTTGATTTCTAGCGGAGAAATATTGTACATTAGTTCGAAATGAAAATGGTGAACCACTGCTAACTCAAATACTATACAGTGATAAACTAAGTGACGCAATCAAAAATTTAGCTCAAGCCGCACTTACAAACATTCAACGGTAATGAAAGATTTCAAAGACGTTTTGTTCTCTCTTAATATGAACTTTAAAATTTGATAGATTTTATGATACACCAGTGCCAATGGATATAGCACATGATGATGAACTTGAACTTTAATAATTTATATTATATATGTATATGTTCTATCTCTTTCTCCTGGTTTTTTTTCTTAGATTTGATGCAGTACTTTTGTTTTTACACACGTTCACTTTTCTCCTTACATGTATTTGTACATGAACGAACAGTTTTCGTTTCTTGCTTCCATCTAAACCTTGTCCGTGTTTGTGTTTCTTGTGATATTTTTGCTCTTAATCCTGATCATTAATCTGTACAGAGAAAAACAAGAAATACCGAATCTTTTATATCTGTATATGTATATATATATGAATGGGATATTTTTTCTTGCTATAAACTCGCATAAACAAATTGGCAAATGAAAAGAGTTATGTCGTGTCTATATATGTTTCTATCGTTGACGTTTTGGTAAAATCAATCCAATCAAAACACCAAATGTACGTTCGAAAATGAAATGTGCCAAAGTACCAAGTACCAATGCGAATATCAAATGACCAAAGAAGACATAAATTAGCGTTATATCAGTTGCAAAGAACAAATTCTGTTGTGCAAACATGTAATAAACCATAATCATTGGATGGATCAAATAAGTAGTATACGAAACATGAGCAAAGAAGGTAAAACCACGCCATGAGAGAATACTGTCAACCAATGGAGCAAGACCTTTGTAACATGAAAAGATTATCCATGCGATGGCTAATGGCCAAGCAATACGTGAAAGAACAAAGTAGAGTACATAAACTGCCGGTGTCATGGGAGTACCACCTTCACGATGGTTTGTCCAATTGCCAAAGATGCTTGTCATCATGAAGACAATTGTCAATGCCCAGAATAATAAATGGAAGATTGGATGTAGATGCACTTTCTTCTTTTCTGTTTTAAAGAATATGTATCCAAGAACAATACCAATGATATATGGACCAGCACGGCAGTATGGTTTGATATATGTATCTAAAAGAAGACATAATGTGATTTATAATAGTATGTGCTTTTCGCTTACCTTCCCAAATGGCTTTCAATGTAACAAGAATTTGTTTTTCTACGTAAGTATTGGCGATATTAAATCCTAATATAAATGAGCTAGCTATTAAAACTCCTAATAAAATGAATGAACCAATGACCGGATAGTAATACAATGGTACGATAAGTAATGGTGCCACAAGAAATAGTTGAAAATCATTCGAAACATACCAATAATAACCCATACAGCGCGTACCTCTTCCATTGGGAACGAAGTTGTTAATAAGAAGAAAGTAAGCCCACCAGTAATTATGACAGTCGGAATTCTGCATAGGAAAATTTTTCGCCGTCCACAAGGGCCCTTCGCCAATGTAAGGTGTTACATAAATGTATAATAGAAATATCATGATATAAGGTGGCACAAGACGTAAGTAACGTTCAAGATACATCATTGGCCAGAAGTACCATCGTGGCATACCGCTCTTTTTGAGCATGCGTAACAACGACAATGTCACTAGCATAGCGCTGATAAGAAAAAATGTATCGACACCGTACAAAGCATTGATCACCAGTTGTGAATCGAAACGTTTCTGGAATTCTAATAGATCAAGTGCATTTTGCGTTAGCAAAAAGTAACTTTGATCACCGATGTAATTGTATGTATGACCCCAGACGATCCAAGCCATGGAAATGACACGAATACCGTTTAAACATTTCATCGCACCTAAAAATCATTCACTATTATTCCGCTCTCATTTGCTATTGAATCATTACTTACCAGAATTCGACATTGGCTTGAGTATGGCGGTATAAGCTGATAGATCAATAACAATTCGATGTACTTTGTAAATCCATTGATTGTACCATCGTTTACGGCTGGCAGCTACTGTTGCTCGTTCGGCTGAAGATGGATAACTCATTCCATGCAATCGAAGGCGATTTGAATACTGGTGTTGATGAGCATCGAGATTTTTATAAAAAATTGCATGTGGCTGTTCGGCTGCCGACGAAAAGTTGCACAGTGTATGAATATTCTGCATGGACAACGTGCTTGCTGTTGCATATGGCTTATTCAAGATAGAACGGAAAAAGCAATCATATAATGTGGCCAACACGACTATGGTTGTTAAAATAGTAATAAGTACAAGAGTAAAGTAGTAGGCGCCGCTTGGTTTAGTAGGCTCTTCACATAGTACACCGTCGATGTAATTAATACGAGTGATTTGATGAATTGTTAGTAACTTGAGCGTATGATTGAGCATAGCTGCAACATCGTCACTGACACAAAAGTCGGGTACGCAGATACCAAGATCAACGGCAGCTAATGCAACGGGATCACCTGGAATGCCATCAAGAGCATCACCGGCTACTGCTAATACCGAAGGGTCGGCGCGAATTTTTGCTCGACAGTAACGTCCCTGAAAGTTAAATGAATCGTTCGAGTATTTCACCTTATGACAACCATTCCAATTTCCAACCCAATTCGTATTGGCAGCTAATAAATTTGTCGGGGGTTTCCCTAATGCATCAAGCATACGTATGGCCCAGGTATTTTTTAGTGGTTGTGCCATTGCATCAAGCCATAAGCTCATCGCTTTATGACAACCTGGCGTTTTAACGTCCTTGAGGAAAACTTCATTGAAATAACGTTTGGCATTCGCTGGGGAATGACGTAAACTGAATGCAATAAGTTTGGCCATGTTTGCTGGTGTGCCAAAACGTTTAATATAATATTTGAGATCGTACCATGTAATATAAGCTGAGCCGTTTTCTCGTAAAATATTAACCATTCGAACAAGGTCTTTAAGAATAAAGTCAAAGTCACCTAGAAGCAAAAACAAGAAGATTTCGCTTTATTCATTCGTCGTTTAGCTCACTAGGTCGATAATCATCATGATCATTCATAAACACGGCCAATTGTTGCAGGCCAAGTAAAAGTATATAATCCAGAGTCTCATTATCAAATGAATTCGAATTGAACAGTATATCTGCGCCAGATGTGTTGGTTTTGTCACCGAGAATGATAAATTGAATCGCCTCTGATAAATAACAATATTGATCACTGTTGGGTCGACATTGACTCGGTGGTGCTTTTGGCAGAAAGCCATCTCGGAAAATATTCGGTATATTATCCGTCGGAATTCCGTTAAACAATTGACCACTGTTACATCCACCGAAGGATATAAAGATGATCACAGCGAAGAAGGCGTATTTTAGCCAAGGAGTAGTCGTCGACATCCTACTACACAAACGCAATATGAAAATACTGAGTGTTTGTCGCTTTTCAGTATTTCAATGTTATTTTTATGATAAGAATAGCAAGTCTCTTATCTCATTTCTATCTGTTGCACAAAAGCGCGTGATGTTTATTTATCTAGCTAGATCTTCATATCAGACCGTAAGAAAATGTATGTTGATATTATTTTCAAACGAAGATTATATAAGATATTAAAAATATAAATATAATAGCTAGCGACCGAAAATGATAAAAAGAATCCGAACGTTCGATTTCAATTATAACTGTGTCTTAATCAGCTGTACAGAACTTGATGTCTTGCAGCGACTTGAAGTACTTTCATACTTAGCCATGCCTTCTTTGCAAAGATAAGAAATTCAGTTATCAGTGTTTGTAGAGCTGAGAATACCGTTTGCATAGATACTTTTTACTAATAAGAAGAATATTTTTATTGGCTACAGAATATTGAATAGACGACATAATCAAATCACGCTACAAGCTGTTTAATTGTCTCACTTATTTCTTTATAATATTATTTCAGTTCGTCGTTGTACAACAGCGAACCCAACAAGATACAATTCAAGCGGATATTCATTACTAAATAAACGTATATCATAGACAGACGCCCAAGGTGATCGTTGCATATAATCAGCATAGATTTTATTTGTCATTAGCGCGTCACGAAACCGTACAGTGTATAGTGAAGACATTTGTGGTGTGCGTGGTGGCGATGTTTCAACAATAATCTGTTGATAAGAATTCAATTCGATTACATAGATAAGCATTGATCGTTGAGAGATTCGCCCATCTATCCATATTCCCAAACGAGGATCGAGTATACGAAAGGTAAAGATAAAATTTGATCCAAGAAATGTATCAATACGCGCGACAATGATAAAATCACTCAATGGTAATATAGATTTAATAGTTCCGGAATATGTTAGAGAATATTGTGTTTCGATACGATAGATTAATCGTCCGATATCGTTTGTAAGCACCGAAAATGAGTTGTACTGGTAAGAACTACGAAAATCTTGTTTAATTACATATTGGTGGCCATGAATGGTACTGATTATAATTGTTGAAGCTAATAATTGGAGTAACAGTGGCAACATTTTGTCTGTTAAATAAAAAGCAACAATAACTTTTGAAAAGTCTATACCAATTGCTCCTTCTCCTTCTGTAGCTTTTTTTTCTTTTTTCTTCTTGATTGACATGAACCATCGAACTGAAATTATCAGTTTTCGCGAAGCCGTATCAACTAACAACTTGCGTCTGAATGCACAGAAGCAGTAGGAAAAAATTGAATTCTTATATAACTTCGAATTGATTTCATTCTACGATTGAAAATCAGTATTGGAATTAATATGGATGTTTTCACAATAATTTGTCGCGATAAAATTAGAAAATGATTGATGTAGCGTGAACTGTCACCGGGGTGTCAAATGCACAGCGACAATCTAGTCAATGAACTTTTTGTAAATGTACGCGTGATGTTGAAGATTAATGAGTCAATGACTAGTTATATGTCAACTTCTTTCCACAAATTAGCACTTTCGAATTTCTCTCGAAGTCATTTGTTATTCGGCAAGACTAACAAAAGATAAATTCTCCATCTGTTTATCGTATGAAATAATTAACATAGTTGTATATGATCGAAATTCCCTCGCACATTGTGTTCCTTTACATGTGTATTATATGTCAATAAATGGTCTATCGTTCATTGTATATCTAACCTTTGCTTTTTTTCGTCGAGTACTGAATAGAAAATGATATGCACGCTTATTTTAAGCGTTGCCTTTGTCTTCTTTTGTCATTTCATCTTATGTAGAACAATGCATACACACACACACACACACTCACACACATAGAAACAGCGAAATACAATACGCACAAAGCAGTGAACGTGAAAGACTGATGGTGCAAAAGACACGCCTTTTGTGCAAATAGAACATACAAAAAAGGGACGAAAAAAAAAAAGAAAATCGCTGTACATAAGGAATCAAACAAAGAGGGAGCGAGCGAGAAAGTGAGAGAGAGAGAGAGAAAATTGATTGATACTCTATACATGACCGATCAAATAGAGATTTTGTTGTTCTCCCTGCGTACTTCTTTCTTTTTTGCTTAAATGCTTGAAGTATTGTGTCTGAACAAAACAAAAAGGAAAAAAACAACTCCAAAAGAAAAAACAAATTGATCGACAAGTTCCGGAAAAGAACAGCGAAAAACAGATCCATATCATCACCGAGACGGATGTAATGAAGATGAATGATTATATTGTCCACCGTTTGTTGGACGAGTATTATTTATTGAATAATCAAGTATATCCATTGGTTTTATTGTTGTAGTCATTGTTGTTGTCGTCGACAGAGTCGATGCCGCCGATGACGCTGACAGATGAAGTAAATTTTCATTCGGTGATGTTAAAGTATTGATGATTGGTGTCGGAAATTTACTTTCATTTGATGATGGAAAATGATAGAGACTCGCTGGAGGTAGTGGGGGCGAAGATGCGGAAGAAGACGACGACGAGATTTTTGTTGTTGAAGAACGACGTGCATCGAGAATATTTTTTACAGTTGAATCACTGGTACCGTTAGACGATGGACAAGAATTATTACTGTTCAAACTAAACAATAAGGAGAAAACAATATGAATACATTTGATTCGGAAATCGTATGAAGAGTTACCGATTCGGTGTCGTTGATATGTCTTTATTGTTCGATACAGCAGCTGTAGCTAATGCTTGCTGTTGTATCAAGGGTCCGAATTGTTGGAAAAGCATTTGTGTTGCCCATACTGGATTCGTTAGATCTGAGCTGTTTAGAAATGATGATGACGATGACGAATGTGAACTAGTGCCATTTTCCTCGAGCTTGCCGTTTGTTGCTGTTAGTAGATTAATTGTCGATGGTGGAAGTGTCTGTTCACTAGGCGTTGGTTCTTCATCAGATATATCTGAGTATGCAGGCGAGGAAGGCTGTGGTAACGATGGTGGTGGTGGTGGTGTGGGAATCTTTTGATCTTTCTTGTGATTATCTCGATTTTTCTTTAGATTTAAGTCGAGTGTCGTCGTTGGTGGTGGTGATGACACGGAATTTTTATTGTTAACAGGTTCGTCTTGAATGTGCAAGAGAAAATGATCAGCTGGTTTAATAGAAGGTTTTAATTCATCCGGATCAGTAAGATGTTTATTCTCAAGAAGATTGCTATCATTATTGTTTAATTTACACCTAGAAGAAAAGGAGAAATTATAAAGTTTCATTTCTTTGACTTATTAGATTTTAATTAATATGAGCGTAAGGATTCCGAATCATCAAGAATGAAAATGAACTTTTTGGCTTTGTTTTTACCTTGTAGAGTTGGGCGAAAGAACTCGTTCAGCGTTATTTAATGGCGATGGTAAAACAAATTTCGATGATATTTGTGGACAGGGCCATGTCAATGTTGAGGGTGAACAATTTTCTAGTGTTTTAATATTCGAAGGTGGAGAATTAACAATAGTTGGTGAGGGAATTGCTTGACGTTGATGTTCAGGTGAACTACGCATAGATGACGGTGGTGACGTACGGCGAACATAATCAGCAACGTTCGCGAGTATGTGTGCAACATCTTCTTCATCACGAGTATTTGCTTGCGGAATAATTAGTGTCGTTTCCGGCTTTTTATGTGCATCACTTAAATGATAATTAAGTGCAATAGTGGAAGTAAAACGTTTATGACACTGAAGTTCAGTACAAGAGATTAATTGAGGTTCAAGATTAGCTGTTGTTGTTGTTGTTGTTGTTGTTGTTTCGGATGGGAAAGATGTTTGATTATTTGCTCGATAGGGCGAAGTTAGTGGTGAAGAATTACTTGTTACTTCTTCCGTTATCGTCGCTGCTATGTTGTTTAGCCGTTTTGATTGCCTTGATTTAATATTATTACGGAGCTTCCGATCATCGACTCCGATTGTGATACTATTGGATGTTATTTGTTGAGAAACAGATACTGATTGCTGAGTGACACAACGACTGGTTCCACCGGCACTATTACGTTTCGATCGATTTGTTTTACTACTACTTCGAGGATCGTAGTCACTTGTTGGTGATTCACATGTCAACCTAGAAAACGATAATTAAACTACATCCAGACTTCGATTAACAAGTTTTTATACCTTGGACAAGCCCAATCTTGTTTCGTCGAGTCAAGTAATGTACCAACATAGGTTTTTCCTCGCCATGTGACATTAACAACGAGTACACCTAAAGTACAAAAAGCAAAATTTAGATCTACCTTAGTGTTTTGTTTTTGTATGACAAAATAAGACTTCTAGTATTACGATAGCATAGAACAAGAAAAGAAAAAAGTTTTTTCATCTTTAAGTAACTGATGCGTATGATTAATTGATTTCATATCTTACACACAATTGTTAATTGAGCTGGAAAATAGAAATTAGTGGATGGATACTATCAAGAAAACAAGAGTTGCTACTCATCATCATGATAAGATTACATCGATAGAAATAAATCCATCGACGCATTATTTTCTAACGATCAATTCTCGAAATATACTATTGATACAGGAAAAAAACAGAGCTGGCAACATCTGTTACGTCTGATTATTTATTACTGATGTTCTAGCCTATATACACTCGTGTATGTTTATTATTATAACAACGATGTTGATGATAATGTACTGCTTTTTTTTCTTCTTTTCTCTAGATGACTACAATGATTGTTGCTTACCGCTGTCGGTTTCGTTCCAAACGATGCCTTCTAAAACGACGCTTGTACCCTAGCAGAGAAGAAGAAGGAAAAACGGAATGAATGTATTACATTACGGGAAGGAAATAGAATTTAGCGAAAAAAGAAAATAACGTACGGGCTCACAGGGACCAAGATGATCAGGTTCAGTTGCCAAACCAACGGAGACTGTTTCAACACAAGCATCGACTTTGGCTGAGGACGACGACTGCTTCATAAAACAAACAAAAGAATAGTGTAGAGATGGTGTTTTTTTAAACAAATATGTATAAATATAAAAAAAACGTATTCCATCGTTAAAATTTGTGCAAATAAACGCGAGATTAGCAACTGCTACTGTCAGATTTCAACGACAAAAATCAACAAATTGACATACATACATTTAAATCATCTCGTTTAAATCGTTTTGTCGAAGAAATATCATCGATATTTGGCGTTAAATCATTATTATTATTATCAATTGTAACAGAACGCTTAGTTGCTTGTTGTTGTTTACCATTAAATGCGGGCGATGATGGACGACGTGTTGGAGTTGTATTATTCGATAGAGAAGTACGTTTTAAACGTTGGATATTTGTCGTTATCGAATGAGAATTATTATCTTCTTCCGACATGTGTGACGATGGAGAATTAAAATCGTGTGGTTGTTGATGTTTTGCAGTATGCCGCTTGATTTTCAATACGAGCGGAGATGACGGCGATGAACTATTGTTCATCTCATTTTCATTAGATATTTGAGACTGTTGTTGGGATTTTGATGACGTTAGTATAGTTGAACGTTGTTCAATGAGAAGATTCATCGTATAATGACGAGGCGGCTCATGCTGTTGCCTTGCTTGGTCTTTGTATGTGTATATGTGTATATGTGTGTTTGTTGGGTGGTCCTATAACCGGGCAGAGAGTGAGAGAGAGAACAATAACAAAAGCACATACAAGAGAGAGAGAGAGGGGGGAAGAAGAAAAGGAGAAAATAACGCACGTATTGGCAATTAAGGACGGACTCGGATTAGAAGAAGAATACGAAGAAGAAAGTCATATTGTAGACTGTTTGCTATTTCTATTGCTACTGCTGCTGCTGTTACTGCTTCTACTTCTACTTCTCCTATGCTTTATTCCTTTTCCTTCTTTTTCTGCTTTTTGTCGACGGGTCAGTCTATTTCACATTTGTGAAGAACAAAGAAAATATTAACATGACGAAAAGAAGACGAGGGAGAAGGAGAAGGAGAAGAAGAAGAAGAAAAGATCGTTTGTCGTTCTGCACACACGCATACTCTATTCAGGGCTACGTTTGCTTACAGAGAGTGATGATCGTCGTCGTGTCGTTTTTCCTTCTTCTCTTTCTTTTTCGTCTCTCGAGAAATGAATGTGTCGATGCAAAAGAGATATTTTTCTCCTTCCCTTGCTTTTCTATTATAGGTTCGTGCGTTCGTTTCTTCGTTCGGTCGGTCGCTCTCGTCCGAAAGGAGGAAAAAAGAAGAAAAATGTGGGCTCTCACTCGTCTTTTTGATGCCTATCTTACGTGCATACACTCGCGCGTTTGTATGTTGTTGAAGGAGTTTCGGACGGGCACACGTTCTTTACCCGTTCGTTTGTTCGCCTCCTTCCTTCCCCTCTTCTTTCTTTACATTTTTTAGCCAACACGCAAAATGGATTCGAGGTCTACATATGTCATTGCTCTTGCTCGCTTCCGCGTTCTCATCTTCCCATTTCCATCTCATCACCGTCATTGTCGACAAGCTTCATCGGATTATAATGGTAAATTCGTAGCTGTAGACTAGCTACAATAATTTCATACAAAACGAGATGTCTATAGGCAGAGAAACACTTCGGTTTCTTTCGTTTCTTTCTCTTTTCAAGAGATTCTCAAAACATTGAATGAAGCCTTGTTTTTAATTGACATCTCAATTTCTTCTATTTCAAGAGGGCAATTTTGCAAATATCGAAGAAGGATAGGAAAAGAAAGTAAACTGAATTCGACATTACTTCTGATCTCCACATTCGCGTCGTCTCTGACAGTACATGTTCGTATGTATGTATACTGTGTAAATATATCTATTAATCACAGTAGCAATAGTTTATATAAAGATAATGATGTTTTCGAAACTGTACATCGATAAATACACAGCAAAGAGAAAATCGAAGTAATAATTTTTATTTATATAACCTTTTCTTTTTGACAAGCTATCAAAATGATGAAGTTCGGATCAAATTTATCTGCTGTCCTCCTAATCAGACTTGACTTATGGCAGTAATATCATGTATACATTAGTCTGCATACGAACTTTTATGCAAATCGATATTTGATTTTAGCGTGAACATATATATAATAGGCAATCATTATTTGTTACTATTCAATATAACATTGATCATAATCGAAAGAACGAAGAAGAAATGTGAAGAGTAGAAATTGCATAATATGAAGAAAAAATGTTCTATTATGAACAAGCACGCATATACACCTCATCGACGAAAGAGGTTGAATAATAAGATAGACTTGACTTGCTTGATAGAATATGCGTAGCCATGAATGACGAGAAAGAAAACATTTCTAGCTATTTGAGCTAACAACAACAACAACAACAACAACAACAACGACATTATCAATATTCTATATATATAAAGTGGATGATTCATCCCTGTTTCTGTGTGTGTTTTTTTTCACCTTTAATGAGAAATAACGACATGAACATCAAATCAAGCGCGTAGACACCATTTGTTTGTCATTTTTGGTTGATATGTATATGCCTCTCTTTTTCTACATCATTTTGCGTCTCTTATTGTTTGCTTGATGAATAAACAGAAATATTGATAGTAATGGCGGTAGTACTAGTCATAGTAGCAAAACAGGAAAGAAAGAGAGAGAGAAAGAAAGAAAGAATAAATTTACACAGAGGCTATAGATCTTTCTTCAAGAACATAGAATATTCGACTAGAATAGATAAACTGAACGAAAGAGTATATACAACAACAATAACAATAAAGAGAATCAACCAATATTTGTTACTAGACATCAGAGCACCTTGTCACATATGTTTTAAAGAATGAAGAAAAGAAAAAAGACACGCAGACGTACACACGAATAATTGAGTATCTGATCAAACACACACACACATGCACACATACATATGCACAGAAGCTAGCGTGACGATTTCGACAAGGAAGATGAGGGTGAAGAAGAATAGACAGATGGAAAACGCGGTGCTGTCAATGAATTAAAATAAAGCTGTGGAGGAATGGATAGATAAGATGAAGGAGAAACAGCAGATGACGATGGTGATAGTTTATTTTTGTTAGTATTACTGTGTAATGACGACGTTGGCGAATGATGATGAGAATGAAATGGTGATAGACCGAATGGATGAGGTGCTCCATGAAGAAATGGCGCCGGTGGCGGTGGATAGTAACTGGATGGATTAGTTGGCGGCGAGAAAAGCGAACCGTTGTTGAACGGATGTGGCGATAGTAGTGAAGGTGGTGTAGACAGTGTGTCTTTGGTTTTTGATTTCGATGCTTTACCTGTAAACGAAGATAGAAACGACGGGGTGATCGTTGGCGACGATAATGATTTTGACGGTGAAGGAGTTTGAACAACCGAATTATTGTATGACGAGGAATTTTCATCGGTTTTGATTGTAGCTTTGGTGCTTGATAAATCTATTGGGATTGACGGAGTTGATTGTTCGATATGATCAGTTTGGGATAAAATGATTGATTTTTCTTGTATTGACGGAGGTGGACTGGATGATGTCGTACTGGCACCACTCGTTGTTGGACTTACGCTTCGACTCGAACAATTATCACCTGTTTCATCATCGACACCGTTTCGAACGAGAGTCTTCTCTCCTGATATGGAATTGACTTCGTCTTCATCGTTGACACTAGTCGATGATGACGAAGGTGCACCACCGCCTGTGTCAGTCAGTTTCTCGATTGGTAAACTTTCCTCGGATTTCGACGGCGGTGCTTCGGGAATTTTAAACGAATTCGATTTCGATGATGCGGTACTTGATGTTACTGTTGTGCATATACCTCGACGTTTACCATTGCGCAAGATTCGTTCGGTTGGTTCATTTGATAAAGAATTTTGATTCGACTGTAAATGAATAGCGGATTGCAAGGACGACGATGAGGATGATGATGTTGTTGTTGTTGAAGTCAGCAAATAGTCTCGATTATGATTGTGATGATGATTGTGTCGATTATGTTTGGTAGGACGAACATCGGATTTGTAGCTATGAATAATGAAGAAAAAGAATAAAATGAAGCAAATAACAACAAATTTAATTGTCAATAGTCTTTATTTTTATTATTATTGTTTCGAGTTTTTTTTTCGTCTTTTCTTTCTTTCTCTTTCGTTCTTTTTTTAATTTTAAAATGGTTCGCTCAAGTGAGATAGAGAGTGAGTTCGAGTAGCCTCTTCAAGAACGTCGTATAGAGTGAGACTCTTCATAACATACATATTCCCGTCTTCTTCTCGCCTCTCTTTATTTCTATTCATGATTAAAAAGGAATTGCCTCTAAGGCAATACTTACCGTGGTGGAGCCCAATTTTGTTCAGTTGTATTAAGCAATGCGCCAACATAAGTTTTGCCTAAAGCACATTACATTTAATGAAATTTAAGAGTGAATAGGCAGAAAAAGAGAGTACTTACCACGCCAAGTAATATTTACAACAAGTACACCTAAAAGTTAATACATTTGAAAAATCGAATGAAATATATTGCAGGTAGAGAGATGTATCTTACCTTTGTCTGTTTCATTCCAAACAATTCCTTGTAGAACGACATTAGTGCCAGGTTCACATGAACCAAAAGACGATTCATCAGTTACGGATGACTGATCAACGGTTTTCGGATGCGTTTCATGATTAGTCGTAACATGATTATTGGTTAATTCATCATTTGTATTTGTTTCATTATTTGTCGATCGTTGTTTTTTCTTCAAAAAAAAAACGAAGAAAATGCATGAATGAATTAATTGACAGATTTACACATTTATTCTCTTTCTTAAAGATAAGTGTTGTATGACGACAGCGATGAATAGCAGACAGACACAGGACAAGAAGAAGAAGAAGAAATAAAGCAGCTGCGCGCATATACACACACACACACACACATCTAGAGTGTGTGTATGTATGTAAAGAGAAAAGTAAATAGGGCGAATGCACACGCATACATGCACACATCAAGATATCATTATCCCTCGGGGATGCCGCGCGCGCGAAAGAGAAATAAAGATTGAATTTCCCTTCTGTCTTTCGCGCTTCAATTGTATTCTACACAATATATATATATTACCTTTTTCTTACTGACTGATTGTCGTTGTTGTTGTTCCTCTTCCTCTGGTTGTTGTTGTTGTTGTTGTTGTTTGTTAATATTATCACTATTATTATCGTTTGTATCTGTCGTATCATCGACTACTGCAAGTTTACGTTTACGTGACGATGACGACGACGATGTTTTCGTTGTTTTAACTTTAACTTCAACAGTTGTCGTCGTAGTAGTCGTAGTCAATAAGGTCGTATCATTTTCATTGTCAATTGATTCTGACAATTGTTGTTTAGTTGTAGTCATTGAATTATTACAATCGATAGATTGCTTTTGTAGACGAGTAAATTTTTCATCAAGTTTGCCTGGCGAAATTGTGTTCGAATTAGTCAATAAATCTCCTTTGTTATTGTTTCGTGGAAGTGTCAGACGAAGACGTTTTGCTGAATCAGTTTGTGATGATGGTGAAGAGTTAATCATCATCATATTAGATAAAAAACAAATGTCATCTAGAATACAATGTAGACAAATGAAAGCATTAAAGATGATAACAGAGACAACTCTCGATGCACAAAAAGAAAGCAGCTGGACTTTTCATGCTGACTTGAATACACATATATACTGCAAATGATTGCCTTTGCTTTCTCTTCTCTCCTCTTCTCTCTTCTCCTCTGCTCTCTCTCTCTCCCTCGCCGCCACTACTGCAAAAGAATAGCCACTTCACGCGCGCACACACACTTCGCTCTCTTCTTTCCTTCAACACAAACATAATTTATAGATCTACTCGCTCCTTGCGCTCTTTCTTTTTCCTATACGTATTTAACGCTTGTCGCGCACTTGAGTGTGTACAATTACAGATTCGCTAGCCTTCTCTTTCTGTCGTTCATCGTATGATAACACATACGTATACACATACATATATACACCAAACGTATACGTGTATGTACACGATGAACTCTCTCCTCCTTCTTCTGTTCGTTCGTTCATTTATTCATTCATTACTGCAATCAATGCTTGCAGACATCTAACATACAGGCAACAGAAAAGCAAAGAGGAAGAGAAAACGGGGGAGAGAAAGAGAAATCATCAAACGACGCGAATGATTAGAATAACAATCGACATCAAGTGCGTGTGTACGACAGGAGACAGACGGCGGATGAACGACAGAGAATTCACTTAGCACGAAGGAGTGAACAAGTGAGAAAGAACACCCTCTTCTTCTCTTTATGTCGATTAGGAAGATCTGTTGCCAGAAGGCATAAAGTGACAGCTTCGTTACTAGTAGACATTCTAAACCATCGAATAAATATTGAATTTCAATCTTACCCATCTTCGATTGCTCATAAAGTACAATATGTATTACTCGTCTTATTCGACGCTTTTGTGTTTGTTAATGTGAGAGAATGTATAAAGATGAGTACACGTCAGGAAACAGAACACAAGCGCATACACATATACAAATCAAGGTGAGATTGAAAAGACGCATGATGGACGGGTAGATGAATGAGGTGTATAATCATTGTTGTCGTTTGAGCGACAAATTGTAAGTATACGTATAGGGTGAGGACGGTGTCGAAGAAAAGGAGACGATAACGACGACGACGACAACGACGACAATAATATAAGCATCGATCGTTGTTGATTACATCACATAGTGAACGGATTAGCTATGGTTGTCGTCATTCATGTATTGGCGCCTCCCGTGACATTTTATTCTCTTGCTGCTGTGCAACTTCACATAGGCACGATAAATTGGTTGATTAAATATTGACGGTATACACATGGATGAGAGACGAAGAGAAAGATACGATGGCAGCATGACAACGAATCAGAGAAGTGTGTGCGCGCGCGTGAAGTGGCTATTCTTTTGCAGTAGTGGCGGCGAGGGAGAGAGCAGAGGAGAGGAGAGAAGAGAAAGCAAAGGCAATCATTTGCAGTATATATGTGTATTCAAGTCAGCATGAAAAGTCCAGCTGCTTTTTTTTGTGCATCGANAGAAAAAATTAATAAATTATAAACAATTTGTATCGGTATGTTTGTCGGGAAAGTCGTTTCGATGACTGGAAAGAAACGACACAAGTGTTGTGAATAAATCCGATAGAGGAGAAATTATCATTTAAGAAGATTAAATAAATGAAAAGAAAAAACTTCCAGTTGAGTGATTTCATATAGGCAATGCATGAAAATTAAATACAAAGAAAGTTATTCATTGAATTCATGAGAAAAAGACGATCTACGCTTGAATTAATCGATAGAGAAGAAAGAGATTTGCGTCCTATCCTAATCATCATCATTACCGAACTGAATCGATTGATTTCGACGACATATAATTAGAGTTTCGTCATATTTTTATTATCGAGTAATAGCATTGTCGTTCTGTATGTTTTTTTTTCTCTCTACCAATTTGTTTGGTAGATTAACGGTTTCAAGTTCAATTCATCTCGAATGTCATGCGTGGACGATAGTTCAACATCCGAGAATTGCTAGTCAACTATAGATTAAATCCGGAAACCAACTAAGAATCACGAGTTCATTCATTTCCGTTTTTTGTCGTTTCTATGTGCGAGACACTGCTGGCCTGAAGACAATTGTTAGTAATTCAACGAATGGATAATTAAGAAAATGTGTCATTCAATATGAAAAGATTTTCTTCGATTTGATCATTATCATAACTTGACTTAAGTTGACAATAATTGTTGATGATCGTATGAACTGATAAGAAGTAGGATGACTTTTTCTCTTGTGTCACTTAGGTTATATCAATCTTATCTGATCTATATCGGACCTAGTGAGATTTTCTGATCGAAAAAGTCGAGAGTATTTCTATCGTCAATGAAAAATATTTCTTACTCATCACAGATAAGATAACTGTGCAATCAAAAATAAAAACAAAGTACAAACTGTATTGTTACATAACTACTTCAATGAATACTCACGAAGTTTCCTACCCATCGAACTGAGTTAATTTGCGAAAATGTCAACCTGTTTATGTGAACTCACCGATTGTTATTAGTCTTGTTTCCACCCATTGTTCCTAATGTAAAAAAGATGTACTTTTAATGACAAAAAGTTTGCACAGTCACAAAATACATCTGCCCATCTGCATTTTCTCTCACACCCCTCCGTGCTTATATTGCATATAAAAAAACCATTAAATCATATTTTGATCACCCCTGATCTACCCAAGAAACTCCAAAGACTTCAAGAATGAAAACAATTCTACTCATTTTCGTGACCCTTTTTGCTCTGGCCTTTGCATCACCTGTGACACCTGTAAAACCTCCGTCAATTATCGAATCACTCTCTCATTTGTTATACATTCATTTAAATCCGACTTTTCAAGGCACACTTCAGCAGTTAATTCAACTCGTTTTTCAATTCGGTGAACGACTTTTTCAACCAGTTGACCAAAGACCAACTCGTTCGAACGGACCCGTTCCCGCACAATGGGTTTCGCAATTATTCGGCGAAGTTAACAGCATAGCCACTCAATGGAATAATCAGGTTACTCAATTCTTTACCAATATTCCTACTATTTTCGAAAAGCATAGTCGCAGTTTCTTCAGTCTTTCAACAATCACACACACGCTCTACGATGCCGTAGAAATTCTTATCAATGAATTAAAAGAATTCTTTGTCAATCGAATTCGACAAGTCATGCTTTCAATGATGGATAAACAGGGTGTGAAACAACAAAAAGGTGGTCGTGCATCAGGTGAATTCAGTTTCGAGATTTTCTTCAACGTCTTTCAACAACAAGTATCCACTATTTTCGAACAAGCCAAAGGACAATTGATTGCAAATATTGACAACGCAATTCATTTTGTTGAGACATACTGGCATGATTTGAAAGATGGCATACTTGATCACATCTTTTAAATAATTAAACCGAGAAAAATAAAGGAAAGTGTTTATGCCTAGTAAATGAATCAGTTTTGCTACGAAATTTTTTTCAAAATTATATAAACGACTCGATTTCTACATTCGTATCAAATCACCTTCGAAAACATCTTCGTACCTGAAATGTAGACTGATTGATGAAATTCTATGCCGTAAACAGACGAAAGAAAACTGATAGGCCTTTTCTTAGTATAGACGAATAGACGGCGAGCTTCGATAACTGCCATATAATCCAATCAAACGCTCATCCTTGACAGTTTATACGATAGGAACAACCTTGATATAGCAGTCATAGAAAGCTTATTACTTCAATCGATAGATCCAACAACAACAACCTGTGCATCAATTCGATAGTCAACTGTACAACATGTATATATTAGACGAATTTGCTTCGTATATTAAACATAATGGGCTTGATGTCACTACTCATTTTCTAGTAAACGCCCAGTGTTGATAGTCGCTGAAGTGTAGATTTTTTTTTTCGTCATGCACTTGTAACTTTTCGAAGAGAAACAAAACAACATTCACTGAAAATCGAACGAAAACAAAAGTTTAAAGTACCGAAAATAAGTAATCGAATGTTCTGTTTGCTTTCAAATGTTTTTCTACAAGTCAACCTATCAACCATGCGAGTAACATGAATCTCCTGTTTTCTATCTATTCACCATCTCCATTTTAGCATATTAAAAGGAAACTAGACTGCTTTGACGTCATCGACAAACGAAGCACATAAAAGATTGACATTGTTAAAAGAAGTCTATATATATGCGAAGTCTTAGTTCATTTTATGAATATAAATTGCATTATTGATGATATATTTAGTCTTAATATTCTTCTGTTGCCAATAGGACATACGGGGTTGGAGAAAACAAGTCAGTTTGATTGTTTTTTCAAACGTTGTTCTAATGCTTTCGAGCGTTGACGATCGATCTGTTCCATTTCGCGTATTTTCTAAAAAAATATATCGTTCGCGATTGGTTTTTTGTCATCGGAAGTGAAAGCCTTTCTTACATCAGCAATTTCATTTGAAATAACCTCTTGATATTCTCTTCGTTTACCAAGTAGCGTCATGTGTTCAAGAAATTCTTTTCTCTCTTCAATTTCAAGTACCACTAGAAGGTTCGAATTAATCTACACAAAAGAAAAGCTCCTTTTAATTCAACCTACATTCATCGAATCGATCTATTTCGCGATTTGCACTCGGCGAGCAATCGCTGGATTTACAGGGCATTTTTGACGGATCAATACCATATGCCATGAGATTTGCCAAACGATCTTTCTCGTGATCAGTGCGAACTTCTATACAGACAAAATATATAACATAACAAGTGAAGCACAGCCATGACAAGATCAGAATTACTCGTTGGCCTCGGACGATAATCAGATTGAGTGTATGCATTTGAATTAACAATGTCGTTATAAGTACGTAATCCTGATGGCTGTGAGTTACTAGAAGAGATCGGGGGCTTTTTCAGAAAATTAAGTAGTCATTTGTATGTACTTCGACGGCCGAATCGGTTTTACTCGTTTAGCTATTGGTACTTTTGGTTGAATTGATAATGGCTCAGAATTTGTTGACACGGATGCACCGCCTAAGAATTCTCAATTAGTTACATGATTCTCTTTCAGATCAAAAAGATCAAATAGCTGCTTTCATATTTGTTTTAGATTCGGAGATCTTTCTTACGTAGCATGCCATTCGTAAGTTGAGAGAATTGAAAGCTATTCACTCGTGCTTCATCGGCAAGTACTATAAAAATCGAAACGAGACATTCATTCACGATTCATCGAAACATCTTTTACTTTTCAACGATCTGTTTGTTTCCTTAGCTTTATTTTTATGATTTACACGCTCAGGTCTACGATCATCCCATAGACCATCGTCATTGAACATTGTTCTTTTCGTTTTATTTGACTCTTAGCTGTGCAATGTAAACAAAAAGTCTTATGCTGCTTTACTTTGTTTCTAAGCAACAGCCTTCATAATGACCCTTGAAAATCTTGTTTATTTCTGTTATCGAAAGAATCAATTTTTCATCGTGCGTTTATCAAATATCGTATTATGTAGACGTACATGGAGACGTGATTTTTTCCTCGCTCATGTCTTTTTCTTTTCTTCATCGATTTGTTTATTCGCTACGTCGGCCGTCGGTTACAACTCTATACCGCCAACCATCGAACGAACACACCCGCATCGAGTTGATTAGAGAGGAGAACATTCTGGATAGAAAAAAAGGAAGAGGAGGACCGAAGAAAAAGAGAACGAGAGAGAGAGAGAGAAAGAGAGAAAAGGAGAAACTCATTATACGAAGCATACATGTCCCATGCGAACGAGCGCGCGAACGACCGAACAATATCCCTTTTCATTTGAACTCTTCTCTATCCGTCGATGTGTCCGATCGCCACACACGGAGAAGGAGAGAGAGAAGGTCAACGACGTACACATATGCGTGCACAACACACGAACATGAACTACGCGATAACGCACAGGTCGTATAACTGAATTTCTATGAAATAACAATCTCAACAACATTGCTCTAGTCTTCTATTGATAAGTTGTTTTGTTGATTATTTTTCTTTTTCGACAGGACGAATAGTACCGGAAAATAATTCGCATTTTTTTCTTTTATTCTTTGTCATGCTTGATGACGATGTATTCGACACGGTTTTGTTTCGTTGCATTACCGATCTAACACGTAGATTTGTAGGTAAACAAGGGACATTTTTTCCTCCGTTAGATTTTTCTGTCGATGTAAACTATGCAAGGGAGAAAAAGAGAATATAGAAACAGACAGCTGTGCAAAAAGAGAGCTCGACAAATTTTTGATAATCATCATCGTCATCAGCTATGAAGAAAATACAAATGGAAGAAGGGGCAGGCAAAAATGTCTTGTAGGGGCTTTTTTCGTTCTCTTTTTTTTTCGCCCACACACAAGCGCTCTTTTCCTCATACGCGCGCATACCCTAGTCTATTTTTGACGTTAATGCGGACGTCAGTCAGCCTCGATCATTGTTGTATGAGTAGACTTGCTTCTTTCTTTCTTTTTTCCTCCGTTTCTTTTTTTCTTCGTCCAATCACAAACAGCATATAGGGACGTAATGTAATAGTGCCTTTCTATTTGTCTGTCGTCACTTTTTTATGTCTATGCATGTGAGCCCCTCCGACCCTCCATTTTCTCTTTCTTTACAAAGCAACATAAATACTGCTTATTAATGTCTCACCTTTTACCAGTATTTCAACGAGTGAATATAATCTCAACTCCCGCTAGATGTGTACTCTATTCGAAATGAAAAATTTTCAATTTCATTCTTCTAGATTAGCTCTTATTTTTCTGTGTTTTCTGTCGTTACAATCGACATTTTACTGCACATATCACCATGCCAAATATGAATATGATCAACCGAAAATCGCCTGTTAAACAACAGCGTATTAAGCATTCACATTCAATACCTGTGGCCAATTCAAATACTGGCCGTATGAGATCTACTAGTAGTATGGCATCTTCTTACCCGAGAATGTACAATAATAATAATCATTATCATAATTATCATTATTATTCCAATACAACTTCTCCAACTGCTATGTCAGCTAGTTCATTACCTGCTGTACCCTTGTTTTATTCGAATACATATGCTGATCCACCTGAATGCTCATCGTTACCGAAACCGCCTGAATCATGGTATTTACCATCATCCAATGTTGATAATTTACCGGTTAAAAACGAAGATAAAGTAGTAGAAGAAGAAATAAAAGAAAAAGTCATTGAAAAAGATATTTCAACACCTACCAAACCGAAATCTGTTCTCAGTTCAAATCAGCAAACGAAACAAAATTTTCCGCGTCAATGTTATTATAATAATAACAATCAAGGTTTTTATAGTCCATATTATTCGTCTAGAGCAACATCAGCGTATCAAAAATTTCCAACCCAATATATTTCTGTTAAAGCTTAGATCTTCGGGGGCAAGTGTTATCTTTTTTTTTCTTCTTCAAAATTTATCTTTCTTTCTTCTGTCTCTCTCTGAGAATGACTTTCTTCTTCTCAATACATATCTTTCTTCTTTATCCCTTCTTTTTCTAAATCTGTTTGGCCCCCCCTCGTCGAAAGGTTCGAATTTTCTTCTGTTTTCTGTACAGTAATGCTTTGTCTCTCACGCAATCTCTTTCTATGTAAATGATGTATTTATGTGTTTGAGCATAGCAAAGCAGTATTTTGTACATACGGCTGAGCCTCTCTGTGTCTCTGTCGACGACGAGGACGGTGATCCTACTGTTTGTGTGTTTTCTTTTCTACTCATCACTCCCCCTTCATTTCAAAGACAAAGATATTGCAATAGTTTTCTTTTTTTTGTTCTTCTCTCTTTCTGTTTTCCGTGTTTAATGTCGATGTGTACACCCTTATGTGCGTTTCTATATATACATATATATTTGTGTTTGTGTGTGTGTGAGCCGTCCACAATCACCATCATTTATCAGTCGGAGGACAACAACAAGAGTCACTTCTAGTCTTTTTTCTCTTCTCTCAATGTTCGTTTGTTTGTTTGTTTTTTCTTTTTCAATTTTGATTCGATGCATTGTAAGCACGATTAGAAATAGTTCTTGTTTTGTTGTTTCTACCGAGTTCGCCTGATCGACTGATAACAGTGAAAAATTCTGTTTGACACTAATTTATTAATGATATAGAAAAGTTGCCTTTATGTTTCTTTTGAAAAACTTCTCTTTTTGTTTTCTTTTTTCTCACTCGACTGTGATGTGTATGTATATTTGAACGAAATTATCGAAATACAATCTGTGAGCGAGAGAAAAGAAGAGAAAAAGTGTTCGAAAGAACGTTCGTTTTCTTTTCTGATTTTCGTTTTTCTTTTCGATCTTGCGAATCACGGTGTATGTATGTGTGTGCGTGTGCCATTGTATGTCTGTCTTCCTGGAATATGTTTTCTTCTTCTTCTCTGGTTTATTCAACGTGCAGTCTTTCCTATGTTGTTGATTTTGACTTTCGCGATACTTTGTGACTCAAGTCAGATTGTACATCAAGTCAGCGCTTCTACAACACTGTGGCAAAGTCTATTATCAATTTTCTGTTGTTTTCTTTTTCTTGTCGTTTTTCTATGTTCGTGTTAGTCCATTTGTTCCAACTAAAGTGCATGTCCTGTTCAGAAAAAAAATCTTATATCTTGTTATTTCTTTGGGTCACGAGGACACTTGGAAGGACTTATCAGGGATATGATAAGAAGTGCACAGAAAAGAACAGCATACTGTTATTAGAAAGATATGCCAGAGGTATAGCGAAAGGATGACTGTGTGTGGCTTTTGTTTGGAGTGCCTGGATGCTTGTGTATTTAGTATATTCGGGATGATTCGAGAAATAATGTGACATTGATAAAAAACAAATTGCGTCACCGCTTATTCAAGCAGCGGATATCCATCGACGTCGGCGAACCATAATTATCTTTGCCCTTGTGTCATCAGATGATTGTGTTTATTTATTAGGACTGTTCTAGTTCTACTTTTTGCTTTGCCGTTCTCCTTACTATTCTATCCCGTACTGGTAAAGTCTGGATTGACGAGGTTAATAAATGTTACTTTGCAAATATAACTTGAGTAAATCTAATCGTCTCATTTATTGCTTACGCACAAAGAAAAGTTAATATTGGTTCGTATAAGTCGCTCAGGCCTAGTCCTCGTATGTTTTTCTCTTATTCTTATCATGGTGAATAAGTCATATGACGCGCGATTTACTTGTAAAAAAATCGTCATCCGACGTGTGTTGTTTTTGTTATGTTATGATATTTTATTTAAATCATGAAAAAGGGGGAAAATGTAAATTTAAACGGATATCAAATAGTGAAGAGTCATACACTACAAATTTCAGAGATAAAAGCTCATTTCAAATACAAATACGAGATTAGAGTATATATGAACAATCGGAAGACATGAAAGACACGGATAAAGAATAGAAATAGCATTCTTTCGTCGAATCATAGCTTTTCGTAGATACTGAGAAGATTTCGTGTAGCAAGGGCGATGTCGTAACAATCATCAATAAGAAAATGAGTTGGTGATGTTGGATTGTCATCAATGGCCATTGCGTGAAATAACAATTGCTGTGTATTTGCAATTAACATGTTCAGATTTGTTCGGACATCTTCATTACAGATCATCTAAGAAGGGAAAGATAAAGGTTGATATCTGCAATTGATTTCGATCCTTCGGGATTAGTATTCAAACACTGTTTTCTTTCAAACGATCGGATTTTTGTGCTTACTTATTTCATAGAATGAATACTAGGAGATAGTTCAAACGAACAAGTATATGTTTGTACTGGGATGAGTAATATCATGCGTACTTACTCGATGCGATAGTTGAATCATGTCTTGAACAGAATGATTGATTCGTTCAGCATAAGCAACATATCTTCAAGAAGAAAAATACCGATGGTTATCAGATGTATGTTTTGAAAATTATACCGATGAGTTTGATTTTGTTTAATTAGTGTAAAAAATTCCGTGACGTGATAGGTGATGTTTCGTGTATGTTCGATCACATCATTATGCCATGGTACATGATTAAACGAACCTAGTCGATCATATGCAGAAATATATTAATGTTTCAGCTATTAAACGGAAAATATTACCTTTACGAACGAGCGTTGATGGCGAGATGAGTTTTCTGCGGCCTTCGGAGCAAGAACGAGACCGCTGGATACTTATTGGAATCTCTCGTTTGTACGGTTGATACGTGGGATTTGTCGCCGATTTCGGTATAGATGGTTCGATTCTTCGACTGAGGAAATCTGTATGCCGATACGAACGGGAAGTGTCCGACGAATATTCGTCGATTTGTGGAAACCGATGGACATTTCGACTCGATCTAAAAATATCAATGTCTCAAATAGAATTTTCAGATTTTGCCAGTTAGTACCGTTTGTCACCGCTGAAGATCGTCGTTGTTGTTAAGTTTGACAATGGACTAAATTTTTGAAAGAGAATAGAAATCATTTGGGTGAATTGAACGACTCACTTGTCCGGATCGTCAAGTAGGGTTGTATTGTCGTAGTCACTTTCGATAAATGGACTTGATTTACGACTAATGTTATCAAAAAATAGTTGAGATGTCTAAAGAAAAGAAAAGAAGAGAAAGATGAGAATACATGCAGATACTTCTTCTATATGGTATATTAAAACATAAACTATGGTCTAATGAATTAGTGATGATTAGTATTGCTACTAAGTATCTACTTCGCATCGTGATGAGTGTCTAAATATCAACGATAACCTTAAAAATCATTCTTCTGTTTCATTTGTAGATATTTTCTAGATAAAAGAGACTCTTTTCAAATGTTCAACGATTTGAGGTCGCTCGAAATAGATTACTCGAAGAATAATTTTGCTTGTTTCATCATTGATGGCAGGTACTGATGTCTGATCCGGAACTTGTTGATCGAGTTTACTCAAAAGATTTTCATCGAGTAGCCGTTGAATCTATTCAGAGATACATATTGACTAGAAATGTGGCATATGCATAAGCTCGTATGTTTACCATCTGATGTAATACCGCTAATTCATTTTTGAGATCCAGATGAGCAGATGCCAAATATTTCACTTGCAATTCTGTATTTGCTACACGTGTTCTCAAAGGATTTGAATGATTCGATTCGGCGATTTCTTCGTGAAAATGATCAGATCCAGTCGTAGTCTAAAGAGATAGCCAATAAAACTTCCATCAAGTAAATTATTAGTTTTATCATTACACATAGTGATGAGAGTGCACCATTCTCTGTTGAATCTTTATTGGAATGATTTCCAATCTTTTTCAGTCTTCTATTCTGTTTTGTTCGCTTTTGCTGTTCTAAACTACTGGATTCTTCATCGGACGCAACTTTATCGTAATACGGTTCATCATCGGATTCAATCAATGCTGCTGCCAAATCATCGTTGCGTCGAGACAATGCTGGACCTATACGAACAAAGCGAAATATCCTGAGGGTATTGGAATAACATATATCGGTTTCGAGTACTTTTGACGGATGGTGTTCGTTGAATAAAATGAAAGTATCGTCGGCGAAATTCATCCAATACATCATAAATAAATCCATGAAATTCTTTTATACCGTATCGAGCTAATTTCTGCCGTCCCTATCAATCGATCGGACAAAACGTTATGTTTTTCTATCTTGCGGTGTTCGTACCTGATTTCTAGTTGCTGACAGTGTCGGATTAACAGGCAGAAATGGAACAACATGTAGAGGAACTAACGACTTGTCCACTTGTGTTTGCCACACTGCAGATAATGAGAATGGAACAGTGTTAGACTTGAGATAGAAAAAACAACAACAACAGAGATTTACTTGATTTTAATTCACGTCGGTCTACTTCATCGAATATGTCCATAGCCAAATCTTCGAAAAGCGTATCTGATAACTGAAATATGGTACATCGAAAAAGGAATTTCCAAGTGCGCAAATATTTCTAACGTACTTGTTGAAGTTTCTGACGAGCAATCGATGTTGGAGAAGATCTATTCATGCTATAAAAATAAAATTGAGCTTCGACACTACCTCGTCATTCAGATTCTACTTACATCTTATCACAATTAGCCAAAAGAATGTGTTCATCAGTTTTATGATCGGGTTGTTTGCCACCAATAAAACATATCAAACGATCGGTCAATTCATACTGCAATTCAATCAAACGGTCAGCTAAATCAGTATATCCATTGGCTCTATACAAGAAAATGTGAGCTTTGAAATAGGATCGAATATTAGCCACCTGGCATGTTCGTCGGGAGGTACACCTGCAGCATCGATAGTCGCTGGATCACCACCAAAAATGCAAAGTAACTATACAATAGAATTCAGATAGATGAACGTTGCAAAATCAAACGATGAGTATACTTCGATTTGGTTTTGTTGGCCACGGCTAGCTGCAACATGCATAGCTGATGTTCCCGTTTCCTATGAAAGAAATTTAAAAGGTAAAAGTCATTTCTTCTCGGTATGAAGTAACGAACTGGATTGCGAAAATTTGGATCAGCTCCTTGGGAAAGAAATCTGAGACATGTGATAATATTATCTGTTCTCACAATCGAATGTAATTGCTAAGGAAAAGATGAAATAGTGCAATCGAAAATATGACACTTTTTATTTTCATACTAAATTTATATCTTCCAAGGTTCCATTTGTTTCGTCCTTCGATCGATTAACATAAGCCATTTGTTGATATTTAGCTCGAATGAAATCGGCTTTAATTCTATTCATATGTAAATATATACACAGCGAATTCATTTTTCTATATGAATGAGTATGATTTCTTACGGGAATGCATCATTTGCTGTTGGCTTCTTTCGTGGCAATTTATTGTGTGGATCACGGAGGCTATATTCCCAAATTAGATTAGCACCATGTGAACTTAATTCATTAATTAACTTAAAGTACAAAAAGAAAATAAGAAGAAACATTCGCTTTTCTCCAGTTGGAAACCAACGGAACTCGTACATTAAGTTGTGTCGGTGACCAGTGACTTTTTTCGAGAGATTTTATTTGCGATATGTGTCGGCCAAGGCTCAGATGTACACTAGAACATTCGTCGCAGACGAGCACACCATGATTGATCGAACACCATCGAGGATCTGATAAGAAATACAAAGACGACTTCGATATAATAGATCATGTCACATAATCATCGATTATTGTTAAGACATTTCAACTATTGATCTATCATCAATAGCAACAAATGACTGTTTATACAACAAACACCAAACGAACATAACTTTGTGTTTTAGCTGTTGATTGTATTTCAACAACATATTTCTTCTTCCATCAATTTGGAACTATCAGATTCATTATTCTTACACACATGGTTAACATACTATTTCTGATGACTTGCCAAGGACACTCAATCATGTTCTTTGGTCATTAATATCTTGCCTTCTCGGATTTAACGTAATATGTCAATATGGTATTTTTTCATCTCGACAGAAAGAGCAATTCAAACATCAAGGAAAAGAAAGCCCGTTCATTCATTAACACATCAAACTTGCAAAGCAACAAACACATTCCTTGCATTTCTTACCGTTTTGTCCACAGTCATGGCATTCTCTGCCAGTCGTATCCAAAGCTTTAGGCATTATACTATTACCGATTCATCTAATGCCAAAGAAAGAGAGAGAGAGAGAAAATGAATAATTTCAAACATTATGAAATAATGTCGTAGACACTTTTTTTCTCTGTCGCACGCACACACGTTCGTTCTTACTACTAAAAGAATATGTCATCTCGATCACAAGTCAGTCATAGAATTTATCCTGTTTTGTCTATATTTCTTATTTCCATGAAGAGAAGAGCAGAAAGAGAGAGAGAGAGAGAGAGAGAGGGAGAAGGAGAAAAAAACAGAGGAAAGGATAAAATAATACACAAAGCAAGGAACAAAAAAGGAATCACTTTGCTTGTTTTTCTTTGTATCTATCACTTCTTTTGCTTAAACACTAAGCAAAAGCAAATGCACACTCACACGCTTACATACAGTTTTGTTTAGCAAACAAATCTAAGAGAATTTTTTTGCAGAATGAAAGAATCTAAAGTAAATTGATATTACAATTTCATGTCCAAGTTCTATCAGAGAATTGAATAGAAAATATATACACATAGATAACAAAGAGAAATACTAAAAATAAATAAACGATAACATCAACGAGAATTGAAAATAGATGAAGAATTTATTCTTGTCGAAAGCGTTTCTAAAAAAAAATGATAATAATTTCAGTTAATAGAAGCGTACTGAATGATTTAACATACTGATTCATTTGTTTCATCACATCGTTCAGCGAGTTCAGTTTGAAAATATTGAAATAGTTTGTCCATATTGTCTTCGGATGCTTTCAATGAATCATTATCGAAAACTTTACGTTTAACATCAAGTACGGAATCGATCAATGCATCTTTTGATAAAATCTTTCCACTCTGAAAGAATAACAAACAAGACAATTGATAAGGTTTCCGTTGAAGTTCAAATATTTACAGCCAGGTTTGTTTGTATAAGAGTGAATTCAGTCGATAGATTTTGTTGACAATCACCGTCGAATGTATGAAAAACATCATGAGTGAAAATGTCACGTAGAAGACTAAATGCATTACAATTGAGGCGGATTGTTTCTTACGATTGGTGAACTACCTGTCTGCAATTACTGTCCAACTGTCATCGTGGTTGTATCGCTTCTTTGATTCTGAATCTACGATAGTTAAAAATATGAATGTAATATTGTCGATTCTAAGACGAGAAAATATACCAGATGTTGTTTCCATAGGATCATATTCTTTTGTGCTGTTTTGATGAATATACTGCATAGATTTATCTTCCGTGAATGGTTTTGGTGTTGAGTGTAAGGGTGAAGGTGCTCGCGAAACATTCGGTGTTGTGATACCTTTAATTGAATTGATTTCGATACTATGACTTCGTGCGATTGGAGTACTATTTGACGATGACGTTGTCGTATCATTGGTTTGTTCTTGTGAAGATAATGAAAGCGCATTCGAAGGAATATCATCCGAGAATGTGGATGATAGACTTGTTTGTTGAACAAGACACACATGTTGCCGATAATCAGGTGATGAATTACTATTTGATATATCACTAGTGAGAACCACAGACACATTGTTGCTGTTTGCAGGTGTGCTCGATCGTTGTTGTAAATCATTCGATGCATCATTTAGATCAGTTGCACTTGGCCGTGGCATGATCGCACGTTCCTGAGAAGTAGAAGAACTTGATGTGAATTTATGCGATTCAGGTTGTTACGTTGCGTACCTTATTTCTTTTCTTTGTTGTTTTGAAGCACGCTAATACAGAAACAGATCCTCCTGCCGTTGAAGTATTATGTGTTGACTTTGGTTCATAGCACATGCTACTAGTTGTAGCTACTGATATTGGTTTAGGATCAGCTTTGATCGATTTGTTCAGTACAGTCGTTGATGTTGGAGCTGTTGTTGCACGTACACGAAACACGGGTACATCTAAAACAGAATGTAGCTAGGCAAGTAGATGTTGGAGAAGTAATATATACTTGGATTCACGGACGTCATTCGATAAATCATTGGTCCGTGAGTTGATGGTGGTCTTTGAATTTGTTGAGGTTGTGATTGAAAATTAACTGCAACAGATTTAATCGTTTCGTCGTTTGTTGGACTTGTTCTTGCCGTGGTCACGTTCAATACTGATGGTGATGATTGTTGTTGTTGAAGAACAACTGATGAAGAACCTGAGTTGTCTGCATTTAATACTTAAAAAGAAGAGAAGAAAATGGTCAATGCATTATTCAGTCTAGTCAAAACAAAAAAAGGACTTTATCACAAATGTGATCTCTGCATGCACATTGTTAGAGGACTGATATTTCAATCTCATAGTGACTGAATGATCTGATGTCTATCTCATCAGACTAACCATGAACATTGCTACTGATAGTCGAATAAATAGGTAGAACTTTAGCAATCGGCAGTAAAATTTTGCCCACAAGTTTATCAATCAGTATACTACTTGACGAGCGTCGACGTAGTTTTCCTATAGTGGAACCAGTGTGGTTATGATCTGTTGTATTCGAAGCAAGCGCATTGGCTTGTGTACCTAGTGAAGTTTGTTGCTGCTGCATATCGGATGTGTTGGCTGTTGAAGGTGGCGACGATGTTGGTGTTGCGCTTATTGTTACTTCTTGTGCTGCTTGAGGAATTTGATCAACTGTGCACGTTGTTAATGTTACTGGTACAGTCGTAATTGGACGAATGGTTGTTGGAAGAGATTTATTTGCGTCGTCATTATGCGTTCGAGTTAGTTGTATCGTTGATGGTGATTGTGATGGTATGACGATTTGAACATTCTTTGGTAACGTCAATGTCGATGTTTGAGTTGTGTTGAGGGGCAAGTTTGTTGACCGTGCAGCTAATGAATTTGTATTGCTAGGGTTACTGTTATTCGTCGTAGTAAATTTAACGACTTTGACAGGACTCGATTGTTGTTGTTGCTGTTGCTGCTGCGGTATAGTTGATGTTGTTGTGGATGGAATCGGTGTTGTGGGGTGTGGTAAATGTTGAGTAATGTTAGATGGAGAAACGAGAATAATTTTCGTGTTGCCGATTTGAATATTTGCTGTTGGTTTCGGTACCACGGTTTGAAAATTCAATATTCGTGGTGCAACAAATAGAGTTGGTGCGGTTGTACCTTGCATCGTAGATAGAGGAGCACTTGTTGTCGGTTGAATGATCAATTGTGGGTGGTGCAGTTGTGGTTGCTGTTGAGACGATGACATTGATTGGGATTTCAATGGAGATGTTTGTTGCACTGAGTGTCGTAAATCATTTGTAGTTGACGAAAGGACTGTGAAATCATTTCGATAGTAGTCCGATTTTGACATCGTACCTTGAGATTTTGTTGCGGATGTATTCTAGAAAATCAAAACAGTATTTATGCTAATAACATCAAACGGTCAATACATACATATGCATTGATGGTGCTTGTTGCGAGTTTTGATTCTGTGCTGCTTCCATTCCGATGATTAGGGATAGCAGTAAGCATATTAACAACATATGGTGCTGTGTTCACAATCGTTTTTGCAACAAGTGCATCGACTACATCACGAACAATGTCTTCAATATTTTCTGGACCATCTTCCGAATGATGATGTTCTGCGTAATCATTATCATCTTCATCGTTAGTAAACGAACGATTTCGTTGTTGAAATGATGATAGGTGTTTGACAGCATTATAGTTCGGCAGTCCACGTTTACGTGTTATCTTAAACGAATGGTTCGACTGCGATGTTAACGAACCAGGGTGTGACGATGGTAAAATTGACGACATGTACGAACGATGTGGGTTGATGTTCGCTTGTGATATTCGATTTTGTAGTTTTGGTGAGGTAAACGAGCGTATCTGTAAAGGAGATGATGGTGGAAGTGAAATCGATTGCGATTGTCCATTAACACGTAGTAACTCTTTTTGTACAACTTCAATTAGAGTATCTAAACTTGTTTTCGGTTTTGTCGCTTGTTTAGCACGAACAAGACGAACTACTTTTGATGCTAAAAATAAACATGTAAGATATCTGTCTTCGATCGGGAAAGATTGACTCACTGGTTATATCTGTATTATTGAAATTGGGTTTGGCAACAGTATTCGTTTGTGTTTGTTGTTGCTGTGTGGCATTAATAATTCCATTATGTTTTTTCTCATCATTGAGTAATTGTTGTAAATCGTGACCTAGATATACGACCGAGATGAATCGAATGGTAGATCGAAGAAACATACTTAAATTCGCTTTAGTAAACTGTTTTTTATGTTGAATGATAGAACTAGGTGGCGTTGTTTGTAGAAGTTGTTCGGCTAGTTGAACATTGTTCGTATCTGGAGGACGATGAACCACCGTTGGACAATTACTGCCAGCTTCGACTTCCCAATTAGCTGTGTCAGACGATGAATTAATACTGAAGCAAAAGAAAACTATAGAAGAAAATAGAACAAATAAATCAGCTCTACCTAGTGGCTATTTCTGTCAGCTGTTCATCGTACAGTGCGCGTTTGATTTCGGCTGTATGTCGTTCTCGAGAAATGCCAAGTGTATTTTGAAGCACAGGTAAGATGTTTGATTGATCTTCTGTAAGGTCACCTTGAGCACGAAATGCAGCTATAATTTGAGAATACGAATTGACACCTGACAGAAAAGCGAAGTGAAATTTAATCTGTGAATATGATCAATGTAGGTCATTCGTACCCATATTCTTAATTGTAGCCATGGAACGGCGTTGTAACGTTTCATGTTCCATATCTTCATGCCTAAGTGATCGAAAATGAGATAAAGAAGATTTATTGGAAAAATTCCTTGTTCATACTGTATCCAAGTGAAGATCTAATGAAGCACGAAACAAGTTTTCAACACAAACTTGTATCGAAGACGCTTGAAAATTCGAACAAACAAATAAATAATCGAGTAAAACAAGATTATTTCTGTGTTTTTATATATCAATGAAGCGTATGTGCGCTTTAGTATTGATTATATACCAAGTATTTCTTCGCGTTCATCCGATTCGTCGATTTAACTGTCATTGTGATGAAGCATTCACACGAGTTGAGTGGAACCTCAATCGAGAATCCCAAAGCGCCAGTAAAACATTCAAAAAAGAATTTTTATCTTCATATTCATAATACTGTGTACAAATATGAAGGCAAAGTTTACTAAATTTTTGTTCCAGTCAACAATCATAGAGGTCACTCTCAATAGATACTCTGAAGATGCAATGCTACCTTGACAAGATTATATCATATGATGTATAGTGAGTCCTTGGAGAGAGATCATTGATCGATATACAATCCATCGTTTTCAAGGTATCTTTTTTATTAGAATAGAAAAGCAAAAGAAAACGTGAAAGACATTATAAATAGCTAGTTTATAAATCTCATTATGTCTATTCAATTCATTGTAACCATCGGCCGATTGTATCGCTAATTGTTTGACGTGCTTGGCGCAATTCAGGTGGATCCCATTCAGCATCTGGATACATATCAGCGCAATGAGCTGTGCCTAAAATCAATCATCGCTTATGATAAAAGTCGTAAATGATTATCTATGAACATACTAGCTAAGAATATGGCAGTATTGTTGTTTGGGGGATTTTTAGTGAAGCTTAATGCGTGCCATGGGTCAATAGCTCCATTTACGAATAAAACTCTTGAGCCAGCAAACTGTTCAGCACCATAGAATGCATTTGTGAAGTTAATGCCGCGTTCAAGGAGGTCATCATTGAACTTTGGTCCGAAGATATCTGCACATTGTTGAACGAAGAATCTAAACCAATGTTAATAAATTTTTCTTTGGATAAAATCGAAGATCTTCTCACTCAGCAGGGAAATTATTTCCAAATGGTTGTTGAGGACTATTCGATGATTGAAAAAATCCAAACTCCACACACGTTTGATATGTCCACTGACGACCACCTTCAGACGATGGTGCAGTCCATGACGTATTTCGTAATTGATTGATCGTGCTCATATAGCCAGCATCGAGACAAGATTGGCTGTATGCTTGTAATAGCATGTTGTTAACGTCCACCATACGTTGAAGAAGATCGGGTTGACTTTCATTGAGCATTGCTTTGCAGATAACATCGATAGTGATGTTTGTTGCACGTGCACCCTAGAATTTTGTTGTTAGAAGACGAATTCGATCGATTGAGTTTCACGAGCGAATAAAGGCTGTTACCTCAAATGCTCGATTGTCTTTATTGTATTGAACGACACCTTCGAAATTACCAGTTACAGTTTCGAAGAAGTTATCCACATCATTTTGAGTATCAATGGGATCGCATAAACTATTCGACGAAAGAGGATATTTCATACAATCATAAACAAGTGATTGTTTTCTTTCTTTACCGGAAAGCTTTCTGTAAAGCTGTACGACCTGAAGATGATGTGATCATGTCTTGCATTATTTTAATCACACTACTGGTGGCATCATTACACTTTTCATCATAGGTAGCAAGCGAATTACGTACAACGACTAAATAATCTATCGAAACAGACAAAATGTATATTTCTAACTTGGGTATCCAATCATTACAAACCACTAAAATCAGTTAATGCAGTCATTGGACTGCTGGCTGAGACAGCACCGTGCACAAGGTGAGGATATTTCAAACGAAACCATGCAGATAGAGAACCTGGAATAATCTACAATATTGTTCTTTTCGATTTTAAAAGTTCGACTAACCTGGATAGGATCCGCCAAATGAGATCCATTTCGTTTCTTCAGCTATTTGATATTTTCCATTGAAGAATTGACGAAATGTGGCCAGATCAGCAAGTGCCTGTTCGCTAGTAAGATATCTCAAATTATCTACACTAAGATCTCTAGAAATTCGAAAACAGAAGTCAATCAGCGTGATGTAATGTTCTTTTTCAAGGTTTACTCTGTCGGATGACTTTTGCCGTAGAATCGATGTTCAAGCATAACACATATGGCACCATGTGTTTTGGCATAATTAATCCATTGTCCTTCCGTCATCCAAATAGGATCAGCTGGACCTTCACCACCGATTTGAATGAAAACTGGTCCCCCTTGTTTCCAGTGATCGCTGTTAACGAAAAACCGTTGTTGCCATGTTCGCGTATCAGCTGGATTAAAGTGATCTAATTGCTGCGTATACCAGAGCTCATCGCTGGGTGATTTGTGTCGATGTAATGGACGTCGAAGACGTTGTCCTGGAGAGCCGAGCATACCACCACGAGGTCGTCCACGATGGAAAAATGGCAGACCATCGATAAATAATGGTAATAGGATAAATCCAATGACGAACAATTGTAGAGTATGCATGTTGATCAAATGAAGAAGAACATAAAACTCTTATCTAAATATACGTAATAACTCGAATAATCTTTTGTTGGTTTTCAAACAATGACAGTGCGAAGATATTGCTTTACAATGATAAACGATACTCGGTCAGATTAAACATGCAAAATGCATTGCGCGTCATAACGCGACGAAATACTGAAACAAGACTAGATTTCCTTCTCTTTCGATTTTTATTAAATCAGAGATATATGTTACACAAAATCACTCATACGTCGTAGTTCTCGGAGATCAAAACGATATTTATCTCGTCGAGCACGACGTACAATAATCATCGCTGGAACAATGAATGTAATAAAGAACAATAGAGTACCAAGTGAAACACTAATAAAACACACTATCAATTGCTGATTCGTCCATGTCGGCAGCGCGTCCTTCCTCAGGATAGAATATCCGTCAATAGTCGAATTTGTATTATCATGAAGAAGTAAAATATCTACACAAGCAGAAAGATATGTATTTTGGACATCACAAATTAAATTTACCTTGTGAATAAACCGTAAAACGTGCTAAGTATTCGATTAGAAGTAAAAACCCAGCCAGTTGGCTATTCCACATATGAATGTGATTTCTTCTATTGGGATAAAACTAACAATTGACACGAAGTATAGTTCATCGATGTTTGATTGACATATCCAAGCACATCAATCAATTCCCTTGATTCTTTTCTCCTCTCGCTTTCTAATATATACAAACTGTCGACCGATTAGTGGTCTCTAATGTTCATTGAAGTAGTAACGCAAATGAACCATGTTTCACTTCTGACAAGTAACAGCCGGTAAATGTTAAAGACATCAGAATGAATCAGTGGAGGACATCCTTCCATTCTAGGATAGCTGATACAGAATAAGTGTCGATAGATCGATGGATCAAAGTTTGAGTGTTAAACATTCGACATCTCGAATAACTTCTTCAGATACAGGAAAGAAAGTTTGTCTAGAAATAAAAGTTTGGTGTTATTTGCGAATATTAATCCTCGATTAGCATAATTCGCTTGTGTTTGAAGAATGTAAATAAGGTCAATTTCATATTTATTAAGAATCATACTATTTATGTTTTCTATACAACAAATAGATCGTATCTGACATGGAATATGTTTCGAGTAGAAAAGAAGAGACAGGAATGGAATCAATCTATCTGCTTTGAAGAGAAAAACAAACAAAAAATAAAGTTAAATTGAAGCATGTTTACAATTTAAATAAGCAAAGAGATTGTTCTTATCTGATTTGGTATCTTTCTTCGTCTTGTCGTATAAATGAAATTGATTTTCAATACGACGAGTCAAACTAGCAAACGAATGATTATTACTATTTTCATCATTGTCGTCGTTGCTTGGTAAATTGTTACCAGTTAAAAATGTTTCCTCTAGAAAGAATCGTTCGATCATAAATTGAGGCAAGGTATCGTTTTACCTAGGGAGTTTTGAGTGACAGCACACCAAGAATAAAATTCTTTTTGAAATGGTTGCTGAACCCAATCGTGCCGTTGAATTTCTTGCATAGTTAAACGGTGGTATGGCTGACGAATAAGTGTTGAAGTGAATAAATCATAAAGTTCGTCGGATACACGTGATTGAACGAATCGTCTATCCAATTGACAATGTTTGATCTCGTCTGGATTTAGAAATGGATATCGACGAAAGATGATTACATACAAAGTCACCATCATCGCCCATATATCAGCTACGAATGGCTGACAACTAATTAGAAAAGTGAAGGATGAAACTTGAGAGAGAAATTAGAGAAGTATTCCAACCTTCCTGTTTGAAAGAATTCTGGGCAACAGAATTCTGTAGTACCACCAAAATTACTGGTATACATATCTGCTTGTGTTATCGATATCGCTGAGCCTAAATACATCGATGTAGATTAGTGACAGTCGTAAAAACTATTGCGTTCCATACCGAAATCAATTAGTTTGATGTGAAAATCTTCATTGATGATTAAATTTTCATCTTTGATGTCTTGATGAGCGATGTGATTATGATGTAGATAACTAACAGCATCGACTACCTGAGAAAAAATGCATCGACGTCATTTATTAGTCAAAATATTCTGTGAAGAAACTTCACCTGGCGGAATATATAACTAGCTAAGGATTCGTCAATTTTAGCACCTTTTTCAATAAATTCATATAAATCGATTCCTTGACCATGCAGTGGCATTATCATTTGAACATAGTTCTCCGTATCGAATGCATCCAATATCTATCAGAAATCAAAACAGATTGGGTCACGCGATTGAGAATATCAAAGTTTTACTTCGACAATATTTGGATGTTTTAATTGTTTGAGTACTGCCACTTCGAATAAAATACGATTTTTGGGTTCAAAACTTTCCACATACCGATGAAGTTTAACTTTTGTCTTTTTGATAAATTTAATCACAACCTTGTTTGATTCATTACTTTTTTCATAACCTAAATAAACTTGCCCGTAGCCACCTCGGCCTCTCTGCCGTGTGATGACGTATTTCGACTCGAATGTTTGAGTATCATTTGCCAACAGAGATGTGTTCAAACCAGATATGGATAAATCATCAATTGGAATGATCGATTGATTGTGATCAAGTAATTTCTGCATTTCAATTAAATGTGGATCAGTGTTATCACGTGATAGCCACATGCAATATCGATATGTACCGTCAGATAGATCCAGACGACGTAAGGTGTATGTAACACCGATGAACGTTCCGTTTTTATGTTTTCCAATGGTTTGTAGGAAAACTAAAGAGATAAGAAAGTGAATTTTGAGATTTAGAAAATGAATGATGAACCTGTTTGTTCGTCTGAATCGACTTTTAACTCAGATTTCATTGTCGATTTAGCTACTGGGGTGGATGTAGTTTTAAATGAAGAAATTCCAGCAGCATTCAATCGTTTATCTACTGGAAATGAAGTCGATTGAATCTTTTCATCGTTCATTTTGTTTTCAACTGAATTTAAAACTCGAGGTGACTGGGGTGTTGTATCGATCGATGAGTCATTCAGCGTACTCGACGAACCATCACTTGTATTTGCTTCATCATCGCCGATTAACGATTGACACGAGAGATTTTCTTCATCATGTTCATTGGTTGTACTCATCGAAAGGTTGGTCGACTGTGTACCATTCAATTCATTGAATTCAGGTAGTATCTCTGTAACATGCTGAACCACAAAGTACAAATGACTATATATTTGCTCTATCGATATTCACTTACATGATTTATTAATTCGAGGGATCGAAAGCCAAGTAAACATTGTACAAAATAAGGATTATATGCTCGAATTGTATATGTTTCATCTAACATAATCAGTCCGCTAACATTCGACATAATCGAAAGGTTCAATTCAATATTTTCGTCATTGACTTTCGATAACGTAATCGTCAATGGTATGGAGAGATTCTTTTCGGTATTCAATAACCCAGTTGTTCGGTATGTTCGGTGGGTTAGTAATTGCTTGAATTTGAATTTATCTTTCAACGTTGGAATGAAATCTCCGATGTGACGAGTTTCGTTCGTATGTTGTTGATAATGATCAATCATGGTATTATGGAATAGAATGGCAAAATAGTGATCTGACGAAAGAATCGCACCTTGTTTATCACAAGTGATCTTGGCTTGCATGATATGTATAGGTTCAAATGCGTAGAAACGTAGAGGGTTTTGTTCGCCTTCGAGATCTTGGATGAATAGAGAAAAGCGCGCGCGTTCACCGGTACCGAGAAGAACGTGAACAATTTTTCCAGCAAGAATCTTTGTTTGTCCGCTTTGTTGGCTGAGAAAGGAATCAGCGATGACTGATGACGATTTCTGATCGACGATTAAGTTTTCGATTGTTTTGCTTTTCAATTCACTTTCTGTATACCAGAAGTATTCACATGCTTGACGATTGACACTTACGATCGCTGATGTTAAACGATTAACAATGAGAAAGGCACGAAATGGATTCAAACGATTATTTGGCAACGAGGTTAATTGGCATTGCGATTGGGACGAAAAACGAGGAGACACAAATGGCTTGGGAGAGTAACATAAACGATCGAGATGTTCTGTTGTGATTTGTTGACATGAAACAGTTGCTGGTTGATACGTTATAGAATGAAAGGCGTTATCTTCGAAAGCGAAACCTCGTATTGAAGATGAATGACACTGATAATAATCACTTACCAAACAAAAACTGTTGTTCGAAATTCAAACCAGTCGGTTTTGTGCTACTCGATGGAGTATGAAACGTACGATGCAATTCTCCATCTTCATTTGATGATATTCCAGGAAATGTTTGATTTAATGTATCACCGTACGTCGCCATTCGATAGCAGCAAAGAACTACTTTTCGAATTGAAAACAACAGATATGAAATAGAAAGACACTTTCGTTGCTTCTTTGTATACTATTCCATCATCTACCAATTGGATAGAACATTGTTACTGATTGACACAGAATGAGCCAATATATACACAGTAGTTTTTAATTGTTTTTTTCTGTACTTTCGCTTTTTTCGCGGTGAGTAATTTCTGTAAAATCTTCTTTTCATTCTTGATCTAGATTGCAAGACATCTATATATGCGCGAATCAAGAAAAAGCAACAATTTATCGACGCAACTCTTGTTGTCTGATGTAATTTTTGATAAAACACGGCATTCTCTTCTGTATTTTCGTTCGATTTTTTGCTTCAAAGAAAAAATTCGATGCTCTCCAACAAGTCGTCGATCAAGAATATCACAAACTCTTTCGTCAAACGCAGAAATCTGCGAAGAAAACAGTTCGGTAAGACTCGTGTGAAACTAATTGCGATCCATTCGTCTTCTCCTCTATTAGACATATTCTTCAACACGTTGCTCGATACCCTCCACCACGCTTACTAACAACACCTATTCCAAAAACCATCCAAGAACTCGATGATAATGACGACGATTCTTACATTGAAACCAGATCGATTACAATAACCAATGGTGCAAATCTAAAGCCACAAAAATATTCAACTGCTGTTATTGTTCTACCAGCTGTATCAGCAGTTCGAGAGTTGATTGCTTATGTTCCAACGATGAAAAATCTTGCTATGCGTGGTATTTTAACTGGTATACCATATTTAGGAGATAAATTCGATGATGAAGATCAGAAACTAATCAATTCAATATCTGGTGAATCAAAAGGTCAAACGAAGATGCCCGTACGCAGTAAGTGTTGCTGTAGTTTCATTCTTCGTCGAGTTGTATTGTTTCCGATTAGAAAACAAATTAGATGGACAATCTCTTGAATTATTATATCACATAATACGATCGAGTCAAACGTGCGAGCTGTATACCAATGAGCAAATCATCGATGCCATACTTCGTAAGATATGAATTTTGAATGTCGATCATTTGCAATTCGAAAGTTTATCATAGATTATCATCGAGATTCGTCATCAAAACCAAAATTACTTGCAATCGCTAGTCAAAATGAATGTTCGACAAACAGTCATCCTCTACACAGTGTAAATATTGATACATCAGATACAATAGATATCGACATCGATGATCTATGTATTAAACCATGGTGTTCAAAATTTTGTACACGCTGCTATACGTACAAGTAAGATTTAATTCATACGATGAATCACTACGAATAGTTTAGTACATGTGGGCTTCCTTATAACAAAAGTTTTTCTTCTAACTAGTTGTTTACTACATAAAGACAACTCATCTTATCTTCCACTGCCTCAAAAATTTTCTCTCACTATCGATACTCAGTCATCTCCATGCTGCCCTACGTGTTATAAACATCAACGCGAACAAGTTAAACGATCGTTATCACCATCCTATACCAACGATGAACACAATCCAATCGAAACATGTCTGCCAACAGCGACTGGCAATGTGAGAAAACGTCCTCGAAAGTCGATCCCAGTTCGTCGAATTCTATCGTCGAACCAACTGAATCTGTCTCAAAATGAAAATTTTCGTGTTGACCAGTATCATTTACACATGTCAGATATCCAAAAGAAACTTCCATCGCAACAATTATTAACACGTATAGAAAATCATATTCTCTATCAACAATCGAGCCTTGTTATGAACAACTGGACACTAACGGATCGAAGCCTATTTCGTTTATTCTACTTTCTATTCGATGGTGATCTGTGCACGATTAAACAGTTCTTTCATACTAATCGAACCTGTCGGGATCTTTATGAACAATTCATTTCCGATGCGAAATATTTTTCGGAACGAATCTCGCTTGTCGACGGACAACCATTTACAATTCGACAAGTATATCGTCGACGAATGGTAGACGGAGCAACACGAGCGTTTCTTTTTCATATAAAAAAGCATCTGAGTGAAACCAATTCATCCAGTGCAGTTAAATCAGCCTATATACCCTGTCAACATGATGGTCCATGCGCAATATCAAATAAAAACTGTCAATGTATGAAGAATGGCACATATTGTGAGAAATATTGTAACTGTTCAATTGATTGTCCACATCGATTTCCGGGTTGTTCGTGTAAAGGTGCTTGTTTATTGAATAACTGCTTGTGTTGTGCTGAAGGACGAGAATGTGATCCGGACTTATGCCATAAATGTGGTGCATCATCGTTCCCTAATTTAACTCTTGACTATGATTCCATGATAAAATCGTAAAAGTTGATTTATGAAAATCTACGACAAAAAATCTAATAGGAATTATATTTAGAGAGCCTGAAGTTGTCCAACCGGTTGTAATCGAACGAAAGTCATTGCCATCTCTTCCACGACAAACGTATCGAACGAAAGTACATGAAAACATACCAATGAGACAACACAGTGTGCGCTCGTGCCGAGTGGTTGAACCATCGTATAAAATGAGTCGAACTCAAACCAAACGGTCAAGTATGCGAATATCATTGAACTCTAATTCATCATCGAATACTCCTGGAATTACATGTGCTAATATTGGACTGCAAAGAAAACAGTACAAACAAATTCTGATTGCTGAATCTGATGGTAACGAGCTTGAAACGAACGATTGCGTTGAAATTATTTAGTTCTGTTGAAAATTTCAGTTGCAGGTTACGGTGCTTTCCTTGGCTCACCAGTTGCGTATCCCGGCGATCTAATTGCCGAATATACCGGTGAAATCATTACCGAAGAAGAAGCAGATAGACGAGGTCGACTCTATGATAAACAGGCTTGTTCATATTTATTTAATCTTGACACTGACCGCTGTGTCGATGCTAGACAATTCGGCAGCAAAATTCGGTAGGTTCAATCAAATGTGCTCAAAGTCTAACAATGCAATTTTTTCTTTGCTCAAGGTTTGCTAATCATTCATCCACGCCAAATTGTGTTCCCAAAATCAAATTAGTCAACGGTACTGCTCATCTTCATCCCATTTCTTTCTCGCATGTTTCTGCTTTTCCAGGAGATTATCGCATAGGCATCTATGCTAAACAGACCATATTTCAAGGTGATGAACTATTTTTTGAATACATGTACGATGCACATCATCGTCAACAGTTTGTTAATAATGAACGCGTCGACGATTCAGTGCAAGATAGATTAACTATTCTGAAACGTTACGATGATAATTTTATGCTTGTTCGACCATCGTACGATTAACTTTCGTTTTTGTCTTATACTGCGAAAGAATGACAAGTAAAGCTCTGTTTTTCATTGTTATTAAACTATTTATTGAAGAAAATCTAGTGTATATATTTTCTTATGTTGATCAAACGAAATAAATATGATATCTATTAACCAGTAACATCAGTGTATGTAAACCAGGAAGTTTGAACTCACTCACATTGAATCATAGACAAGATTTGCTGCTCCAACTTGTTGGCTTTAATTGTTTCTACGGGTACATTCTACTCTTGATCACAGACAAGCCATTTCCTTGAATGAGAGGTCGACTTTACATAAAACGTATGTGATACATTATTCCCGAACAAATGCTTGACTTAATTGGCAAACGACTTCTTTTCTATGTCGCAAACTAGCGAAAATATCCTAATGAGATATGAGTAATAAAGACACGAACAATAATGCCATCCTATTTCTCTTCTGTTGGCAGATGTCAGAGTGTATGGGCATATCTTGATTTATTCATCCCATCGAAATTTAATAGACGTTTTCTCGTTTGATCTCGTATAGAGTTATGATGACAATTTTTGATGAGATTCGGTCCGGATGCTCATTACAGTAATTAATCAGTATCTTTTCAAACTATTGTTAGTAAACTATCACGATCTTGAGGTCTTTGTTGTGATTGACGTACGTCATTAGAGAGTGAGTCTTCTCGGATAGTCGAACTTAGAAAGCGAAGGCGAGTCCCTTCCTGAACATTTTCTTTTGATTACAAAGTAATGGAGTAACTCAAGAAAAAGGAATTTCTAGCAGAAGATCAATCCTATTCATTTATCCTTACTGAACATTGAAGTTAACGGATACAGCTTCAAATAGATTAGTATCGAGAAATAGCATTCCTTAAAAAGACTATTCGGATTTTTATTAGACACAGCATCCTTTGCCGAAAGAAACAGCTCGACTGTCGAACTATCATTCTCTACACAATCGTAACCATAAAAAGCTCTCTCGTAAGTCAAGTGTGTCTGAATGTCTTTGTTTATTTTAGCAGATCACGCACTAGACAAAAACGATGTTACTTATTCGATCTCCAAGTATAATTTTTGCATTTATATTTTCACTTTTTTCCTTAACATTGACCATGTTAACATTTAACATTGGCTATCAACATCCGAAACAACATATTCAATTTCTCATCATCTTGCCACCAATAAATAGTATCTTTCTATTTCTGTTTTCATTAACATGGATCGAACGGCGTTTTCGTCTCTCATACATACCTTTGATATGTTTGTTTATACTCCTATCCTCATCATTAACATTGACAATTATTTCAAGTTTATTTTTAACATCATCAATAGTTCTATACTTCAACCTGATTTTCCACTGCTTTTCTACGTTGATCTATCTTATCTTATTGATACTTCTGATTACTTCGTATGTCTACGGTCGGCTCGATGCCCATGATCAATCGTTGAGAACTTCAAAATCATCTCAATTCGATAAATTCATACTTAAATCGAATGAACATGAACTGGTTTTATACATGTCACACTTTCCATGCGGTCGTCAATCTCATGATATTCAAACTATGCTCGATGATCTAAATCGACTTCATATCAACATCATTCTAACCTTAAATGAAACAAAAGAAGTCTCATTCATCAATCTCAGTAGCACTCACAACCATATGGATGTTCATTCAACACGTACCCAACGAACAAGTATGGAACATATCATTTATCCCATTCGGAAGAGCTTCATTCCAAAATCGATCAGTGATTATATTCAATTTTTATATAGTATCGTAAATAATGTCAAACAACATGAACGACAATGTTTACTTGTGCATTGTATGAATGGTTTGGGAAGAACTGGGATGACAATTGTCTGCTTGGAACTTGTCTATGAATATATGATGAATGAAAATCAACACAAAAAAGAGCAGAAATTCGTCGAACGAATCTGTCATTATCCATTTTTATTGCAGAATTTTTGTCGAGTATGTCAAGCAATAACAAACGTGCGACGAATTCGGCCGAAAAGTATACATAATCCAATACAAATTTTGTTTGTGCACGAGTTCTATGCACGTTTAAAATCACTATCTTATATGCAACAAATCAAAGAAGTGATCCATCTTAATGACAAGGTCCATTTCAGCAATTTCGAAGAACTGCATTTACCCATAGACACGTAATAAAAACATTTTTTATCTCAATTGAAAAGATAGGTGTGAAACAAGTCAAATAAAATCAAATCTCTCTCTCGCGCGCGCGCGCAATATCTTGATACATTCTCTTCATGTTGTTTTTATTAGCCGTTGTTTTGCTTCATTCAAACATCAAACAACATTATATGAATATAAGATTGTGTAAACGATTGTTACGTATGTATAGACATATCTATACTTGAAGCTAATCTTACTTTCAAATATCGGAAGAAATGTTCATTTAATTAAAACAGGAAACAGCAGGAAGAAATACTGCGAGGAAACAATTCATCTTACGGTTTAAACAAACACATCGTTGATTTGATCTACTTTACTGCTGCGTGACAGAATGGCAGAGAAAGGAGCGAAAGCTGAACGTTTCCTTCACAGCACGATGTCATGCATGGTGCGAAAAGGAAGAAAAGGATAGACGATGAAACATCTATGATGCATAGCGATGAGAAAATATTCATCCATTTACAAATAGTTCATTTTTTCGCTTTATTGACAGCATCATTTGTCCAACAAACAGAGCAGAGATATTCAGCAAGTGTATATACACATTAAGATGCGATGCTGCTGTTCCTTCTTCTTCACACACTTGAATAAGCTTTTCTTTCTTCTCTAAGTGCGCATCGTATATCCTCTCCTGTGTATTGTTATGCTTTGGAAACTCGAGATGATGATAGATAGAAAGGACAACAAAACAGACAGTTGTGAAACAACACATCCATCTGCGAGCTACTGTATTGTGTGTATACGAGGCTATTTATGGTCGACAGACTACTATCAACATACAATTTCAATCATATAAAGAAGAAGTTTCCGTTTGTTTGATGCACCCGAGTGATACTTGACAAGTTTAAATTACAAACAACTTAACGCATCAATGAAGGTAACATTCTATCCAAAAAAGAGAACTCGACAAAAGCTTGATCAAACACATTGACATGCAATCTACAATCGCGCTCTGATGTTTCCTATTCGAAAATTTCGATTCAATTTAGAAATATGTGCGTTGACATATTTGTGGAGAGATTAGATCACACTTGGACGACAATCTTCGTCTCTTTCGTTCAGTTTCGATGGCTGACTCGCATCAAATACGAATATCATTAGTTTTTCTCATTCATCGATCATTATTATGTAAAAAAAAGTCATTTCGGTTTCCACTTCATTGACATGACATGCTATTCAAGGAATAAAACAAAACGAATGAGATTCGTCAATCATATAATCTAATGATGCATTTCAAGGCATTTATTTTTGTTTCTTAAATAAAGAAAATTTCAAATCATCAAACACAGCAATGTATGTGAAATATAACAACGAAAGAGAGAGAGAGAGAGAGAGAAAAATATATATATAAAAGAAGAAAACGTTCATTTATCTCACACACACATACACATACAATGCGCATTTTGATCTCCGGTTAGTTGTGCACGGATATTGTTGCCGTGAAAAAAAGCAAACAAAAAATAATAATAATAATTAATAACAATGAACAAATCGCGTGTGAACTATACATACAACAGACGTAACATATATATATATATATAAATAGAAAAATAAAGTCAAGACATGTAGAAAGTGACCAGAACTGTTGGAAAGTTCTTCTTGTTCCAGTCTTATTTGTTTAGTAAAAACGATGGAAGAAAGAGATAATCATCCGAATTCAAGATGGGTGAATCCATTGGTGAAATTGAACGAGATGATGATACTGAAGAACGAATATCACTACCAATTGAGGATGATGGAGAAATCGAAGATGTAAGTGAACTACATGGTGAATTTTCAGGATATTCATCATGTAAGAAATGACATCGGGGACCATATGGACCTAAGAAAATGAAAGATAAACCTTTCACGGAAATACGTGCTTCGTTTAAAATNCTCTCGTAGAGAATGAATAGTTCGGCTGGATTCGCATTCACCGATGTAACAACCGAGTAAGTTTGACGCGTCGACTGCAGAGAACTGTCCTTTCACATGGATCGATTCTTGCTGCGTTCGATGATTGAAAGCGTGAATTGCAGTTCTAATTGGATGTCGAGAAAGATCTCCTGCAATGCAATTGACACAGCAGGTTCGCTGATGTATTTCGTTAAAGATGCGTTAAAATTTTTCGTCGTCTTATTTTCGTTTCTTGATGATTATGTCACGCATGCAAATTCAATTGTCTTGTCATCAAAATTTGAAAAATCAAAAGTCAACACAAACGACGATAGAAATTCTCCTCTTCCTTTTCCGAACGCATCTGCATGTTTGTTGACATAGAGATGAACATCATTGCCTTAAAGCAAGTTCAAATATGCAGGTGGATAGTCTTCTAAAGATCATTTTATCATTAAGATGGTGTAATTATTGACCATCTGTATTGATGAGCATGTGTGTGTTTGCTATCGGTATGGTAAAGAATGAAGAAATAAGCTCATCTAATCATATTTAGATTTTTTATTACATGTTTAGACAATAAAATGTGTCGATATCCAGGTGTGATTTTCACATGAACATCTGTGATGCAAAAATATTGACCAAAAGAAACAAATTTCAAAGTTCTTCTTTTCTATGGCGACGGTGAACATTTACCTGGAATAGGGAGAAGGAATAGAGATACTTTCATTACGAACACTTACGAGTTAATGTCGTCACTAGAATTGGTACAAGAATGACCGCAACTATACTAAATAGAACTGCAATTGCTGCCATAGCAAACAAGAAACGATGATGCTTATCATGCTTTTTTCGTCGTTTGACTTCGCTAGAATCGATACATGTGAAAGGAAAGTTCTCTGCAGTCGACGCGTCAAACTTACTCGGTTGTTACATCGGTGAATGCGAATGCAGCCGAACTATTCATTCTCTAGGAGAGTATTTCAATCGTAAGTGCAAACCGAATTGTCACAGTATAACTTACAGAAACCGGGGAAAGCGGCAATGGCGTAGTCATTGATAGAGTAGATGCTTGCCGAGAGTATCTTCTGTAAGAAATGAACACTTATTCTTGAAAACGCTATAGTATATGAATAATATGTGGTATATTAAACAGCTGTTGTGAAAGCTATGCTGCGTAAAATGATATTTCAGAATTTCTATGAGAATATATTTGGAAAGTCACATGAAATATCATAATAGAACACTTCTTGTTAATTATTATAGAAGTATTCTCTAGATAAATAATGTTTTTCATAGATGTACTTATTTTCAAATCATACTTCTAAGAAATGTATTAATATATTTCAATTTCGAATGGAATTTTTTTGTAACTAGATCAAGTAATTCGGGTATATTCCAACATGTGCATATATGTATATCGTTTATGATCGTGTTATACATAGGAGCAGTTTGACTTTTTACTTGAAGACACCATACAATACATATTTGAGTAGCTTTTTAATAATTTTTACATTTTGAATATTTTACTTTGAGAACGTCAGAATGCAGCATTTTCATAAGATAGACGAGAATAAATTGGATTTTGTATATGACATTCAATGACCGAGTTGAGTCTATACACGTTAGCACTCTTATTGAAATTTCAATATCAGCGAGCTGCGCGGAATTAGCCTAATAGAAGCCTCCTATTTTTTCAAAAGTTTTTGCAGACTTTTTATTACTTTTTCACCGTAAAATTTGAGGACACAGTGGATTTTGAGACAAAGAAGCAGTAATAACTCCCCAAAAAGCTTATGATCACATATTAATCGTCCAAAAACTTAGGTAACAGAAGTTTTCAAAAAACGATGGGACATATTAGAAGCCACCCTTGAAAAATTTTTTTACGCTTGCCAAATTAGAAGTTCCCTGGGGCTTCTATTACGGGGAAGTATTTGGATGTTTCTTTTTCATGGTCCACGATATATTTGTCTACAATGGCATAGGTATTTCAACAAACAGTCGGTTTTGTTGAGTATAAATTACTTTGTTTCCTTCAGGATATGAAATAAATGTGAGAGATTTACATTACTATTCACGGCCTCGTTTCTCTCAGAATGCTTTGTTAGGGCTGGCAATAGTTGAAATCAAGTGGAAACACATGGTTTTTATTGAGAAAGAAAACCAAAACTAGCAAAAGAAAGAGAAAGAACTTAAATTAACCCTAAGTGAATCACAAATTTCGTTGTATGCCATTTTCCATTATACTAAATGATCTACAACGAAGTAAGAGAATTTATTATTGATATTCGTCATAGAAGCAAGTCGCTTCTCTCATTACCTCGGTTAGGTAAGACAATAGGATCGACATCTTTGTAGAGCACCGTATGTATTTGTGATCCAAAAGAATATTTAATGAACAGAGACTTTTCTTCACCGATACATGGATCGTAGAAACCGGTTAGATTCGATTTCGATACGGTCGTTCCGATTCTAAGGTTAGAATCTTTTACAAGAGCTTGTAGTGGAACAGTCACATCAATGATTTTTATCGAGTTTTCTTGTGTCGTCGATGATGATGACGATAGTTGACCGTAGCGTCCTTCCAAGATGATTAGGCCTTGTGAGCCTTCTTTATCTTTGATTTGTTCTACTAATGATCGTAAAACTTCCTGCGCATTCATTGCTTCTCGTCGTCGCTCGGTTTGTTTTTCTCTTGCTTCATCTTCACGTTTTTTCTGTTCTCTAAAAGCGAACCAAGTATTCAGGAAGGTATTCAATGAAAATCTCTCTACCGTTCTTGTTCCGATCGAGTAAATGGTCGAATAATAAGACGGTCAAGTATGAAATAAGCTAACACTGGTGCCGCTGTTGCATAAAATACTGCGCTTGGAATAATATCAGTAGAGAGCTGAAGTGGAAAAGTGAACGCTTGACTGCCACGCATGAATCTAAATAATACGATTGTCTCCTGATGAGAAAGACTCAACATTTTCAACCGGATAAGTCATACTTTAATCTCAGTAACACTCCCATTCGGGAGCTGATAGCAACAGTTGCCGAACCATGAGTGTATTTCGTCAATTGACGATCAATTCCATATTCTATCCATGGTCCAAAAACGAATAGTCTACGAAGATGCTTAGTTATTGAGAGACAATGTAGCTATGGACCACTCCTACTTGAGACTACACCGCAAATTACAAACATTAGGCACTCGGTATACACTATCAATAGCACCAAAAGTGTTCACAAGTCCGAGCTAGAACGAAGTATGCTCGAATACATAGTTCATTTCTTTATCTGTGAATTACTTGAACAGCACCGGAAACTGCAAGCTTTTGATTATCATAATGGAGACCGCCTTTCATAAACGAATCGGCGCCTGTTTTCCATTCGAGACTGCTTGTTAAATGATGGCTCAATTGGTACGTGATGGAAAATACAAATCCGGGCGTTATTATAGCAGAACCGCCATCAGCCAGACCGATTGTAGCAGCCACACTTGCGTGACTAAACTGACCAAAAGATTAGTCACATGAAAACTAACGAAATCAATTAAAATTATTTCTACCTACAGTTTTTGTGTTAAACGACGAAAATACCGAAAAGCAGCCAGGTTATTGTGGCCAAAATTTAAATCAATCTAAAATGTTCAGTGCGTATCGAAAGCGATAAATAAACTAATTCTTTTATCAAGCATACTCGGAACCAAGATAGATCAGCAAGTACACGTCGAAATGATGTTGTAAATGATCCTGTACCACGTCCGTTTCGTGTAGATACTACAGCAGTGATATTTGCTGTATCTTGACTGGTTAATGGTATATCAATTCCTTGTGCAACGGTAAACTCTGTCATTTCAATAACAGGTGAAAATTCACTACCAAAAAACGAATCCATAGTTACTCGACGTAGTCGCCTTCATCTGGAAACTTACCTATCTTCATCAGATGAATTCATTTGATCGAAAACATCCGTTAAGTTTACTGTCATATGTACAGAACCCTAAATATGAAATGAATCATACATCAAAACATTGCATCATACTAACATTGGGATTAGTTATTTGATTGAACCGTCGTTCTTCACGTTCCTTGGCTAATCGTTCGTATTCTTCAAGAATCTCACGAGCTGTTTTTGTTCGACTGACCACCTAATCATCGGAAAGATGATGACAGGTGATATCCAAACTGTTATATTTTACCTCCCAGCCTTCAGCTTTCAAGCCTTTCATCCCAACAACATCGTAGATGGCTCGTTTCTGTGGATCATTCAGAACATCATATGCTTTCTTTACTTGAATGAAAAGATCCATCGCTAATTGCTTGTTTCGGGGATCGGTGTGTTTGTCCGGATGATACAGAAGTGTCAATCGACGATAAGCCTGTTGAATTGTTGTCACATCAGCCTAAAACAAGTGGATTCTTTTAAGAATGTAAGTTCATCGACAAAATCAACATACATCTTTACTGATATGCAATACAGCATATAAATCACGTCCACTATCGAGCGAATGCAACTCATCCGAAAAGAAGTCAGATGAATTTTCTTCATAGTTTTCATCGTCACCCGATGCCATGCGTTCGCAAGAAAATATTGTCGATTACTGAAATACTCCTGAGTCAAATGATTATGTATATTAGTAGAAGTTGAAACAGTCTGAATATAATTAGTCGTTATGGATGAAAAAGTATTGTAACGATGCTTGTGAGAAGTGATCCAAACTTAACGTCAGGCAAACTCGAGTCCATCGTCCATAGTTTATATACTATTGTGATGCATAACATATTTCGCGAGATGTCGTTTCACATCGAACTATCTTGGATAGAACTTGCATTTATTTCAGATTTCTTTTTGCATACTTTCTCCTACTATAGTACAATTTATTGCCCATAAAAGTTAAATTAACTTGTTACCATCGACATTATTAGTCTAATCTTTTTCGTCGATTTACCATGATGCACAGCACGAAACACATGAATTTACCATGCTTCAATTCATATTGAACTATTCCCTGAACATTGCAAATCTCTTCATTGCTATTTGATAAAAACAAATACTGATACGTTCTTGTTTACTGTTCACTGTATAGCACTTGTAAATGGATAGCACAGGACATCAATACAGGTTAGTTCATAAGTGAAAACGATTCTTAAAAACTCATTCATATAGCTTTAATTTTACCGTTTGACAAGACGACGCCATAAGTGTTTAGAATGTTAATACAATTGAAGCAGCGAATTTGGATATCGAAAAGCCGTAGTTTTTCTTATTGATTTTATGAAAATAACTACATGTGTCAAAAACACTTGTTCATGAAAGCTATTGACAAAAAAAAACAGGTAAGACAACTATAATAGTGAGCCGTTTCTTGGCATATGTTCTCTAATATGTAAATCAAATACACAGTTCCTTAATAAAACATGAAGTAAGACACAATCGGTTTCTGTTGAGAACTATGTTTTTTCGATCACCATCTAGTTGTGGGAAGATCAGCTGTATCAAGATGACTTTACAACTGTGTATTGCTAATATTCATGGATGTATTTTTTTACGAGCGGTAACTAAAGAATAGAAGTTTTTTGTCTCATAAGAATGAAGAGAACGAACTTTCAGATAACCACTAATTTATTATACATTCACGATATATGTAGTAAGTCATAAACGAGTTGCAGAAAAGGGACAAATTTGTCGCTAATAGAAATTCAAATATAGATTCGCCTTCTAATTTGCTCAAATCATCTATCATAAAAATAAATCAGCTGTCACAGGTTTTCGTATTTGATTTACTTCAGCGAGTCGTTACTTTTCCATCATTCAAACAGCGATGTCGTGCCGCATTTTCTAATAGAGGAAATGCTTTCGAACAAAAAAGTTGTGTCCAGAACATGTGGAAATACCCTGTAATAAAAACAATAAACTGTAGATGTGAACTTTGTTTCTGTTTCCTAATTCGATATGTTAATTTCTCATGTCGACTCATGTTTGACATTGACTGAAAAGCGACAAAAACATATTTGTTTGTCTTGCTTTTTCTTATTGGATAATTGACATTTTTATTTAAAAATCGATAGCATTGAGGTAGTTAACTCATGCATGAACATCAAATCTTCTTTAAGCTACACGTTTCTATAGAACAAGGTTTCATAGATTATCACCAGTAGTAACGGTAGTTCTTCGAGTCGAGTGCATACTAAACCGAAATCATTCTATATATCATTGACAAGACCAGAAGAGATGTACGGATAATAAATAACAGCTTTGAATCCAGTATAATCATGAAATTTGATTGACGTTAAATCAAAGAAACGCATTGAAATAAACATGGAATTTCCTTGCTACTAAATATAGAGTAATTCTAATGATGGAGAAATACTGAGAGATCAAACGGCACTGAACAGACTTTCTTCGCCTAGAATATATTTTAACTAAATCACACACAGAATACCAAATCGCTACTGCATACAATCACATCTTCTTTCCTCTTATAAGGTTTCCAACTGTTTCCATAACACAATAGATAGGAACAGCAAACCTTTTTCGTACACATCATGTAGAAATATATTCTCAAAGTAGTATTTGAAACTGAAAAAAAGACTCCTAATCCTATTCAATAGTCTGTAAATACTCCCGGAGTGACGTTACGCTTTTAGAAGTGTTTCAATGATAAGAGTCGAAATATTAGATTTGTTTTATCATCGCACACTTATTGATACGTACATATTATTTGATTAAGAAGGAAAATGAATGAAATTTATTTGATGTTTTCACGCATAAACAGTTTTAAAGATCTTATTTGAACATATTGATCTTGATCGAGAGTAAACGAACGCAAAATGTCGTATCTGAATGTCTATGAAAACATAGAATTCATTTTTTTGTGTATTCAAACTAAGAAATCTTGATAGGGATCATTGGACGTCATATATTTGACGAATTCTTCTCTTGTCACTTTCGCTTTATCAGTTCCACCACAGATTTCAAGCCAGACCTCTTCAGGTTGATCAACTTTCTTGATACCATAGAATTCATTGATGCATTGTATGACTTTCTGTCCATATTTACGTGAAACATTTTCATGATCTGCACCTTTTGGATTATGTGTATCGATAACATATGCGAGTCGAGCAGCACCATCCATTGTTTCGCTCAGCATAACTACACAAGAGAAAAGCTGTTCGGTGGAGAGTTTGCCATCTTCTTCGAAAATTCCAAGTGCGACATCCACTTGCTTTTGATTATCAAAACCGACACCCATCTGATTGATGAAATGACGACAATCTGCCCTACTTACAAGGACTGGATTTTCGCTTCCATGTTTACGTTTACTCTCTTCATGCATATCCAAAAAACTTTGCCGTTTTATACCAGTTATTTCTTCCAAACGTTTCATTTCCAAAGATGATCGATTACTGTTTGAGTTTCCCATCGTATTACTGACTCTTTCGACGGCAATTCGAAAAAGAAATGAATAGGAGATAAAACAAACATTGATACTGCTCAATGAGCTGTGACGAAGTATTATTTGTCCTCACTTTAAGCCGAATGCGTTGCTCTAAAGAGTTATGACAACGCTATCGAGTGCTATTTCTTATACACGGCTGTATCAGCACTATATCGTGAACTCTACAGCTGTCTTTAATTAGCACGTCTATTCGTTATCTCAGCGAATATTTGATAAGCTAAATGAACGTAGGAAAAATCCTTGTTGATGCGTCCTTCCTTCAAAACTATGTAGACGCAGCCATTTGCATCAGTAGTGACATCACGTAGTCTGTTATTGATAAAATCAATCACCAATCAAAATCGAATGAGGTATAATACATGAGTAAGAAAAGAAAGCACATGAGTTATATGTCATCTCTCATTCGTTTACAATGTCTTTACAAGATACTCGCAAATTATCGTCTATATTGCGATCAATTGAAATACTTGAAAGTAGGTTCAATTCCTGGCTATAATCGGAGCTAAAAAATGAATATTCAATGATTGTAGATAAAGCAAATGTGATCTACACTGAATATACAACATCGAACAACGAAATCGATCGTTTACAATCGATATTGATCGATGACACAAATACACATTTGCAAATCTTTTTTCAACATCTCGAACGTTTATTACAAATTGACTTACGAAGTATAATCCGGAACCAGCAAAGAACTTCGTTTTGCATCTTGTATGTTCATCTTTAGATCGAAAATCATTACTCAATACTCAGAGAAATTATTGGGATTTCTTTCTTCGAGCACTGAAAGAAAGTAAAGGTCTGTATGAGACTGTGCTCTACGTTCTCAACACTCAAGAAGTTAAAACATCGATTGGTCGTGGCCGATTATTTCTCCGCTTTTGTTTACAAAATCATCGTCTAGGTGACGTCATACAGCAGAGTTTCATGCTCACTAAAACTGTTCAGTAAGATATCCTATCGGATCGAATCGAACAAAACAAACAGTACAATTGGTTTCTTTTTTGTAGTCAATTTTATCACACGGACTGCTTTTGGTTGAAATCAGTCTATATAAATCGTATTGTTCAAGCGTTATATCAATTGAACGATGTGAGTTTTGATCTTCTTTCGAACTCGCAGTATCAATTGGATGTTTGTTGGCCTACATCAGAGTAAAATTCCGCGATTTAAATGGAAAATTTCATGAGATAGAATCTTTTTTTCTATAGATCTGTTGATCTACGATCAAAGCATTTATCTGAAGCGACTTCACGACTACGTACCGATAGTATCTCAAGTTTCATATCAATGGTACGTAATTGCACGTGAATGTACTTTTTTATTTGATAAAACTCGAGTCTTTTCTAGGATAGTATTTCTTCTCAATCGATGATAGCGTCATCTTGTCCAATGACAATGTCGTGTCTGCATGTAAACAAAAATTCTTACCGTTTGATAATCCATGAAATGGTTTTCTCGTTTAGAATCTCGAAGCGTCAATAAATGAAGCGAATTCACCTTATTCAATCTCATCTATTGATGAATATCCAGAAAATACCTTAAGCTATTGGAAAGAACGGTAAATATGCGTTCAAAGAAAGTCTTCTTTTAGCCAAAAACGTGATTTTCATGATAGTTGCCATCAACTGGAAGTTCAGTTGCAATCGAATCATGAACAGCCGTCAACAACCGACGTGGAAGTTCAATGTGCTGTTGATAAACATGATGAAACAAGTCAAACAGCCGACGATGATGATAATATTGATGTTCCTCATGTTGATGAGAATCTCAAATCTGAAATTGAACTTTTGAAAAGCGATATTAATGATCTCAATTTCCAACTTTCAACCATGATGATTCAACATACGTCAAACGAAAATGTAAGCTCGACAGAAAACGGTCTGATGAAATCCTAAGTTGAATATTGTTTCATCACTAGAAAATGAAAGATCGTGAACGTGAAGTAGCCAAGTATAAAGCGCTATTAGAGACAAAGGAAAAACTCGTCAATGAATTACAACGAAAATTGGATGAACAAGGAAAACATATCAAATCGATTGTTTGTATTTTTAACATGGAACAACAGAATCTAGATTTGTACTTGTAGCAAGAACAACATGCAGTTCAAACAGCTAAACAAGAGAAACGCATTGACCAACTGGCATGTGAAGTGCAGAAAGTAAGATGAGGAAAACTTACCATTGTGATGAACACCAAGTGTTGAATTTAGACAACAAAGCTACTTGAAAACGAACGATTGACATCCAAAAATGAACGAGTAAGAAACGAATGAATTCTGACTTGTCAATCATTGACGATACTTGTAGAATGAGCATAATAAAATCCAAGAGCAACTAGAAGCTTCTATTCAAGAGAAAACACTCGACTTCGAAGAAATGAAACGTCGATTAGTGAAAGCAGTTCGGTAAGCAACAGCCGAACCATCGATATCTTAGTTTAAGTCTTTTGATTTGGTAGTGAAAAAGCTGATTTGTTCAATTCGATCTATAACTATGAAGTTAAACTTGAAGAAGAGCAATCAAAACAATGGATACACGAAGATGATGTGTCAAAATGTACAAAATGTGACACAGCATTTGGATGGACTCTACGAAAAGTATATTTCATCCTCTTCCCTTCCCGTGTTTTTTTCTCTGTATACTATCATTTTAGTACCGTTGTCGTCAGTGTCAAGGAATCTTTTGTTATTATTGTTGCAATCACTGGCGACCAGGTGCAACACCGAGGTAAGATTTCGTGCTATAAGGTAGTTCAATGAGACATTTTTATTCTATTCTAGCACTCAACATCGTCTATGCAATTTCTGCTATGAAAAATATGCTAAAGAATCTCTCACGTCCAATTATACAATGTTGGATGATCCTGAGAAAGAAAATGAACCAACAACTGATGTTAATCTCAAGTTCGAAGTACGATCTGAACGATTGAACTCATCCGCAGATACTTCTCCACTACCTGAAGAACATTAAATCACGCGAATCATATGTAAATACTCTTCTCCTTTGTGGATAATTTTATTTTTATAAGTTATCATGTTACAAATGTATGTCAATAAACGATATATGGGTAGTATTTTATGTACATATATAAACCGTTGCATCTATGAGTGAAGAAAAGAGAAGACATTTGCTATCTGGAATTTAATTTTGGCAAAGCGAGGAGAATAATTTATTGCTATAATTAAACAAAAGAACACAAATAAAAGATAAAAAAATCATTTCTCGGCAGCAGCCATTTCTTTCAATTTCGACATTTTCTCATAGACTTTTGTGAAATATTTGACGGAATGACCAACTTTTGGTCGATAAAGTGTGTCGACATAATGAAAAAGATGATTCAACGAAAAATCCACGTTTTTCATTATGAAATTCTTCAATTGTTTATCATTGCTCGTTTGTAACTTTTGTAATGCACGTTCGTAGTACTTCAAATGTAATTTGATCAATTCCACGAGAGCTTCGACAATCGTTTGGTTAATTAGCGAATAATGAATTTTAAATAAATCTCGTGAAAAAGTTAAGTAAGCCTTGGCGAATAGTAGTGTACTCGGAGCTAAATGTATCTGAGTGACTTCATTCGTGGTTGTCAGAAAAGGTTGAAGGAATTTTTGACTATCGAGACCCAATTCTCGGAATTCGAAATACAATTGATCTAAACGATCCTGTGTTTGCAGTGTTACAGATATCCACTTCTCATCTCGATGTCTCTGTCGTAGAGTATCGATAATCACGTCTTTTTGCGTATTGATGATTTGGATCAGTAATTGTTCAAGTTGTTCTTCGAACATGAATTTCACATCGATTAATTTCGAAGAGAATTCATTCGCTTTGGTCAGTAAGATGTGAATATTCTTCATGGAAAAAGTGAAATTTTTTGTACTAATGTACTGTTGGTTATGCAGAATGGTGATTAGCTTTTCGATTTCACTCGACATCCAGACAATGAACTTGGTAAATGTCGATTTTTGATCTTTGAAAATTTCTACAAATTCGTAATAACTATCGACCAGTCGAGTGAAGAATGTATTAGCGAAATTCTCCACGAAAACAACATTGAGTTCTTCTAATTTAGTTTGCTTCAGCGTATTTCTCATTAATGACAGCTGAATGGTGATAAATAAATCACTGAAGATAAAAACTGACATGAAAATGAGATACATTTTATCTGAAATCACTTACCAAGCTTTCGGAACGTAACCAAGTTGTTTCAATGTTTGTATATGATGATAGTAATGCTTTAGCAGATTTGTTGAGCAGCCTCGATCGCAAATATTCTGAATTTCTTTTTCAATAAGTTTACATAATTCTTGTTCTTTGATTTGTACCCCTTTTGTATACTCGTCGACGAAATGCATTGGTTGTTGAGAATGACCTTGCAGAAATTGACGAACATAGTTTCTTGCACGAAGGATCAATTCTAATGCTTGATCGAAATTTCTCTCGGCAAGAAGTATAACAAGGTTTTCTTGAGTATCACTGATCCAATCTTCAGCGTAGAAATCCTCTTCGAATAATTGTAATTGTTGCTGTTGGATAGACGATCGATCATTACCGGACGATGAGATAGACGTTGGCGATGTCGATAATCGACCGGCCTCGGTGTGTAACAATGACCCGCGTCTTTGCTGAGGGTAGAGTGCACTCTCGAACATCTCCATCCAATGTTTTTTACTTTGGGCATTGTCGCACATCAGTGTATGTGTCTCTAGATTGTGTTTAATAGAGAATGAGTTGCGTAGTACATCGTCTTTGACATTGATCAGTTGAATTGCTGACGACTGAACCTGCTTATTTTGATTGGCATTACGATTGTTATTCATTCCAGTCACTGGTTGATGTAGTTTTATAACTTGATCAACATCGTAGGCAGTCGCTGTACGAATGTTTGATGATTTAGCGATGATGAAACAATCGCTGAACAGAAGACCGTAACATTGATGTGTAACATAAGACGCTGGTAATTTAGATGTCGAACTCCCTTTAGTTTGTGGTTTGGTGGAAAGATTCTCCAGTTTGACTTCTAGTAATTTGCCACTATGAATTAAACGACGTTCGGGGCTGACGGAAACAAGACCTAAGCTTTGACAGTGATGCAGCAAAGTTTCCCATGATTCTGTATCGGATGTTTCTGATGTATCGGCCTAGAAGATTAGGAATCTTCAGTTTTCACATTCACGGCCCATCTCATTCATTCTCTTACCTTGCTCTCGACATTCAGTAATTCTTTGACAGTATTCAGTAATTGTTTTTCATCAGCCAATAAGGAATGTAATTGATAGACTTCTGATTCTAGTGACGAGACTTCTTTCGCTGTTTCGATGAATTTTGTATGATTGCGGTAGACATTGTGTTTCAATTCAGTTTTTGCTTCACTTGATATAAGATGCATTCGTCGTTTCATGTTCATTAAATCAGCGCTGCCGATCGATTTCGATGCTGAAATGAAATCACTTATTACCATCGAAAGTTTTCATCGGTTGATCTTTTCACTTACCAATCGATTGTACAAATGACTCAGGTTCGAATTTCGGTTCCAGAAATCGAGCACGAAATCCATGATCTGCATCACTAAACTCCATTTCTATCTGAAAAAAAAATAACATCAAGAAAGACTTTAGTTTACTTTTATTTTTATTAAAAGAAAATCAGTAAAAATCAATGTCGAAGTCGAGCGCCGAATATCAAACTTCCAACCCGAACAATTGTGCTTCCAACTTGAATTGCACGCTCGTAATCGTGAGACATTCCCATAGAAAGTTCAATATCGTCTATAGAAAGATTAAATTTCTCGCATAGCTCTTTTCGACATTGAATCAACACATGAAAATCAGAATCATCCGCAGCGTTTACGTTGTCCAATAAACCAATTGTCATCAAACCTTGACAGTTCAGTTGTGTACAGTTGGTTTTCACATGCTCATACAGAGCGAGAAAATCGTCTTTAGATATGCCCGATTTTTGTGCTTCCTGACTTGTATTGACTTGTAAAAGAATATTCAATGTTTTCGATTGTTGTTTCAGACTATTATTGATACGATTAGCCAATTCGATTGAATCGATAGTTTGTATACAATACAGATTTGGTACACGAGTTAAAACACGACTAACTTTGTTACTTTGTAGATGACCAACAAGATGCCAGCGTATCTCGGAACACTCGGTGAGAATTACGTTATCGTTTGCTTTGGTTTCTAATTCATCAACATAATTTTCTCCAAAGTCACGTTGGCCTGCTTTATATAGTTCAATAATATTTTCGACAGGTTTGGTTTTAGAGATTGCTATCAATCGAACAGGCTTTTGATTGGCGGGTGTTGCTTCTCGAATACGTTGAAGAACGGTTTTGAAGTTCTCGACTAGATCGCTCATGATTGAACTTTGACTGTGAAATAAATCTGAAAGTAGAGACACGGATGATTGAGTATGATCCGTATGCTTTTACCACTGATACTTGACGGCGAGAATATCGTCTTTCGTATTTGAAAATATATGTGTATGTTTGCATCTCATTCTTATCTATTTGAAGCTATCTATCGTTTTTCTTTCTTTTCTTTCGTTTATTATTGAATGCTGTCGAGAAGCTATTGCAGGTGCAGTATGCTATGGGCAATTTACATGTTAATGCTTGCACGATGATTCTAATATAAACAAAGAGCAAGAGACCGGTAGCACCTGATGAAATAAAGACAAAAAGAATAAGAGAAAAAAGTAAATTGGTCTTCAATCGAGCATGAAATCTCCCTCCGATTATGAGAAAAAGAGGGCATGAAGAGAAGAAGAGAGAAACAACGATGGAAGGAGACGCTCATCATCTGTCCCAATGAAATTGTGAAGGAGAAGGAGAAAAAGAGAGAAAAAAGAAAGAAAAAGAAAGCAACGCGATAGCAGCAACAGATAAATCATCCTGTTTACATAGATTTATTCTTTCAATGTACGATACTACGATCCAACATAAACGATAGATCACTTGTAACGATATTAGGTTAGTATTCTGTTTCTTTTATTTTCAGTTAAACATAAACCAGTATTATCCAAATGCCCATACAGGCCCACACATGTCAGATAGAAAGATGGATACGTTGCACAGTTGCGCGCACACACACACATCCCATCTTTTCAATGTCGGAAGCAAAAACAGCAACAGTTAACTCGCACACACACGCGCGCGTATGGTGTCTGCATCGTATCAACTGTCTTCTCCTTCTTCTCGTCTCCTTTTTTTCATACGCATATATAACTTAGGCGAAAAAAAGCTTATACGGCTGTTCAAAACTTCGTCCTCATCATCGTCATACAACGAAGTATGGTTACATATTTCGAAAATTTTCAATGCACAGTGTAAGTGTCCATCTGGTCACTAGTTCAGATTCGGATTTGTGTGGGTAAGAAAAAAGCAGAACGTATACATATTCATGTTGTCTCAAGAGAATCAAAAGACAACTTATGACCAAATATAGAAACATATGCTATGCAATGAGATAATTTTTAACTCATGTCATGCGCCTGTGCACATAAACAGATGTCCATTTTCGAGTCATTTAGTAAATATATATGTATACATCTATGTTGAGAAGAAAAACGACACGAGTGATACAGAAAAACAACTTCTACATTTCGTTTGTTCGTCCCTCCGCACTGTACAAGTAAAGTCCATTCTTCTATTTATCTGTTTTGTCACATTGTAAGACATCGCGATTGAATAGAAAGATGATCTTCTATACAAAAGCAAACGTGCTTATAATAAAGAATAATAATAATGATAGATTAGATAGCATATAATGTGTATGTGTTTTCTCTTCTTCTTCTCTTTTCCGACGATCGACAGACATCCAGATAGAATAGATATACAGCTGGACAAGAAGAAAGACGACGTCGAGAGACACGATTCTATTGAATGTTGTTGTAACTTGAGTATGCGATACAAAAATGATCGACAATTTCCTTACTATGTATTTCTTTTTGTCTTTTAGATTAATACTCACAGTATGACTTCTTCCCCTAATTTGTATAATGATGATAACGAACTGGACGAAGAATTCCAGAAACTAGCATCACTCGTTCCAACGATTCCGAAAAACGAATGTTTAACCGAATTAGAATTTCTCGAATTTGTTATTGCGTATATTCAACAACTGCAGCAACTACTCTCTCATGATCAATGGAACGAATGTCTTGCTCATTTGACAACCTCGATGAAAAATTCTTTTCTTTCATCTTCAACGAATGTGAAACTCTTCATCAAAAATGATAAATATTCGCATCGAAATCCATTATCAACAATTAATCTTGATACGAATATTCCTTATCATTAATGGAACAGTTGGCAATCTATTAAACTAAACATTATTCGTTCGTATTTCGTTTGCTTCTATGAATTATATGTATCTTATTTTTTTCATCTACAATCGTCAAACTTCATAGAATGAAGACTTATCGAAATAATGTTCAATTTCTACACATGTATCTCTTTTCATTATCGATCGAAACCGAAATGATAAGAAATTCTTCGTGCGTTTGTGTTTGCTTATGAAATAAAATGATATTCATCAGTTTGAAAACGAAACTAACATACCTGAGTGAAATCAAATTAGTTCACTGCCGGAACTAACAGGAGCTAGGAATTTTCTATTTGAAGTAAAACATTTCAGTTAATCATACTGTCAATAACATCGAATACGATCACATTGAGAACATATTTATATATGCAATAAACACTATTCGTTTTTTTACATTAGCAAACGAGAAAATAACAGAAGCGACATCTATAAGACAATGTCCAACCATTCAGATGTTATTACTAAGGCCAATCTTTACCATCGCATAGCCATGTTTTAATCTCCAGGATAGTAGTTCTTAAAGATCATATCATCAAGATCACTATGTCCAATTCAGTTGATAATGATATAATCTCTGCTATTTATCGTTCTCACGATCCAATAAACAATTTCAAGATTAGGTAAAGGAAAAGATGGATGGGATTCTTACTTTGAGGATGTGAATTTAATGGATTTTGATTTAGAGTTAAATTAGAACGATTAACATCCAATGCGTTATTACCCAGTCTACATCGATTAAAAATCGAAGATGATTTGTCACGTTTACTTGGCGATGATGGTAAAAAGCTGGAAAAAGCGAAAGCCAGTCGGACAGAAACGGCTCAAGCATTGAATGAAACGAAAAGATCCGAATACGAAGAAGCTGTCATTGGTTGGCAACAGAAACTATTCAGTCGGGTATGGATGTTCTTCGTCTTATGCTTTCTTCTTTGAAAAACCTAAAGTTTTTCTTCGTGTGATGTTAGTTCGAATTCGATACATATGGTAAAGGTGTTGGCGAAGGAAGTACTGCATTGGAACGAAAGTATTATGATGATATACAAAAGATGAAGTAAATAATGATGTGACTATGAAGAACATGCATGAATTCTGTTTTTAGAGCGAATCACAAACAACCTGGCCGTATTTTCACTTACATCGAAGGCGATCCTCACTGTTTTGCCAATGATGTAATTATTCTCCATTTCTTATGTAAATTTCTAATTTTTTATTACAATTTAGTTGGAATATTTCGTTACTGATTCACCAAACGATGACCCAAGTCAACTAGCATTGGCAGTAGATAATCTTCGTACGTATTTCTAAACTATAAAGCACTACTAACATCTATTTTTTGTTTTTTTTTGTAGGACGACGTGGAACCAATCGATCACGTTTACAAAAAAACAATCTGATTAATGAAAAACCAACACCTTCCGAACTTCGCGAAGAGCATTATGCTACTGTCCCACATCAAACGATGTACATCATGGCAGATTTAAGTGACCGAATCGAAGGCGCATCAGCACAACTCGTTGTGATACCTCAGCCACCAAACGAACATGTTCTATGTACGATTCGTGTTTATTCCAACGGCACACTTATCTTAGAACCTGATTTTAACAATGGTAAAATGGCATATATTGTTGAAACGGGGAATGTAAATAATGAAGTCTATCATTATTATTTGGAACATGGCTCTACACCGATCAATATGGAAGATTTGATCAAAGAACGCAAATTATTTCGTGAAGTTTGCTTACGACAACAAACTCATCTTGCGCAAATTGTTGGTAATGAATTCGATTCGGTAAATTTTCTCTCCGAACTGTTTACGAGACTACCTCTACGGTTTTTTCGTTTAGCCACCACCAGCTGTGCTGAAATTGAATGTTTTTGGAGAAATTGTTAGTGGCAAAAATTTTGAGTATGACGATATTTACGTTTATTACTGTTTGGATTTGCCCGATAGTAAGTTCAGACAATTTTCTCAGCCGTTAAAGGTATCGCATGGTTTTAGATTGGTATGCTGAACCAACAATGATATTCTCAGGTTATACTCATACAGCAAGTGCAACGAAATCAACCAAACATGTAAGAAACACGACGAAAGAAGAGAATAAACTATGTTCTATTTAGAATTGACTTAGATATAAGTCTAATGAAAAAGAGTAATTGAAAAGCAAAGCTCGCTGATGTTTATAAGTGAATCGAAGCCTTAGTCTATTATTATCGCTGCGTGATTTTGATGCAGCGAATTCATTCATAAGATGTACTTTGATTCGCTAGTAGTAATGCGCTGTTTAGCTTTTGAAAAACACGGTGATTTTCATTATAGGATGATGTAGTGTATTATGCACATCCATTTGAATTCGAGCTTTGGTATAAACCGTCGCCGGGTTCAGCTGACCATGGTTCGTATGTTATATTCAATTTGTGCTTTGAATATTCGTTCTTTTTTTCATATAGAACTTCCTCGCATGCCGAAGATTTTCTTTCAAGTGGCTTCACAAGATTCGTGGAGTCGCCATCGAACCGAAGGATACACATATATAGACATTCCTAGTTTACCAGGTACGTTATCAAGTGATAGCTATTCATGACAGAGGAAGTTTCTTTCTTTTTAGGATTTTATGACGAGGAGGTCAGATGTTGGCGACCACGTGGAGATTCGATATTTAACGAACTTCGACGGTTTTACATAGGTGGATCAAATGAATTAGAAGATATTAGTTACGTATCAATTCCGAAACAGTTTGAGAGTGAAAAGGTATAGAATAAGCATTTCTTCATATAAATTCCAGATGATCTACCTAGTTTTGTATAGAGCAACACTCCATTGAGTCGATATGGCTTTCGTACGGTAACAACGGGATCGTTGAATGTTCGCTTGAACGTTGTTTTTCAATCACAGTACGTTCTTTTTTCACACAAACTGAATGATTCGAATCTGGTTATGCTTTGTTAGAAGTATTGCTGTTGAACATGCCAAACATCGCACGGCGTATGCCGCAAATCGTTATGGGTATGGAATGTCGAAGGAAATAAAATAAGCACTTTTCACGCGATTCTATTCTTTAGATTTGATGCGTTCATGTCCAATATCAACAGTGTTATTGGTACGTATTCGATCAGAATAAACGAATTAGTACGATATGACAAAGGAAATTATTCTTTGTTTACCTTTAGATGCATTCCAACAAGCGAAAAAACGTGCACTAGAAGTCCGAGAATCAACATTACAATTATTGACGCCGAAAGCACCTGCATTCGAATAATTCAGTAGTAAATTTGAATTGTTAGTCAGATGACTCTATTCATACTAAATGACAACAAACAATGCCGTCCACAATGAACTTTTTCTTTTCTATGTTTATGCTATAGTATTGTGTTTTACTAATCTACAATTAATCTTCGTTTATTTGTATCGAAAACAATTTACATTATAATGTATAAGGGAATGAATATTTCTTTGTTTTTTTTTGTAGATTTGAAAGTAAACAATGCATCTTCGATCGATTGTTCGACATCGAACTGTCTTGTCAACATCTTTGCGGATCTTGCAAAGTTATACACCAACTGTTGCGAGTATGTTCAGACATCCTAATCTCCTAATATCGAAAACGAACATTTAGATCAAGCGCATTATCATCAACGGATTTTGCCAAAACCGATTACTCGTACATCTATACCAATTCGACGTTACTTGGCGACGAATGCTGAACAAGCGACAGCCGAATCGGTACCGCGTAAGTTCAGTTGGGATACGGATTGTGAAAAAAGTGTCTTATTGCTTTGATTAGGTGTGGAAAAGCATCAGTTTCAAGCAGAAACTCAACAATTGCTGCATATTGTTGCCAAGTCGCTCTATTCCGATAAAGAAATTTTCATTCGTGAATTGATTTCCAACGCAAATGATGCTTTGGAAAAACTACGTTACGTGCAACTCTCGGCCGGTGGCGAACAAGTTGGAGACGATAAACGAGAAATTTATCTCTATGTTGATGATATCAATAAAACAATAACAATCAAGGTTCGTTCGTCGAAAGAGATTGTGATGTTGAAAAGAACGTTTTCTTTTCAGGATACCGGTATTGGTATGACAAAGAAAGAAGCAATTGATAACTTAGGTACCATTGCTCGGTCTGGTTCAAAATTGTTCATAGAAGAACTAAAAAAGGACAAGACTAATACCGACGATGGAAAAATTATTGGTCAATTTGGTGTTGGCTTTTATTCAGCATTTATGGTAGATTGATTTGAATCTTTTCCTGTTTAAAATTTATGGATTACATCTTTTGATTTAGGTATCGAATTCCGTTGAAGTCGTAACTCGTTCGTATAAAAAAGATGAACCAGGTTATCGATGGACATCCGATGGGTATGTTTGGAAATTCTTAAGAACTCAGTTGAGAATATTTGTTTTAAAGATCGGGTTCGTATGAAATCGAAACATTACTCGACGATGTTGAACGGGGAACAAGCATTCGCTGCCATTTACGAGATGATTGTGCAGAGTTTAGTAAAGAAGAAACAGTGAAACGTAAGAAACGATAATTAGATTTCACTCATTCTTATTTTCTTAATTGGCAGAAATCGTGAAGAAGTATAGTAATTTCGTTTCGGCACCCATTTATATCAACGATGTTCGTGTCAACAATCTCCGTGTAAATATTTTCCGTTTTGATCTGCCACTTTTGATTACCTAATATCTATTCGGTAGGCTTTATGGATGGAAGATGCCAAGTCGATCAAAGAAGATGAGCATACTGAATTCTATCGATTCGTTTCCGGTCAATATGATAAACCACGTTACACATTGCAATACAAAATCGATGTTCCAATCAATTTGCGAGCACTGATCTACATACCGCAATACAAACCGAGTATGTTTATAGTCGAGCGAAGATTTCGATTGCAATTGGTTTTGTTTTTCAACAGATATATTCGATGTGACTCAGGAAAGTGATGTCGGTGTTGCTTTATACAGTCGAAAAGTTTTGATTCAGCCGAAAGCGAATCAACTCTTACCGCGATGGCTCCGATTTGTCAAAGGTAAATCAAACCCACGATAACATTTCCTAAGATTCATCTGTTTACTGCTTAGGTGTTGTGGACAGCGAAGACATCCCATTGAATTTAAGTCGAGAACTGTTACAAGACAGTAATCTGATTCGGTTAGTTTGATTGATTTTACGATATATACTCGAAGATGAGATAAATTTGTCTTCTAGGAAGATTCGTTTATTGTTATCTCAACGAATCATTCGATTTCTTCAAGAACAATCGAAGAAAGATAAAGCTAAATACCAAGAATTTTACGAAGATTACAAGTTATTCTTTAAAGAAGGCATTGTTCGAACAGCTGATCAAGGCGAGAAAGAAGACATCGCCAAACTGTTACGTTTTGATTCATCACGTGAAGAACAAGGCAATTTAATCAGTCTCGAAGAATATATCGATCGTATGGTACCCGAACAAAAACATATTTACTACTTAGCTGGACCGTCAAGAGAATTGTGCGAAAATTCACCGTATTACGAAGCAATTCGACAAAAAGGCTATGAAGTTTTGTTTGTTTACGAATCGCATGATGAAGTTTTATTAATGCAATTGGCAGAATTCGATAAGAAGAAATTAAAATCTGTCGAATCTGAATTGGAAACTGATACGAAAAAAGATGATACAATCCTTGAAGGAGGTAAGATCGATTATCCATGTCATTGAAGGTGATTCGATACGACATATAAATTTAACCTTCAAGCATCTCAAACACCAATTCAACATACTTTTTTTCGAATAACAATTTTTGTTTAGATGCTCGTAGTCTATCTCAAGATGAAGCCAATCAATTGAAACAATGGATTCTCAAACAATTCGGTGACAAGATTAAGAATGTTAAAGTAATTTGTTTTCAATGGTTCAAATAATTGTACATGAATGTAATTATTCTTTTTGAAAGATCAATACCAAACTTGATCAACACCCATGCATCATTACTACGAATGAAATGGGCGCTGTTCGTCATTTCTTGAAGACGAATTTACTTCAACGCAATAAACAACAGGAAATCTATAAAGTTCTTCAGCTTAATTTTGATATCAATCCGAAACATACTCTCATCAAGAAACTCTACACGATCCAAAAGTCCAACAATACCGAATTAGCCAATATGCTTTGCCAACAAGTAGTTTATTCGATGAAATCCTTTTAAGTATAACTCTTTGTCTGTTCTAGTTGATTGACAATGCAATGGTCACCGCCGGTCTTGTGGAAGATTCCCGTTTAGTTCTAACTGGTTTAAATAAACTATTAGAAAAAGTTTTGGAGAAATATTAACCAACGAAGATAATAAAAAAAAAGATCAAAATCGTGTGTTTTTGTATCTTTTGTTCTCAAATAAATAAAAAGAAAGAAAGTAAATTAAACAATCCTATCAGACAAATGTTTCTTTTTTCGGAAAGACATCAAACAGAGTAGAAAAAAAAGAAGGAAAAACATTCGTTTGTTCATGAAGCTTTGTCATTTCGATGTATAGTTTCATCCCAGCTAAATGAAAGTAACTCAACACGTGTTGGAAATTTATGCTTTTGCATCGTGAGTATCCGACGCCAAATTTCACGCATATTATTCATCGATCCAGGCTAGAAACAAAACCGAATTAGGTATGGATCGTTTCTCTCGAGCAATCTCATCTTACGAAATGTCCAAACATGATCGTATAGAACGACTTCGATGACATAAAGCGCGTGTGTGCTAATTGTTGAGGTATTGTATAGAGCGAACCAAGTTGAGCATAGGTGACATTCGCAGCAGTGGCGACAGCGCCGGTTATATAATAATCGTCAACCCAAAAGAACGGTACATAAAGACTGGCGTTGTACCTAATGAGAAAATGGAGTCTTTAGCGAACGAATTCAAACAAATTAAATTACATTTTCGCTGGCATATCTCCGGTGAGTATAAAGGCTGAAAAGAAGGAAAAGAAACGTGCTATTTTTCTATGAAAATAGAGAATTAATTATAAGTCGGCAAACTTCCTTCGAGATTTTGTCGAGAGAACATTCGTACGTACCTGAACCACTACAATAAGGTGGAAATTTATCCAATGGAAAATCTTCTCGACTCAAATACCATTTTGATTTACTGAAGCAACAAATGTTACGGTTTGTTTTGATTGATATGCCGATTCTTACCTATCTCGCATAACGCCCATTGCTTGCCATAATAAACAAAGTATCGTGCTATGTTTATTTGGATTATGTTTGTCGAGAAATTTCAGATGATTGATCAATGTAAATGTGTTGACAACAATATCATCGTCAACCTTTAAAACATATTTCGTTTGTGGACAATATGTGGAAATCCATTTCAAAGCCATAACTCCTTTGTAGGACAGATTTTTATAGGCATCAATAAAATCCTCTTGAACGATATCTTGATAGATTTCATTTTCATATTCAATAGCTTTCATAATACTCTTGTCGAGAGTTTGTCCGATCATGAAGACGAGACGTAGATCGGGAAATAATGTTCGTGTCGACCATGTTTCACGTATGACCATCCGACGTTGGTAATTCGTTGGACCCGAATGGACGTAAACTAAGAGATAAACAGATGAATTACTATTATCACACACAGAATGTCCTGGATTAAGTATATAGGAGAAATTGTGTGGATTAACGATATGATCGCGTGGATGATAAGGATTAATTACAGGTGCCGGCGTTGATCCTGGCTTCGATGTGACATTTTCCTGTTTATTTGAGCTGGTCGATGAGTTAATTTGACGAGATAGAAGTAGAAGTAATATATAATAGTATTGCATGTGTTATTCGATCTAAAACAGAGATAGAAATATGTTATTAGCGATCGGGCTTGTCATTTTTTTTTCAATGCTTTGAGTTCCCACATGCTACCCGACACCAGTCGAATTGTGTATGACCGATTTTTCATTCAAGTGGAAAATTTCTCTCACTGCATGTCTGATCGTGGTTTTTTTTGTTCTTAGTTTTTCATCATCTGGTTAGCTCGAAGAAGCTGACAGATAGACATCTATCTTTCGTCATTATTCTATTAAGAATGGACGAGTAGCGAGAAGAAAAAAAAAATGCACAGAGAACACAACGCATGGAAAAAGAAGAAAAGATCTGCTCCCATATCAAAAAAGATTTTGCTCTCGATTTCTCTTTCTCTTGCACGTCAAATCTTTTCTTTTCATCGCACATTCAATAGTCTAATGTGTGCACTTATTTCTTTCGTTGTTATTATTACCTTTTATGTTCTCTGTGTTGTCATAAAATTAAAAGAGGAAAGAATGAAAGAAAAAAGGTCCAGATAGAACAGAAAGTTATTTCATTTCTGTTGCCGGCATCTATTAGTGTATATAGAAGTGTGTATTTGTATACGAATACGTAAGCATTTATTTGTTGTGAGGCCTTTTTCTTCTTCCCACCATACATCGAGCAGCAACGTAGAGGTGTTAATGTTTAAAAGATAAAAACGTTGAAAGAAGTACTGCAGAAATGGATACACATTCCGAATCGCAAAGAAGAGTCAATAGTGGGAGTAGACGGAAACTATCATGTTCAAACTGATCGGATAGGCATTATTAAGGGAAAAAAATTGAGTCAGGAAATGGAATCTTTCGAGCATAGTTGAGATCTAAGTTGCTTGTTCCCTGATGACGAGCGAAAGAAAAGCATTAACTGGAAACTTATGTATATGGACGAACGACATTGATAGTATATACCCGTACCGTTCTCGCCTCCACCTCCTTTCTTTTCTAGTTCTTTTCTTAGCAGCTGGCGAAATAATATGAAATGCTTGTTGTTATTATTATCTCTCGATAGAGAGAGAGAGAGAGGGAGAAAAAGAAGAAGATGTCTTGCTATTCTTATGCTGTTATATATCCAGAAGAAAAACAACGACGGATGTCGATCTCTTATTGTTTTGTTCTTGGCATCTACGGAGAAAAACTATTATTTGATCAGTCATGGAAATGAGAGAAAGAAAAACTTCAGAATAGAGTTATGCAAAGGAAGATTTCCTTTTCTTTCATATATACATATACTCGATCGAATGACATGCACAATTAGGTGTACCGGTGATGCTGCTTGCATAATAATTTCGGCACTGAAACGTTTTTTTTGTACGCAAATGATTTCTCAATTAGTTTCTACTGAGAAGATAACAAATTATATGTAAATATTGAGTCTTCGATAATGAAAAAGTGTTTAAAGTGTGTTGTCAATCATTTAATGGCAAAGAAGAATAGTGAAAACGAACGATGTGGATCAGGATGAAGGTTAGATATCACACTCATGCTCAAACTGTTGTCATATTATATCAACAATGATGATAAAAGGCAAAAAAAGAGAGAAGACTTTCATAACATACTACTAACTGATTTTGTTTGCATATCTCCAACGTTCATTTGTACACATACGTCATTATACATCGAACGATGTATATGTTTTGTAAGATGATCTTCATTCTTCTCATACATTTGAGTATTTATCTATCGCATTCAGGTAATAGTAATAATTATTATAAGGGATAACAGGAACTGGATTTAGTACCGAGAGTATTTGTAGTGGATACATTTCGTAATTATGCTGAAGAATGCTGTCAACTTGGTTATCTACAAGCGGAACGGATGAAAACATGTAGTATAGCATCGCAAGTGTTTCTTTTTGAAAATAAGATGCATTTGTCTACTCACTGTCGATATTTGACACATATCTGTTGTTTGACGAATTTACGCGGCTACTTTTGCGAGGAAGGCTTAAACACCGCGCTTCGATTGTTACCATGCAATGAGACAAAACTCGAATCGAAAGATTCTTATCAGGTCTTTAGGAAGATATTATCAATAAAGTGAATAACGAATCACTTAGTTTCTTTTGTTGTACCTAGATTTGTTGCAAATGTTGTGAATTAGGTGTTCGAGCAGGTCGAGAGCAAGAAGATTGTCAACCGTTGACTGTACTTGATGAAAGATGCAGTGAACAATTTCATAATTGTTGTAAGAAGGCAAAATCACGTATGCGGATGAAACAGAGTTCAACTTATCGCTTGAGAATTTTGCTATTTTCTAGTGAATTGTGCTGTTGGTTTTCAAATGAGTGAGGATCATCAATGTCGAGGTATGTATGCGTACTTTACATATTATTAACAATATTTCTAATGTAGATGTCAATGAATGTCTCTCGAATCCATGTCCAAGCAGAATGTTGTGTGAAAACACACCCGGCAGCTTTCGTTGCATCGAAGGATGTCAAATTGGTTATACTTGGTCAATAAAACACGGACAATGCCGAGGTAAGTTAACATTCATCTCATGATTGTCATATTGATTTATGTTAGACATTGATGAATGCGCGATTCATAAGCATAACTGTAGTTTTGGACATCGCTGTGAAAATATGCCGGGATCATTTAGGTAATTGGGATAATAACCTGATGAATAGCTATGGAATTCTTTGTAGATGTATCCGAGAAAGAAATTGTGGAACGGGATATCAAGTTGATCCGACGACACAAACATGTGTAGGTAGGGAATATGATACAAAAGAATGTTTCCGTTTATTTCTGGGTATGTTAGATGTTGATGAATGTGAGCAAGATATCCACGAATGTCGGTAAGTAAACTGTTTTGAATTAGTTTGATCATCGTTTTTCTTTGCTTTCCGCTAGACCTGGTTATATTTGTAAAAACGTTCCAGGAACATACAAGTAATGTGCGATCAAATTCACAGCGATTGGAAATTCAAAGTGTTTATAGATGTGTGCCACAAACTTGTGCGTCGGGCGAAAAATTCAATGCTTTCTATGGTCGCTGTGAAAAAATTCAGTGTCGTGAAGGTTTCAATGTTACACTGACAGGAAAATGTCTTGGTAGAGAACATTCTCATCATTCAATGTAGGACATATTTCGAATTTCACATAGACATCAACGAATGTAGTCAAAAACCAAGTCCATGCAAGCTTGGCGAACGTTGTGATAATACGCCTGGATCTTATCGTTGTGTACAAACATTTACGTGTTCAAGTGGCTTGGAGATAAAAGATCTCGAATGTCTAGGTAGATTCGAAAACTTCTGATTCGAATTGTTTTATTGAGAAAATTCTCCGCAGATATTGACGAATGTGCTATTGGAAACCATACATGTCCTTCGTTAGCAACATGTCAAAATACGTATGGATCGTTCTCTGTAAGATGCCACTTACTTCTGCTCTGTTCATGTTTTTAATCGTTCTATTTTTCAGTGTCAATGTCCACCTGGATTTGTCTATCAGGACGGCGCTTGTATCGGTACGTACTGAACTCAACGTGGGCTATCATAGGAAGACAATTGTTGATTAGATGATGATGAGTGTTCAACAGGAAATCCAATTTGTCCAACACATTCAGTTTGTCGAAACACGGTTGGATCGTATATCGTACGTAATATGATATTTGGAGTTTTACGAAAACAGTTCTTCTGTTTATCTTAGTGTGACTGTCCGTCTGGTTATAGAATGTCAAATAAAGGACACTTCTGCGAAGGTAAATCTGATCCTTAGTTCTACTGTGCTTCGATCTTTCTGTTATATAAGACATTAATGAGTGTGAACTTTCACCCAATGTGTGTGAACAAAAATGTGTCAATGTTCAAGGTTCATACTATGTAAGTTTCACACAAATTAAAGATTCAAACTTATTATTCGTCACTTAGTGCCTATGTAAAGAAGGTTACCGGCTGAACAGCGACAAACATACATGCCGAGGTAGAAGGAATGCTTGACTAATTTACCCCACACTTCACTGTATGATTTCTTTAGATCTGGATGAATGCTCTATGATCGCAAGATTATGTCAACATGAATGTGTGAATACACTTGGATCATATAAATGTGCATGTCCATCCGGATTCTCACTGGAGCGTAACCGTCAATGTCAAGATATGGATGAATGTCAGCTTGACACACATAATTGTTCTGCAGATCAGATGTGCGTGAATACTCGCGGTGACTTTCGCTGTTTTCACATCGATTGTCCTAGCGGTTACGACAAAATTGGAAATTAGTAAAAGCAGTCATTTCTTTGTCTCGTAATGCAATCTAATGAACTGAGTTTTTTGTTCTATAGTCGGTGTCAATTGAATGCACAATGGTGTATTGAACACCAAAATGACAACAATTTGCGTTGTACACGTTACAAACCTGTCAAATACGTATATTCTTTCATTTCATTACCAGGTAATTAACAAAGTAACCGAGTCTACATGCAATTTTTCTCGAATTTTAGCGCACATATCTATCCCAACTGAAATCTTTCGCATACGGAATAGTCAGTTGAATAAAGATCAACATGTCGAATTTGAATTACAATACATACCAAAAGATCGTTCGCAAACGAGTTCTGCTGAGCGAATGCTCGATAAATTTCAATTGAAAACCTACTCAGCGCATCATGCACATTTATATCTTATTCAAGAATTGAATTCATTCGACGAAATCGAGCTACATATTCAAATGAAAACGTTTACCAATAAATTCTCCTCGTCGATTGCTGTTATGAAACTTTTCATTCATGTTAGTCAATATGCTTTTTACCCTTAGTTCTATGTGCTTTTTTTAATTTTTTTTAATAAAAACAATTATGAAATTGGCCCAAAACGATTTCCTCTCATTTCGACAGATGCCGGCGCCAAAATCGCGTTTCGGCTACTCGCAGACATGCTCATGAAAGGGAAATGTCGGTGTCTTAAGATTATCCCTATCTTCTTCGCTTTCGGAGACGAACATATAGGAACATTTTACAAAATTAGCTGAAGTATGACTTAGCACATGAATGACGCCTTTTCTTCTAAATCGATCTGAATAGACTGAAATCTTCTCTACACGCATCGCTCGCCGTACTGTGCAGAATGGAATACAAAACTAAAGTAAGTCTTTCCTGACCAATGTCTCTTGAAAAGTTCTAATGAATTTCAATTAGTAAATAAATGTTTGCACTGTTTATCTCAATTAACTAGAAAAAAAAAAAGAAATCGATTTTTTCAGTCACGAAGGCCAATCCAAACAAATTTGATTAAGAAAACAATAAGTCCAACAGATGGAAATAATCAGAAAGATTTTCTTTTCTTGTTCTCATTTGATCACTAACTTCGACGAAAAACGGGAATATCTCAGGATGTCATTACAACGGAAATGTCTACAAATTGCATACATTCAACGTTTATGAATCACGACTTCGAAGAGATAAGAAAGCAACGGAAGGAAGACGATACAGCATCTATTGATTGTTTTTTCTGCTTTATCGGCAAAGTTTTCACCTATTCAACAAATGAGAAATTCCCCTGAAACTAAACAAGAGACAATAGGTAGCAACTTATCACTATGCTCTCAAAAATTAGAACACCCACGTTCTCATATAAAGTAATAAATTATGTGAACACATGCATTTTTTTCTACAGAGAGAGACAACGTCAGTTAATTTTTGTTCTCGACTCGATAAACCAAATCAATTGAATTTTGCAGATTGTTAGACATAGGCGTACTCGATTGAATAATCAAACGGGTGTCCTACTAAGCGGAAAGATTTAACTAACAAATTTGATTAGATCGACAACTAGAATTAGACACGTCCTGAGCACTCAGATGTCTTCCAAGCAGATTTCAATCGTTGTAGTCGGATCGAACTATTTTAACCTTTAGACCGAAAGGGGAAAATCGATCTCCCAATCTTCTCCTCTGGAGACATTCCTGACTAGAACAGATTCAAGTGTAATAGTGCATCTTGTAACTACGAACGAACATATTTTCTCACTGTGTTGTTTTCTCTTTCTTCTCAACGAAGTTTTTTCTTTTCTATCTCGTAAAGTATGCTGTAGAAAAAAAAAACTGTAGTCTTTCCAAAGGCTTGTGTTGCCCCTGTCATTTGCTTTTTGCTTTTGCAATCGATTGTTAATTGCAAGAGATGGATGTTGTGAGTCGCCTTTCAGAATTTAACATGCATTTGCTCTTCGTTCTTCTCTTTTGTCGCTCTAATCATTCGATTTTACGAATTGTTTTTGATGGCATCCGATCCTCTCCCTCCCTCCCTCTCTCTCATTCTTTTGTTTTCCTATATGCATCAAAATAAGATAAGATTTATCATCTTTTGCTTCACTCTTCATTCATATCGGAAACTTTCTTTTCCTAAGAAAAGAGTGGCTTGAGATGGAATATTGCATTCAATATTAGATTTGTCAATACAATAAATCTACTCTTATACAACCGAATGCCTTCATTTGTCAAAAGTGGACGCTATTACAAGCAGCAAGAGGAAAATATACGCGAGTACGAGAAGCAAAACAGGAAAAGTGGAATAAGTGTGTAGCAATATTGGACACGAATGAAACATTTTCTGGCTGAATTCCTTCACCGTTTTCTATCTCTTTTTTTCGTTCCAGATTAATATTTCCTCGTCATCGTCAAATCAACATTTGTCTGTAAATTAGCTAACGATATGCATCCGATCAATATTCTGCTCGTGTTCTTCGTCGGTTATTTAACTTTATTGACAATGACTTATGCACTTTCGATTAATACTCATCAGGTAATGAGACATTCATTGGAGAAAGTAAACGAGTACAGTTTGTTTTAGCAACGACCATCGTCACTTGCTGACACGCGTGTTAAACGTTCATTAGAACACAAACGTTTCTACGATTTTGGCGCTCGCTCAGTTCATAATGATGAATTGGAAGAAGTCAACGATGCGTTCAATCGCCTTCGACGTTTCTATGATTTCGGCGCAAAGAAACGTTTTTATGATTTTGGTTCCAAAAAGAAGCGTTCAAATGAATAAATTGATCTAATGAACTTCAAAACAACAATCGTTTCTCTCTCTCTCTCTCTCATCTTTTTTTTCTCTTTGTCATCTCTATATCTGTCATACATATAACATCTTCGTTTCCTAAACGGTTATTCTGAGATTTGCCAAGAACAGTTGCGTACCGAATGGCTCTCATGCTGATCGAAACTCATCAACAATTGAATTATTTTCGTCATTGAACAGATCGAATAAAAGCAAATGATTATATCTTGTTTAATTCATTTCCTAGCAGATTAGATTATTACAAAAGTTCACTGTATCGCAAGTCAGATACATCATTCGTTGAAGTAATGACTCAAGTTTTCCTTGAGCGAGAGCTTGTATCAAGTTTTCATATACAAATATAAGAGCGAGAACGTCGACGTGTTTGTGTTGACCTCGAGCAAGGAGATAACAAGTATGATGGCTGCTTGGAAGTTCTCCAGAACGTGATCGTTAGGGTTTGCATCGAATAAAATATGTACGCTATAGCCTCTGGTTATTAATTAACCTTCAGTTTCGTCACGTAGACAATAGCACTATTGTTTCCACTATGAAAAGTCAAAATTTACGGTGTGCATCTAGTGTTCGCTGGTAATTGATGTCAAATCTCGGTAAATCTTATTTATTTTGACAAGATAATCATAAATGAAATAAGAGCAAAAAAATCTTTTCTGTCATTTCTATTTATTCATATAAAGTTGACAGTTTAATTATCACCGATATTCGTATAGGAGATGTTAGCTCATTTTTCTTCAATAACAATTTATTAATGACATCGAAGATTTATATATAGAAACAAAAAGCTTTCTTTCGGTTCAATGAACAATTCATTAATAATTAGGATCGACAATAATGGAACACATGAGTACATATTTTCGATCCTAATTGAGTAATGTCTATAAATCTTCACTAGTAATTCTTTTCAACTGTCTCGAAACTTTTCTTTCTCTGACGAAGACTATTTTCAGATCAACAACGTCCTTACAAAGAAGTATGTTAATCACAATGACAGAAGTATCTATGCTGAATACTTCTAATCAATGTTAGCTACCCGTGGGAAAATAAATGCCATTCTGATATCTGGCAGAAAATTGCTAATTTGGTATTTGTTTCGAAGCTTCAATAAGCCTTTGATGAATACAGCTAATTATCGAAAGATAGTTCAATGATATCTACCACATTCACTTGTCAAACATTACAGTAAAGATAAACGAGTACGTGTTACTGCTGATCAATTTCTACTATTCGTATCAGGAGAGTCGTTCTTTACACTTGTAGCAGATCAACGGATAAACTTCGTGCATATGACATTGAAATTTGCTTACGAGTCGTTTGAAATGAAACCTAGCTGAACTAATTTAATTAGGATTATGGTTGAAAAGATTTGTTCTCTAGACGTCGCACCTTAATAATCGATAATGACGTTGGCAGTTCTCGTTTACCTCATTGTCGTGCAAAACGATACAACGTTCGAGTTTTTGCTGAAGAGTTATCCTTTAGAAAAAAAGAACATGTAGATATATATTTTTTCTTATCAACAAATATTAATCATCTTCGTGAGATTTTTTTGTATCAAGTATCGTCAATGTGCGTGTTGTACTTGTCTTTTCTTTTCTTTTGATGAAAAAAATTTCATGCTTTTTTGATTATCACATCGACTAGTATAAGCAAAGATTTGCAATCAAAGGTGAAGATCTATCATGCAATCATTTCCTGTTTGTTTATCTTTGAGGAGCAAAATAGGACGCGCGCACACAGAATGTACATCGATCAGCGTCTTGAGATAATGACTTGATAAGTGAATAAAAAAAAGAATCAGGATGGGTGCGCTTGAAATGTTTGCCATTCAATAGAGAAAGTCGAGTAGCAGATCGTCAGATACACGGTTTTCTCTCTCTCTCCATGTGTTTTGCTCGCGTGCTTAATTCCTTTTCTTCTTTTCTTTAGTAAGAAGGCTCATTTAACGAGTACAGAGATCCGGTCTGTTTACCTCATCATTATCAGCAGAGAAAAAGAGAACGGATAGCAGAAGAGCATATATGTAAGGAAAGAAGTATGGCGAACAAAACCGACAAGAAGGAAAAGGTACACATATAATACGTCTGTTTCATCTCTGTCGTTACCCATCGGATAGAGAAACTGAAACGAATAAGGAAGAAAGAAAGAAAAACTATCTATCGAAGAAAAGAAAATGTATTAGCTTAATCGTTACATTAAATTATTGCTTTTTGAAGTAAGCTTCACACAGTGTTACTATTCAATTATCTCTTTAAAAGTACATGCAGGTGTCATAACATACAGTTCGTTTTCTTTAGATTGTTGAGTGCAAACATGTCGACGCATGTACCTGATCGAGATCTGAAAGCGATCTTATTTGTATCGATAGCAACTGTTTTAATCATTCTCATCATTGTTAGTCGATGGCTCAATTTCCATTTTTGTAAGTGCTGTTTCCATTGGATGCGAATTAGAAAAACTTCAATAACCACGCCAAATACTTCCGCTCGCGAGCATTCAACTCAAGTAAAATTAGTTTTTCAACAGGAAAAATCTGAATTAGTTACTTAAGGAGCCGCGAACGTCATTCATTGACCTAAATACAATTGACGACGTAGTTAAAAATGTAAGTTTATCGACACCAGCTTTTGGTTCGGTCTCATCCTTGGTCACCAACGACACAACGCATGATGTGACATTGATGCGTACGTTAATTTGTTTCTTTTCTCTTATCTTTTCTCTTCTCAAATCTAGCGAATAGTAACAGTGCATATGATATTGTTTCCTTTGCGAACAATATCAAATCAACGCTAAAACAAACCGTTCTATGCGAATCTGATGAAGAATCGATTGGCAATGATTTAACTGAAGAGAATCTCGGATGTGGCAAATTACAAATAACAATTAATTACAATGCGTAATTTGTTGAGTTGTTCTGATAACTAGTCATATATCGTTTTTCTATAGTTTGGAAGAATATTTCGAAATATTGTTTCTGCAAGCGCGATATATTAGCATAAGCAATGAAAAGCGAGAACAAATCAAACTTTATATAAGTGCATACTTAGATCATGAACGACGGCAAAGTCAACAGACACAAGTTCGACTAATTGATTTGTTGTCTGTAGAAATCATTAGTATTTGCTTTGTAGTTAATTACCTATCATCCAAATCAACCGTTAGTCTTTCATTCATCAATGAGATGGAAAGTCGATGACGGCCGGTTACCAAGTACAGTTCTACACACAAGTCTACACGCTCAGCAGGAGAATCAAACGGAAACTCTCGTTGGAGAATGTTCGTTTACAATCGGTGAAATTTACATTTATCAACCATTAACAACATGGTTAAACCTGCATGACAGTGATAAAGTAAATGAAAGTAATAAATCAATCTTTTCTCGGCTAATTTTGACCTTATAGGCGTATTTATATCGCGGTGAAATTAGTATATCTCTTTGTTACCATCCTACAGCCGATCGCTTAACTTGTTCATTAATTCAAGCACGAAACTTGACCTTTTACAAATACGACCCTATCGTCAGTGGTATGATATCGAGAGAGTGTTATGCGACAATATCTTTGCTTCATCGTCATCAAGTGAAAAGAAAAACTCGAACAAGCTATCATCATGCTACGGACGCAAATCCCGTCTTCAATGAAACATCTGTATTCAATGTTTCGAGTAATGATCTTCTTACTTCGTATATACGTATTGTGATCTATGAAATCGTACCATCGATATCGTCGACGACAACAACAACAAAAACACTCGAAATAGGTCATTGTCTCATCGGTAATCATGATCGTACACAGCATATGTCTCATTGGCAACAAATGTTACGTGTGCTTCAACGTCCTGTCATCGTATGGCATCCGCTGAAATTGTGAAAACATCTTCATCGATGATTGTTTAGACACGACTATCTTTGCCGTCAAGGAAATACGTTTCCTACAAGCTATTTGTCGTTATCAGATATCCTTATGAAAATAGATCAGTTCGAAAGATGGATAACTATATTAATCACGGTAAGTAGCACATTAAAGAAATAATTTCCTTTATTGATCTTTGTGTATGCATCTTTCAGATGAAAAAATGCTTATGTACAGATGGTTTGTGAATGACAGATCCTTTGCTGATATGTATACATAGTATTGTTCTTATTTTTTTTATAAGATTATTATGAATAAAAAACGACTTTTCCATATGACGTGAAGGTGATCGATATGTGAGAAAATTACAGATACGCTACCTGTTTTTTTGCTTGTTGTTTGTTTATTGTAAAGTACACTTTCGACCTACTCGTTTGTTTTGCGTGGGATACTGTTCGAAAAGAATGTTTTCCTCACAATAACGCATAAACACGCAGGCACGGGCAAATTACGTACTTAGCTTGTAAATCGAATGTTAACATATCCTTCTAAAACAAGTTCAAGTTTTTTTTCGTACTATTACGTACTGTAAATCAAGATATGACACACACGTGTATCGAATAAACATCATTCTAGCTTCTTTATAGATAGTTTATGCGTAGACGATTCTGTCGAGTTGTGCATAGATAAGGATGAGAGGGGGGGGGAGCATGCCTGGTGCAGTTTTATTGTGGCAAATTATCATTTAGTGAATAATTCATCGAAAATTTACCAATCCTTCGTGTTTATGTGTATGTGATGAATGTCTTTTACGCCTTTGGCAGATAACGTACAATAACTTAACGCACGAATCGAACAGTACGCGATTACCTTGTTGCAGAAGGATGCGTAATCCCTGTATTTACGCTTGATTTACCAAGCGATACGATAAATAGAATGATGATAGTTTAAAATCAAATGTAAACAGTGTTATTATTATTAAATATCGCTAAGGTAAACTTGTGATTATTTTTATCGTCGAAATAACAAAATGGCTACGGATCCTGTTGTTGCTCAACTAAGACCTGATCAGGTCCAAGAAATAACAACAGCTTTTATGGAATTTGACTGCAATCGCAATGGTGCTATAACCGCTCCAGAAATGAAGGAATGTCTTCGCCGGTCAAACATTCAATACCAAGACGCCGAAGTTGATCGTGTCATATCAAATATGGATTTGAATCATGATGGAAATGTTACATATGATGAATACATGAAGTTTATGGCTCGTGTTTATACCGGACAATTCGATCAATTCCAACGAAATCCACCATCAGGTCCAGTACCTCCATATAATAATCAACCACCTTACAACAACCCACCACCACCTCAAAACCAACCACCTTATAACAACCCACCGCCACAAAATCAGCCACCCTATAACAATCCACCACCACAAAATCAACCACCTTACAATCAAAACCCCGCTCCATACAACCAGGGACCTCCAGGTCAAGCGCCTTACAATCAAAATCCTGCTCCATACAATCAAGGACCTCCAGGTCAAGCACCTTACAATCAAAACCCTGCTCCATACAACCAAAATCCTGCTCCATATAACCAAGGACCTCCAGGCCAAGCACCATATAACCAAAATCCCGCTCCATACAATCAGGGACCACCTGGTCAAGCACCATACAATCAAAATCAACCTCAGTCGTAAGCTTTCGATCGTCACATAAATTATATGCACTATCTTTTTGTTTTAGTAATTATCCGCCACCACCATCATCCAATTATCCTCCACGTCCTTACTAAATTCCATATATTTACTTTCGCGCACCTAGAACTTGTCTTTTATCTTTCTTCTTTACTCTTCTACTTTATCTCATTTTGTGAATTTACTGCGTCTGCCACCGTTTTTGTATGATGTTCTTTTTTTATCAAGAGAAATAGAAACGAAAACATGTCTTAGCTTATATATCGATTTTTGAATGATGTTCGTCATCGAACATTTTTCCTGTAGTCAAAATCTACGCGATCGTTGCTTATTTTACTATGCGTAATCAAAACAGAGGAGAACATAAGCGATATTTATTGCTTGATGAAGGCCCACGATTGTTTTTAACCTTCAATTATTGTTTACAAAACGTATCTCGCAGGTAAACAACATGTAAAGTATTTTTCTTGGATTAAACGATTGTTTTTCACTCATTTAGTCATATACGTTTATAGAAGGAAAGATTTGAGAAACGCAATGACATTTTTGCGACTGTAATGCAAATGAATACCTTTTTTGTGTCGTATATAAAACCTAATGAGATATATCCTCACATGAAAACCGATCTCACCGACGAAATCAAATCTTTTATCTAATCGCATGTGCTATTTTAGTCATAGAAAGAACGGAACAGAGACCAATTAATACTAAGAACAGTATATTTTATTCAGAAATATCAGCAGTATTTTGTTATCATATACACAAACAAAAGTAAGCAAACGAATAAGTTTGGAATGCGATATAATCAATAATTCAAAGCGCATATGAGCGCAACACCGCGTTTAATCCAGTACTTTTGTGGTTTCGATGAAGGTACTTCGATTGTAAACACGAAATTAGTCGAATGTCCTGTTGTTGATAATGTACCAGCACGTGTCAATGTTTTATACACAGGGCACATGTAAATACCCGACGTTGGAACTTGTCGATTTTGTTCTGGTTGTAACCATATCACTGGCATCTCAGTGAACAATTCCTTCGGTCGGGATTCTCCGAGAACGTGTGCTGCTTGATCCCATCGGGCACCTTCGACGTACAGACCTCGGATATAACAACCATCTGTCGGTGCGTGGGTGATATCTTTTACCGCTTGTTTCATTACCTAGAAGATAGAAATGGTTTTTACTTGGTCACGAAAATTTTTTGTCTACATACTTGAAAACCGAAACTGACAGTATCAATTGAAACGACGAATTTTCGAGCATAATTTTGAAGTGTACCGGTAAGAAACGCCTGTGGAAAGAAGAATCCACTAATCCAAAATATTGGCGGAATGCCATTATCAACCCATGTCTGAACGAATTCCACACGTTGAATCAAATCAGTGACCCATGATGCCAAAGGTTTCAAACTTGGATAAGCCTAAAATCTTTCGTTTTCTATCACCGAAGAAAAAACGCATGTCGAAACATACTGCTTTGCTCCACATGACCGGTACTGAATTGTTGAATAAACTTTTCGACATTTCTTCCAATGCTTGAGAAAGTACCACTAAACCTTTCATAGCTTTGAGCAGTTCTTGCAAAGATGTGTGAATAACATTCAACAATTTGTTGTATCTGAAATAAACAAGGAATGATTGAATGAAACTCAATGTTGGAATGTAGATTTTTTTGCTTACCGAATAATTTCTTGGGTTAACACAGTATTCATTGACTGAAATTCGGAAAAAATGATCGTTTAACACAATAAATAGTTAATTGAGAAAGGACTTCTTTTTCGAACTGCTTGACTCAGTGAAATGTGTTACACATGCTTTCTACTCAGATTTGTTGCTAAGCGTTACCTGTTCGTACAAGACCGGATATTTCTCCATTACTGGTGCTAATGGTATCGGCTTTGGTACACGCGAAAGAACATCTTTAGCTAATTTTTCGATTACAACATCACGATTTTCACCCGCCGCCGCTGTTTTCGGTTGTAATTCAAGTAAATCATTCAATGTACGATACGTTTCATTTTGTGCAAAAGTAACTAAAAAGAGACTATTTTCAAGACAAATTTTCTTTATAATTAAGCCTTACTATTCGCATTATCATGTAAGCCAAAGATTTCTGGTGTATCGTTAATGGGTAAACTGCGAACATATGCAAGATATGCTGGATGCTCAGAAGTGGGTGGCAATTGATGGTAGATCTGTGATTCATCGTAACAATAATTCGAATCGAGTACCTTTGGAGCATAGAAATCATCGAGAACATTCATGACACAACGTCGATCCCAATCATCCGTAACACGACCACCTATATAAGAATAGAAAATGAGTCTTACCATCGTCTTTCTTATCGATTCCACTTACCATAGTTGATTTCACCAGCTGTATATTTTAAGACCTACGAAAGCGGAAAGATATAAACTTGAATTCAATAACGAAATTTCTATACTTTGTAAGCAATTTCTGTATATTCCATCAAAAACATTCGTAATTGACTCATACATATACGTAGATCACCATCGGTGAATTCATACGGAATATTAAACCCGAGTGGACCTGAAAAAAATTGATCTATCCTAAACTGAAATCAGTCGAATAACTTACCGAACTTTCGTCGTTCAAGTAGAACAGCGTGGAACAGACAGAGCGATAGAAGTAGATGTTTGAATTCATCAACCTAAGTTCAAAATGGGCAAATGACTTAGTGTGTGATCGAAGCATTTTCATACCTTTCCAGTGCATGATGTGAGAAAATCGTCGTTAAGCGTGACATATGATCGCAGAAGATTTGCTTTGATACCGCGAGGTGGTTCAACTGTCATCTTACTTCCATTTTGTAAGATCATCACAGGAAATTGAGGACTCGGCATACTTGTTAACCATAATCGGAAATCTTTGTGCACCTGTCAAATGAGAAGTATAGTCAAATGAGATTTTCTCTCCTTTTTCTTCTGCTATCTTATGATTCTCTATACGATGGAACGAGCGAGAAGAAATCATTATAAATCTCTTCTATTTCTATTTCTCGGATATTTGTCGCTTGATAGATCAAATGATTTAATAAGCTTCACTCGATAGGAAAATATCGATCGAATAGAATTCACTTCGCGACATCGACATATTTATCTTACATGGTCTGGATCGACTTGTTCGACTAATCGTTCTAAAGTTGGCATCCATGATGGCGACAAGTGACAATTTTGAAAAAACACCCATTGTCCTTTTTCCATAGCTGCACGCATCATTGCTTCAGCTCTTGGGCCCTAACAAAAATCAATGTATGTACGAAACTTTCTCGTTTTCTTTCGTGTTTTTTTTAAAAATAATCTCTTCGTACCTGCCCTTGACCAAGTGAAATGGTGTTGAGACGTTTAGCGAATTTCATTTCTTCAGCAAACTTGTACAGATCAGCAGCTGGATCTGTGCCGACAGATAAGACAAAGATCAAAGGAGTTGTGGCTGACGAATCACGAAAGACAAGATGTAAATCCGCCGTCTATACATAAGAAGAAGAAAAAAATAGATTATTGATTGATATTATTCAGATACAATTGACACTATCAGCCAGTTTTGCATTTGCCTGAGAATTTCTGTCATTCGCAACAAGAAAAATCTCTTCATATATCAATGTAGTTTCAAGAGTGATATATCAGTTCGGTCGAAATCGATGTGTCGCTTTTGATAGATCGATAGATCGATCAATAGATCGTGTACGTACTTGTGGCTCAATGAATTTTTGACCGAGATTATGAGACACGAAATCTTGCATTGCATTTGTCACTTTGTCAGGACGAATACATTTGAGGAACATGATTTTTTGAAAGTCATCCAAACGATTAGTCCATTCTTGAGGTAGATGAGCTCTACGATAAGACACATCAATAAATAGAAGAAAAACTAATAAGTTCATGTCAAATCATATGCCCATTTGGGATAGGCATAAGTAGCAATCGAAAAAGTAAATAGCTGCTCCCCGAGGAAGAATATCCGTTCTTATATCTGTCTTCTCGTTACTATTCCATTCTTTTTTTTTTGCTATATTATATAAAAATGATCTCATGATCATCGTCAAATACGACTATAAAGCACGTCAAATATAGATGTCTGAGAATGCTAGGAACTCTTCTCTCCCTCTGTGTCTCTCTTTCCTCTATCGTTAGCATTTATGTGCATAAGCAACAACATACTATATCTTATTCTCCTGATATATCTTCGAGTAGATCTGAGTAAAAAAACTTGTATTCGATATCGTATCGGCATGTTAACATCAATATCGATCTTGACAGGTAATAAAGTTTCTTCATCTTTTGCATTTAGAATAAACATCACTGATTCACTTTCCGTTTTCTCCGGTCACGCTCGTCTTGCTCATTATAAAATTCAATAAAGATATCTAGACACATATATATATTCTCTTCACATAGTTCATCATTGGCATAATTATTATATTAGACTTCTTGTCAATTGCCAATGAGAACAAGTATATGAGAAATACTATCACGATAGACAACGCACGATAATATTAACCATCCACACAATCGCAGTCCTGGTTTATCCATTGACTCAATGAACTAATCTTTGCGAGCGTTGTCTATTGATTGAGTCGACGAAGAAATAAAGGAAAAGAATTTTGTGATTCCACATAGTACGGTCTATTCTATTTGTTTTCAAATATATTGTTTCTTCCTCCTACACATACACATCTCGAGATTACCTTTGAAGAAGTCAATTGATTTTCACATTGACAATTTCTCATCTAATCTCGCAGATTTTTTTCATCTAACGCTAAAGAATTAGAACATTAACAGGCAATAGGTTTTTTTTTCTTAAGAAAACAAATATGCCCTGTAGGCTAAATGTAGTTGATGTGTTCAACATTACATCTACTGACAACCAACTGATTTCTTTTCTTCTTCATCAATAGGCAAGATGAGGTAGGAGATTCGTACTGTTCTTAATGCATCTTCCATTACAAATTAGATAATGTCGACTAACCCCCACTGAATTGAGTAGTGCACATCTTTTGCCTAGATCTTCTTTTTATTCGAATTTCACTTATTTTTCTCATAAATTTAACAAACAGACGAAGAAGGCTACTCGTTGACTGAGTAGTTCGCTCGAAGCTGTTTTCTGAGTTATTAGTTTTTCTCTTCGAATCTGCGCTCTTTCGATTGATAAATGATTTGACTGATCATCCGTACGAACGAATAAAAGTATCTTTATATATATATATATATATATGCTTGTACTTACTTTTCAGGCTCACTACTGTCGAATATTTGCTTGTAATCTTTGATATAGGTTTGGAAATTTTGTGCAAAACCTTTGAACGCATTTATTGATTCAAGCGTAAGTATTTCTGACCAAATACGTTCCGTTATCCACTTGGGAGCGGGATTGGGTACATCGACAGGACGCGTTGAGCCACCAGCCAAGAAGAATCGATATTCGCTCTAAATAGAACATTCATAATTATTAGTTTTAGATAAACAAACAGGAATATTATCATCATGTATAAACCTTCTTGTTTATTAAACGTCAATGGATCGATCCGTTCGAATGCACTACATGATATCGAAGTCGCTGGTTACCGTTATGTGATGTTAACAATTTGTATATTCGGCGTCGTATGTAACATACTTAATCTATGTGTTCTCGTTCAACGTCGTCTCAAAGAATCTCCCTATACTTATCTCACAGGCTTAGCATTAGCTGATATGTTAACATTAATTTCCTTTTCACCTGTGTCAGTCGTGCGCGGTGATTACATTCGGCATGAAGACATCTTCTTTACTTTAACGCGTCTCGAAGCGCGACTATTCGTACCCATGGCAAATTACCTCGGTCAAGTTAGTATAATGATTACCGTTGCATTGACCGTTGAACGTTATTTATTCACAACCTATCCATTACGTACACAAAGTTTTTGTAAACCAAGTTATGCACGTCGCGTTATTGCTATTATCATGGTTCTATGCGGCCTGTTAAATCTTCCGAGATTTCTAACTGAAACAGTTGAGAAGAAGATTGATACCGAAACGAACTTCAATTCATCAAATTGCGTCATGCATCCATTTCAAATCCGATACTCGTCAACGAATACTTCTCATATTGGTCAATGTTTTTGCGTAGTCGGTCACACAAAAGAAAGTTTCCTTCCATTGAAAAATTATTATTACTATACTATGTTAGGTATCAATCAAATAATTCCATTCGCCATATTACTTTGTTTGAATTTAAGTTTAATCGCACGTGTACAATCATCAAATCGTTACACGTTAGCAGAATTGATCGCCCGACAACAACGGAATCTCAATTCAACAACCGCTGGTGTGAGTGCTGCGGCACAAAAACGTCTTCGCGATGAACATCGCTTAACAAAAACTCTCGTGGCTGTTGTGATCGTCTTTCTCATATGTAACACATTTACCATCATCTCTTACCCTGGCCTCGTACGGTTCTTAACCAAAAAGAAATATCCAAATTATTTCTACGTTGGTTTTCGTATACAAAAGTTAATCACGAACATTATGCTGTTATTAAACTATTCGATCAATTTCTTTTTCTATTGCGCATTTAACGAAAAATTTTTGTCAACGTTAAAGAAAACCTTTCGATACGAGAAATTATTCTGTGGTCTCATCTCGTCGCCACGTCGAACATTACCCTCCGCTATGTCATCAGCAACATTACAATCGACCATAACTCAAACCAATCAATGTATTTCCACGTATCACTTACGCACAGAAGAATCAAGTCGACGACGAGGAAAACAAGAATATAAGCCGATCTCGGAAAATGATCTGATAACAAATAACGATTTATAAATCGAAATTGTCAGTCATTATTGAATAGTCAAACGTTGAGATGATATAGAACAGTTCTTATTACGAAATGCATCAAATTAGACTAGCATAATCATCATGTCAAGTTCAATTTACATATGAAAAGACAAATATTCTCTGTTGTTTGCTCGTTCTTGCCTTGATGAAAGAAAACAGAATCGAACTTACCATTTGGATTTTCTTTTGATTCATTAATATTCGTACAGTTAATAAGAATGCAAATAATAATTTATGTTTTTCAAATAAACTTCGACAGACATTGCAATAAAGACTAAACGTGAAATAATCGTTGATGTTCTTGATGCGATTTTCCAAATTATCTAGAAATTAGCAAAAATTTTTGTTGAGAAATAGCAATCGAAAGAGAAAAACATTCTACCTGCTCGTGGTGCACTTTGAATGCTGGTTAAGAAGATGTTTGTGAACCATTCTAATGAGTACTGATACATTGGATCAACATTTGCTAAGTCAGACACACAGAAGAACAAGATTTGTGTATTCACGGCGACAGGAACATATTCAGCGCGAGTTATATCAATATCCTTTTCTGTCTGTTCGGCCGCTTGCATTTTCGTCTAAGTAAAACGACCGAAATAAATCTTTGTGCTACTCAAACAATAACCACAAACTTTGATTTCTGTAGATTTAGCTTTTGATGCCTCCAGAGCTGTGATTAATTCGATATCATCGACCGGATTATCACTTGTACTTAATTTTTCCAAAATCGTATCTTCTAACGCTTTCAGTTCATTGCGCATAGTGGCATTGGATATAATCAATGTATTTTTCATTTCTTCCAAATCAGGACGCTCTTCAGCAACAACACGTGCTAACATTTGATCTTCCAAACCACTGAAAACAAACAAATGATATTATTTTAGGGAAAATGATCTTTATTTTCACCTTGGGGATAACGTGAAGTTCACCAATGTTACTTTAACCGATATTTCTGGCGTATAGTGTGGATTCGGCAGTTTGGTGGTAATATAAAAACGAAAATCATCATGGTACGGTATAGTAGCATCACCCAGCTTGATTACGGTGCTGCCCGATTGGCGGAAAGTCTGTTTAAATGAAAAAGAGTAATGACTTTAAACGTGTTATTTAAAAGATTTACTTGTCGTAGTAGAACAGGTTCGAGTGCTAAATAGAAAACACAAGTTTCTCTCAAACTTTATGAAACTGCGTAAGACGTACCAGGATCTATATCTGTTCCTACGTTTTCTAGTAGACATGGTTTACCGAATCGAATCGAATTTTCTAATGTTCGTAAATAATCACGATCCGACAGTTTCATCACGTCTAGGCCAGTATTTTTTTCCTAAAAGTTCAATACAACAACAATGAATTTCATCTCTCATTCATAGTTTCACTTATACCATATTTTTAATCCATTTATTTGCTTGTCCCTGTGGATCGATGAATAGTGGCCAACGATTTGAATATTGAACGATCACACCGTTTTGTACGGATAAGTTATCCTTTGGTAAGCCAGCTAATTGCCAATTACGAATCTTGACAGCATCACCCAAAACTCGAACTAATTCTGGATTGTCGGAATGTGGTACGTTGTATGCAGTTAACTTTGTAATCCATTCTCGGACCATATTTTCACGGTATTCAGCCTAGAATGAGAGAGTGGGCTTTGGATAGAGGAGAAAAACGATTTTTGTTTAAATATTTACAGTAAACGGACCAAGATATGCAATAAATCCCGAACAAACGAGCACATCGCCGATGACATTTCCTAGAAAATTGTCCAACATCGCAACATTTTCCTGCCAACGAATTTTTTCATCGCCCAAACCAGTTGTTAACTAATCAATATCGGAAACGTCTACATATTCATATCCATATGAAGAAAAGTCAAACTTACTCGTTCTGCCCGCGCAATTCGTTGATTACATTCGTCAACTTTAGTTTCATATTCTGTTTTCTTTCGTACAGCATCTTCATATTTGACTTGTAATGTTCTTAAACCTTCTTCCAATTTTTTCAATTCACGTTTCTTTGTCGCCAATACTTCTTTAACAATAGCTAATTCAGCTTCAGCGTTTGCTAGCGCTTCTTTACGTGGTGCGACTTCTTTGTTAATCATATAGAACGCGTACATTGCTCGACACCACATGCATAGCGATTTGCACGCTTTCGACGTTTTCTCAATCTTAATCGGATCAAAGTCAGGACTATCAATATGTTTTTGTAGTTTCTGTATAACAATTTCCGGAATATTTTCTTTATCGAACTCTCGCAGTGATAGAAGAAATTTACCGGCGTCAGCTAATAAACCACGACCAGGTTCCCAATAATCATCTTCTTTCTTGCCTGGCTTATTTGGTACAGGCACCTTCAGTGGTTCAACTTGTTTTAGAATACACACGGCTTCCATTGTTAATTTGACACCTTGCGGAGGTCGTTGTAGAGCACGTACTTCGTTGATATCATTTTTCGATAGAACTTCAAGACTTTGTAATGCAGCTTCGAGTGCAGGCATAGCTTCTGCAAGCCGTTCTGATGCTTCGCTGGCGATAGCACGAGTTTCTTTGACTTTCTTCTGTACTTCTTCTTCTTCGCTGGCTACTTTAGTTTTGATTTCTTCCGTGCTTGACGTATCTTCGGCGATTTTCGCCATGGTTTCGTTCGTTTCTTGTACAGCTTGATCAAGTAAGGGTAGCATTTCATTTAATTCAACACGCAATTTCGCCACGTCTTTCTCCGTTGATAACAATTTGTCCAAACCTGTTTTCGTACGTCGTTTAGCTAACACTAGTTCATCTTTTTTCTTGCCGAAGATTTTCGAAAAGATATTCAACAGTTCAAGATAAGATGTCGGTGTAACATAGTTATGTCGACTCATTTCTTCACGATATTTTGTTGTCATCAAAGCTGCAGATTGATGGATCTCTTGACACAACTTGACTAGACCTTGGACAACTTTTGCATCAGCCTCTAACGTTGGCATATTGTTCAAGTAAGTCTCTGAGACAGCTTCCAAAGCATCTTTTGGCCATTCAGAATACCAATCGATTGTACAGCAACTAGAAAAAAAGATACACGCTGAGGTATTACACAAATCTTCTGCTGTTAACCTACTTCACCAAAGCCGGAAATTGACGAAGTCGAGCACGAAAAATTTCACCAATAGGACTAAAACAAAGCGATTGCTTCTTGTTTCGACGAAAAGATTTTTAATCTAGACTTTTACCTCATGCAAACGACAGTGTGCAGATTTTGTCGCACGCGTTTTGTATAAGCTGAATAAAGATTCGTTTTAGTTGGTGGTAGTCCAGCTTCGGATACAACCGGTTTCATAATAGTATAAATTTGTTCGAGTTCATCAAATTGATAAATATTTGGCACATCACCACTATTTAGGATGTTGTTCAAATCTTCCAAAAACGATTCGCTTTTGATCTACCAAAGGAAAATCATTCAAAAGAAAGCGAACATATTCATTTATTTACTTGTGTATCCGAGAAGAGAAACACCGTTGGAGTGTTACGAAGACCAGCGTGTAGCATAAATTTTCTCAAGTCATCTTTCCATTCCGTCATACCTATGATTGCAAAAAGTCTTTCCTGTATCAATCCATATATCATCATCGAATTAACTTACCATAACTTTTGGATAGTTGAATTGAACGAAGCTCATATTCCGAACTGCAATTAAAAATGTTTTCTTTTTATCTATCGAACTCTTTCCAGTATAGACACCTACATGAATGTGGCAAGTCGTGTGAGTGATTGTCGACCAGAACCGCCTACACCTAACAGCAGTGCATTACCAAGCGGTTGTTTGATAACACGTATGATTCTTGAAATATGCTTCATGGCATCCATAAATAACACCAGATTCATTTTAGCAACATTGATTTGATTGTACTCTTCTAAGTATTCATCTAAACGTTTCTTCATCTACAGAGAAAGAGAAATATGAACATTTTCTTTCTGATCTATTTACCAGTTTCACGTCGTTCAGTTCTTGATAAGATTTATCAGCTGTTTGAGCGACAAAGTCACCATAGAGTACAGGTTCTTGTACAACATTCTCGAAATTCATACTGAAATCCGATTTCATATGTTCAGCAAGTAAGTTACGGAACCAATCTCGATCTTCATCATTGATCAAGCGATCTTGAAACACACGACAGTTCTCATGGTACCATAAACGAAGTAGACTCTCGACATTCTACAAGACAAATCCTTATTTCAACAAATCCAACTTGACAATCTATCTCACATCAATTTTCTTCGCCTCCATCATCAACATTCCTTGAAAAACTTTGGACAAATCTCGCAGATTGAACGTGTAATGAGATTTGCTCGGTGTTGGAAGCAACGATGCACAAATTGTTTTATAAACTTCAATCGACGACATGACCAGTTTCTCGCTAAGACCCAAGACAAATTCGTTTTGTCTCGTCCACCAGTTGAATATCGTTGAAAAGATCTTTCTCATGCTATCGTTTTCCAGTTCAGTAAATGATAAGAAATTGAAATGACGTGTCAACCGTGGTGTAACTGGATTACGACCACCACTAAACAAAGAGGGAATTTTTGTCGTGAACAAAGACCTTTCTTATCAAATGATTAGATCCCCTTACCCTGGTGGACCCATCGCACAGATGAAATTAATGTCAACTAATGTACGGAATTCGCCGACAACTTTTCGATCGTACCAGCCTTTAAAGTCCATGTATTGTCGAATCAATTCGATTGGTGGTTGAGCACCGTACGTTTCCAGAGCTGGCATGTTCAAATCATCGATAAAGAACAGAAACACTTTGCCTAATGGTGGACCGTAAATACCACGACGTCTTCAAAGACGAAAAACACGTATGAAAACTTTCAAGAAATGCTCTTTAGTCAACAAACCTTTTATCTAATTTTGAATCGATTAAATCTTGCGTTTGATTTGCATTTGTTTTCGCTGAAAAGACAATAAACTCAGGACTGAATTCTTTTGGCATAGAACGCGTTAATTTATCAGCAACTGTTAATGTCTTGCTCGTTCCTGTCGGACCAACGCAGAGCACTGGTCGATCCATTCGAAGTAACATTTCGATAATATGTGCATTACGGATGTTATCAATAGTTGGCACAAGTATATCCGAAAATTTCGCATCGTTCGATATTTGAAATGGCGGCAAATCGGCTAACCAATGCTTCCATCGTGGTTGACGTTTCTTACTGTCGTCACTGCCTTCTTCTTCATTAGCTTTTTGTTCTTCTGTTGGCTGAACAATACCACCATCATCGAACACATAATCGTAAACGAGTCCCTCGGCAGGAATCGCAAGTTTTATCTATGAATAAACATTGAATAAAGAAAAACGGCAAGTTATCTGTGAGGGAACCTACCGGATTGTGTACGAGTTTTTGACGTAACCATTCGGAGAATTTTCGACGCGAGTCATTATCACATGACGCACCAACGGACCAGATAAGTGAGAAAATGAACCACGGTTCGATAAGTTCAGTAACACGTTCAGCTGCTTCGGGCGGAGCTGGTTTGTCGGACTAAACATGACAAGATAGAAGCATGGATACATATGAACTATCGAAAGATATGTCAAAGTCAATAAATAAGGACAAAGCATAATGCAGAAGCAAAAATCAAAAACAATTTAATTTGTTACTAAGATAATTAATAAAGTAAAAAACGTAGCAAACTAATATGACTTACACGACCCTGACGTTGTCCTTTCTAATGAAATAAAAAGTGAGAAAAGATATTATTTATGTGAATGTTTTCTTATTTTTGTAATAAGAACGTTTAAAAAATATCTAAATGAGATTTGATCTTTAGCTTACCTCTCGCGGTCGAAATGGTTGAATGAAACAATCGAGCATTTTTATCAAACTAAATGTTAAATTACTATCATATGTCGGAATAATTTCTTTCACATTCTTTCGTATGAATTTCAAGGATGGCTAAAGAAAGATAGATCAGTAATTAATTTGATGGAGCGAAGATGAACTTGTTGATTTACTTCGAGAAAATTAGCGAATAGTTGATTGATTTGTTCGTAGTGTTTAAAGATTGCATCGGGTAACTTTTTCATCCAACATTCGATGAATGGTTGTAGACCGAGAATTGAAGGTTCTAAGTAGACCATACCACAACGAGATACAGTAGCAGGTGATGCTTGAGAGAGATCAGCAACTTCAAACATCATTGTCATCGCCTGAAAAGAAGTTGTTTGTTTTGTATATTAGGAGATTCACCTTTTCTTTCAAAAAAATCATACTTCAGTCATTTTGATAATTTCACCACTACTTAAACATAGTTTTTTGTTGTCGTCTAGTACTGTGTTCATATTTTCGATCCATACAGCATCGACAGGACCTAAAATTCGTGGAATATTCTCGATCTCCTCTCTACAAACAAAGCTTCAAATTTACCGTCAAATAGATACCATCGTTTATCATCATTTTCGGCAGCTACACCTTGTCGCATCAAAGTAGAAAGTATACCATCAGTCCTAAACGTCACTCATATGTTGCAAATGGCTGTTTATTGAAAAAAAATTACCATTCATGAGTTAATTCATCGAATGCACCGTACAATTGACCCATAGTAATGGATTTTGGATTGAGAACATAGGTGTGCACGGGTTTGAACGGTGAGCCGGCCGGATTGATTTTTCCTTTCATATGTGTCATAGCTATTTGTAAAGATTCGTAACTCTTCGTTTTGCCAGAGCCTGTTGGACCGACAAGCATCAGACCTAGACAAGCCAAATGTACTAAGTAACTTCTATGATCATGGCATTTGTAACTTACCGTGCCGGACAATGGTTGTTTCGAATAACTGGATACATTTGAGTAAAAATCCGTCAACATCTTTCAGATTAAGTTGACGACATGCATGACGTAAACCTTCTTCCAGTACTTTATAATCGATAGGTTCCTCTCTACAAACACATGCATTCTTTCAGTTACTATTACTTAATAACCCAGTAAGTTTTACTTAATCTTCGGGAACAGATCAGAAACGATACCAGTAAATAGTTTCAAATCATCTTGCAGAAATTTCGGAATGTTAACATCACGAATAGCTCGCAGACAAATTAAATCCTACGGAGTTATAGGAAGATTATCATACGAAAGAAATCGATCGATGACTAACTTCATTCATGTTTGGATATTGTCGTTTGAGATTGCCAGCTGCTGAAATGACAGATTTGACGGCACGCATACCGAAATCGTAGTGATCTTGTGAACTCAATTGTTCGGATGATAATTTGAACGTTTGAACAATCTTTTTCGCTAAAGGTTTAGCATCGGAAAAGCCAAACGAAAACAGCGAATTCTCAGCAATAAGACCATAGTCAGGAACCATCATAGCTAAATGATAAGTAGTTGAATTCCGTAGAGGCGTACTACTGCGTCACTTACCGACTGGTCGAAATAAAGCTTTAAGATTGTCGGGTAATTCAGTACTAAAATACATCATAGTTCAAGAGTAACCACGAGAATGTCTAACATACCGTCCAGCATAACCTGGATTCATTGTAATGAAAACAGCACATGAGGATTTGAGAACGATTTCTTTGCCTTCGAACATGAATCTCTCAGCCTAGACGAACAAAAACACATTTAGAACACTAGTTCGAATAAATCCTTCGAAACTAATAATCAGCAAAAAGAAATCAAGTATGTTAGTAGCGTAATCACTATACACGAGTTCGAAGAGTTAGTTGAATCGTCAGCACCTGGTTTGCCACCACCGATAGAACTTCAATGTTGATACGCTATCATAGATTACTAATCGTCATCGATGTTCACTTTCATTTAGTATACTAACGTTAAACTCATCCAAACAACACCAACAACCACAACTGATAAGATGTATATATATATATTGAAATCGGTTATTATCATAAGAAAACAAATCACTTCACCACACCGATCATCAAATTACCTTTTGCATTAAAGCCTGATTAATCACTTGAATCTGTTGAGCAACTACCGAAAGTACTTCAATATCGATTCGATTAAATTCATCGAAGCAAGCCCATGCACCAGCACTGAAGGAAGAAAGAAAGAGCAGAAATACTTAAATCTGAGCTAAGAGATTCGAATCACAAGACAGCCCATCAGAATCACTCGATTATATCCCAAATGAATCACAAGAATAAAGAAGAAATCTACGTTTTTGTGTATGTGTTTATACCCGTAACTGACATGCACGAAGAATTGTTGAAACTTGGTTAGCAACAACACTCAAGACTTCAATATCTATACGATTGAACTCATCAAGACATGCAAATGCACCAGCACTTTACATGTTGTGATGATATACGAATAAAAATTCGTTGTGGATATACAATGCGTAACTGTACTCACCTTGCTAAACCGCAGAAAAACTTGGCCATAGCCTAGAATAATAGATAAGTATTCAACTAAGTTTGAATAGACATTACCATAAAATCTAATTGATCAGAACAGTTAAACACGACACATTGAACAGCCATCGCTTTAGCTAAATCTTTAGTTGTTTCCGTTTTTCCTGTACCGGCGGGCCCAGCTAAAAAATAACTCGGCTATCAAGTCAATTCTACGGAAGTTTTGATTTTACCTGGTGCACCACCAAATTTCAGATGTAAAGCGCCAGTTAATGTCAGATAACATCGATCGGTCAAAGGTGTAATAACTAAACGTGGTGTATTACCTAAATATTCATAACCATAACGAAATTCTGCGTTGACAGCACGAATGTAGAGATGATCTTCATTCCAATAATAACGTAGCTAAACAAATCGAAGTAGGATCGTAGTAAAGTTCGTTTTCTTGTATCTTACTTGTGAGATCCATTCAAAATCATTGACATTCATAACTTTTTCCTCGATGAGATTGATGACCACATCACGTGCGTGTACTTCAATAACAATCAATGCTTTCAATGTTTCACGTGCATTATCAGTTAATTCGCCGCGTACTAATTCTCTCAATTCATCCAGCTCGTGTAATTGTTGTTTGTGATATTTCATGATTTCTTTCTTTTCCAAGGCTTCCGAGACTTGTCTAGTCCAGAATGTTTGCGAACCAGCAACAACGATTTGGCCGGGCCAATACTGTACCCATTGCTTACGTGGTCGCTAAAATAGGATGGAAACACATAATGACAAGATTCCATATCCTCTAATTATTTACTGATGTATAGTCGTCTAAAGCATCTCGAATAATTTGTCGCAATGTTTCACGCATGACACGTTCGATTTCACACATCCAGTCTTCGACATTACCAACAGGATAGATCTCTTTGCGAAAAGCGACTTCTTCTTGTTCAGCAGAATACATTCTCGATATACGCATATCGTCTTCGAATTTAACCTACGTCGAAAATGACAAATCCGAATAATAATAACAGATTACGTTCGAAATCGAATTACTTTAGTGATATTTTCGAAACATTTACGTAAATGTGGCTGTACAGCTTTCGGATCTTTAGTTTGTGACAAAATTTGAAGAAGTTCATCGTCCGACAAGAAATAGAATCGTGGAAATGCCATACGTTTGGTTTCGAGGTATTCGCTCAAACCTTTTTGTACTTGTTCAAGTAATTTATTTGCTTCACGTAGGTTGTCACGTAAACGTGCTTCAGGACATAACGAAATTACTTCGGGATTCTCCTTTGCCTGTTTCATAACTTTACGCCAGATACGTTCCATTGTTTGATATCGTTTCGATTCTACAGGCAACTGTCGTATGATATCTTCCGATGAAAAGATTGGTTCGAGATACTAAAAACAAAAGCAATTAAAAGCAACCAGTCCAGGAAGATAACACTCACCAGCCATGAACGCTGACAGGCAAGCCATTCGTCCAGTACTTCTTGTGTAATTTTCAATTTATTCTCCCATTGAGCAATACGCTCTTCGAATGCTTTCTTGAATGGCGAAAACGACATTGATTGTGTAGCAACGATATGATCATCGAGCATTTGAGAAATTTCTTCGGATGCTTTGATAATATATGTACCAGTTTGTTTGTAGGGTAAAACTTCGAATCGAATAGGTTTCCATTCTTGTTCCATTTTGTCGAGTTGTTGTTCGATAGAAAATTCTTTGCCAGCTTTTTCTGCAACTTTCGATATCAAATCGATATGCTTTTGTAAGCCCATCTCGAGACATTTAGCAAAGGTTAGTTCTTTCTTTGGTCGAACAGCCATTTTGACTAATTCCGAAAGCTGAAACAATTCGAAATAAACTTTAGATGAAAATAATATATCGATCGAAAAACCTACCTCTTCCCAGTGGCGATTGCGCATACCAGGTGCACGTAATGCTTGAATGAGTGGAATTGAAGGTTTGAAATCTTCGATCTGGCCTTTGATTGTTAATGCTACCAACTGAATGCCTAAGAATAATAAACAAGAACGATGTTAGTCGTCATTGCTCGACAATTTCTTCAAAGTACACGAATACAATATCATATATACACAACAATCATGCAATTCTTTACATTCATGCAATGTAGAGTATCAGAAGAGAGAGTCTTTTTCACTGAAAGGTTCTTGTGGTACAAAGAGCGATGTAAATAGAAAAACCTCGTATATCTGTTGTACCAGGGTCATCAATTTTAGCGAGTAGAACAAATTTCGCTGAAAACATGTATGTGTAACTGAGATATTCTCGGAAAAGAAACGTTGCACACTGCATACCTTCATTGTCCGCAAAGGTTTTTATCGATCTGTGCGTGTTTTTGTACCTGAAACGATAATTTTAACGGATTCAACAGGAGAATTCAACAGAGAACGTCATACATTTCAGTAACATTCTTTTCGATATCTTCGGCGTTGACTGAAATGATCGGATCGTTCATCCAACTGTCATATGAACGAAGCCAGTCGGACGTTGTTGACCAGAGGATACGATACGGTTCGAAATCTTTCACAAGTCGGGTTAATTTTTCGTACTAGCAAAGGCAAACAAAGGAAATTACTCTTCAGTATTCAAGGTCATTCAATCTACTTACATTTGTAACAGCCAAACCGAGAAGACGTTCGCGATTGTTATATGTTTGTGACGCTTCGACACATTCTTTCAGTGCTTTGTTCAATTTACGACATTCATTCGCCACTTCATGTGCGCGATCCATACTCATATGTCCCGAAAGACCGGCAACAGACATCTAATTTTCAAAAACAAAGAAAACGTTTGAAAAAATGATGTTATGATAATGAGACGAACTATAAGTTGGTCGATCTTGTCGTTAAGTGTAGCTGTATCTTGAACTTGGAGCTTCTTAAAACGATCTTCATCTTCCTTATGCTGTTCTTCAACTTGTTCAAGCATAGTTCGAATTTTCCATGGCCATGCTAATACACCGTACCTTTAAAATGCATCAAAAGTAAGTATGGAAGAAGATTTCTTGCTGTATTCCCGCATGACATACTTCAATCCGAAATCTTCATTACTTAAATTGTACATGAATTCATCAAGTACAACATACTCTTCAAGTACTTTTTGAATATCATCCTAGATCATCGAGTGTACATACAACCGGAAACAATGGCAAACAAAATTTACTTTTTTATCATCAACTTGTTCGGGAACTGATTTCATCCATTCGCGATGCTCAGAGAGATCTTCTGCATTGTTTGCTTTTTCGTATAACTTTCTTTGAATGTCACGGAAAGTATCGTTGAGCTAAAGTCCACATTGAAAAAAAAATTCATGTTAGCCGAGTACAATTCATACTTCTTCTGTTTTCGTTCGTGCTTTTCGTGTTTGACTTGCCAACAAAGCTTCGACTAATGCTTTTCGTTTATTCGACAAAGCTTCTCGCAATTTGTGTGCGGAAATGAAATAAGGACCAATGATGATCGAAGTTGGAATACTCTTCTCTAATTTGTCTTTTTCGTGAATATGAACTAGAATTTCATTTCGATAATCTTCGATCGATTTTTCCGTTTTCTCAAAATCTCTAAAAAAAAAGCATCAACAAAACTCTCATCCTATCAACTTTGCAACGATCGTTTCACGTACTTGATATATTGATCGATGTTCAAATTCATCAATGGTGCATATGACTCATAAGCTAAATGATTGACAGGTGAAAACTTTGTTCACAAATAAGATCTATTATTACCATCAGCATAAGCTTTCAACGGAACAAGCGATGCATAGACAGCTTTCTGTAATGTTTCTCGCCATTCGATCACTTTCTTTTCTTGTAAAGCAACGGATTCTAACCGTAACATTTCACCACCCCAAAAGATATTTTCCATCACATCCTAGAAAACAAGATATGCTCATTGACTTCATCATGATGCATGAGGCGCGCCAGCTACTTTTTCGATTTGTGGTATAGCATGAGTTTGTAAAATCGCACGATCGAAGGCACCAAGGATTATGTTTGGAAAACTTTCGTAAGATGTTACGTAGCGTGGACCAGCTTGATCAATAGTTAAATCCAAATGAAATAATGGATTCTTCGGTGGTCTAGAATAAGGAACGCAATAGTCAGAGAAGAAATATTGATGTGAATACATACTTATAAGGAGTTGTGATTAAGTCATCTTTGGGCCATTTGAAGCCTTCTTTCATATCTAAAACTGGCGTACAAGCGTCGACAATCATTCGAACATAGTTTTGGCATGAATCTTGAACAAGAAATCGAAGCGTATCTTGCATCATGAACTTCACACGTTCGATAAACGTCTTCAATTTTGATACTTTATATATATGATAGTCTGACTCGTTGATATTGTACCTTCAATTCAAAGTCTTTCTCAGTAAAATGTGCAAATCTATATATCATTTACCATCCACGGCCAACATCGATGAATTGTGTCTTAATACCTTGTCGGAGATTGTTTTTCCATGTGTCAGTTAGATACATATGTGTCTAAGACGAGGTGTGCTTTTGTCAAAATCAATTAAACAAATATCGATGGAAACTTACGGTTGATGTTTGATTGACTTGCATACTTTCGAATTCATCGAGTTTGACATGTTTTGGAAAATTCTTTTGCAATAAACTTAAATTGTTAACCACATAATCACATTCGGTTCGAACGAGTTTCAACGCATCGATCGCTGATTTCGATGTTAACAAGGAAATAAACTAATGAAAAAAGAAGAATTTAAATGTGATGTGATAATTAGGAAAGTTGCCAACAAACTTTGAATTGATCGAACACTTCATTGAAAGAGTATTCTGGAATGCTAATACAACCCGAACGAGGTACAGGTCGACGTTGTTTGATTGGTAGAGTAATAAACGCAAAGGAAATCGGATCCGATTGTGTAACATTTTCGAATATCATCGAATTCATCGTACGTGCATAATCTAAATTGACTTCTTCGACAATTGGTGTAACGTACTCGTCTTTGCTAAAGAGAAAGATCAGAGTGAGATAATTGAAAAACGTCTGATTTATTCGTACATTGTTTTCGAAATGGCACTTGTTTTAGTTAATTCAATCATTCGTTTGATACGCTCGTCGTCAAGTTTACCGGTACCATCGGTGGGCATACAATCAATGAATAATGTTGAGCGAAGTTCAGCTTCAGTACGTTTTCGATCATGATAGGCTTTTGCCACACGATCAGCAAATACACGTGGATCTTCAGCTAGAAAATGTAATTGAATACGAGGAACCCAGTAGCGACCATGGGTGCCATCAGGTGAATAATTATGACGATGACCTGCAAACACTTTTAATGTGTACGAGAAATTCGAATAGATGTACAAACCGTTCGTAGCAGAGCTTGCGCCGGATCGTGAACCATTTTCAGCAGCTTCTATTTCTTTACGACTTCGTTTTGTTGAGCGATACATATCGAACACATCATGTTCTCGATCGTCCGGTGTTACAAGCCACAATTGTTGTTCCGCATCGTAGTCATGGATACTAACATTATGCCAGTGGAAACGAAGATTACTATCTTTGATATCAGCTAAAATGTTACAGTAAATCATCGTTAAGAGTTGCTGAGAGAAGACGAGTGCTTACTAATTTGATCAGCAGGTATGTTCGGTAAAAGAGCAACACCGGGTAATGGTTTATTTAAGCCGGTAAATGGATCATGGCCTAGCGCAAGCCATGATTCCGGTGTCCAAATTTCGAAATCGGTATCGTCAAAGTAATATAATGGCAAAAATGAATCGAATGGTGCTGGATCCTAAAAAAGAAAGTATGTGACCATGATTGATAAATACGAGATCAATGTTTCAATTTTACTTCATTCGGAATATTCAATGTAACAACTTTATCAGCAGGTACATATTTTGGCATCAATTTATCTGTATCAATATTTCGTTCCTCGAGTAAACTTGGTAGATCCAGTGATAGATACAGACGTTTTCGTCTACAAAATCAAAGAGACAGGATTACTCATCCATAACCTGTCGATTCGAATTACCGTTCGATTTCGACTTTTCTTGGTAGTTTATACGGTGCCGTATAGAACGGCATAAAAACTTTTGGCTCGTATGTTTTTTCCAAATAGATATCACTGCGTTTGTATTCAGTAGTAAACTCTCCTTCTTTACTATTGGCCAAGATTTGTGCCACATCGATTCCTTGCAAATCGAAAATACTTGCTACAAATTACGGAAATTCCTTTCAAATTATTGAATTGAACATTTTGAAACGAGCATACCTCGAGCTGAATTCGATAGACGAAACGTTTCACGTAGAACGTCATCATGTGCAATTGGAGCTTGTTGTGAAATCTATAGTTTCAAAAGTTTAATGATATCAACAAAGGAAAACATTCGCTGTTTTACTTGAAATCTGGTGTCGGGATCAATGGTTGCTAGTTCGGAATAATATCCGCGTTCTCGAAGCTCGCGATTTCGCCGACTGCGATCGATTCCATCGTCATTTCCAGCCGTACTAGCACGGGAATGTATGGATCGACTAGAATTCTGTCGATTTCCATGATATCCGTTCTCTTGAGGCATGGCGAAACTTTATAATGTTTCGTACAAAATATTTCTTTCTTCTGTTTATACCGTTGTTCAGTGCAAACTAATTTCTTGTTCTCGTTGATTCTATGCAGACATTTGCATTTATATGTAAATTACGTTGTCATAGTAATGAAATTCTCGTTTCTTCGTTCTCTCAACCAACAAAGATGTCGGTAGCTTTTTGAGTCTTACCCGTCGATTATGTAAAGGGCAAGAAGATTAAGGTATTGTGGTGTTGATAACATATAAATAAAGCTCGAAGCTGAGTTTTATCTTTTCAATGCAAAAACAAAGCACCATGTTGATTCTTCTGCTCTGCTTATTGAATTTGGTTGTGTCCGATCCGTTTCTGTCGAAGTTTTATACTTATGGATACAAAAAATCGTTTAAAATGACACGACTTAATCTAGCAAATCTGAATCTTATTGTCTCATCACCCCATGCCGGTAGTGAAATACCAAATGGCATACCCGACCGTAGCCCTGGCGGATGCCGACATAATTCTACAAGCACATGCACATATTATTACAATGATACATGCGCCGATGGCGTTCGCTGTCCTGTCACAACCGTACAGGATTTTGGTAATTGGGATCCACTTGCTGAACTAATCGTCAAAGAATTGCATGAAACCTATGGCGTTTTACCATTTGCTGTTGTAGCTAATTGGAATCGTAAAAATATCGATTTCAACCGTGAAATCGTACAAGCAACATTTCAGCATCCGATAGCAATCAAAGCGTATCATGGATATCACGGCTATATCGAACGAGCAATCAAGAAGATCAATAAAAAGTTCGATGGAAAAGGTTTGCTGATTGATCTTCATCAGCATGCACAGGGAAAGTATGTTAAAAAGAACGCATGGATCTTTATTTAAAAAAGCATGTATCTCTGCTGTATTAGATACACAATGGTTGGAATGAGTCTATCAGGAGTTCAGTTGAACACGAATAACTTATCTTGTAGTTCAATAGAACGTCTGATAGAACTTTCGTGTCCCGACGATCGAAGTGACTGCATTTGCGGCTCGAAGGCATTTGGTACTTTCCTTGAATCAAACGGCTTAGGGACCGCCTATCCTTCATTGAACAATCCAAAACCTGAGAATAAAACATTCTATCAAGGTGGGTATATCACCAATCATTATTCGTCGAAGATCAATGCTATCCAGACCGAACTCTCCTTTGTCGTACGCAATGAATTCGAACCGAAAGTGTATGCGCAAAAATATGTTCAAGCTTTACTAGGTTTCATGAAAGTGAATCAACTGTTACAAAAGAATGATAGTGTCTAATACGCAGTTCGATTGTCTCGACTATATTTAATAGCACCAGTTAAAATCGTTTTCCATATTGCCACTTCATTTTCATTCTGTGGCGCGTAAATCAAAATGTATGTATCTGGAATAGTGATTCTATTGAATAAATTCATGCCGGCCAATGGAAATCGTTCAGCCCATTGTTTGTCAATTAGTAATTTTGCATCCGACGGATGAACCAGCATATGAAATGATCCATCATTGGAATGTAAATGCGCGATTTCGCCTCGCCCAAACGAGTTTTGATCCGCATTTGGTAGAAATAATCCATCAGCACCTGTATATTCAACGATAGATTTGCCACGTAATAGTAGTTGATCGCCAGTTGTTACGCCACCATATCGCGGAATTGAAATTGATTCGATATATTGATGCATTAGGTACATAATATCGTCGGGTGCCTGTTGAGATAATTGGCGATGTGGAAGAGCGCGCAGCATTTTTGGTCTCGATTGATTTCGCATGGGAATATCCTTCTCATTTAAATATCCAGATTGATCATTTGATTTAAAATGAGCTGTAGAAAGACAGTAACTCTCTTTTGACCAACCTTGAAAGTTGACGACACATGTGAGAAACCAAAGGAAATAACTGGGCTGTTCTCGTAAACCGTGTGCATATCTGTTATAATTTATCTTGATGAAGATCAATACCGCAATTAATAATGAAAGAATTACGTAAAAGATCATGTTTACTTCAACAAATGTTTTATACTCTATTTGCTTGTTTATATATACTATCGATGATCGTACAGTTTTAGTTCGTTCGATGGTGTCGATATGTCAAGCAGTACGTTACTGATAGTGACGCAGCCCACACTTCTAGGATGAAAATGAGTAGATCTCCAACCAAAGTTCGTTTACCAGATGTCATTCATATACGTGTATTATTGTTGAAAAATGCAACTATTGCCAAAAAGAGAGCAGTGAGAACTTTCTCTACACGCAACGGAGCAAAGTCATACAAATTCAATTAACAACGATAAAGCACTATTACTCACTAGCTAGAGCGAATTTCTACACACGCGAAGCATAAGTATCTGCAGCGCTGCTAAGCTTCTATTTCTTAAATTTTTTCGCCAAGCATTAAATTGTCGCACTCAGAAGAAAGAAATAACTGGCATTCTAGTTTTAGGTACATGAAAAAAGTGCATGTCATGGAAGAATGCTCTGCACTTTGCGTCCATTCTTCATCAATAACAATCTTATTTAAACATAAACTAAAATTATTGACTTTATGGTTGCCTAAAACATTTCTCCAAGGCAGAACAACTAAAAGAGGAAGTTGTTAATGAAAATGTTGTAATTTTAACAAGAAACATGTCACACGTGTTTTCTTCCGATCGGCGCATGAGCAAAACAACCGGTTGAAGTATTTATTAACAATACTACGTCAGAGATTTTATTTTAAATCAACAAAACTATAAACAATCGTAGCAATCATGCTGTTCTTTTCCTTCTGTTTAACGTCCATTTTAGTTCTATTTTAAAATTTTCTGATTAAATAGAAAAAGAAGAAAATGTTTGACTCGAATGACACTCACATACCGTTCGATTAACCGAAGAGTAAGAAAACAAGAAAGCAATTGGCGTTCGTCCGTTTTGTTTTTATCTGTAAAGAAGAAAAGTCATAGCAACGAGAAGAATTGCTGATGTGTGCATGCTATTGCCATTATTATTGACGAGTCATTCTCATGCATGCATAAAATTTCTCCGTTTTGTTTTCTTCTCAATTCAATATCTTGTTTGCATGACTAAACGAATGTAAAAATAAAATCTGCCGCACATTACAATAGTTATTCGCAAAACATGTATGCAAACCAGCCACCGCCCATTCTCAAAACACGACACCATAGTTATGATTATCCAATGAGTTCTAGGAGTAACTTCGATGTATCGTTACCTCAAAACCGCTTTTCCCTCTACACCGATCGATCGACTACTGGCCAACAATCATTAGCCGGTTCAGCAGCAAATAAGTAAATATATGCTCATTTAGTTGTCAATCAATAGAAAGAAAAAAAAGGAAATAATTTTCTATTCGTATCGTGTTTAGTTATGTTCCACCAAATACTGGACGTTTCTCCATCGTAAGCAATCATAGACGAACGAATAGTACAGGATCAACTAGTACTGGTGCTATTGAAAAGACAAATATGATGTCCAGTGAAAATCCATTTGTTGATCCAGCTCGTCCTTACGAACAACAATTCAGTGCAACACGTACAATAACTTCTATAACTTCTCCACGAAAATCAGATGGTGCTGTAAATAAATCATTGAATCTCTCTGATGAAAATCCATTCTTCGCTGTCTATGGAAACTATCGTTATCCTACACAAGTCGATCCATCGAAACGAATCACAACACAGAATTCATCAGCACGTTCTACGGACAGTAAATCATTGTATATGTCGGATGAAAATCCTTTTGCAGTTACGTATGAGCGTTATAAACCACCAACGATAACGACGACATCTCAATCGACTTTTCAAAAACGTCTTAGTGAACTCTCACCTATAAGGGATTCATCCTTCTCATCGAATGGTTTAGCGCATTCGAGTTCATTTAGTAGTTATAGCTATCGGCCATCATTAATACGTCAGTATTCAGCTGGTGAACTTGGAAATGAATTAAACCTTAGTACAGTCTCCACATCCATTGCTGATTGGACGCGAAATAATCCTGCGCCACTGTCCTATCGACCTATTCATGTTCAAAGGCCGCCAGCGGAATACTATAATCACAATGAGCCTTCCTATGTTCCACCACCAAGTTCTCCTCGTCAACAACAGCAACCGCTACCACCTCCACCTTCACAGCAACAATCATTACCATCACCTCGACCAGCACCAACGATAAGTTCACAATCTTCGCCACGAAAATCGAATGGATCACTTCCATTGGATAAAACGTCGTTAAATATGAGTCCTGATAATCCGTTTGCTGCGACGTATGGACGATATCATTATCCATCGCCCGACGAAATCCGAACACAACGTCGAGAAAATGAACGCACAGTTCGTTTCGCCGATGAAGTTATGGTCAATGAAAGTCGACCATCAAATTCTAACAGCGATCACTCGGACACCGAAAAGAAAGAAACAACTTCCAACAAAGGAAAATCGAAATTTGCCCGTTTTGATATCACACTTTAAATCTGAAGATAATTGTTCATGAATGTTGCTTTTTCCTGCTGTTAAAAAAGTCTCGAAATTTATTGTTTTTACTTCATCAACTGTGAATAATCTTCCATGTTTTTCTACCTCTCGTTTCACAAATGTACTAGTACATTCAACAGCCAATCGTAGGTCGATAATACGGTAAAAACATACTTATGTTTACGCGTTTTAACAATAAATTACAAGGTCGAAAACTTATTTTTCAAACCTTCGCCAGTATATTCAAGCAAGGTTTGCTTTCTATTCAAATAGCTAACGATGATTCAGTGTATTATCCTTGATTAGATCAACTCATCAATACACGATAAGATGTTAAAACTTTTACTAAACACAATTTATTTATATGAAAAAAAAGAGGATTAATTCTTTTGTTTAACTTTTGTCAAAACTCGTTGAATATTTTCTTCGATTTTGATTACATTTGGATGTGTGGATGGATAGATATTCCGATAGATTTTTGCGGCATCGGTATAGAAGCTCAACGCCTCGTTATATTTGCCTTGATCATCATAAATCGCCCCGATATTATTACAAGTCGACGCGTACTTCGGATGGTGTGGCGGAAGTGTTTTCTTGTACAATTTTAAAGCTTCTTGATAGTAATAAATCGCATCGGTATAAAGTTTTAATAGATAATACGCGTTGCCGATGTTATTGTACGACATGCCGAGAGATGTTTCATCGTGTGGAAAGTTTTTCCGGCGGATTTCGTATGCTTTTCGGTAATAACTCAGTGCTTCTTTGTAAGCATGTTGTTCTTGACAAGCAATACCAATATTATTGAAACATATCGCTTGTTTTACTAAACCTTTGCCCAATGGATATTCACCTAAAACATCTAATGCTTTTTCGTAATTCTCAATAGCTTTTTTAAAATATCCTTTCTTCTGTTGAATTTCTCCGATGTTGTTATAATTCGATGCGATGTCAAGCGAGCGTTTGCTTGGTTCAGATAGATTATTTCGTAGCGATTTCTCGTAGAAATGCAATGCCATGTCATAATCACATTTTTCATCAGCTACATTGCCAAGTGCTTCGTAACAACGTGCCAGATCGGTGTGTTTGTTGGATTCGAAATCTTCTAACAGGCGTCGATAGTAGATTTCCGCCTCTTCGATCTTACCCATTGTCATTAGGACATGTCCGAATGAGAGCAATTGGTTTTCATCTTCAATCATATCCAACTGCCGACTACTATCCGAACAAAGTTTCAATTTGACTATCCAAATGCTTCGCTGATAAGTGAAAATGTCCATGATTTGGAAAATTGAGCCTAGCATGAAGAGAATTTCTTCATCACGATTCAATGTTTGACCCTTGATATTTGCAAACGGCTTGTCCGTGCTTAGATTAGGCTCGGCATCGATTTCGAATAAGATCGGTACGAAGTTGTCAGTGTTCTCTATGCAAGCGATGGCACGATTTCGGTCTAAGGTGGCAGAGAAAAATGAATTGATGGAAACAAATTGTCCAGCGGATTGTTTCAATTTTTTCAATTCTTCGTTCGACATCAACTGACTACGATAAGCGCGAATGGGCACGGATAAACGAAGCTTTTCTAATTGCCGTCGGATATCCACAATAAAAAATTGAAAAAGAAACAAAACATCGATATTCTGCGTTCGAAGTGCTTTGTTCAATAGCCGAGAGAGAAATGTATCTCTCGTATACCATGATATTGCAGTATCAGATGAATATTTCTGTTCGAATTCATTGATGATAGTCAATTCTGCACGGTTCTTTCGATAAATTTTCTTGCTAATCGAAATCAATTCATTCTTATCAGTTGTATCAGTTCGCATTTGTAGAAGACAATTGATCAATAATTGGCTATGAACGAGATGTCCTTGAAGATTGGTCGTTAATTTTGCATGGACAATTTTTGTGTCGAAGATACTGATAGGCAAGGGCTCATAAATTCGACTTTGTTGGCGTTTTTCTTGATCGATTTGTATTCGAACAATCAATTCTTTCGTGTCGGTGACGACAGCTTTGACCTAGAAGAGAAACACTTGATGCACATGTTCTGAGCAGATTTTCTTGTGGATCAATCACTTTCGGATATCGACTAGACCATTGTTCATTGGCAGTTTGATCTTGACAGTAGACGTAGACGGAAAGAACTTGGTCAAGATTGTGAATACGAGGAACAATCGTTCGTCCTAATGAACCGCTGACAATCAAAACAATTCGATCGCCGTTACCTGTTGACAGAATATGTTTCAGACACCGTTCGGAATCTTCGAATGTTTTCAATTGATGAATCGTCGCTCGCAGTTCATCTTGAGTATGCTGATTATCATCTGTTTTATTCACAGATGCATCGAGCCAAATAAGAGAGAATGTTTCTAAATTATCATCGGCGGCCGTAATGATCTTATTGAGAATTTGTCCCATACTACAAGTGTTTTCAGAAACCGTCGATTAGTTGTTCTTATCGCTAGTCGAAGTATCATAATGTGCACGTGTGTGTACAATAGACAAGAAACAAAAGTATCAAAGGTATTATCGTTGATACAGATGAGTGACATCATGTCAAGAAACGAATTTAATCAATCAAATAAGAAAAGAATTGACGCTTTTGTTTGCCTTTCGCACATCAAGACCAACACAAAACTGAGCGCCTATAGACGGAGAATACTCGATCGCGCAACAATAATCTTATACCGGGAAGAGAGAATGAGGAAAAACTGAAGGAAAAAACATCGAACATTAAAACCAACGTTTACGTTTAAAACACGAAAGCATAAATATAGCCAGTGTAGCCATAACACCCAAAACAATATAATAACCATATTTGTACGTTAGTTCCGGCATATGTTGAAAGTTCTACAAGAAAATTCGATAAGTTTTTCAAATCCAAAACACAAAAAAAAACTTAGTTTACCATGCCATAAACGCCGCTAATAAAAGTCAAGGGAATAAAGATCGTGGATATGATTGTCAATGTTTTGACTACTTCATTCATAGCATTGGAATTCAACATCATATAAAAATCAATAAACGATGCTAGCATTTCACGATACGTGTCAATGGAGTCATTGACTTGCACTACGTGATCGAATAGGTCTTTTAAATAAATATTTGTACTCTCCTGCATGATCTGCGTTTCTTCTTCTTTTTGTAATTTAATGATAATTTCTTTCAATGGAGATATTATCGCACGAAGATATAACATATCACGTTTCATATCATAAATCGATTCTAATGTATCACGTTTGAGTGTTTTCATTAGTTGATTATCAATCGATTCAACTTTCGTACCCATGGTATCTAACACGTCCATATAATGATCAACAATCACATCAACTAATGAATAGAAGAGGTAGTCAATTTTCGATTTTCTTATACGACCTTTGCCTTGTCGAATACGATCTTTAAGAATAAATAACAGATCTGGAGGAGAAGAAAAGAAAACTTATCTATACATACTTTTGATCGAATCGAATAGATCTTTCGGTGTTTCTTGAAATGTTATCAGAATATTATCTTTGATATAAAAACTAATTTGTTCAATAACTGTATGTCCTGTTCGACCGATATCACGGAAAATTAATTTACATACAAGAAATAACGCATCGTCGAAAACATCTAATTTCGTACGTTGTTCGGTCGTTGTTATATCTGTTTGAACAAGAGCATGAATATCGTAGCGTGCACCTATTTGAGCAATGATATCATGTTGATGAACACCATCGACATCAATCCCTGACACAGAGAGCAAGTCCTTTCATACGTTAGAGAGAAGAATTTCAAATACATACATAACATAGGAGTGATTGGTACTAGGGGCACACTAGGAATGTCGTCGACTTTCTTATACTTTCCTTCGGTAAACGAATTTTCATCGTATGTGAAAACATTCAATTGAACAGTTGCTCTGAGGAGAAGAGAAGACATAGTGGTACAAACGAATTAAATGCTTAGACTTACGTTGGGTCAGAAAAGTGCACTAGTGTGCCCGATGAACAGGCGCCGAATGCGAATTGTGTGAGATGTCGATTCGCTGATATTCGTCCATTACTTGTAGTATGGTTAGTTGGTCCAATACCAGGTTTCGTACGTCGAAATGGTATAAAACTTGTTTTACGTCCCGTAAAATTTTTCACCATGATTAATAACAAACTAAAAACAAATCTCGTCTCGATCGACAGTCTTCGAAGGCGAGAAAGAGCCTTTGTCTCATCGATATGATCTTACCATTGACTTTTGTAAGAGTGAGTTTTTCGACAAAAAGTGCTTAGTGGATAATTTCATGAGTAGCAACAGCAAAACGAATCGTCATGTGTCTCAATAGTTTATCCTTTCAATCCTACTAAAAACGAAACCGTACCCGGCAAACGAGATGACTTTCATTCTTTGTTCGTTCTTTTTCTTTTGAGTTTCACCTTTAAAATAAATGACTAGATACATCAAAAAGAAATCTCTAATCGAAAATGTAAAGGAAGAAATCTCTTCGTTTACATATTTTTCCCTCAATCAACCGTGACCAATGTAAGACAAAAACCAGATGATTTCAAAGAAGAATACAACACTATTTGACATATTCATCTCGAGGCACATATGCACACATACGTATATCTACCTTGGATGTCCTTATCGGATAGATCAATCAGAGCAAAGAAGTTAATTAAATGAAGACAGATAATATTTAATGTTAGTTGCATTCAAACGTGCGTATCATCGTTCGTTGACCTATGAGTCAACTGTTAAATGAATTTTGTTAAAGTATAATTCCAGTACGATTGGAAGCTTGATTGAAAAGAAAACACGTGCTTCATTGCATTCGAACGTCTTTGAATGACGTCTTTCGAAAGAAGATTGCTATTGGTCAATCATCTCGTTTCTAAGCAACAAGCTTAATCAATTGAAGAAGGAACGCTTTTGCTCTTCTCTTGTTTGCTCCATGTCTGCTAGTAAAGATCTTCGATTGAATAAACTTCATCGAACACGAGAAAATAGTATGATAATCATTGCGAAAAGAAGCAAACTTCATTGTGTTTTGAAATCATCTAGGTCTGACCGATGTCGTTCGCGTTACGGATGAAAATATTCCGAAATATCGGCAAGTTAATTACAATGCTATGAGACAGTTGATTCACGAGCGAAAACAAAGTGGACTAGAAGCCTTAGAACGAGGTAACCATTGAAAAGATTCATATACTTCTATCGACTCGTTCTATTTAGTTTCCAAATTACAAAACGACAGTCATTTCATTCGCGAACAAGCAGAATTGAAGCTCTGCCGTGAACAATGGTTCAGTGAACAATATCGTTTAAATCAACAATATCGAAAGCACGATCAGGAACATCGGACATGGTTAACAGAAGCATTTCACGATCCAGATTTACTAACGCTCTTTCATGATATCACAAAATACCGTATCTGGTTAGATGAAAATACGATCGAATTTCGCAAGGCAACAATCTTACCGATTGTCCAGTTGAAGTACGTTGTATAATTTCGAAAGATTTTCATGTAGGGAATACCATCATGATTGATATTTGATTTAGAGAAGAATTACAAACAAACCAAGTGAATCAAGATAACATTTCACATGTACTCGACGCACTCCGAATCGTGGGAAAAGAGCAGCAAGAATTAATTGCTATACTCGGTCACGAACAGAAACAACTCGAAGAGGAATTGAAAGAATGTAAAAAAAAACCAACTAAATTCTCGTTCGGAATAGTCATTCATCGTATTATACCTGTTTAGTTCAACAAATGATTGATGAAGATGAAGAAATCAATATGATTGAGGAAGGAATACCAGATTCAGTTATAGAATTGCCATGTCCAGATGACGAGTTACGTGTGACAATACTTCAAGAATTTCTCATTATCGATCATCGATATCGAGAGAATCTCGTCGATTTAGATGCGAATTACCTGCCAATTGTCAGGTAAAAGATTTTTCTCCAAAAATATTTCTTTCCACAATGAGATTGTATTGTACCTAGTCAAGAGAACGGTGGATGGGATACGGATGAACATGAAATGTTGATTCACTTGTATGAAACATATCCAACAGATTTGAAAAAACGACGAACGCATATCTACAATCATTTTCATCGCTATTTTCCTAATCGGTCGAGACAGGATATGGTAGATATACGATTGAAACTCTTCATTGTATAGATCTAGACATTTCTTTAGTTGAACCACGAAGAATGGTATAATGCTCGAGTATATTACCAAAAACACAAACGAATGATTCTTTATGAATGGTATTAAAACATGATGAATTCGTTCTTGAAGATAATTTTCGATCTGCCTAGGAAACAAGCTCGTAATGCATTGAAATTAAGAGCACAATCAGTGTTTGAACAAGCTTTCGAACTGCAAGAACGTTTAGCTCAACAACACGAAGAGAAAATGAAACAGCGCGCACTATGTGAACAATTAGCCAATCAAGTAGAGAATGATTTTTGTTGGTATCGGTCTTATTTTATGTGAATAGGTGCAAAAATGGAGAGAAAAGCAATTGGAAGTATTCGAAATGAAGAAAAAATTAGAAGAATCGCGACGCGAAGTCGAACGTGAAAGAATTCAAGAAGAAAACGACCGATTACAAAAGCATCGACAACGAATGAAAGAAAAAGTCAGTTGCTTTCTTCTACCTTTTGACTCGAACACTTTGAAGAACTTATTTAGGTTGCAGAATACCATACAGAAAAAGAAGAAGCTCGATTAGTTGAATATGAAAGGGAGAAGAAACGTTTAGAAGAGATGCAAGTCATACTTGCTGAACAACAGCGCAAAGATTGGGAACGTATTAAATACCGTAAAGAAGAGTACGAACGAAAACAGCAAGAGTTGCGTGATCGAAATCAAAATGAAGAATACGAAGAGATTCAACGTGAGGAACGTCTTCAAGCTCTTGCCGATCGTGTTCGACCTCACGTTGAAATCGATCACGCACGTGTGTTAAAACCCACGAAGGTAAGTAACGTCCAAAGATCATCATTTCTTTCTGATGAAAAGCATACATTTAGGCATTCAATGCACATCGTGGTTTACTAACAAGCGTCAATGATGACGTGAACATTCAACAAGAACTATTTCCTATAAATACATTTAATGATCGGAAATTATATGGAGATGTCCGTATTCGTCTTGAACAACGTTTACGTGATGCGGGATTGATTCAGACGGACTATGCTCGACAAGCTCTAGCTGCCTTGCAACAAGCACCTAAACGTATTGATACACGTGAGAATCAAATGTGGTCGGGTTTCGCATTCAGAGCAAATGAAACTGACTCACGAAACGTTTCAAAGCCAGTCAAACGCGATTTTATTAGTCATCCGGTCTTCTATGGCATGGATAGTTAATTACTCACGCATCAGATCGCTTTTATTTCTATAAAATTATATTTTTTACAAGATATGTAATTAGTCAAAATATTTCATTGAATAAAAAAATGTTAGTACAAAACTCAGCGAGTATGAAAAAAAGAAGATTTAGAGAAGACTATTTTCGTCAGTTTTTTCTTCTAAACGAAAGACTGATGCTGACGATGGTCTGATCGTAAATGGTAATAAAGTATGCGTTGGGATCAATGAACCATTGTCAGTGATGGATTGAGAGCTGTTTGTTGTCGATGCATTGAGCACTGGTTCGAAAAATTTGTAGAATTGTTTGTATGTGATACTGTTTTCTTCTTGATCGTCCATTGTATCAATCGATGTTTCTTCATTCATATGAGTTTTGAGTACGTCAGGCCGACATGGACATTCAAAATGTACACAATGAAAAACTTCGTTGGCAGTGTTATGTGTTCCACATATACGAATGTAGACGACAATACGAGGAGAAAATGTCAGAATTTCCCATGAGCTAGATGAGATGAATGATAATCGAAGACAGAATTTGTGAGAAGGAAAGGTTTTGTACCTGCATTCAATTGTTTGTTTATCCACAGCCTTTGTCCACGTGATACTGTCATACGATGTTTCGATGTAATACGAATACGAACGATTATCGCAGTCCCAAAGCAACAATCTAGAACGAACTTACATAGAAATTCTTCACTATCGCTTATACATCGATACTTACCTCATCGAACTGATCACATGTGGTTGACATAATTGAATTACAATACCACCTGAGCCAAGTTGATGACATGTATAACCTAATTATCGAAATCGAACGTTAAATATCAACAGTAAATTTATTCATACCCGAATCCCAATCGTAGGACAGATAATCCCCGTTGATTAATGCATTTCGTACACGACTTACTCCTTCAGGTACGATCGCACTCGCTTCTAATGTTGCGACATTGTCGACTGGTGCTAAATGAAGAAAATGGCAATAAGAGAAATTGATCATCGCTTATTTTTGTTACCATATATATCTCCAACTAATGCAAATGATTTTTGAACATAATATACTTCTAATGAAACAAGATGAAAGACTTTATTTACAGTATTATGTGTTCCGACTACTCGAATAGACCTATTGGAGAAGAAAATCAAAAGAGAAGTTCTCCTCTTTGACGATCTCTAACGTACGTTACAACTATCGGTGCAAAATATAACTTTTGCCATGAACGGCACAGGTACGCACGATAATCAATGATTCTCGTCCAATTCACATCGTCAACTGATACTTCGATATAATACGAATATGCACTTGAAGATCAATACAAATGAAAATCAACAAATTGAATAAAAGTATTCTTTTACCGAGTATCTTTATCCCATAGTAATAATTTGATATGATTGATAATTGATGGTCCATCTAATTTCACACAGATACAACGCATATCATCAATTGGATGTCTAGTAAAACCACGATCCTATGCAGACAGGCATTGAACATACTCATTCTAAACAATTTTCTATTTACCAAATCGTAATTTGTGACATCTCCATCTAGTAATGCATGTTTCATTTCTCCTTGAAAAACAAATCCTTATCCTTATCAGTAGCTTTACAGGAAAAAACGATTAATTTACCATCTGTTACTTGTGCATGGTATGTTTTTGTAGCGATATTCTCGTCTAATCCTAAATGAACAACAAAAATCGAATTGTTACTATTCTGAGCAACTAAATCATTTTACTTAATCTTCCTCGATAGTTTTTGCTGCGATTTAAGTATAAATCTTTATTATTTTCACTCTGATTGGTTGCTTCATCGCTCGTATTCGTATTATTAACCGATGTTTTCGTCTCATCATTAATCGAATCGATCGCGTCCATTAAATGATTTAAATCAAATAAATTCGAATATCGAACAATTTTTAGAAGTTCGTTCATGGTCATCAAGGTTAGACGCACCTTGGAAACGATATTTTCCAATGGTTTCCAGTTAGCATCCTGATCGCGGTAATGAAACTCATGCCACTTCTTCACTGCATAGAAGATTTCGATTTCAGGACAATAGAATGAGTCACGAGCGATAATTGATGAGAATGCATCCTGAAACATGACAAAGCATCATCGCTTCTTATCAGTCGAGTACTTAAATGACAGAAAGTAAAATGTATCAACATACTTTTTTACGATTATCCTTTTCAACATGACTTCGCAACGTTTATTTACTGCTATTCTCCTTACCACATGTATTTTCATCGCCAATGCGCAATATCCCGTACCAATGCCACCAGGTGGTCGAATGTCTGTTCACGGTTGGCTCATCTTACCATGGGATACAAATATGACTGATGGGCCTGTTCAAGCATGGTTTTCTCATCACGTTCCTGAATTTTGGACTGATTCTCCTCATAATTTTCAAATTATTCTCAACGGATTGCTGACACCATTGGCGTGCTTCAATACAGAGCCTACTCCTCAACCTATACCAATCCCATACCCTCCACGAGATAATCTCGTCGAATACGAATATACAATTACACCGCCACCGGAATTTTCTCTCAATGATCTTCTATTAGGAACATTAACTGAACTAAAAGGTGTCGTTTACAATGGATCATTTGATACTTCCTATGAACGTATTCCATTAGCATTAGCTACGCTAACTGTTCGTGAATTAACAACTGCAGTTTACTTAAACGAATCGAAACTCATTCCAAACTATCCTGAACTACGTTATCTGTCATATCCACGTGACATGTCACCATCAGCAGATACCAAACCCTTTCAACATGTCTACTTAGCGCATGAAATACATTCAGTGCCAGACTTTGATCATATTGTTCACGCGAGTATCGACACGACACGATGTCATTGCGAAACCGGACTTCCGTCTCTGTGTAATACTGAACAAATACTCAAAGACATTCGCACACCTGGCGTTGAATGGGCATTTCCATCATTGATAAATAGTCTACAAAATCGTTTACAACCTCCGATGGTTATTCGGGGTCGAATAACGAGTGGACCTGTACTCTGTCCCATAACTATACTGGAGTCCATACATTGTATGGTCGGACCAGGTTTTGATAAAAATTGTTGAAAAGAAACGTTTGAAATAAACTCACCGATGATAGAGTTAGAAATTGGTTTGTTTTGATGATTTCATTGGCATGATTATCGATGAATTGAGCTGCATGCTGTCTGAGATTCTTCAAATTGTATAAACACGCCGTATCGTAGACGGTGCAAACATTTTTCAATGATAAGATTGATTTCAAATATGTGGATAAACTTGTTTCCAGTTGTTGAAACCCGTACTGGTGCACAAGTCCAAGTAAATCAAGCAGAATATCTTCCTTGTAGGATAATAAACGAAAAAGAAAACACGGTATTTAAAATCACAAATGCATTCTATCTACTTTTTCTTTGAGTAAATTAATACGTCCAGTGTAGATATACAGTAAGAGAATTCGGAATGCCGCTGATTTACATTCTTTAATTTCAATGGAACTATGAGTATGTTGAGATTCACGAAGGCCTCCGTAGAGTAATGCACGAAAGTATTCCGATCGTGCAGCTAAGACAATTCGATGTGCATAGAATTGTTCATATTCAACAATCAAGACAATATCACTGTAATCCGATTTATTAAAGAGATTTTCTAGGAGATAAACGGAAACGATTAGATTTTTCTTCGATGAACAAGTTGATCAATTGAAAAAACATGTTACACAGATACAATTTCAGTTTACCGACTGATTACAGCCTTGTAAACTGTCAAGGACACATTGGCCTGATACATCCTTGATTAACAAGTAATTTCTGTCTCGTTTATTACTTTTTCGTTCCGTCCTATTGTTTAAAACACCGACTAAGTGAAAAAAAAAGTTTTTCCTTCGCGGCTTTCGCGGTGATATTTGTGATTTACAGTCTAGCGTGACGTGGGTTTATTTATTTTCCAACGATGAAAAATATCACGTACCGAAGTCTCCTGAAAGTGTCGACGTGTGATTAATTTCTCCTAAATTATCATGTACTTCCACAGAATTTGTTCTACTATGTGTATTTGGATTATTCACAATTTGACTGGAATTATTAAGTAAAGTTGTATTCGCCAGTGCGTGTTGTTGCCAAGTAGACATAACTATCTATAATAAATATTGATATTAGTGTATACATGTAATCAAAGAACAAAAGTATTCTTGGTTTTTGTTCATCGCGTTTGATTCATGAATGAACTAACCTCCTGTTGTCGTCTCGTGGATACTCTTCGTCGGATCATTATCCAATTGAATAGATAAATGAGTGACAGAAAGAAAGAGACGGCAAAAGACGTCATTCATACAAACCTTTCGACTAGATTTACATGTGACTTTTATATGAAAACACGAAATATCCATATCACCTCTTTTTCTTTGTTTTTCAGTAATTCAATCTGAATAGTTCAACAAGATATTTGCATTCAGATGAATGACAACTGTCAATTGATTAGTGCCATGTCATCTATTTTCATACTGATCAGTCATTCATTGCACTTTTTCCTATCTTTACTCGAAGGTAAGGTGAAAATAGTGTCTAACCAAACAAATCGAATACGTTCAGATGTCACTAGAACCTAGTTTAGTTCGTTATGGTCGAATGAGAGGCGTTCAAGTCTTTCGAACAAAAATAAGTCTTGATTCTTGAATTACTCAAGAAGAAGAAAAGACAGTGTCTGGTTTCTCTTCCCGTCAAGACTAGCTCAAGATGAGAAATAGATCAAATAACAAACCGAAGACACAATTTCGTTCATCAATAATCAAATAGAAGAGAGCTCTTCACATCTTGGTAAGAAAAGTCCGATTACTACGACAAGGCGCGCCATTCTTAGGTTCTGTTGACCCATTCACGCGTTCCAATTACATAGATCTGTAGGGCCGACGCCAACATGAGTACTTCTCTCGATCGAACAATATTAACTTTTTTCTTCTTCTTCTTTTTCTTCTTCTCCATCTTCTTCTCGACAGCTTCTGCTATCGTGAAGACTAGAGACAGATGATCAAAATACAAAAACAAATTCATTGTATCATGAAGACGCAAGCACAGTCGAGACACATTCGACTGTCATAGAATAGAAAACTAGCTCGATCCATCAAATGTACTTAATTTGAATGAAGAAACCTCATCATTGAAATGAATATTTGTCATGAAATGAAATATACTTAATTAACCACAAATAAGCAAAGAGAGTGGGAGAAGGAACAAAACAGATACTTGTATAGATCACAAGGCTGTTATTTATTTCTTTATTCTTTTCTGTCGAAAACAAAACCGCCGAAAAATAAACATCTCGAGCGGGAATCGAACCCAACAACCAGAGACTGACTTTCCGGGCCAGCACTCAGACCACTGAGCTATCGAGACGCACTCTTTTTCGATATCCATTCTTCGACGGTAGAATGTGTGTGTATGTGTTTTCGACAGAAAAGAATAAAGAAATAAATAACAGCCTTGTGATCTATACAAGTATCTGTCTTCTTTCCTGCATAGAACGAGAAAGAAGAAGGAACAAAAGGTTGTACTTTGTTTTACAATCAATCATGAGAGAGTTGTAGATTTAATGGCTATTTTCGAAATTAATTTTCAATCAATTTCCTGAATACAGGAAAAATATAGAAATCAAATATCGTCATTTATACTCTAGATCGAATCCGGAAATGAACCAATGACTAATAATTAAATTTACTCTTTGCGAGATTCAATTGTGATCGAATTTCCTACAAACGCATACCTGACTTTCAAAATATTTCTTCGTTTCCGACTGACGTCAATTTTATTATGTATTTCCCTAGGCCAAGAACATAAATTAACACATTTATTGGATCTTCATTGAGCTAGAAAAATGATCAGAGACATGACATATCCACTGACGACGAAACAGTATCGTTATTCTTGTTATTGTTATTATTGAAAGATGCGATACTCTTCAGAGATTTTTCTAATCAAATGAACTCTTCAATGTTCAAAAGAAGTTTCCGTCAGAAATCTGACAAAAAGTAATGTTGTTGTTATTCTCTCGCTCATCCGAGTTTGTTTCTTGAACGAAAAATGACGAGTTAACTGATGATGTCTTGAGGAAAGAAAAAGAAAACTCGCTAGTTAGGGCACTTGTTTTTTTTTCTTCGCTTCTCAAGATACTCCAAGAAGCAAGTTGAGTGTACTCAATAGAGTAAGTCCTTTTTTCGGTTACTTTTTCTTCTGCCAATTAATGAACATGGCTACTTCAATATTTATACCGATCTTAACAATCTTAGATATAATAGACCTATGATTTGATTTGAGACAAAATGAAATATTCAACACTATAATCAACTATTGTGTGCCCGAAGACAAATACATCGTAGAATCTAATATAACCAAACGTTATGATCGCCTGCTGCTTTATCCAGACTTGACTGACTTCCGACTTAAATATTTCTTTCGTATTGACATATGTCTTCGAGTCTGCCGATTGCTAGCACATATAATTCTTCGTTCTCTCTAATAAATATAAATATAAATAAATATATATATGGGATGGTCTAGATTAGAGACGTTCATGATTAAATAAACAAATCATCGAATGAAACCTTACGCACTATTTTCCATCTTCTTTGCTAGTAGTAGTCGATGTTTTTCTTTTTCTTTTCTTCATGTTTCTTAGAAAATCTATTGTTATTGAGTTATTATTTCTATATATGTGTATGACGAAGCAGAGAGGTTAACATTTCATGATTCAAGACATATAATTTCGCAGCTGCAAATATGATGATAGTTTACTCTAAGTTGTTTCGCTGTTTCATTCGCGTTTCTTTTTGGTGAGTACGTCTCTGGAGGAATTTGGAATCTACACAAAACATTGTTGGCAAAATGCGACATGGAGAAGAGAAATACTAGATGAATATGTGTAACTTAAGAAAAGAAAGAAAAGAAATATGAATATAAGGAAATGATAATTAAAATGACAAAAGGAAACGACAGTCTTCTAGTAGAGCAAATCTAGTATAGAAAGTTAGCCAAGCAAGTGTGCTGTGAAAAAAAGTATGTTTTGTCTTCCTTTCCCTCCCATTCTCTGGTCATGACTTCTTCTGTTATGTCACGCATTACAATAAATCGGCCTGATCATGAGAAGATTACTCATGTTTGAAAGAGAAATTCATCGACACGTCGACGAGACTTTGAATTTACGTTGTTGTCGCTGCGTCTTCCGATGTCTGATCAATTTATGAGTCAGGTCTTTTTCAAAAATGTGGAAGTACTTCCTATCTTATTAATGTATCGCATTTCTGCTCACTGTGTTCCGAGAAGAAAAGGATTAATTATCAACCCAGATAAGCAAGTACTTTAGTCTATTTTTTAGTAGCTACATCTCTTCCTCCTCTCCGATAAACTTTGAAAGTACCTCGAGTTCGTAAGGAAATCTAATTTTGGAAATCTATTCAATCAATTTTATTAAAAATTGCATCATTGGAATTCCGCTTTTGTTCTAATGAGAAAACACAAGCAATGTTCGGCGATTCTTTTCTTTCTTTCTCTCTTTCTCTCTATTCCTCTCTGTCTCTCTTTTCTCTCGACACGTCTCTCTATTGTTTCCGATTTCAGAGCATGAATGAGTAGTAAACCAGTTTTATTCTTATCATTTCTATTAACCCTCAACCAGTTTTCCCTTCTATAGATTTACTAATCGTCTATTTGTTTTTTTTTGCCTTCTCATCTCTCCTATTTTGTTTTGGATTTCAATCAAGTATGCATAATAAACGATTCCCTCAAGAATAAATTTCCTCTTTCATTCGTTAGACAATAGTTGATCGTCGATGATTTTCTTTTTTCTTCTTATTCTTTGCTTTTCTTGTAGATAAAAGAATTTTGTTTTCAATTATGAATGACATGTTTAATATACGCTCGTTTGTCGAAAATCAAGTGGAAAGATTATCGTCACCGAAGAATCTTCTCGTTGATAAATTTCGTCAAACAGTTGACAATATTAAATTACCATTCTCGGCGACTGCCACTAACGATTTGACGACTAATGAAGATGCATTTAATGTACGTCCATCAGAATCTTCATCAAGCTCATCTGTTTCATCTAGCGAGCACACGAACAATTCACGATTAAATTCTCTCAAATCTACACCCACACCACGCTCCAATCAATCAACGTCACCCAATTCACAGAAAATCTCGCGTCTGTTACCCATGACATCGCCAATATCGTCGCCGAAACTTCTGTCAAACTTTAAAACAATCACCGATCGTTTGTCGCACCCTCAAAGTATTCTTCGTCGTCATGTCTCCGAATCCAATCAAACAGATGTACCAATAACTTCCAACAATGACGATAAATCTTTCTCTCAGCCAATCTATCACGATAATCCAACAATGGAGATCAATTTTCGATCAAATGATAACAATGATAGCAACACGATAACTGATGTAACGACGAAACTTCTCGGTCGATCACGCTCTCTTATCCGACAATCTACTGATACGACATGTACATATCCAATACGACGACCAATGCGCCGAATGGAATCGGTTGAAACAGTCGAAATTCCCGGCTTGAACGGTCTTAAAGCGCTTCGTTACTTAAATGGTAACTTAGGCAAACTTCAACCAGATCTTTACATAAAACAAACGTCACAAACAGATCCAACATATGGCTGTGGAAAACTAACATTTACAGTCAATTATAACCAACAAACATCAGCACTAATTGTCAATGTTGTATCAATTGATAATCTTCCATATCGAGATGTCAACTCGAAGATTCTGCCAGATCCATTCATCAAAGTTGTTTTGTTACCTGACCGGCGCCGAAAGTTTCAGACGAAAGTTTCCAAACGAACTCTCTCGCCCCAGTTTAACGAAATTTTTCAATTTCAAATCGGCTATGAAGAATTACGTCGGCGAATCTTACTTTTATCTGTGTACGATTTCGGTCGGCCAAGCAAACGAAGTCTCATTGGCACAGTCAAGATCGATGATGTCTCATCTATGCCTGATATAACCTCACAAGATATAACATTTAATCGAAGCATTGTTCCTGGAACTGAAGTAAGTCGATTTTCAATCATAACATCTTTTCTTTTCCTTGTCTATGGATAAATATAGCACATGCCGGAAATTAACCGGGAATGTAGAAAACAGAAAGGGGTGTCTGCTAGTAATCGAACATATTCTATCAAATTTTCGTCGATGTGAACATCCGTTCCGATCCGTCCGTTCACACGACAAATCACTCGTTGTATTCTAACAAGCTCGATTTCTATTTGCCTATTGATCATTCGTTGTTTGTTAACTAAACGACAAGGAGAAAAAGAACTGTCAACATTCGTTTGACAGACTATTGCTATCTACATTATTAATTAGATCCTAATGTGAGAAGTAACAATGGAAACAAGAAGAAAGAGAAAACAAGGCATTTATTCGCTTGTCATCGTTGAATGCGCACATGTATGCTTAACCTGAATGAAAATTAATAACAGTAATACGATAACAGCATTTGACGAGTAATCAACATCGTCTCTCTCATTCATTAGAGAACATAAAAAAGAGGCCGTTCGAGGCTGAGGAAACTCCATCGAGATTTAGTTGATAAAGAGAGTAACATAACATGCAATTCTAATCAAACAACATGATCGTAAGCTGAATAAGAACAAACGACATAAACTGTATATACACAGAGTGGAAAAACAAGCGACGCTTGCTTTATATTCCTTTAAATTAAACAAATTTATCGAATAGAAAAAAAAAACTTCCGTATAATTACTAATGATAGTATTTACAATGCAAGCCTATGCATGATATTTTAAAATAGAAGAATAATTATTATTCGAACGTCAGTCTATGCTAAGAACACAAATGAACTTTCATGTGATTATCATGAAAGTTTCAAGATCAGCTTTCTGTGGGGTTGAATTTCTTTTCCGAGAAGATTTATTTACAAACTAGAAAATCAGCAATGCAAGTTAAATCGGAGACAGCTATTTATTTTATGGAGGAGTGGAAACGAATGAAGGCAAGATGACTAGACGTTGCACGCTCATTTCTTGCATAGAAAGGTTATGCGATGTTCTTTGATCGTCAAATATAGTCTTGTTCGAAAGTGTTTACTTTCGGCTGCTTTTAATATATTTTTGATCAATTATTAATCAATACCCTTTCTTTTTATATGTGCTCGACCGACTCACTTCTAATGTTTCTACCCTGTGTTCTCTAGAGCGACCCTGATCTCGGCGAATTAACTGTTTCGTTATGTTATTTACCAAACGCAAAGCGGGTCACAGTAACAATTGTCAAAGCGAGCTCATTGAAACCCATGGATATCACGGGTAAATCAGATCCATATGTGAAAGTTATTCTACTCATCCATGGCAAAAAAATTCGCAAGAAGAAAACGTCGGTTTTGTCAAACACTCTCAATCCTACATATAATGAAAGTTTAGAATTCGATGTCGCTGTTGATTCACTGTCGGATACCGATCTGATTTTTAAAGTCATCGATTACGATCGTGTCGGTTCAAATGAGCTAATCGGCTGCGTTGGCATCGGCGCGCATTTCGAAGGGATCAATCGTGATCATTGGTTTCAAATGCTAGAACATCAGCGTGTTCCCATAACGGAAAGTTATAATTTACGTGAAACGATACCAATGATTCCATGCACAAATCCACTGACATCAATGACAAGTAGCAAAATCGTGACTTTGAACATCAACAGTTAAATAGAAACCTCGATGACCGGTGATGTACGTGTGTGTTTAGATATGTTTTACTGTACAAAGAGCTATTTATTTTTTCTTCTCGTTTTTGACAGAAAAAATAAAGAAAGAAATTAATAAAATTATGAAAAATCCTCGTCACAATCGATTGGATTCGATGTTTGCGCTTGATTGGAATTGTTCGATATCGTTTGTTTACTTCGCTTGGACTGTTCGATTGAAAACGAGGGCACCTCGCTCTCATCATCGGGCATCGACCGTTTTCGAGATTCGTCTTTCTAAAAATAGCATCGAAAAATAATATTAAAGTTGCAGTTTTTGTTGCCTACCGGTAATTGTGACAAACGGTGAATAAGCAATGGAACAGAATCATTGATAATTTCTATGAGAAAACAAGTTCATTCCAGGTGAAGTCATTATAACGCTTGAGTCAATTAAGGGAAACTCTATTTACTATAGAGAAATGTTTTTTTGTAGCTCGTTTGTCTGTATTGATTAATCTCAAACAGCCTTTCAGAACATTCAATGAGTCGTGTGAATACGATGAAAGCTTTCTAATCTTAGTGCAGCTGAACTCTCACGTGAGATGTCTCAGAAAGAGTCTCATCTGTTTTTTGTTTATCACACTATGTGAAAACTGTCCTCCATGTTTCAATACCTTTAACGTTTGTATCGAGTTTGGCGGTGTATGTCGGCCGAACAGCCTAGAAACAACTTGGTTTTTGTTAAACTGAGATTGATATATAAATTTTATGCGTTTACCATCTGACGGACGGCACCCGGTGGAGCATGGAACCTTGAAAAACTCTCTGGATTTCGACAAGGCAAGTCTTTCAAGAATGACGACTAAATGGAAATTGTAAATGAACTTGCGAGAATTCCATGGAGATTATATAAGTATTACCATAGTGCAATCGTGTAGATAGTTTTAGGAAAAACCGAATGAACTGATTAACTAGAGTGGGTCGACAATGCGATACACTTTTATTGGTATTAGATGCTGCCAATCAATGATCATAAAATTGAAGATGTCACCAGAACACCGCGCATCAGTTTTAGGTCATTAAGGACAAAAAAAGGCATCTAAATTTCACTATTAATAAGCATTTCCTAGATGATGAACACTATCGAGCGACATGCAAATATACGTGTCTATATATCGAAAAATGTGCAACAATGCAATTACCCATGTGGTACATTGATTATGGTTGCTGGGGGTGGTGGAGGTAGGATTTTTGATGATATTAGTTGAGAAAATTAGTTTTTGCTTTGTTCTAGGTTATACAGGACCGGCGGTATGTTCGCTTTATTGGAAAGGAAATAAATTTCATCGTATTCTATAGGCTATTTATCCTGATTTAGCAAAAGAAATGCAGGAATATCCAAATATAATTTCAGTGCAGATGGATTATCGATACCCAAGTGATCTAGAACCATGCGTAGGTTTCTATTTTCAATTGACAATAGCGAACAGAAACGATTTACTTTAATTAGGTACAAGATCTTATCGAAACCATTGATATCCTAGTATCGAGATATCAGATTGAACGAGTAGTACTTATAGGATGGTCATTCGGTGGTGCTGTTGTTATCTCAGCAGGTGCTCAGCATAGACTCGTCAGAGCGATCGGTGAGAGGCGAAACATTTCTTTTTAAAAAGCAACTCGATTCTCATTTGCTCATAATTAGCTACGGTTGCGTCACAAACTGCCGGTACAAACAGTGTTAGCAAATTAGCTCAAAAGGGCAAAGCATGTTTGTTCATTCACGGGAAAGGTGATCAGTGTTTGCCGTTTCGATGCTCGGAACAACTGTACCGGTTGGCCGGTGAACCAAAAGAACTTGTTCTCTACGATGGTGATAATCACGGTGTGACAAATCATCGTGATGAAGTAAAAGACAAATTGAAACAGTTCGTGCTTCAATATTTATGTTTGCCAACAAAATAGCAATTTTCTCGTTTATAAAAAAGGAAATAATCTCGCTGTTAAATTATTCGAGCTTGTTATTATCCCAGGAATAAATGTAAATGACTGTCGTTGTAGCCATGTTCTTTTAATAGACTAGGAAGAAAAAAAAACAATTTATGAGAGTGAAGAGCCCTGGCTCTTGGAGAAAAACGTACTCGAGAGCTTGTTTTGAAAATGGTGCGGGTCCGCAAACGCAAACAAGAGTATTTGTAACGTTGGTTTTGGAAGGCGGTTTCGGTAACAATCGATGGAGAAGCTCACCACGTATGTAGCCCGTTTCACCTGTCCAATCCGACTCTGACCGCGAAAGAATATTATAGAAAGTAAATCTGTAGACATAAAGACATTTTGTGCGTTTTGAAATGTTCATGATAGGTTTCTGTATGTTACTTACTTATATTTTTCTGACATAGCTTGTAACTCCGCACCGCAAAGAATATCCTTTTGAGTTTTGTTGAAGAACAGTAGAAATATATCTCGATTCTGTTCACTATCAATCTGCTTAGTAGCGTAGTTTAAAATTCGGATCATTGGTGTCAGACCAGTACCAGCTGCAATGAGAACTAATGTGCGACACATATCAATTCGAGCAGTGTCAAAAGTGCCTTCAGCTGAACTCATTTCTATTGTGTCACCTAGCAAAAGAACATCTTCTATTGAAAGTCATGTTATTGCATGTGTATTTCTGTACCAATAGATAGCTGTTGTAACATCGGAGTCATTGTTCGATCAATGTAATGTTTGATTAGCAGTTCAATTGTATGTTCAGATGACGATTTGTTTTCTTCGTCTAATTTGTTTACAACTGTGTATGGTTTCGTAATAATTACACCTAAATGTGATCATTGAGTGAAAATAAACGAAAGAATTCAATAGGAAAAACAAACCATCGTTGGTTCGCTGCAATCGGATGTGGTATCCGATCGGAGGTAACATGAAAACATTCGATGGTAGGGAGAACGTGTACCAGTCGCTATCATGTGTCACTGGTGTTCGTTTTATCAGCGTGGCATTGAAGTATATGGGCTCTAGGATAAAAATAGATAGCTTACACTGTGTTCATCGAATGTACTTCATAAACATACCAAAATCTTGCATTGGACAAACTGATAAATGGTTTGGAGCAAACTTTCCAACAGATTTCCACATTTGATCTGTTTGTTTCTTCAGATCAATTTCAATTTGACCTTGCTTATTCGACGAGATTCGTACTATTTTAAAAGACAGCAATCATTCCATATTTATTTCCAAATTCTGCTCTTCTTACCATTGAAATCATTTGTAACTAATTCAAGTAATTCTACCACAACAAAAAAAAGGATTTTGCGCTTTACAAATATCAGAATAATATTCACCTATCGATACTGTATGAACAAACCCATCAATAAAAATAAGAGCAGTAAGATTTTTGCCATTTTCAATATTAACAAAGATTTTCTCAACAGTTAATGTCAAGCATGTCGTATATATGAACAGAGTCAAACTTTTCGAATCAGGCTGTCGAAAATCGAATCGGAGTCGGAGAGGTAAAGACTTTTTTTTGGCTAATGCACCCTCCGTTGGACCGTGTTTTGTCACTAGTCGACCGACGAGACATTTTTCTAACATAGAACCAAAGTTGACCTGAAAACAGTTCGTTTGAAAACAGTTCTGTTCAAGATAGTTTAACAAACCCAAGAATGTATCTCTTGAAAAAGTGTTGTAGCATCAACACCAGCACCCTTCATGATTTCATCTACCCCTCCTGGATGATAATCCAGATATGGAGTGATATTGTATACATTTCCTAATAATCAACAAGATTAATAATGATTTTCGCGCAAGGACAGACCAGGACTAGTCGTTACCGCTGATAGCTGTCCAACAATCGGTTTTCTTATTATGTTTAGCTAGTTCCTCTTCTGTAACAGTTAATAACTTCCCATTGGTTCCCGAAATATTCGGGGTATTATTCATTTTGCGTATCCAATCCATTAAACCTGTTGAAATAGAAATTAATCGATGCTGAACTAATATTTCGCTTACCATGCTGAGGAGCTAAAGCGACCTAAACGAAAAAGTAGACATCGATTACATAGTGTTCAAATGGAATCTTTACTTGAGCACGTGGTTTATTTGTCGCCGCTGCTGTTTTTCCCGGTAACTGAAGAAAATTCATAGTTGTACGATTATTCGTCGTTGAATTCGGTTCTCTTGGTTTGATGCAGCAAAGGACTTTCAAAGAAAAACAATTTCGAAAATTATCGTGAGAAACTTTCCATACTCACAATTGTGTAGAGAACTCATACTAACTCAAAACTTGCAATCTGTTCTATTTTTTCCTTTCTGAGTATAAAGCCTGCGCCATTCATGCAAATTATTCGATGTATTCTGTGGAAAAAGAGAAAATAGATTGCTTTCACCGTTCCTCTAACATAGAGATTTCCTTGAATGAGCATAATCTCTTAGAAATAGACGTAAGAAAAGACACTCTCTCTACGAAATGTTTTGGGGAGAAAATGCATTTTCGCGAGAAAAGATTGGTAAACTTTGCGGAGACCTATGTTGTTTTTGCTTTTGACAGACATGTTCCAGTCGCATTTCTGTCGAGCGAACGAGCACAGAACGTGTTTTCCTATTGGCTTCCGTTTCGTTCAATGACACTCAAGCTATCTGTCAATGGAAAAAAAAAGAAGATCAAAAGCTGCTCACCTTGCGTGGACGGAATTGAAATCAAAGAAGGAGAATCGTCATTCGTTCGATAATCTAATAAATACAAGACTAGCACATCTACTTGTATACTCATAAAAAAATCAAGTAAAAAATTTATTAATTTTAAGAAAAAAAACAAAAAATTTTTTAGGAAAAAACATTTAATTTTCGCTGCTTATTCGATTGAAATAATGGAATACCACAGAATGTTCGTTTCTTCTGACTAGAAGAAAATTGATTATCGTCATCATCTTCAACGAAGACGTTTTTATCAAAACAAAACCGAAAGGCACAATCGTTGTTTGTTGAAAATACGCCAACTCTCCTGTTTACATTGCTTTCGAATACTGTTTGTATTTGATTACGTAAAAGAAAATGTGCATCATATTTGCGAGTGAGTTCGATGATAAATGACGTTAAATTCGAATACATTCTGATGAGTTTCTTCATCGATTTCAAAAATATGTCAGTCGGTTCGAACAAGGTTTGATCATATATAATAAAACGAAGATGAGTGAGATTTGTCGAATAAAGTTGATGGGGATGTGTCGGAATAAATGAACAAAGGTTTTGTTGATTGATCATATTCTTTCCTAGAAAAGGTTCTTCCTATATGAAACAAAGAATTTCTCGTTTCGCACGTACCTAACGTCAAGAATTGCAAATGCGACCATCGAAACTGACTGGTTTGCTGCGCAATTTGTTTGAGAAAAGCCAAAAAATCTGACTGCAATGTTCTATCCAACACGTTTACATTGTGCAATGTTAAAGAAGCTAATTGTCGAGTGAGAAAGGAAAATTTCACGATTGTCCGTCGAGACATGTGAATATTATTCATTATCACCGTCTTGACATTCGATTGTGCTGTAACCATTTGTGTATCTAGTATACGTTTTAAATCGCATATTCCTGATCCCATTTGATCGATTTTGCCATCTGATATAATCAAATCAGTTAATAATGATAAATTCGTCATCAATGTAACCAGACCATCAAGACTTAATTCAAATTTAGTGATAATTAATTTACGAAGAGACGCTATTACATGTGGGATATTATATATCGAACGAAGAAAGTACGATTCGAATGATTGGCTTTTACCATTCTTATCGGACCATGTGATATTGTATTCATTGAGGAGTTCGACCGATGTCGTAACACATTGGATATAATCGAGAGACAGCAATTGATTCGTATGCCAATATGTTTGTTGGATACAAGATGAGTGACGATTAAGGTTGGATGTGGAGTTCAATTGGAAATACACGGAAGGCAATACACACTGATGCAGAGTGATGAATTCTTCCGTTTGGTTTAGATGGCTGATATTCATTAGGATCAATCGTCGATATTTTGGATAGTCCAGAGTGTGGTGAAGGGGGAATGGACACATGCCGTGTAAATAGGATAACTCTAACGTGTGAAGGTAATGACAAGAGTTTACATATTGATGGAATTCATTGGGAAAAGTCGAATGGTTATTGACTAAGAGAAATTTGAGTGTGAAAGTGTGCAATGAACAGGTAGGTAAACGAGAGAATATCTCGTGAGAACGATGATCATAGTCAAACATGATTTTTAAGTGTAGGTTAGTCAGTGATTGTAATCGACTTTTGAGAATATCTGTTGAATGCATTGTTAAATGTAACGTACTCAGTTGATTTGACGAACTCACTTCGGTGAAGTTAATCTGATCATTTGTTAAACGTAGAATTTTCAACGTTGCTGAACAGAATTTCGTCGAGTGTAGACTATTTCCGATGTGTTCATCATGAATGGTTAGTTCTTCAATTTGCAAACATTTCTTCAATGAAAACCCATTTTCAAGTAAAATCTTTCGACATATGATGTCCAGTTCATCTATAACTAATTGTCGTATTGTTGCTGCATTGGCTGTTAGCAAACGAGTGAAGCATGTAAATTGGTTGTAATCAACAGTGGATTTGATGTGAATACGTGTCCATAAGCACGGATTGTGATGTATCAGATTCCGCAGACGCTTTGATGACAAAAAATTTTGATAAAAATTCACTAATTCGATTTGATCGAATGTACGAAAAATTTTCAATAAAGCAACATCAGGCAATTCTGTTAGAGACATCTAAAAGAAAGAAATCGAATGTAAAACGAAAAAAATCCGCGACTATTTCACCACTCAGGCTTCATGAGATATTCTCTAAGCGTTTTAAGTACATAAAGGGACCCAAGGGTGTATGATTTTCTTGTAAAGAAAAGAAGTGGGAGTAAAACACGCGAATAATTTCTATAGTCTCCTAATCCACAATGGTAAATATTCAAAAGAAATGGAATATTATAGAAACTTTCTCATCTACCCACCCATTTTTGCGTCGCTTTTTCTTTCATATATTTCATAAATACACACATACACACAAACATATACATTGATTGTCACGAGAAAAGAAAACTTCACAATTATTAGATATGAACAGATGAAACATGAAAACAATGGAGTCAAATCACACGTAGGATTCAAATGCATACTTATTTTCGTATGTTAGATATGTTAATAGGCGATCAGTCATCGATGGATATATGGAAAAGTGCTTGATATCGTTCGGAAAGTGTTCTACATGCATTTTGATTTTTAAACGACAGAGAGATTTCAATGTTCCACAGCATGTTTCTTGTTGACAACGAATAATTGTATCGAAGAAGTTAATGAAGCCAATTTTTTTGTTCTCCAACTTCTTATTGACGAATTGGTATGCATCCGATTGAAGAAGTAGTTTTATTTGTCGCATATCAAAATGAACTTCACCATTATCAAATAGTTTACGGAGAAATTTACTAAATATAGATGTATCTTGACCCGTGTGAGGGTTTTCAGAGCTAGAAGAGCACAGAGAAGAAATTGGCATCATTAAATATGGAAGAATTTTGTCGAAACCTTAAAGCTGCTGATGGATATGGAAAGAGCATGTCCGTTGAACGTGAACTGATAAAAAATTCACGATGATGTGTTGAAAGGTAATAAATGGCAATAATCTCCACGAAATAACCGAGTATCTTCTGTCGAATACTATTTGAACTGCATTTATTATTTGTGATGATTATAAATATATCACGTAAACGGTACTTCAATACGAAGCATGCTAAAAATAAAACGAGTCGAATTGAGAAAATTAGTTCATAGGAAAGAACTCTCGTCGTTCGATTGAGAAATTAACAGTCATTTTGACATCGACAACTTCAATGTGTACGTCAAGTCTAAGTAGGTAATAAAGATTTCATTAGAGCAAAATTGATTTCTGTATAAGGGTCGCACTTCGCTTTAGAATAATAATCAGATGTATATAGGATCGATAGAGGGGCAAATTCGACTGAATATGCAATAGATGTGAAAGTCTACTAACCGAGTTCAAGCAGAATGTCCACGTCGAATTCATTCCAGATGAAACTAGTATAATTGTTAAACAGAGATGAATAAGTGGAACGAGCGATGGTTGGTGGTGAATATTCAAAGAATGATTTTGAGATTTTACCATTGGATATGAAGAATTGATGTAAGGAATGGTAGAGTTGTTCGGTACGACCATCCATATAATTGGGATTTAGCTTTTGACAGAGTATGTAAAGTAGATATTGATCGACAATGGTGTTACCAAACTGATCAGATGCATTCGGCATGATTGTGTTCGTGTTGTTTGTTGTTGCATTCATTTGTAACTTCAAGCGTGACGAAAATGCGTCGTTCAATGTGGTATCGATGTACTCGAGCATGTTTGGTTGATGTTCTGATCGACAGAGACGTGGCCGATTAGTTGAGCCACTTGTTGATGAAATTGTATGTGTCATCAAACTTGATAAATATTGGTCACGGCGATAATCGAACACAGTGATATGGGAAGAGTTCACCTGTAAAGTTCGCTTTTGTTAGGCTTTTCTTTGCGAGAGTAATCACTTATAAATAGGAAAAAAAAAGAATCAAAAGAAAAAAAGAGATTATTATTATTATTATTATTCATTCAATACTTAAGTGAATAAGTTTTTTGTCTCTCTCCGCTAATAATTGATTTGTCTCGCGTTTTTGTTCTTCGTCAAGATGTGAATATGTTTGATTAATTCAACATTTCTTTTGTATGGAATCAGTGTTACATTGATAATGATAATAATAATAATGATGATAGTGGTGTGAGAACAAGAGATAAATCGAAGGCAAGATGGTCGACGGGAATAAATAACAGATGAATTAAAAGTCCCGAAAGCAAATGCTTGTGATTCGCATTTGATGGTTTAAGAAAGAGCGGTTTTTTTTTCAACAGAATAGAAAACAACAGTCTTTACACGGTGTCATCAATTGCAAAGCAGAAGAATAATGCAAACAAACAAAGATGAATAGTGCACCGTAGTACTCTCATTTCTCCCTTGTATCCGGAATTTCTCTCCTTCTCCTTCTCCTTCTTCTTCTTCTTCTTCTTTCATCGAGAATGTGCCCGACTGACGATGACAGAAATGAAAAACAAGATGATGAAGGGAAAAATAGAAAAGAAAAAGACTGAGTTCTTCCCAACTAATTGCCTAGTGATACTCGCTAGGGTACTCCCATTCATTCACTCACCAGATCGATAACAGCAACAACGATGCAATGACTTATCGTTTTTCAGTCGATAGAAATAATGTTTTGCCACTCTCTCTCTTTCTCTTGTATTCCGGATGTTATTTCGAGTTGCAATACTAGTTTATAATCAACTACCGCACTCGTTTGCCGTTTATCTTTGATAATCACATTGTTATTGATCATCGGCGTTGCATTTAAATACAATACACACATATATAATTGTAACATCCATCGACCGTCAACTTCGACTACATATATCTCTTCGGCAAAAGCTCTCATTAGATGAGGATTTCCAGTGACGAAAAAAGACCGGTGAGCGAGAGAAACAGAAACACACAAACAATAATTAATTCCGTAATACCATCCGGATTAAGATGAATATCAATTGTTCATGTTCGACTTTTTTTTGTTGTTGTTTATTGAGATCATTTAACTTGCCTATTTTTCTTGTTGAGGAAAAACATCGGCTGTCGCCGCTCAGTCGCGATGAATTCAATTTTCGCATGTCTCACTGCGAACGATTGCCGTTTCATCAGCACACAAAAACATAACTTTAATCCAAGATTTTTCGCATTGATAACTTCTTAATTGATAATGGCACGATGCCAAAAGCAATTTAAATCATCGACTTGCTTTTCTTTTGCGGTCTAAAACATGATACAAGAGTTTTTTTTTTGTAAACATCCCTTTTTGCTTTTGTTCGTATCGAAAAAGAAAAACAAATAAACACAAATGTGTTGAAGACAATGATTGAAGTAGGATTTTTTTTTCTTCTTTTGCTGATGAATAAACAATGAACAAAGACAAAAAACAAATGTGTAAAGCGAGCACCAGCAGACAAACAAACAAACAAAAAACAAAGAGGAGAAGAGACGAGGAAAGGTCTTCATTTGATCACTGTTCCAGATGAGATAAATGAGTTGTTTCTTTTTCTTTCTTGTTTTCGAATTTGTTCGACTAAGTAAGGCAAACCGATGCAAAGGAAAAACATGCAATGCATTTCTTTGAGAACGCCAACAGAAGAAGAATCTTATCACTTGAGATCAACGCACACACACACGCACACACGCACGCACACGCAGCAAAAGAAGAAGAGTAAAGATTATAGTGCCATTCGACTATGAAACACACGAACACGCGCGTATACAAACGATTGTTTGTAAAAACGATACAAAGATTTGAGTGAATAGAAAGGAACGAAAATGACGATTTCTAAAAGAGACAAATCTTGAGGAAGAAACGAACGAGAAGGCAAATGTTCATCTTAAAAAGGAGTCTATTAACAAAACAAAACCTCACACCCACAAGGAGAGACAGAGCGAGAACAGTGCATAAAACAGAAGGAGAGTAAACGATTCAAATTGAGAAGTATTGATTTCATATTGAACATGACGAACGTAGATGAAGAGGAAGAAAATGAGTCTGTCATTTGAAACACAAACAAAATTAGGATTTAGAAGAATAGAAAGAAAAAAATACTTTTTCTTTGTTTCTTTAGTTTTTTTTTCTTCATTGAGACGAGTTAATTTCACGTCGCTATCTATCTGCCTCTCTATTATTTTCTGCTCTAAACAGGTACACTTCCGATCATCACTTTCGATACAAAATTAACAATGGCTGTTGATGGTTGGGTCCGATCAATTTCAGCAAAGATGTGACATTCATTTTCGGGTTGATTTGAGCGATTATTACCATTAATTTTCTTTGAAACAAAACCAAAGCATCTAATAAAAAAGAAACTTGAAATCTTTCTGTACGAAAAAAGAACTGTCTGCGTCTACTTTGCTCGTGGTAACATTTCTAAATCCGACATTTGATGTGTCCAATAACGATCGGTTTCATAATCCACACCACAATAAGTGACATATTCCTTTGGAAAATGTCGTCGAGAAAATAATCTAAATAATCCGGCATGTCTTTCTCATTAGTTTATTAGTTGACTACCTACTTTTTCTTTGTATCGGTTAATGTTATGCCGGTGCTTGATACTTTGAAATGAACTATCGTCGCCTGCAGACGGTCCGCATTATCAAATGTTGCACGTAATGCTTTATTTAAAGCCATTTGACCAGATAATGATTCGACATCGACATTATTCAAGTAGAGAACATTACAAGCTAGAATTGACAAGCAAGAAAGTCGAACGGAAAATTTCTCTCCTCCAAAGTTGATTACCAGCTCCTTTTTCTAACAAATCTTTAACCGAGAGTTTCTTGCTCGTATCATGCTGTTGATTCGATGCTACACGATAATCTTCCGTGATATCGGCAACTGGTACGAGTAATTTGATTGGTAAGGCAAGAGGTGTAATTGAATGTTGATAGACTAAAGCTGAGAGATTGACTAAAAACAAACAAAAGAACAGATATATACATGGAAAACAAAACTAATAAACAATATCATGATATTGAAGAGTGAATATGATTTGACGTGCTTTCAAGATACTCCTACTCAAGTGTTCTCTACTGAGAAATCTCTCGAAAAGAAGAATTTCTTTTTCCTTCCGTACCAAAATCTGGCTCGTTTTGACAGCCTTTCAATCTGACGTGTCCAGTTGGTGTTCGTTCGATGAGATAATGTCGAACTAACTCAGCATTGGGATCGGCGCCATTTTTTGCTTGAATGCCAACTGGTAATGTCTCGACTTTAACTGCTAAGCCATATGAACCTGGAAAACCTTGACTATCTCGAATAAGAAATGTTCCCGCTGGTTTCGATTTCAATAAATTGATAGCTACGAAGACAGAAAGTGAAGTTAATCAAATGAGTGATTCAATATTCATTAGGTACCATCTTCACGTGACATTTTCTCTTTATACCAAAATTGACTGACATTATGTGCTTGATAAGCACCATTACGATGTACATCAGTTTCTAAAAGTAAAATCAAACAAACTCAATGACTTTGGTCACGCCATATTTCAAGGTCAATGTGTCATTTTTGATTAATTATCGAGAAAAGTAGGAAAATCCACCTGGACTATGATATTCTCTCTCAGGAGATTAGTGCGTAGATATAATGAAAAAAGCGTTTCATCCCAAAAATTTCGAAGATCGAGATAAATGATATTTCAATTAGTCGGCAGCGGAAACGATACCGTGATAGAAATTAAGAAGTTCATATTAGTTTCGAAAATCATTTGATAAGAATGATATTTTACCTGTTGCGGAAGAAGCACTTGATCGACGAGAAGTTTCTTCCTGATTTCGAGAGAATCTACATGCAAAAGGAGTTATTTTCAAATGAAGACGAATGTTTTTCTCTCTCTCATACCCATTGCCCAATCGTGTTTGATTATCTAAAAATTGAAAAATAAAATGAGTTCGCGTTTGGTTCGAACATAGATGTGAAACACGTACATGATTGATTGGTTACGGGGAACGTAGGTGTTGCGGGCGGTTTCATATTTGTTTGATTATCTAGTCGTTCGTGGAGTGCAGTTGGTATCTAAGTGAATCAATAGGAGAACGTTTAGTCTCAATTCTCTAATTCAAGTCGTTTGAGGGCAGTGAGAAAGGGGTAGACGATCGATCTTTTCCTCCGTTTTCTTACAATATGTGCTGTCGATGAAAACACTTGTGGCTTGCTTGAATTTGATACAATCGGTATCATACTTTCGTTCATGATTTGTTGAACGCGAGTAGTTTTTTGCAAAGTGTTTTCACCCGAAGAAAACTTTCTTTTCAATTCGGGCGACGCAGGCACTTGCGACCTGCTATTACTTGGCGGATTAGATAAACCCACTTGACCAGGAAAAAGATTTGGTAATACTGTGAGATCTTTTCTCATTGTTTCCATTTGCTGTCTAGCTTCGTGTGTAGACGATGGTATTGGATTTATTGTCTAGATAATAAAGTGGAATGTGATTTTCTTCTTATTTTGTTTTTCAATCACTTGACATTCCATGCAATCATCAAAATCATTCGTATGCATGCAAAACTCAATCGAGGACGGGGACAATACGCGCAAACAAAAAAAAAGAGATTCGATTCAACGCGTCTTACCCTCTTCTGCTGCTGCTGTTGTTGTTGTTGTGTTTTACTCGCAACTGATATATGTTGCTCGGGTAAACGTGATATTGTTGCCGATGCTTCTTGACTGAAAACAGGTATCGATGTTGAACGTAATTGATCTTGCGAACGGTAACGTTGACTACTATTGTCAACAAACCGTTGTTGTTGCTGCTGTGATACGGGTCTTGTCATAGTAGCTGATTGCTTGCCGACCCATCCGCTATCACCATATTGAATATCTATTGGCACTGGTCGACGATTGTAACTCTGCTGACGAATATTCATGCCTGAATCCGTTTCATAACCACCCATATACTCATTTCGGCTACGTAGAGTATGCCCGTTGGATTCATTGAGAAATGCACTGCCGCGTAAATTCGTCGGTACCGTATTTAAATTTGATGACGAAACCATTCGATTATTTACCACTAGAGTTTCTGGGATTGCTGCCATGCGCGGTGGTAATGTACGTGTCATACGTAATCTGCCACTACTAATTAAACCTGTATCAGTATCATAACCATCTGGTCGTAACATTGTGCGATGAGTACCCCCACTAGTGCCACCCGCGTAGCTGTCATGATGACGTTCACGTACAAAATGCATCGGTTGTTGAGGATGTTGTTGTGGAGGATAATACGGATAATGCATTGGTCCTACTGGTGGTGGTGGTGGTTCATGCATCGATAGTGTTGATGATGCACCTCCATAGTATCGCGGCCCATAGCCACGAGATGTAACTACACCTGTATCTGTCTCATAACCAGAATAATCGTGTCCACGTACACGTAAACCACCCGATGGTAATGTCGATCGTGAATAATGATAATATTCTGGTGGTGGTAGTGGTGGATGTGTATCGAGTTGTGTACGTGAAGGTGAGCGAACTAAATCCATTCGACGTAGTTCAATGGGCCCATCTGGTGGCGGTTCCGATGTTGCACGAAAATGCGTTGGAATAGCGGTTGTTGATGCTGATGTTACAGTTGTTGTATAACCATCTGTTCATTAAGGAAAAAAATACAGACATCATCGGTTATTTTGTCAAATAACAATCTTTTTTCGTTCTGTACCTCGATTATCTTGTCGACTGTATGGTCTCCTTGATGATAGTGTACTTGTTGGACTATCAGTTCGCATTAATCTAATTGGAAATCGTACGCGTGTTGGATCCATCTAAACATACATACACCAATAATGACTTTGTCGTTAATCGATAAATCAACATTGATAAAAAAACCTGTCAATGTTCATTCTATTCGTTTAAATTTATGATTTTCTTTGTCTTTCAGTTTTGATTATCATTCTTCTGATGTTCGATGATGTTCTGTTTCTCTTTCTCGTCCTTTAATCTATCTCTCTTTACGTAATCTCTTCTAGTCTTCCCATGTAACACATAGATAATCAATAGATCGCTTTTGTTTCCTTCAACTGCCTATTGCTGACATTGAAAGTGAGAAATGACGAATGTTATTGTACTAATATTCGTCTCTTATGATCATTCTTTTTTACGTACGCGATGAATTGAGTCTGTGTACGCAGCACTTGAGCTGTATGTTCGACGATTATTCATTGGATTTTGATGATGGATTGGTATATCTGTGGCCCATGCTGTTTGGTGTGTTCGTTGCTGTTGTGAACGTTTTCTCAGAGTATTTTGCACACTTTCTAATAAAGAATCAATTAATTGTTCATCGATGGATAAATGATCACGTGATGCAGTTTTCTGAGTCGGCTTATTTGTAGTAGTTGTTGTCGTCACAGATGATGAACTTGTGATCGGTATATCTGTGACACCATTAGTTGAACTGCTACCGACGCCACGTTTGATACGTATGCGCTCTTCACGTGTTGTTTTCGAACGCTGTTCTTCACGTTGCACACCGTTCGATGATAAAGATGAACCATCAATAAGGCCACTGACTGTGTTCGCATCGAAATCATTACGTTTTTGATTATTCAACGTTGATGCTTGCGTGTAAGATGAAGCTCGAATTGATGAAGGTAGTTTCGAATTTGAATTATTTTCGTTACTGTCATTATCTGAACGACGATGGTACGAATAGGAAGATGATGACGACGTGGTCGGATATTTAGTATTAGTATTATTATTGTTATTAACATTGATGTTAACAGAATTATTATTTCGATTACTTGAACTACTACCGACTGGTCGGTTGACTTCGGAAAGTAGATCTTTTACAAGATCATCGAGCTGATCAACATCGGATCGAAGTTTGCTTGACTGTGGTATAGACATGGTTTCGTTCGGAGGATTGAATGAGATTGGCAGCGAAATGCCGCCGTCGTTGATTTTACTGACACCGATGTTGCTAGTAGGTAAGAAAGTAGGAGATACAGTGGATGTCGACGGAGAAAAAGAAGATGGTGAGGTACTAGTTATTTGTACAGGCAAACGAGTAGTCGTTCGAGTTGCTTGGGATGGAGAGAAAGAAAGAGAGGAAGAAAAAAGAGTAGCCGGCGTAGCAGTAGTCGTTGTATTAGTGGCGTTGTTAGAATGATTGACTTGCACGTTTTTGTACATAACCTAAAAGAGAAGAGAAAAAGAAAGAATAGAATCAAAGAATAACATTACTAATGTGCTGGTGCCACTACAGCATTCATTAGAGAACGTGAAACGCGAAGAAGAAGAAGAAGAAGAAGAAAAAGGAGCGACAAAGAGAACGAAAGAAAGACTACTATTTCTCGTGAAAGAAGACGGACAGTAGGACTAGTTGGATTTATTCTTCTATCTTTCTTTAGTAGTACCATTCCTGTTGTAATATGCGTTCTCTTTTTCTCTTTCTCTTCTTGTTCTTTTCTTGTTACATATATATATATATACGTGTGTGTATGTATGCTTAGAGATTTTTACGTAACCCTTCCTCATCTCTCTTCATGGTATTCAGACGAGGGCGCTGTCGGTCCGTCCACTGCTTCAGTAGTCGCCTACACAATGGCATCAACGACTTGTACTCAGTTCGTCCGTTCGCTATCATGCTGCATTACTCTATCTAACATATGCTTGCATGTATATGGTGACGTGGAAGAGAGAAAGAAGAGTAAAAAAGAATTACTGCCATAGTTCGCATGTATAGACTCGTAGATATATATACATAAATGTATGCATATAAGCAATAAATCGGCTTAGAAAAGTTTGATAAAGCCAAAAGAGTAAGCAGAAGATGAACATATATCATTCTGAATATCAGATACGATTAGATATAGATAATGCTAATATAGGTACTAAAAACGAGACTATGTCATGAAGTATTTAGATAACTTATTCAAAGAGAAAACAGAGATGTACTATGACCTTTTGGAAAATTTCTAATATCTCTAACAATGCACCTATAATAATATTAATCCAACTGCTGAAAGAATATATATCGTTGATAGTTTGATTTATATATATATGTATATGTACATACCAATCAAACGATGATCAAGCCATCGTCGAGTGTTATACACATAAGTGCAGGTCAACTGTTGGGTTATTATACTTTTGTCAACGGATAGCAGCAGTTAACGTCGTTGCCGTCAAAATTCATTCATCTGAAAACAAAAGTCAGCGTTGAAGAAAGACATGAATAGAATGAAGATGAAGAAACGAAGAAAGTAATCAATGCAAAAAAGACATTACAGACAAAGGACAATCACGAACAAAGAAGAAAATAAAAACGATTGATACGTGGTTTACTTGATTAGAAGCGTAACATTATTCTCTTCTGGTATTAGTTAAAGACAAAAGCCATCTGTGCACGAATATCTCTAATAGAATTCTCTTTAATGACTACGGACAGCATCGAGAAGAGAAAGAATATTGAAAAGCAATAAGTAAAAATAATCGAACGATAATAGTTGTTGACGAGTGTTGAAAAGTCAAGATCTTTTCTTTCTTTTCAATAGAATTCCATCGTTTTCATTGAAAATACGCTATTACGAAGAGAAAAGGAAAACAAAGCACGCAGAATAGATATTGAACTGATATATCTCTAAGACAATTAGCATACCTTGTCGATCTTCGATAGTTGCTCATCAATCATATTTCTCACACTGTTTTTACCGTAGTCTTTCTCCCTTTTTTTTTGTCTATTCATGAGACAAAACCTAATAGAGAAATTCGCTCGTACACGCGTTATATGCGGTGATCAACATCACGCGTGTTGTCTCATCTTTCGATCACGACTCGATTTCATTTTTCTCTCATTCTCTCATATGTATAAATCCATATCAAACACACGACCGTCTATGGTGTTCAGTTGAGCAGTAAAGAACTCGTAGGAAAAATATACGTGTGAGAGAACGATGTATGGCCCACTGCCAAGCAATATAAATATATATATATATATATACACATATACTACTTAACATTTTTTTTTCTTCTCCTACTTTGTCTCTCTCTCGATGTGCATACGTATATGCGTGCACGATGAACTCATTCGACGTGGGACAGAAAAAAAAGAGTGCACCCTGACCGAGTAGCTCGCTCTCTTTCTACAATGTTGTTGTTGATGATGACGATGATGATGATGATGAAAGGATGATGGCGATAGCAATGGCCATATAGAAAGAACAACTCGGTTAGCCTGATGCAAAATCAACAAAAGGACTGATTCACTGTTTACATGTACATTATGTTGTTCAAGAAGATGAAGAAGTAGTCGTAGTCGAATGCACAAATGTTATACTAGACCTTCTTTGAACTATCATCATCGTCATCATCACAGAAAGAAAAATCAGAAAAATAGATTGATAACAGCAGTAGTAGGAAATCTTCTATAGTTCAAGGTTTTTATCTATATACCATTCATCTGAACGTAGTTATACTCGATCAGAACCAACGAGACTATTCTATATACACACCTGGTAAAGATTAATGGTGAACAAAAGAGAGAGATGTCGATCTCATCAATAGCTGTACGTGAATAAATACAGATTTTGATATATCAACAATCAAGGGTAAAACAGTGTTAACGACAAAAACAACCAGGCGAATCAATGATACATGTATATACATCTATTTATACTTTGTACATGTTAAGTGTTTGATGCACATTTTAATGAAAAGAGAAAAATTTACTTGCGATAAAAATCAGATAATATAAATTTATTCATATATTGTCAACATATATATATATTCGATCGACGCCCCAGCTTTGCTATCTATCTCTCCTTCTCTCATCTTCTATCATCTATATAAATATCGTTTTCGTGCTATGTTCTCATCACCCTTTGGGCATGTTCAACACCACGACAACGAGAGACAAAAGGTCACATACATGATAAGCTTGCGTAAGCATCTGCGCGAACGTTCGTTGATCAAGGCAATATTGTTGTTTCAACAACGACAAGTCGACAGCGAGTGATTACCAATCGGTTGATTAGAGTGAGAATTAGAACAACCCAATAACATTAATGATCATCCTCGGGCAGCATATATCCAGCTGAACAAATTTGTCTTCATATTTATTGTGAGGCGGGAATGAGAGGAGACGAGAAAACGCACTGCATACAAGCATTTTTTCATACCACCAAGAAGAAGAAGAAGCCGTCGACATGTCTGTTGATCGAATATCAAATGGCATTCATATGTAAATATGCATGTATATGTATACATATACATATATACATGAGCATAGATCAAAAGAAGGGAACACAAAACTGTACATTCATCTGAAAGAAAGAAAAAGCAACCTATGATGTAGGAAAAATACATAGTAGTAAGCTTGAATATTTTTATTGCTTTTTCAAAAAATAGTTCCCTTAACTAGCCTTTTAAAATATCATTCGTTAACTGATCATAATTCTTAGTTAAACCGAGAATATCTGGGTAGATCCATTGACAGCCTGCTTCACGTAATAGCTTCTCTTCAAAACCACCACAGAGAACACCGGCTATTTTCAATTTTGCCGCTCGAGCAGCTAAACTCAAAAATACAATGAATTGATCCTGAAAAATAATTAATCATTCGATTTTAATCTACCTTGTGCATCCCATGGCGTATCACCAATAACAACAACTCGATCATTTCCAGCATTTTTTAGCAATTTCATTGCTGCTAAGAAGATATCTAAAAATTCCAGAGTTAGATCTCGATCTTGAAGATCTTATTGTTCATCTTACCAGGATAAGGTTTCGATCGTTTTACATCCTTCGAATTTGAACTTGTTTGACAGTCAACTAGATCACTAACTTTGGCGATGTCCTTATAAAGTTCTAATTCATCCTGCTGTGCTGACGATGCCAAAGCAATACGGACATTGCGTTTTTTAATCAGTTCAAACAATTCTCGAACACCTGGAAATGGACGAACCTTTTCTAAATAGTTATCTTGAAATAATCGGGCTTTTCGAGCCTTGATCTCTTCTGCGTATTTCTTAATTTGCTCTTCGGTTGCAAACACAGGCAACAACTGATCAGCAGCTTTGCCAATTTGCATACGAACATCAGGTAGGTTGCACTTGATATTGTAATGCTGTAATGCGTCGTACCAAGACTTAGCATGGTAATCAACAGTATCGATTAGTGTGCCATCCACATCGAAGATGACAGCATCAAGTTCACGTCGTTTAGTTGAATAATAACGAATTGATGTAAATACCTAAAGAAGATTAGTTGAAAGAGGATATGAAGTCGACAAAACGAATGAAGAAGACAGGTACTTGAGGATGAACAATTGATGAAACGCGAGATCGAAGCATTTTCGAAAATGATGGATTAAGCTATAAGCTCGAAAAAGTAAAGCAGATGACTCATCGATGAATTCCTATTGGAGAGTTCTCGACAAATCAAAGTTTGATAGATTTTTGATTAGTATATGTTTATCGATGAAAATATTCAGTAGAATTACACAATGAAATGAAATTTAACGGATTGAAATATCTTTCATAAGAACTCAAGAATTTGTTGTGGTATGTCATGCAATATAATCGTTACCAGGACACACACTCCATTGAGGGATTGACAAATAACTCAATCACGAGGTATGGAATGTAAGAAAAAGTGTCTCTAAGTTCTTTTTAATAATCGTCTCGATTGCCAAACCTATTTTTTCCTTTACTTCAGTGTTCTTTGCTAGATAATTCTCAAATAATTATTCGAAAATTCAGTGTCAATGAGTAAAATCTCTCTTTCACCAATGAATCCAGCTGCTATGGCAAATCTCAATCGAATGACATTTTTAATGGCAATTTCAGAAATAACACCACAAATTTTCATATCAGGTTATTATTTTCGCCCTACGTTTCTGTTCGTTCACCTTCCTCAACTCTCACACTTTCAGGTCAAATGGCAGCAACACTCGAACAAGTCCAACGCCTGGGTATAACTTACATTCTAGTAAATATATTCTCTTCAACAACATCAAAATCTCGAATTCTTTTCTTCTCATCAAGAATGTGGCCATTGAATCGTCACCTATTGTTTATCCCAAACATGTCAAACTCGAGAAATTTGATATTACCGATTTTCCGACTACACCCATCAGTCATTATTTTCATACATTAACCGATAAAATTCATGCACATCTCAGTGCAAGTAAACAGAATAAAGTGCTTGTTCATTGTATGGCTGGCATCAGTCGAAGTAAATAAGTAGAAAATCATCATTTCGATGTCGACTATTTCGTTTCTTAGGTACAACTATTGTTTGTGCGTATTTAATGCGGTTTTTGAATTTGTCTTTACGCGAAGCATATTTGTTGTGTAAAAGACATCGGCCGATATGTTTTCCAAACTTAGGGTTTTGGAATCAATTAATATCTTATGAATTTCAATTGAAACGAGAGAATAGTGTTCGAAGTAAGAGTTTGTTTTTGTTTTTTTTTCTATATCCAGCTCTATCGAAGCTTATGTACATTCCACCGAAGTGTGAATGACAATATTTGCATAGTCAAATTCGAGCGAAAACGCTGTGATCTCTAGTGCTTAAAAGAAACAACGAAAAACAATCTTTTTTTTTGCATATCGTGGCCGATACTTGATCGTTGTTTGACAACCTGTTTTGAATATCAACCAGACGATTGGAGATTATGCATTGTCTACTTTGATATTTAGTGATTTCGACTCAGTTCGGACAGATTCCTGATGTGGCTTACGAAGAAATAAAACAGCTGTATGACGAAGATCAACAACGGCAACAACCGCAGCCGACATCTTTACCGTTCTATGCTCCAACATTTGCGACAAGTAACAATGGCGCGACTCGAAGTCCTGCTATCAGTACAATTTCAAGTAATAATAGTAATATCAACTTCCCGTCAAATCAAACACGTTCGAGTCCTCGAGATTTGCCGGTGAACAATTCTCCTGCGGCAGCGCGATCGCGTTCATTAGCTTCGAATGCAGCCAATCGATCAGCTGTTATCGCTGCGTCGACAAATATCAGTAATCCAGAGTATCAAACACCATTATTCGAAACAAATCGATTTACAAATGCATCCCCGACGCGATACAATCCAACCAGTCGTTCAAATCCATCGCCTTTAACAATCAATAATTCCTCTCCGTCGAGATCAAATGTTTCATCGATATCCTATGCTGGCAATCGGAATCTGCCTATAAGTACGTCACCAAATGTGCGTAGCCGTATGGTTCACCATCAACAATCACTGAATGTGCCCAGTGCCGATCGGAACACATCGTTGATGATTAGAAATAACGGTCAACAACGTTCCAATTATGAAACGACCTATCGGTCAAGTTTTATCAAACCTTTAATTTAATAACGGATACAAATCAACAAGTCTATTTATTCATTTATATTATTTATCGAACCGTTTATGTTTTGATTAGAAAGAGAGAATCAGAAAGCTTAGTTCAGAACAATGAGATACGCCTGTTGTCACGTCATTTATATTTCTATATTATTTTCTTTCATATTCTATATTTAGTAGGCGTCAGATGACTGATTTCTTATGTTTTATTTCTAATTTTTTGTTGAAATTGCTTTAAAAATCTCGGTGCGTGTGTCAGAAATGTCAAATGAAAAGAAAATAATAATTATCGATTATATTTATCTATTTATTTTAGACAAGTGTATGTAAATATCGTTGTAAATTATTTCCAGTACTGAGCATGTTGGGTATAACAGAAGTTATTGAAAATCTTTATATCTCTGGTCTTGAATCTCGTCAAGCAATATTAAATAAAGGTATTCGTTGCGTTATCAACATATCATCCGAATGTCCCGTACAAGATCTCGGTCCGTCAGTTGAATACGAAAAAGTCAGCATACATGATGTGCCAACAACATCTATACATCCGCATTTCGATCGACTAACCGATCGTATACATCAAAATTTACAACAAGGAAAGAAAACACTTGTCCATTGTTATGTTGGACGGTCAAGATCAGCAACGATTATTTTAGGTACATTCTAAAATCGTCCTTCGAGCTATTTTTCCATTGAAAATGACTTGTTAATATTGATCTCTTTTAGCTTATTTAATGAAATACAAACAAATGCCATTACGTGATGCATTCCATTATTTACGTTCTCGTCGACATATTATTGGACCGAACTTTGGATTTATTAAACAAGTAATTATCACTTATTCATATATATTTAACTAAATATTGACAATCTCTTTCAGTTAATTGCATACGAAAAGTCTTTATTTGGTTATACAACCGTTTCGTTTGTGAATACATCATTTGGTGCTGTACCTGACATATATGTGACAACATCTGCGTCCGCTCCTCGACGACCATTAGCAGCAACAAACACTATACCAGTCCAAAGATCGACAACGACTTCGAATACATTGGCTCGCCCACGATCGACATCGAGACCAGCATTAAGTTTCTCTCCGACCCGTTCGACATTTGCCTATTCATCATCACCTTCCTTAGCTTTGCAACCACGGCAAACATCATTTCACCAACGGACAACTGCAAGCGCATCACCGACTCGCTCACCCACTATATCGAACTATTCTAATAGATACAATCTTGGTGTCACGAATAGCAATCCTAATAGTACGAATAATCGTCCGATAACAGCCTCTTCCAGTTATCAAATACCGATTAATGTTAGTTATCGAAGTACGTCGTCCATACGACAACCATTTGAGCCGACTCGTATGACTTCGACAATCAATAAGCCGTATGCAGTAACGCGTGAATTCTCCATACCAGCGAAAATGGTTAATCCAGTGCGAAATGTTTCCTACGTTCCATCATCGTATAATCGTTACCATTAACTATCGATATCAAAATAACAAACTGACTGCAGATGTATCGGAGAATGTTCTATTTTATTTTTCTAATTCGATTTCATTTTGCCAGATAATTCTACTATTCCTTCCTAACAAAATTGAAACAAAATTTTTGCTTTGTCTTTCTTTCATTCTATCTGACACATTCACACATATTCTTCTGGTAGATGTTTTCTTTTTCTGTTATTATTCTTGTTCAATTCTCTGGGGTGATTTTGTTTTCGTTCATAACCGGTGCGTGCCTTTGGTATTTTCTTTTTCGCTTTCTGTAGTCTGAATGATATTGTTGATCTTTCTAGAGTACTCTATCTATTCTGCCAAAATTCGATTCTATTTTATTTTCGAGAAGAATGAATGTTTGTTTTTATTTTCTATTTCGATCTGAATTCAAATAAACTAATATCACGAAATATTCACACGCATACTTGTATCAGTTGTAGAAATGACATCGTGCATGAAACGCGTGTTTCTCCAGGTCGCATGGGTTTATTTATATTGCACTACTATCAATATACTCTGATGATCACGTTTAGATCACTCAAGAAGGCACATTTATCGAGAGAGTGCAAGTTGACTACGATGACTCATCTAGCGAAACTTATGGTTTGTGCTTTCGTTCGTTCGTTCTTTCTCTTCTCTGTATTTTTATTTATTTTTTTCATCTTGCTATCACAAGCATTCTAGCCAACGAGGGGTATTCTATTTATATGATTAGAATAACGTCGTAATGCATCATTTCATAAACAACTATGCGTATTTGTACCATATTGACTATTGATTTCGTTGAAAATATTATTTAATACAAAGCACTACAATGAGCAAAAGTTCGAACAAGTGGTCTGATCTGGTTCACAGACATACTCGATCATTATCGCGGACATTTGAAAGAGTAAGTTGACTTCTGATAAGATCAGCAGATCTGCTTGTCTTCATTCTTTTTATTATAAACTTAAAAGACATTTCAAAGTATAAGATAGAATGTGTAATAATTATCTTATGCTTTTATTTGTTTAGTGACAAGTAATTTTTTTCATCAAATATACGCTCTCTGTTCGCGAAGAAGAACAAAAAGATCTCTATTTTCGTTTGTTATTTTCTAGCTTTCATTTCTACATCGAGAAGAACCTGAATCATCACTCTCATCGTCTTTGCCCGCAAATTTCGTTATGCAACAGTGTTTATCGAAATGTGAACCAGATGTATCTATAGATACATTCATCTCACCCAAAGCTTTAGAACCTTGTAAATACTGTTTCGAGCAAGTTACATCGCCGGTAATCGCAGATGTTTTCAATACAACTCGTGAACGATTATGCAGTGACCCCGTCAATGTTCCCAACCTATCGACACAACAAGGACAACAACAATCACATTCGACCGGATATGGATCTATGTTTGGAAACGAACTTTCACCAGCGACTGATTATTGGACAATAGGTAAAATCAACTTGTCGTTGAAAGAAAAACGAAAATCATTGTTTCTATTGTTTAGGTATGAATGATTCAACACCACATTCATCAGTAACACAAGAAGATGAAGATCAGTCAATGTATGATGTTAGTTCAATTACTGATGGTGGTGACGAAGAATCCAACGATGAAGATGCTAGCATTGCGATCGACGATGATGACGATACATTTGAAGTACTATCATTCAATGCACCACCTGAAAGTACACTTTACATAAAAGGTATGTTTACCGTCTCACTCATACTTGCTACATATCGTACACTGATGAAATCTTCCATTTTAGAATTTCCACATACAACGTCAGCTAGTCAAAATTATGCATGTGCTTGCTGTAATGAACTTTTTTCTTCGATATCAAATTCGCCACCACGCCGCTGTTATTATTATGGGAAACTATATTGTTCTCGGTGTCATATTGCAGAATACGCATGTATACCAGCAAAGCTGATTAAAACATCCGATACGCGTCTTTATCCAGTATGTCGTCGAGCTAAATCGATCCTACAACTGAATATATATCAACCAGTGTTTGATGTTCAACATGATAATGAAAGTTTATATACATCTGTGTCATTATTAGCGGATGTAAAATCTATTCGTGTACAATTTCATCATTATTATGCATACTTATCAACATGTCCACGAATCGAAAATGAGTTTCAAGAGAAATTTTTCAAAGAATTCTATGCACGAGATTATCTTTACCAAAGTGTGCATCTGTATTCAGTCGATGACCTTCTGTCATTGAAAAAAATTCTACATATCCTAACAAACGCCAGTATCAAAGCACGACAACATATCAATCATTGTGAAATTTGTCGCGAGAAAGGCTTCACATGTGAAATATGTAAAAACCGAGCTGATATACTTTATCCATTTGACGACACGAAAAGCATCGGTCGATGTGATCGGTGCTCGAATTTATACCATCGACAATGTTGGCAAAATATCGATCACGATTGTCCGAAATGTTATCGACTAGTTCAACGACAGTATTTACAAGAAATGGTATGAACAATGTTTAATGAGGGAGGAAATGAAGCAATCTTTCTGTTTGTGTATATGGAATCTCGTTTGTTTCATTTTTTTGTACTTGCTTTGTATTATTTGTATACATCGACAACATAGTTCATGTACATCATTATCCAGTTCCTTTTATTTGATGTTTTTTTTTTCATTTAAATTCACAATATGAAAAACGTGTATAGTTTTCTTTGAAATCATCAACAGGATTTGACGGTGACATAATAAAATTGAAATAGATTATATCAATAGAGATTTCTTTTAATACAATCGTTTATACGCCATACTTTATCTTTCTCAGTCCCTCGATACCAACTAGTTATCATCGTATTTCGTCTTTATTTTTGACCATAAATGACAAAGATATGATCGCCTACATACAAACAACATGACGAAAAGCACAAAACAAATATTTTTATCGCTACTGCGCAGAACAAACATGACTATTGAGTAAAAATTCAACCAAATACAATGACTTCTATTGTGGACTAGACGGATTGCAAAATACTGAATGAACATCTGCATCCATCGTTCGGCATCGTTGACTACAATATCTAAAAAAGCAGCGAAACTCTTGATCATGTTTCAAATAATCCGAGTTCTTCTTACTTGATTTTTCGACATTGAAGACAGTTAAACTGTTCACTGCTTAATAGCTGCGTACACGGTGCATGATGACATTCGTATAGACTAGATTCATGGCTTACTGAATTATGATAATCAACTTCATCCATATCGACAGGTAGATTAGAAACAATATTCCAGTAGAAACTTGTAAGTGACGGAGATTTTATTGGCAAATAAATCATATTATTCGAAAGCAATAATAAATTTTCCAAGCGATTGTCCATGGTGATTCCATTTCGATGGCAAATGGTATAATTTTCGGGCACAAGATATTGATGAGCATATTCCCTAGAAGAATTCGCATTCAATAGAGATAAACATGTTCATCAATGAATATTTCACATACCATATCAGATTATGTAGAGCAACATCTTCAAATCCATCATTTGCTATGACAATCAACTGATCATTCACACATTGGATCTATTAGTCACTAGAAATTTTAAAACATGAATTAGAAATTCTCTTACTTTCAACTGGAAAACTTTTAAAAGAGGAATACAAAATGCATCGATCAAGCAATATTTTATCTACGTATAAAACACCGATAAATTTTGATTCATTGAAACAATTTCCTGTTACTTTGCCAGCGAAAGATCCCAGTTTGATAACACTCGGTGTGTTGAATCGAACGTTGTCCATACCCAAATGTTTTTTTTTACGTCGATATAGACAAACAGATGCTGCTACTGCTTGGCACCATGAAGTTTAATCATCGAATGTGAGAACGAGAAAAAAAAATGCGAGTCGTTCGATATTGCAGATAATAGAGGTCATTTCTTCCTCCTACTTTTTTTTTCTTTCTCTTCCTACAGAACGTTAAAAAAAGATTGAACGAAGGTCAAACAGATGTGTTTGATGCTCACTCTTATCATAAGATCAGACTCTTTTTTTTCGTCTTTTCCTATTTATATATATCAAAGCGTGATCTACACGATGTGAACATCTGCTCAGATAATTCTTCAACATAGAAGAAGCACGAGTAATAATCGGAATAGTGCATAGTCAAGGTAGATAAAACGGTCAAATTTGAAAAGTCATTGCAAGCTGATAACTGATGCCCTATATGAAGATGTGAGTACATCGGCAGAGAATTTTCATTGAATCTTGCTTACCCCTTTCACTATCAAATTAGAACTCATGTTTACAACTGATAAGAGAATGTTGCATGCGTATGTACCAATATATCAAGTCCAGTGGACTCTCACAAGTACAATCCGTAAATTCTTGTCCTGTCACGTACAAGTTTCTTCTTGAAGACATTGTGACATGAAGTGAGAATTTGTTTCTCTTGAATTCTGGTTCTAACAACTCGATTCAAATGTTCGTACTATTTCGAAGCTGCCTTTTCGACATATCGCTTGAGTACAGTCGTACATATTATAGTACCTGTAAAGAATAGAAAGAGAACTACATAAATTGCTTTTCTTTTGATTATTCAAATAAATGTGTGTATGATCGAAACAAACACAATCATTTACCTGTACGGGTCTTATAAATGTTTGTAATCTGAATTGTACGTATAAAAGGGCCATGCTTGATTTATTGCAAGTCATATTTTTCTGTTTTCGTCATTATTAACGAGAATAAAAACAAACGAAAATATGAGAAAAAGTCCACGAAATTCGAAGTAGCGAACAATAACGATAAGTATGCAATCGCCATCGAATGTACGATGTAACTCTACACCAAGTGAGAGAAAAAATACCAACGAAAGTACAGACGATAGTCAACCGCCACCGCCATCATATCCGAGTGTTATTCATAAATTGGAAAACTTTCCATTGCACAATTATAACGATCAACCACCTCCGCCAAGTTATGCAGATGTAAGTAATCCTTCAGTTATCTATATTAACAATTACCCTGGACCACCCTTAACTGACGGTGTCGTGCAGATCGTGACTTCGAATCAAACACCTTCAAATCAGTATGCGACAGCAGACAATATATTATCAAAACGGGCACGAGTTTATTTATGGTTGAATGGAATCTTCACGATTATCTTTGGTATAAGCGCCATTGGTATCCAAATTGGATTAGTAGCTTCACATTCAATCGTGTATTACTATTACGGCTTTTGGGCAGGAATTTTAATCATCAGTATCGGTATCGGTACACTTTTATTCAATAGTCGCTATCGTAGACATGAGACAACAAAATATTTTCGTTCATTCATATGGCAAACAGCATTTATTGCCGTTGTATTCGGCTTTGGGGTCATTATTATCCTAACAGATTCGTGCGATGGAGAAGAATCAGAAAATGATGGTAATGATGATGCGTGTAAACGGTCGTATAAAGTACTGAATGGTTTACTGATCGCTGTTATTTCGATAACATTCGTGCAATCAATTATAAACACAATTATTGTTGCTGTTCTTAAACGGCAGTACATGACGAGTCTGAATGCAACAACATCAACCACTACAGCAATAGAAGCTTCTTGAAAAAAGAAGTTGATCGTTTTTCACACTTTTTTGTTATATATTTATACATACAGATGCTAATTCAAGACAGAGAATCAGCACACAATTATCGTTTTTTAGCTTAAGCCTTTATCATGATAAAACCACCTCAATTGATAACATAAGGCAAATTATGCGCGAGAAAGTTTGCTTTCAATTATTAATGACAATATTTTTCACAGCATACACTAATAGCATTACCACCCCTGGCACTAGGGTATTTTTACCTCCCCAGTTTTTCTGAACCCTCTCGTCACTTGTTTTAGGTATTGTAAAACCTCACATGAAAAGTGTCAATCAAGTTTTGAACTCGATGTTCGATCTTTACGGTCCGTACTTTCGATTTTGAAAGTGCCGATTCTCGGATAATTATAATTTAAGAAGGATGATACCGAAATTGAGATAGTGCTTCCGGGAATGTTTTTAAAAAGCTCCGATGAGCCTAGCCATTATTTAACGTACGAGAAACAAGAATATGCAAACTGAGATCTTTTGGAAGTTGGTTTCTCGCACGATTTAAATAGAAACCTCTTGGAAAAGAATTTGTAATCTCCTTACACTTTAATTGTTTCACAAAGGATTAATGCACCGTTTTTTATATCAAGAGTTTTTTTTAATCTCATAATCGTTCAGAAACGAATATAAAGTAGCACACAGATACAAACAATTTACTCATTGTAGCGAACAATATCAACTCGATGATCTTTCAGCTGTTCTTGGACTTATTGGTTGCAAATCGTGTATCATGCCATTTACAAATTTTTTCCTTTCCTGAAGATACTAATTGAAACGCCCACATCGTGAACTTGATCCCCCTAAGATAGTGACAAGTTCACCTCTCAGCATTACGTCGCATTTATTTTAAGTACCTTGATATAAAATAGTACATCGATTTTGTCATTTGTAATCTGTAGACCCTCATTGAATGACGTAAAGTGCTGTGATGGTCTTCTTAGAGTCAATGACAGATGTTCACAGCAGATGATAACTTTGATAATAATTTCATTCAACTAGACATTGACAAAAACTAGAGGAAAACGCAAATGACTCAATAGTAATCGTGTCATCTATTTGAGAAATCTTTCCAGCAGAAAAACCATATATCAATGAGCCATTCCCATAATTTCTTGCGCCGTGAAAACGTCGTCGAGATGTTTTTTTTTGGTCGACCCAAACTCACTTGTCAATGTTTGGTTCCAGTGACGTTTTTCTTTTTCTACGGTTAAACTTCAAATGAATATTTATCTTTCTTCTTTTTGTTTTATTCGATAGTCAACATTCTTTTCAGCTAACAAATAGAAAATTGCTAGTCAAATGGAATTCTATCGTTGTTGAGTAATAAAAAAAAATTCAATTTGCTCTTCTGTTTCTATTCTGCTGTCTGCAAAAAAAACATAATTAACAATACTAGTTACTTTCCTTTATTTCTTAGCGTTTTTTGCATGTGTCTCTCAAGCTTTTTCTTAAAAGAAAAACTATTCCTTTCTACTCCGTTTTACTCGTTCAGTCTGCAATATTTTTCATTATTTTATTTTGTTTTTGTATGGAATAGATTCTCGGTCATAATTATCCATAGACATTGCTTCAGTGCTCAAGACAACACCAGAATGTCGGAAGAATCGTAAGTCTTATAACCTTATTCCGAGACACTTTTCATACAGAAGAAGTTGCCTAATATTTTAGGATTAAAGTCGCTGTACGGGTTCGTCCATTCAATCAACGGTAAGAATAATCAGAGTCAAGTTACAATGAGATTCCCTTCGTATTTACAGAGAAAAAGATCGCAATGCGAAACTAATTATTAAAATGCATGGACAATCGACTTTTATTACCGATCCGAGATCATCAGGTGAGTGTTGCTTCAAGATTTCAAATTTAATCGTTTCACGTTTGTTTTTAGGAGAAGAACCAAAACAAGTGAGTACTAGAGACGGAATTATGTGACAAAAAACTTTCTTTTGAATACATTTCTCAGTTTTCTTTTGACTATTCATATTGGTAAGTGAAGTATGTTGCTGAGAAAAGCTCGATGTGAAAGAGTTTTTGCTAAAGGTCTCATGACGGTTTCATCGAACTTCCTTCCGGAATACTCGAGTCGAAAGATAATTCTTCGGCATATGCTTCACAACAGAAGGTGTTCAATGATCTTGGTCGCGATGTCATTAAAAATGCATTTGACGGTGAGATACATAATATTGTGCGATGACATCACATCTTTTTTTTATTTTTCTTCTCAGGTTTTAACTGTTCATTGTTTGCATACGGTCAGACAGGATCAGGCAAAAGTTATTCTATGGTCGGCTACGGTGTAAATCGGTAAACGCTCACTGTTAAATCGAAATTTTAGCAAATTTGCTGTTTGTTTTAGTGGTATCATTCCTATTGCATGTGATGAATTGTTTCATCAGATACAGAGCACAAAAAGTTCATCAGTTGTAAGTTCAGTTTGGATTATTGTCGTGTAGGACCGTGCCTAAGCCGTAGTATTTTCCTGAAGACTTTGCTCGGTATTCAGACGGAAAAGTTATTAATAGCAGACCTCTTGAACAATTGAGAACTGCTATTGAAAGACATTTTTGAAATGACGCACTTTATAGCAGAAGTCAAAAGAAGAGAGTTTTATTTTAGATAACAAACCTAATCGCGAATTTTTAATTATAGCGTTATGAAGTCAGCCTATCAATGATGGAAATCTACAATGAACAAGTCCGCGATTTATTAACGCAAGACTTTCCGAAAGGAGGTCTGTATTTTGTTTGCTTAGAATCGCTTGATTACAATAACTAAGAGATTCACTTTGCATATAGGTCTCGCTGTTCGGCAACATCCCACTTCGGGTAATTTCTATCCGCAAGGTCTTCGTATCGTTCCCGTAGGAAATTACACTGACATTGAGCGTCGAATTTCTGAAGGCACACAAAATCGAACGATTGCCGCAACTAATATGAATGCCACAAGTTCTCGAGCACATACAGTTGTCACAATCTATTTTGATCAATTCATTAACGGTACACACGGTGAAACAAAGAAGACTAGTGCTATCAACTTAGTTGATTTAGCTGGTAAAGGGAGATTTCAGTTGGGCATCTCATCCGAATACGCTCTTCTCTTTCAAGGTTCGGAACGGGCTGCAAGCACAGGTGCAACCGGTGATCGCTTGAAAGAAAGTACCAACATCAATAAGTCGCTGTCGACATTGGGAAATGTAATATCGGCACTGGCTGACATATCATCGGGTTCGAAACGAAAAGTCGTTGTACCATACAGAGATTCGACATTAACAAAATTACTTCAAAATGCACTTGGCGGCAATAGCAAAACAGTGATGATTGCTGCCCTATCACCTGCCGATGTCAACTACGATGAGACACTAAGTACACTTCGTTTTGCTGATCGTGTTAAGCGTATTAAAAATACTGTTGTTGTCAACGAAAATCCTCTGGAGAAACTCATTCGTGAACTTAAGGTACATCTCTAATGAAGGAAAGGCAGGACTGTTTCTGTTACTCAGTTATTTTAAGGAAGAAAATGACCGCCTGAAGCTGCTGATTGATACAGGAAAATTCAATCTGCAATTAGATATTCAGCCTGGAATGTCAACTCAGGACATCGAACTTATGCGAAGAGATGTCGAAGAAGGAATTCTGTCACAAATTCAAGTTAATCAACAACTCCTACAAGATTCTAAAACAACATGGGATCTCAAGGTAAATTATAATATATTCTATAGTATAATACTAGAAACAAGTAGAGCAGAAAACATAAGAAAAGGTCAAAATGCATTCAAAGCACCTATTTCCAAATATATCCCTTTAATATAACGACCATGTTTTAAATATTAATCCCTTCACCGTTAACAGCGAATATGTTCGTCAGAGCAATTCTATGGAAAAGATGAGTACTGTAATACCTTAACTCTGTTGTGTTTGTGTGCTATGGGCCTTCTCCAGCATCCTGCACTAACTGTAGCTAGCTCTACGGATCCTAATATTTCATATAGGCTACGTTCTTTGCTCTTGAAATTATGTAATAGGAAAAAAAGATCAATATCAGTTTATTGATTGGTTTATACGACATATGCCACACAAAGTTTTTTCACTTTACTATTGAAAAGTAACTTTTGTTTTTCTATATGAACAATAAAATATATTTGTTTTCTAACGTTTTCTAATATTATGCTTAATTATGTATAAATTAAGAAAAGATAAAGTGCAAAAATTTTACTAAATAATTAAAAAGAAACTCAACGATAACGGGGTTAATATACTTACATGGCTAAATTTACTCTATAATTAAGACAACTAGTCAGTAGCTAGGAGAAAAACAGCTGGTAACGTTATTGAATAATACAGCCCCCCGTTATGCTAATTAACGATTTGGATATTAATAACTGTAATTTGATGTAATAAAACTTGCGTAAGGAGTCGTTTACTAGGAAGTAGATCGAATAACTTTCTTTAGTTGAAACAAGCTCAATCAGATGATAAGAACACACCTCTGTTGGTCGATAAAAAGCTACCATGTCTTGCTAATTTGAATGAAGATCCCATGTTATCCTATGTAATATGTCATTATCTAACAACGGATGAAATAACTATTGGAAGTCGCAACGCCACAATATGTCTCAATGGTTTGAGCGTTCTTGAACATCATGCCATCATACGAAAATTAGATGCAAATAATTATCAACTGATTCCAGCTGTACCCGGTGCAAAAATCAAAGTCAATGGATACAATTTAAATGGGTAAAATTACAACTTTTGCAGTTATGAAGAATTCATTTCGTTGTTATTATGAAAAATTATTTAGATCAACGCAGTTGAAACACAAAGATCGTATTCTATTCGGTGCGAATCATGTGTATGTCTATTTAAATGTTTTGAATGAAACTAATGAGTCAAAAGAGTTACCTGCGGTGATCACGTGGGAATTTGCACAGAAAGAAATAGCGAAAGCCAAAGGTTACTCGTTGGGCAATAATTTAACAACTGAACAAGAAGAACTACAAGAGAAAATCTTAAGTTTGTTACCATTGTTATCCGAAGTGAACGCAATCAGTGAAGAACTCAATAAATATCGAACATTCGAAATTGTTCTCATGCCGATTTCATCGTGGGATGGAACAGTTGGTAAAGGGTCGAAGTAATGCACGGAAAAGAAGCTTGCCGTTTTCAATCTATTGTTTCGTGTAGAGTAATGATTAAAATGCGGAATCTACTCAATCAAAATGCCTGGTATTGGGATGATGTAAAATTCGTTAATCGCAGTTTCATTATTAAAGTAAAGATGAAGAAATATGTTACATGGATGAACATCTACTTTTTGTTTGGTTTTAGGAACATTATCAAAGGTTTCTAGATGGCGAAGAAGAAATTTTATATATTGCCAAAGAAGATGATCCGTAAGAGTAGAAACACGATGACTGAACATGGTATTTTTGTTTCAATTTTATAGATTCTGGGAACCGGTGGAAGATGTTCTTCTTGGCACCGCGAATGTATTCCTTCAAAGTTTAGCGTATTCGTTAGATTTCTCGGATGAAATCTGTATCGTCGATTATAAAGTAAAGTATATTCATCTCTACTCATTGACGTTTGTACTCAGTATACAAATAGCAATTTGTTGATTACAGAAAGAATGGAAGGAAAACATATGTCATTGGTACTAGTAATTCTCTTAATAATAGACATTCTAAATGTTACCATAAATAAAATAGGCTGATTTTGAATTAATGATGATTATATTTAGGGTTTAGAACAAGGCCGATTAAGTATCAATCTATGTCCATGCTCGTCAAGTGGTAAAGTTATAAATGAAGAACAATTTGTCGATCAACCTGAAGAACTTCTCGATAAACCCTTTAGTTTCAAAGTAAAACAATAGTCTGTTTTTCTCTATGAAACTAAACGCGACTTTAGATAACAATGCGATTCATTGAAATCAATGATGAACGTTACAATAAAGGTATACGTGTTCGGTACAAAGTCTTCAATGAACTGGAGTTCACTGAAACGAATGTCATTTGTCGTAACACAGTTTGTGCTAATATAAAACAATCACGTATTATCACCATTCCAAATATGGATCATGTATGTTGAAGTTGTACAATTTGACATTGTTTACTGAACTGTTTGTTTGTAGAACTGGTTGGATTTTTTTGAGAATGGCTGTATTATATTTCAAGTCTTTGCTTTGCAAGAAGAAAGTAAACCGGATACGAGATTATTCAAGATGACCACTCGAGTAATATTCGTGCGAGAAAGGGGAAGTGATCAGGAATCGAGATGATTTTGCGTAGGATTTGAAAAAAATTGAGCAAAAACAAGATAGCACAAATATAATACCGGTGAATCATCCGAGCTCAATTTCGCCCGGTGACTCGAAATTAAAATCGGAATTGACTCTTCTCCATCGAAAATATGCTCGTCTCGAACAGAAAGAAAAACGTATTCAAGTAAGATTAGCATAGCTTGTTAATCGAAATCGAATGCTCTTCTTCATTTCTTTTAGCAACTATGTCGCGAATGGGAAAATAATCATGATTATCAAAAGTTTTATAAAAATCTTTCAGCTGTTGCTTTTAGTTCAGGAACGAAAATGAAAATAGCTGCAAACGTTGTAAGTCTTTCTCTTCGCGCTGAATTGATGGTTTTCATGCATGAAAAGAATATGCTTTCGCTTCTACGATACAACGCTTTACTCATAGATATTAAGCGGTGTTCAATTACTTCAAAGTGTACATTCGGTATCCGTTTTTCAAACAGTTTCTTTTCGCGAAAACATGAGATATTCTCACCCGCATTGTCGATCACGCGCACGAATCATTTTATCCCTTCATACACATGCACATAAGGAAGATATTTTCTCTCCTAGGCAAATAAAGAAAATAGTATGGATATTTATATATTTGGAAACGAAGAACGTGAGTATGTGAAGGATATGGAACACGGGAATGCTGAAAAATTGAAATATGTGAGCATTTACTTGTAATTGAACTTCAGTTCATATGTTGTTTGTTTTTCAGTGGGATGAATACTATCGCAAATTGGCATCGAAGCAACGCCGTGGTTCCAGCTTACAACGAGTGCCGATGAAACGACCATCGTCAACGCATCTGGACGGATTGGAAAATCATGCTCTGTACCCTTCATCACAAGCCAGGAGCGACTTAAATCAAGACGGCCAACAAACACGAGTCAATTCTTCAATTGCACAATTACCTAATGATAAAATGCCACCTGTCATACGGAAAGATTCTCGACGAGAAGCAGACAACGATATAGAAATTGCTAAATCGAGAACGATGTCAAATCCTATGCGTACAGATGGTACAGGAAAAAAATCAACATTAAGTAGCGAGAGAAATTCGACAAGTTGTACAATTAGTTAACAATCAAGGTGTGAATGATCGAGCAAGTGCAGTTCTATATAGTTGAAAATTCCTGAGCACCCCACAACACACTCGCTTCTTCTTCTTCTTGATCTCAGCTTTTCGTTCTTTTTATTTCCTGCTTATGTGTCTTAGTATCAATTGACCTCAGCGGTATTTCTATATGTATGATATATTTTAGGATGCTTTGAACGACTTTTCTGACTGAAAGTCGACTTCCGATCCATCAACTGCATAAATGACGATTCACATGCATACTCATATTCATCGACTGATTGTTTGTGTAAATCCTTCGTTTTGTTTTATTTTCTTTGCTTTGCTTTTTGAATTCGAAAACTAAAAATTCGCAAATATTTGCTTCTGTATGATAAACAAATTTCTTCGCTTTCAGCTTTCCAATGACATGTACTTAAAGGATTGAATTTATTCTATAAAGTACCCGATATTCAATAACAAGGTCAATGTGTATTCAGTCGTTTCACGCAGAAAATCATCTATTAATAGGAAAGGACGAACACAAATGTTTGCATTTTTCTTTTCATTAATGATAAAAACCTAGTGATAACTGTACTGTAATTAGTCGAAATTCAAGATATCGAATGTCTTATTTCAAACTTAATTATCCCACGAAATCAAATGAAATTGTAATACTACTTGTCAGTAGAGAAAACAATGAGACAAATTGTCGAATGATATATTTCACGCAAAAGATATTGATGTAATGTATGTCGAACGTGCGAGAATAGGTTTCCTTTTGTTGATAGTGTCGGCGAGATGCGGCGAAAAGACGAAAGCAACTATAGATCATGTATCTTCTAAGCGTTATTACTGAGCCTAAAATATTGTTGTTTTGCTATTGGTTTATGCGTGTCATGACTTGTGAAAGCAGATAACTATGACATACGTATGGCAATAGCGTAGTGCTGTCGGAAACATTAGAGAAACACAGACTAGAGCTTGGAAGCAGGAGAGACAACAATGTATTTCATCGTTCTCTTGACATCATCATTTATATTATAATCTGCCGCGATAATTGCTTCGCTTTACGAAGACCAACTCGATATATTCTATGACTTAGAATGCAAAGAAAAGCAGCAGTAGTTGAAGGATATTCGATGCCGATGAGAGGAAGAACAGGCGAGTGGGTAACGCTGCTACTGCTGTTGTTGTTGTTGTTGTTTCTGTTAAGAGAGAAGTTATCTCGGTAGGCGAATCGGTTGTTTAGACCAAGAAATATGTCGTCGTTGTCGATCAGAGAAGAAGAAAGTTCAAATACGGATGAAGAGAATAGCGATGTTTTTCTACGATGCATTATGTAGTACTACAGAGAGAATAGATTAGAAAAGGCGAGAAAAGAGAAAGAAGAAGAGTAAGAAGACGAAGAGGCAAAGACGCTATACATTCGTCAAGATTACTTGCATTCTCTGTAAGACTTTAGGGTAGAGACAGCAGATGATGGCAGGGACACAAACGATCAAGGTTACCCTTCAACGCGATAGTTTGCAAACTCCATGGGGATTTCGACTACAAGGAGGTGCAGATTTTCGTACACCATTTACTGTCAACAAAGTTCGTTACTTACGTTCTATTTTACGCTAATCTTGCTTTGACATTTATACAGATCACTGCTGGTAGTCCCGCTGATGGTAGTCTCCAACGTGGAGATATTATTCTTGATATTGATCAAAGACCAACTCATTCGATGCTTCATTCCGAAGCACTTGATCTTGTTCAACGAGCTGGTGGTCAAATAACATTTCTTGTACAAAGGTTCGATTGCATATCACTTGTGGTTAATGACATCGATTCTCTCTTCTCTTATGCTTGTTTATTTTATTTAGAGGACTAAATCCTCTTGCATCTTTTATACGTAATCAACGTCCAATGTCAGCCACACCATGGTCTTTAGCGAATACGCCTTCGTATTTAGACAAGAATTTCCCGCCGCCTTGGTCACCATCAGCCGCTCCCCAGAGCCCATCGGTAAATGCGAGAATCTATTCTAGATAATGATTCATATGATATGTCTAGGCACTCTTTCGTAATCGACCGCTGGAACGAGTACCAGCTCCTAAGCCCTTACTTAGTCAAACAGGGAGTCCTCTCATGCCTGGACCCGTTCCATCAGTGTCAACAAAAACTCGAGGTTACGTTCAACCACCCTCATTTCATACAGAACGAAGTGCTTTACACGATGTGCCAGCAGTGGCCGGTTCATTCTTTCCTGCTCACTTTGAATATCCCGACACACCAAGGAAGAATCGCACCGAATCAATAACAACGACCACGACAACATATCGTAATTCGTACGATACACAAGGGTATCAAGACTCAACACCGTATGTACCTTCTTACCAAAAGAAGGTGCACATGACTCCCAATGCACACCAACCTCATCAACGTCCTTTGCAACAATATCGACCAGCGTCAACTCAACCATTAAACATCGTTCATCGTCAATTTAATTCACCGATGTCACTCTATTCAAATGATAACGTTCAAGATGCAATGAAAAGTCATGTTAGTCATATCAGTCGCGTCAGGTAAATAAACTCACGCACACGCACAAAAGATCTATATCCTTCAATCGATTTCTATTTCGATTCTATAAGATAAAATCTAAATCTTTTCTTCCAGTCGCATTGTTCATGATGGCTATCTGACCAAATTTTAATCGTCAAAGGTTTTATCTCATATCTATAAGACACTCAATGTACATATATATATATACATTTACTCCGAAGAACGTGCTTTATGTTTGCTTGAAATCGTTTTGTCTTTCTCTCTTGTTCTATACTATGACATCTAGGATGCGGAACTGAAGAAACGAACGCATCTGACATCGCTCGATGAATGCATGAAAATATAAAGAAAACAGCTCTCAAGCTCAATCAGAACTCATAGCATGTGATCGGTGATCAATAGTTTAATTTGAATTTTCATTTTAGTATCGTCCCGTCAATGCCCAGACAATTACGCGGTACATATACAGTTGCTTTATCACCGCCCAATTCCACCTATACAACAGCGAGCACACCAATTTGTTACGTTAAATCCCCGAGAAATGCTTATTATGCATCCGATTTCTAATGAAAAGAAAAATGCTTCGATTTGATTCAAAACCAAAAACAAGTGAAATGTTTCGAATGTAGAACTAGTAAAATATTTAAGTTTTCTTTTCTCGAATGATCCCATGAAATTTTTTTATACATATTTTTTTCTCTCTTTCTTCATCCTTTTGTTGGATTAAACTATCGAACGTTTCTTCCCAGTGTGACCTGAAGGATCTCATTTCTCTACCGCTTTCTATGTTTTACATTCATATGCATGTTTAACAGTAACGAATTGACCGGTTCAATTCGTTCTCTTTGTGCACAAAAGACATTTTATTCATTGTCACACAACGATTAAATCATGGAGTTTTACACTTTTCTATTTCTCTGTTTCAATTTCGTACTTAGCATGTAGAAAATACTTGAAAAAGTCGTCACTACTCTATCACTGAATTACTGAGTTTATCGATATACGAACTGCTGCATCGACATCTATGATAAAGATGTCGCCGACTTGCCTATGGTAGACAATGACGATTATCTTTTTAATATGTCTTTTCATTATTGATGGAAGAAAAATTTATTTTATACGTCCTGTAGAAAACAGATGAAAATGTCCGTATTCATCCCTTCAGGTGTCATCCTGGTCGAGTCAAATAGTCCGAGTTCCAACATGGCACTAATGTACAGCGAGAACGTATACGTACGATTTCGGAAAGAAAAATCTGTACATTTGTATCGTTTCTCAATCTGAAGATGAATCAAAACGAAGCGCATCAGTCCGCGATATCTGACTCTCGAATTCGATCTCGATCGACGAAATCTCGAACGTCTTCTGTGATCTTTTACAATCATTGTATATTTTATTTTTTCAGACCTTAGTTTGTGTGCTCATTCTACTTACTGCTACATTTATTCGTGTTTGCAGTTTTTGTTTAATTTTCATTTCTACATCGTGACGTTTGTTTACTTCAACTTCTTCCCTTGTGCATTGATTACATTAACAAATAAATTTACTCTATACAGTCATTCACGTACATACAACGATAAGTTATATTTACCTACACACGCGCGTACGCATTGGTGTAAGTATTCATTGAAAACACACGGCTAATAACATATATTGAAGGGCGTTTATCTCTAGTTGGAACAATGACAACATTAAATTCTGAAAACGAGTGTGACTCATCTCGCTCCGGTCAGACAACATCAGGAGCAGGAACCGACAGTGGTTATGCTGGATATCAATACAATGGCCAAGGTGAAAATGGTCACAATGTCGGTCTTAGCGATGGCCAAACTATGAACACATCTCAAACAGGCTACTCACTAGGCAGTGGACAAGGCACGTCGAACGGACCAAAACCAGAAGATGATAGAAAATTATTTGTTGGTAGGCTTATCTTTATCGAATAAAAAGAGATGTTCACGGATTGGTTTTCAGGTGGTTTAACTTGGGATACCACACAAGATGATTTACGAGAATATTTCAAGAGCTTTGGCAATATTCTTGATTGTTCTATTAAACATGATCCATCGACAGGACGAAGTCGTGGTTTTGGGTTTCTTATTTTCGAATCTAAAGATATTGTTGAAAAGGTTCTCTCACAGAACGATCATTTTATTAAAGGAAGAAAAGTTGATCCCAAAACAGCGCATCGTCGCTTCAACGCTACAAACAATCAAATGAATACCAACTCCCATAATAACGCATTTTCACAATCTTCGCTGTACGGTGTTGGTCAATCAGCAGCCATGCCCTACACAAATACGGGTTCAAATGGTACTAATCTCAATCCGTATAGTAACAATCGCAAAGTGTTTATCGGTGGTCTCGACCCGTCGTTTCCCGATTCGCAATTACGAGAATATTTCTCTAAATTTGGAAAAATCGATGGTAATTAAAAATAGAAATTTTGACCTTTCTCATTTCACATATCAATATTTATTTGTATAGAAATTGATTTGCCTTACGATAAAGAGAAGAATGAAAGACGACCATTCTGTTTTATTTCATTTCAAAATGAACAAGCGGCACAAGAAGTCCTTCGATTACAACGACATACCATTGGTGATATAAGTGTGGATGTTAAACGTGCAAAGCCCAAAACAGGCAATAACCATCAACAACAAGCACAACAGCATTTATATGATCCATATGGACAGCAAACCGGATACAGTAACTATGGAAACAGAGCTTCCTCTTATGGTGCAGGTGCATATCCAGCAAATGATGCGTAAGAGTCGTCTTTTTCTCATTTTATAGTAAATGACAAATGACAGTATGGGAAAAAAACATTTCTACTCGTGTAGGTATACTCATTGGAATGCATACACATACAATCAACAGGCAAATCCGGCGGCTTATCCGTATGGTAATCCAACTGCCTTGACTTCTGCTACATCTTCTTACTCTCAATACTCTGATCATTCATCAAATCCTCAGTATTCATATCCCCCAACAAATGCAGCAGATTCCAATGAATATTACTCACAGTACGGATATGGTGCTCCACCATCAAGCAATGTCTATGGTGACGCAAGCGGTAAGTTTCTTTTCTATACATCCTGATCTTTTTCTCAGCTACACCATTATGTCTTAGCATACAATGGTAGTACTGGTGGTGGTAGTTATGAATACTCTACATTTTATGCACCAATGCATATGGGTGCGAATGGTGCCATGACTGACAAAGGTGTTGGAGAACAGCCAGGTAATTCCGCAGGTAATCAAAGTGATTATGAACATGATAATCACTACGGCAAAGCCAAAACATCTATTGTTTCCAGTCCTACTTATCATCCATATTCACGAAACTAGACATTTCCCCCCACATAATATAAACACGCATTCATAAACAAAAAGAAACCTTGAAATGCGTTCTCCCTTTCTTTTATAACAGACATATCTCGTTGCTACTCTTTGTTTGTTTCACTGATGGTTATTTTTTCTCGATCAATGAATTTGTTATATGCGCGAAATGAGAATGTATTTTTTTCGTAAAAAAAAACTCGAACCGAAATTTCTACGCCTAGATGCACATCAATGTTCAAAAACTATTGTTACTGTTACTGTTATTGTTGTTGTTGTTGTTGTTTTCTTGTTTCTCTCCACATTAACACCCGGTGTAAATAGGAAAACGATTTTTTTTCTCGTCGTCTTTTATGGTTGTTTTTCTTTTTTTCGTCGACATCCAACGGATTTGCTCATTCACATCATAATATTTATACGTGTGTGTTTTCCGAAAGAAGAATTTTTCAAGAACCGTAAACCAAAAAAAAAGAATAATAACAAAAAGCACGATAGTATACAAAAGAACTGAAAATAAAAAGAAGAAACAAAATCTATTTGATCTTTTTCTTTACTTAATCGCTATCTTATCGATACGTATTACTGATCATTCTCTTTCTGTTGTTTTAGATTATAGTCTCGATTCTATCCTATTCTGTCGAGAACAAGGTGAAGAGCAAAGGTCTCACATTTGCTCCAGATAAGCTAGGCATCCATCTTTATCTCTCATTCTTCATTGTCGAACTACGTTCTGATGTAAGTGACAGAATGTTTATATTTAATTTTGTTTGAAATTCTGCGCATACATCATTTGTCGGTATTTTCAATAGAACTCTCTTCTACTGAATGATGTCATCAACAAATCACGGTAGTACTGGAATGCCTTCGATCGACGATATTTCTCAAGCACACACTTCGCATGTATATACAGAACCAAATGCGTCTTATATAGCTGCGACGTCGTCAGCAGCAGCATCAATGAACGCACATCAGGTTTATTACAATAATTCTTTACCACCACCACAACAGCATTTGCACGTTCAGTCATCAGCATTCTATCCGTCGGGAACATTGAGCCACGTTCAACATCAACATGATGTTAGCAATTCGTCATCGTCTGTGGCTTCGTCGTCAAGTTCACTGGAATCGCCTCATAGAACAGGAAATCGTAAACGATCGAGTAACAAACCTACTGGTTCAACTAAAACAAGCATGAAACGGAAAGCTGTAAGTTTTGTTTTTACGTACATTTTCCGCAAACATCGATGCTTTTTTTCTTAGCCAAATGATAATGACGACGATGACGATGAAGAAAACCAATATTATTTACGCAATGCTTCAACATCAACTGTCCTCATGTCAAACCATACGTTTGATAATGACGGGACTAATGACGAAGATAGAGGGAAACAAGCTCGTGAAAACCATTGTGAAATCGAACGACGTCGTCGTGTGAAAATGGCCACATATTTTACTGAATTGTGCGATATGGTTCCAACCTGTTCAAATCTAGCGCGTAAACCTGATAAGTTAACTATTCTTCGTATGGCAGCACAGTTTATGAAAACTCTTCGTGCTAATAATCATCTATTGTCCTCGAATGCTATTACGACGGCACAGCAGCAAGATTCGCATAAGCCATCATTTCTGAATGATCAAGAATTAAAGTATATCATGGTGGAATCATGTGATGCTTTCCTATTTGCACTAGATTGTGACAATCTGCACGTGATCTATGTGAGTGATGCAATACAGCATATCCTGTCATATGCATGCCAAGATTGGTATTCCAAATACTTCTTTGGTATGATGATAATTTTGAAAAGAGAACAAAGAAAAACAACGTTTTGTTTAATTCTCGTTTAGATTTCATACATCCTGACGATGTCGAAAAAGTACGTGAGCAATTTAACTTACAACCACAAGATGGTAGTTCAAATGATGGTAATAGTGGTCGAGTTTTGGATATCAAAACTGGAACGATAAAAAAAGATGGTCACGGCTCAAATACACGATTAGGTGAGTTTTCTTGGATGACTATCACCGAATAAGGCTTCAATCATTGTTTTCAGGTAGCTCCAAGCGTTCATTTATCTGTCGTATTCGTGTAAATCCAACAAATTCAACTGGCCATACCTATCGAAATTCATCAGTCAACCCATTTACATTACGTTGTCGTCATCGAATGTCGCTCGGACCGTCTATCGATGGGCATCTCTACGAAGTTGTACATGTCAGTGGTTATATTCGAAATTTAAGCACTCACCATCCATCATCGTCCACTAACAACAATCAAGTAGCATTTGTCGGTATCGCTCGAGTACAAAATTCATTGGCAGCCAATGTCAATGATCTGACAGCTCATCCGCTAACAACAATGAACTCAGTTACAACGGAATTTACATGCCGTTGTCATCCCGATACAGGCGAAGTTTTATTTATTGATCAACGTTGTACTTCCATTATCGGCTATGAAAGTCAGGAATTATTGCATAAATCAATCTACGAACTAATTCATCCGAATGATCAAATGAATTTTCAAGAACTTTTTAAACGAACCGTCACACCATCTAAAGATCTTACTGATGCACCTCAGCATATGACGGATATAATGATACTTTTCCGTACACACCTCGAGAATAAATATATAGCACTCAAAGCTTCCATGTACGCCTTTTCCAATCCCTGTTCAGATCAAATTGAATTTGTTATTCTCACATTTCAATCCAACCAAACAATTACGCGAACATCTGTCATTGCCAATACAACTGATTATCATCATTCATCATACGGGATCTATTCCCGACCAGATACCAATCCTACAATACAATATCCATCTCAATCACTAACTACATTCAATAAGTCAGAAGAACAAGAATATCCCACTGTAAATGAAATTAACAATGAACCAACGTATGCGAGTAATACTGGAGGAACAACGTGGACACCGGGAAATGACAGCTGGATAACAACACCCGATGGAACAACTTCACATGTCTCGAATAATCAGAACCAAGCAAATCTTCCGCTGTATCATCAATGACATCGAAGAGTGTCTCTGTACACGTGTGTTTTATTGTACATTTTGTATTCAAATAGTAGTGATGTCTCTTCTCTTGCTTCTTATCGAATCTCTATTTGTTTCTGTCTGTCTGTCTATTAATTGTTTAGTGCATTCACTTCTCTATGTGTCGCCATGCGACAAGTCATTTTGTGTTAATTGCGAATAATTTTCTTAATGAATTGGCGTAATCATCCAGTCAATTCGTACTTTTCAGTCATGAAAGAATATGCCGAGTCAGTTTGTTGTGTTTTTATCACCTTATTTGTAATTATACATATTCATATGAATAAATTAATCACGAAATGATAAACTAGATGAGTTGACCTGACTATATTCTAGATAGACTGACGATTTTCTTCACTACCTTTGCATCGACACGAAATGAGCAAGTAAAGCAAGTAATTATCCGTTTTTTTTATTCGTCCACGACATAGGAAATGAGGAAGAGAAAAGACATCACCTGTAAGCATGACCAAGTGTGAAATGAACGCTTGAATAGTTTGCAAAATTGTCATGCTTAGTTATACGTGTTTATACTCGTGCCTTCTTGCCATCGATACACGTAGCAAATGAAGCGTTTCGTGAGTTTGTTTGATGTCAAGCAAACGTAGCCATTTGTACGAGAATTATTTTGCCTCTTCATTCGTGTTGAAAAACATGAGAATAAGATTTTCGAGAGTCAGACAATTGACTTTCTTGGAAAGATCGAATGATAACTTAAGCATGTATCGCTATAAACGTCATCCGTTATTATCATATCTACCTCGCATGGATTTCTTTCGAGTTTTACGAGTCTGTTGCTTATTCGCATGCGTCTTATGTCTAATTCTTCAATACATAATTGTCAAATTGTTCTATTCGGACGAAGAATTCGTCGTCGAAAGCACGCAGCTCGATCCGAATACACCATTAACAATCAATCTGACGTCATTTGCTGTTTGTCATTCACAGGATTTATACTTGGATAATTTAAACATTCAATATCACGGTCGATATCCCGACAAGAACAAACAAGTATGCTTTCTAGTTGAACATCTCGATGGTGGACCATGGTGGTCGTATGTTACACATGAATTTGCGGAAATACTTGCAAGTTTAAAAGAATTTGGTCGCTCATCGAATATCACGTATCGATCATTTTCTGATCAGACGAAAATAACTCACAAAACAAATTTAACGAAATATTTTCTCGACGCTTGTGGAATCGATGAAAACATCGCTTCGGACAGGGAACGGCCTGTAATTATTCTCCTTTGGGACGTCAATCAGCTGTTTTGGTATCGAATGCGACGCGAGTGGGAGTTGTTTTTCAATTCTGTCCGAGCACGTGTTGTGGTCTTTATTGATGATCTACATTTTACCTCATCGAATACTCTAGCTAGTCGACAATACTTATTCGAATCAGTCGCATCGGAAATTCTCTCGACATACGCATATCTTTTTCATAATTACTATAAAAAAATTCCGTCAGAGAAGATCACCTGGATACCGCATGCAGCATCATCCTTAACGAATCGAACTATCAATCAAACGGCATTGAATAAGCTTTTCGTTTCGGGTGCAAATATTCCTGAATGGTATCCATGTCGTGCGCATGCTTTTGCCCTATGTCATCAACGAAAAGATTTGGCATCTTGCCTGAAACATCCTGGTTACGGTCCAACGATGCGCACCAGCAAAGCATATTATTACGGGGGCGAAAGATACTTTTCGTACATGAGACAGTTTCGGTTTGGCTTAGGTACATGTCAATCAGTGCATTATGCTGTTGCGAAATTATTTGAAATACCAGCCAATGGTCTTGTTCTTGTTACAACACATGATTTGATATCCGTACTTGAAAAGCTTCATCTGAAACAAAATACACATTTTTTAACTGTGAATTGTTCGTCAACGAATTCTCTAAAGAATGAAGTTATGCATCTGCAAAGTCTTCCGAAGAAAGCAATGTATGAGATACAAAAGCAAAGTCAAGATATCGTCTACGACCGTCATCTAACCAGACATCGAGCAGAACTTATACATGTTCGACTATTAGCACAATCCTTACTTGTTACTTCGGTATCGCCAGAAGGAAATATTCAATGGGAAGGATGGGGAAGAAATTGCTGATATTTTTTTGTAAATCGAACTTGCAAAAATAAGTGTATGAGTGCATGTTTTTCTTCCTTCTAAAAGGAACGTAAGAAAAAAGTGCGTTTGAAGGTGCGCTAGTTTATGCGAGATATTTTTAACATTAAACTATCTACGTCATCACCTACTTCTTCTGTTACAGAACTCCGGTGTTTACAATAAGAAAACAAATACAAAAAATAATTCTTCAATTTGTCTTTCCTTATTCTTATTATGATGTTCGATATGGAATGAACAAAGGTCTTCGGCTAAGTCAATTTTCTACTGTACTCTTAGGTTTGGCGATCGCACGTGTAAATATCATATCCATTATACGATAGCAAACTGAGACAGCCATGGTTTTATATGAAAAAGCACAAAAAAGTACTTGCGCTTGTCACGATTGTTTTTTCAGGAAGAACGAAAAAAGTACATTGAGATTGAATCGGCGTTTCTAGAGCGATCGCGTTAAAAATCCAGCTGGTCTTCGACTGTTAGTGCGAATTCACTCACTGAAATGTTAATCGAGACGTCAGAGACACTTGTGTAAATTAAGTATCTAACATGCAAATGGTGTTAATTAGACGTCAGAAAATATTTTAGCTACCTACTGCTTATATCTAGGGTCGAAAACGTGAGGCTTCCCAAAAACATATTACCTACGCACGATCACAGCGCGAGCGATGACTGTTTTACATAGACTAATTTTGTCATGCGTAACAGAAATAATATTGTATAAATGTTTCTCTTCATAAAAAGACGAACATCGTTGTGAGTAAGGATGAATTCTACGTGGTTAGCACAACAGCTGTCGTTTGCAATCATCTCGTGTCAAAGTATGATTAAGTGTTTTATATAATTTTCAGGAAAGAATAGATTTGTCAGAAGTGAACAAATGAGCTACAATTGAAACTTTGCAGAAATAGAATTCGGAACAAATTAAGATCTGTTGTGTAGCTTTTATAATGCTTTTTTCCTTTTTGAAAAAAAACCATTTCGAGTCTGTTTGTGTGTAGTGAATTCGACTTGTTTGTTATGAAACGAGCAATGAAAAGTGTCACATTTCTGAATAGACGATCTTTCAGTTTTTTACCCAAAGGCTTACAAAATAAAGTAGAATCTGCGATAAATTTTTTATCGAAAATTCTAAAAACGTGCCGAAATGTCTAGTCATCATTTATTCATCAACGCTGCCGAACAGTTCACTATCTACCGTTTACTCGTCCTTCTTCCTAATTGACGATTTTGTTCTATGAGTACATTTTTTTATACTTTCACTACGTAATGTTTTTTTTAGAATTGTACGAGGATACGAGCATGAGCGTCTTTCGTTTTGTTGCTGAAGACAACTGGATTATGCGAATGGTCTTCAATCACATGGGCTATGTGTTTTTCGGAGTACCAATTGCTATTCTTTTTCTCATTTCAAAACAATCAATAGATACAATATGTAAGTAAATCGAATCGGTGCATTTTTCAATCAAGCGCACTTCCGTTTTCTTTAAAGGGCCACGACCGGTTCGCTGGTTTGTTGTTCCGTTGATCCGTCTCTTCATTGCAGACCCATCATTACTAGATCTGAATGTTAAAGAAGCTCCATCAGCTGCACCTCCGCCAATTTCGTCATCGCAATCGAAATTTACTCGTTATCGTATTTTGAAGTTGATGTTTTCGTTTTTTGGCCTCCAAATGTCCTACCTTCTATGGGGTTTATTACAAGAACGTATTATGACTCGAACATATGGGGACGAAAAATTTACAAACTCGCAATATCTTGTCTTTGTGAACCGATGTCTCGCAACTGTGATGGCATATATGTCACTACGCATTTTTTACCCAACCAAGAAACTTTCATCGATAGGTCCACCTTTGTACAAATTTGGTATCATTTCCTACGCAAATTGTATGTCAACTTGGTTCCAATATGAAAGTCTGTTGTTTATTAGTTTTCCTGTCCAAGTCTTAGCGAAGAGTATCAAGACGATACCGGTGATGATCGCTGGCAGATTCGTCTCGGGGAAAACCTATCCTGCACGGCAATATCTTCTAATGTTGCTCATGGCCACTGGCATTGCACTGTTTTTTACCGGTTATTACGAAAATAATTCCGATGATTTACCAACTAAGAAAAAACCGAAAACGAATATTACAACATTCAACGGTGTCGTTTTATTAGTTTGTTACTTAGTAAGTGAAGTTTAATTTTGAGAACAAAATTTCATCGTGTATCTTTAGGTATTTGACGCCTTTACCTCGAATTATCAAAAGTTTGTCTTTGATCGTTATTCAGTATCATTCTTAAACATGATGTTTTTCGTCAATTGCTTTTCTACAATACTAACCTTAACATCCCTTATTCTTAATGGTACCTTTTTTCAATGTTTATCATTCATGCAACGGCATGAATCGTTCGCAGTGCATGTCATAGCTACGTCAGTATGTTCATCGGTTGGGCAGTTATTTATCTTCTCAACTATCGAAGAATTCGGTCCAGTCATCTTTGCAATCATTATGACTATGCGGCAGGCATTTAGTATCCTTCTCTCGTGTATTTTCTATGGTCATCAATTGACTTGGTTCTCAATCCTTGGAATTCACGTCGCATTTTTAGCTATTTTTCTTCATGCCTTTATACAATTCAAGCGAAGTAAGCCGCAGAATAACAGTACCGTTTGAAAAGTCGAAGAGGAGCATAAGTTTCTTGTATACGAGCGCCTGGTGCGCAACGCAAAGAGCAAAAGACTAAAATAGTTCACTTTTGTTCTCTTATTTTCATCGTGTATTGTACATATTTTCTGTTAATAAACAAAAATATACACAGCCATTGCCAAAATCAACGCTATATTGCATGAATAAGCAAAGAATCTCAATGAACGTCTATCTATCATTCCGTTCTGTTGCATCGTATTTTCTTCTTGTCAAATTCTGCCATCTATGTCTGCTAAAGGCACATATATGAAATGTATACGACGAGTAGCAAATCATATTTTTTTGAATAGGGAAATATAAAAGAGGAATATTCCCGCTTTGCTCGATTCTCTTTCTATGTCATCTTGATTATCTTGTCTTAATTTCAATACAATCGACGTCATTGACGCGTGTACTATAATATATATCCATCTACTGTATTCATGATTTGTTTATTACCTTTGGGTACCCTCTATTAGGATTGATACTATTTTTGCGCAGTAAATAAACCCATTCGTTGACTGTGGCAAGGTTATTTGTTGGAAAATTAAATAAGTATAGCATCTGTTTTTTTTACATTGCTTACATCATCGGTATATAACGAGTGCATGATGATATTTCAGTTTTTCAACGCTTATCTTTTCTCTTTTATATCCTTCTGAAATCAATAACACGTCAAGGCATTTGTTGTTTTTCGTGACATTGCCGAGAATGATTAATTACTTCGCTTCATTTTAGATTAGGTATGCCTTTACAGACGGATACCAAAAGTGAAACTAATGAACAAATCGATTCTAACGTCCAGTATAACGATGACCCAAGTAAATCTCATGTTGGTGCAAATATTGTTTTAATTGGAGCACCTGGTAGCGGTACGTTTGAGGGCTTTGACATTTCGTTTTCTAATCCTGTGAAATATTGAACTTAGGCAAGGGTACACAGAGTGCACGACTAGCCGATCGTTATCAGATCTGTCATTTGTCAACAGGTGATCTGTTGCGTCAAGCAGCCGAAGATCGAACATCGATTGAAGGTGAAAGAGTTCGACACATCATCGAATCAGGTGGTCTTGTCGACGATGACACAGTAATGTCATTAATTGATAAAAATTTGAACAAAACAGAATGTCGACATGGTGCGTTATTCGATGGTTTTCCTCGAACGATCAAACAAGGTGAACAATTAGAACAATTACTTGAGTCCAAACAGCAACGACTTGATGCTGTACTCGAATATGATGTACGTATCTATTTTGAATTGATTTTCATCACAAAAAGATATAACGGGGATATTTCCTTTACGTCAGAGAAAGTAATATCCGACTCGTTGAGTTATTTTCCCCAGAGAAGGATTAGAATCATTATTGTCAAGCGGCTTGCCGAGAAATTTGTTACCGTTTTTATCAAAGTGAATGAAAGCCATTTAGATAATTAATTTTACAACGTTCAAACTATTTTGCAGTTATTTATACATTTTAGATCGACGATAGTCTATTAAAAAGTCGTATACTTGGCCGACTCGTTCATAAACCATCAGGTCGAACTTATCACGAAGAATTTCATCCGCCAAAGAATCTCATGAAAGATGATCTTACCGGTGAACCACTCACGCGTCGTTCTGACGATACAACGGAAACACTTGATGCTAGATTAAACACATATCATAAGCAGACGACACCTCTAGTAAATCGAGACATAACTAGTTCGTTTTATTCCTTTTTGTTTCAAGATTGAATTCTACCGTCACCGAAATCTTCATCGTGTAATCGATGCTTCTCAAAAAGTCAGTGAAGTTTCCAAGCAGTCATTTGCTATAGTTGATCAACTACGTCAACAACAGAAATTAGCTCCTGTCCGATCATCAGAAGACAGTGTAGAGAAAATTGTCCATGACGATGTTATTCCTGCGAAAATGAAACCATTACCAAGCCCATTGGATATGAACGCTAATCGCTCGAACAGTAATTTTCTCACCATATACAATTCGGTGACATACGTCCTACGCGAGCGTGGCATCATCTAAAGTCAGTTAAGTGCATTTAAGAGAATGATAGGACTGATCGTTTGAAGACAAAGTCTTCGGTTTTATTCTGATTTCTTTCCATTGGCAGAAGTGTTTACTGTGCAAAAGTCTTGCTTTTAGATTTCTAGTTGTGAAGATTTTCTCATTGCTTATTTTTTCTTTTTTCTTGGTCAGGTTTTTGTTCTTTCAGAAACATGAAATAAACCTTGGAGGTTAGTTTCTACTCTGGTAATCTAATTTCTCGAACAATTAAGAAATTGTCAGCTTTCATAGGCCCGTGCCATTTGTCTTCTTTCTCTCTCATATTTTTTTTCTAGATGCTCTTTAGTTCTTGGCTGACATTCCTTCTATTTGCGCGCACGGGAACAAATTCAATTAAATAGTAATAAAAAGAGCCATTAAACATTTCTAAACGTAGATTTACTCTGTTATTATGACTAGCTCAACAAATTGTTCGTTTACCAGAGAAGATGTTCTCTTTGATTTTACTAAACCAGATGCTGTGATTAACGATTGGATTGAAGTGTCCGACACACAGCGAGACGTGGGTAAATCCAAGGGTGTACTTGTCGAACAGAAAAGTGAACAATTTCAACGAGCAGCGTTTTTCTCGTTGTTGAATCCTCAACCAAATGGTGCTGCATTCGCTGGTGTAACATATCGAAAAAAAACATTCGATCTCAGTTCGTTCTCCGGTCTCAAATTATCCGTCCGTGCACAAGGTGAAAATTATAACTATAAAGTTATTCTAAGACATCATCACGAAGAGTCATCATTAGTACCATCGTATGAAGTATTTTTTGAAGTAAGAAAACCACTCTCAAGGCCTCGAAATGGCACAAATTCTTTGTTTAGTTACCAAAAAATGAAATGGTTCAGCACTATTTACCATTCAAAGATTTCCTGCCTTACAGTCGTGGAAAAGCATTGGATCCAAACACAACCCAACCATTGGATTTGAAAGATGTAACTAGCATTGGTCTACAAATCTATGGCGGGGTCTATTCTACGATTAAACAACACGGTACATCGAGTCTAGAAATTGATTCGATTAGCGCTGTGACATGCGAATAGGATTGGTAAGATGAATCTGTCCAGACGAATTGTGATTGTGTGATGAAAGTCATAACGTACGAATGATTAGATGTATTTGCATATTGTCTTTGTATTTTGATTTTCTTTTAATAAACTTCGATGTCATACTCAAGCAACAGAAAAAACACATACACACAGAGTATCGCTTCATTTTTGTAAGTGAAAACAAGAACATTATATAATCTCCTTCTCATACTACTGCGCCTTGATCAAGTATGCCATTGCGAACAATAGTCTTTTGTTATTTTAGATAATCACATCGAAAAACTCGGTTTCTCCTATGTATTATTTTTTACTATCACATCTACATTCTATTCCAGATCGAATAACATTGCCATTCTTATCGTCTTGGCTTAAGACATGAATAAAAGAACTATGCGATACTAAATTTGAATCAAACATACGAACGACGAATATGTCTTTACAGCTCGCAGCTATTTTTACTCGTGAGTAGAACAATGTTACATAGTTTGACTTTCTCCTATGTCAATTGTTTGTCAAACAAGAAAAGAAATCATAGAGAGAATTGTCTTTCGCGAAATTATCGTGCAAATCATCAGTGATCAATCACACGGTCGGAGCAGGATGAAGGAAAGCAAGAACTACGAGTCCGCCTTTCCTTTTTTTTTCTCTTTATTCAATATTCTCTCAGCATGAATCAGCAGCTTTTTTTTTCTTGTGCATACGCACCTCATCAGCATCGATAATGCAGATATTAGTTACTCGTCTCACGTAAAGATCAACTAATTCAGATCGAATATTTGTTTTCTAGTTTGATTTTGTCCTTTCAAATCTACTCAGTCACCGACAATATCAAAAGCGACAATGTCCGAGCAAGAAACAAACCATCATCTAACTGGAATTGATGTCACGGTTTTAGTTATATATTTCATTTTATTGATTGGAGCAGGATTCTATTCCATGTTTAAATATAATCGATCGACGGTAAAAGGATATTTTCTTGCAAATAGACAAATGCCATGGATATGCATTGGCGCCAGTCTGTTTGCCTCGAATATCGGTGCCGAACATTTCATTGGCTTAGCAAGTTCTGGTGCAGCGAAAGGTAAGTTATTCTTTTCGAAAGAAATTTCAATTTCAAATTTCTCAACGTAGGTATAAGCGTTGGTGCATTCGAATTGAATGCAATCGGAATTATTCAACTCCTTGGCTGGGTGTTCTTACCAGTATTTGTTGCGACAGGTGTTTCAACTTTACCCGAGTACATGAGTCGACGGTTTGGAGGACAACGTATACGAGTGTATATTGCCTGTCTCTATCTACTACTCTATATTCTAACAAAAATAAGTGTGAACATCTATGCTGCCTCGTTATTTATCAATTATGCTTTCCATTGGAATATATATCTAAGTGTTCTATTCGTTTTGACAATGACAGCACTGTGTACGGTATCAGGTGGTCTAGCAAGTGTTATGTACACGGACACGATTCAAGCTGTAATCATGATTTTTGGTGGATTTTTTCTTATGCTTTTATCTTACAAAGAGATCGGCGGCATTCCAGAGTTATACAGACGATATTTAAATGCAATGCCTTCAGTGAATGTAGAAGGCAACTTCACAAGCATCTGGTCGAATCAAACAAGTTTGGACAGTACATGTGGTAAACCAACAATGAAGTCATTTCAAATGTTACGATCTGTATCCGATCCTGATATGCCTTGGTTAGGCTTTTTTCTCGGTCATACGCCGAACACAATATGGTAAATACGTCGAATAGATTTTTATTCAAGGTTGAAACTTGAGTAGTGTCACTAACCAAATCGTTCGTTTATCTTTTCACGTCATTGAGAATAATCGAATAAAATCTTGTTTTTCGTTCCTCTTCAGGTACTGGTGTTCTGATCAGATGATGGTTCAACGTGTCCTAGCTGCACAAACGATTTCACACGCTCGTGGCGGGACTCTTCTAGCTGGTTACCTGAAGATTCTCCCATTATTCATGATCATCATACCAGGAATGATTAGTCGAACGCTTTATCCAAATACAGTGGCGTGCAATCAACCATCAACATGTGAATCGATCTGTCATAGCAAACGAAGTTGTACCAATGTTGCCTATCCAACATTAATCTTAAATATTTTACCTACCGGTTTCAAAGGTGTCATGCTTGCTGTTATGCTTGCAGCACTAATCTCAGGATTGACATCCATCTTCAACTCTGCCAGCACCATATTTACTGTTGATATTTATCCAAATATTTTCTCCTATCGTCGAAGGAAAATAACCAACCGTGAATTAATGATTGTCGGTCGCCTGTTCGTCCTTTTGATGACAGCTATTGGAATTGGCTGGATACCAATTGTGATTCAAATGCAAGGCTCGGAATTGTACATCTACATGCAACAAGTGATTGGATTTTTAGCACCACCTATTGCTTGCATTTACCTCTTAGCAGTCCTGTGGACACGTGCGAATGAACGTGGAGCATTTGCTGGATTGATGGTGGGTTTTGCATTTGGCGTATTACGAATGATATTGGAGTTCGCAAAGCAGCCACCATTGTGTGGGGAAGCCGACACAAGATTTTGGCTTATACGAAACGTTAATTTCATGTATTATGCTCTATTTCTGTTTTGGTTAACATTTTTCACATGTGTTATTGTCTCGTTATGTACACAACCACCGACGGAAGAGCAGCTATGTCGAACCACATTTTGGACAAGACATCAGAAATTAGATTTGGAACTGATGAATATGAAAAACAAAACCGATCATGGAGCGTCTACTCTGAGGTAAAACGACGGGATGTGATGTTTTAATCAACTAAAAACATGTTTATGTTGTAGCCATTCACTTAAAGATAACGAAATTAGCCCACCGAATGCAGCTCATTATAATAAAATAAGTAATGGAATCGAACGATTGCAACCCGAAATCTTTCTTCCGAAATCCTCACCATTTGGTCCTGGAACACTATTGATTAGCCGTGATGGCGAAGATGATGTGAACAGTATTCGTGTTAACGCTACACAAACGAATTTAACCGATGGCCAATATCGCAATACAAACACCAAATCACCGATTCATTCGGAGACCTTTAGTGAAGTCAAGGAGCCTCAAGGTTGTGATATTTTAGTTCTCTTAAAATCCTGCTGGTCGTGGTTTTGTGGTTTGGACGATAATGATGATGATGCTCACAACGAATTAGCTGATGTAGACGAAATCCATTCTAATCGACGAACATTCAATCAAGATCTGAACGAAGGGCAGGAGTCTTTGCTACAACATAGTCAAGAACGTCCACTGATCAAATGGATATTGAATATAAATCTAGTATTTCTTTTTCTTGTTGAAATTTTTTTATTTATTGTCTTTTCATTGCCTGTTAAGTATACGTTTTGGCGTAGTTGAATGATTTTATTCTGTTTAATATTCAGATATATTTTTGTTCGAATATTTGAATTCATTTTTGTTTTGTTCTTTTGATATTGTGCACTTACAAATATTTTGTTGTTCACCTAATAGATATGTATTCGCTTATTTTTTTCTGTATTTCGTAAATAAATGATAACAAAAAAAAAGAAACATCTTCTTGCGATGAATCCAGTTCACGAAAATATCTTAGGCGTTCTTCAACGACATCTACAGCGTGGTCGTTCGATTGTAACACTGATTTTGACCATTCTCATGCATACCTTTGTCCCACTGTAATTCGTTTGTTTTACTGTTTTTGTATTTCATTTAATTCAACTTTTCTTCATCGCTTTTGTTGGTGAAATAACAATTTTCCTCCTAATATGTTTTTCTCTCAAATTCATCTTCTCCCAATCCTAATTCTTTTTCTGCCCACTCTGATTTCATCCGAACCACTTCGTTTAACTGACAAAACATGGAAAGATATGTTATGTGGTCAATGGATGGTCGAATTGTGAGTGATTTCCTAAGTAAATATTTCCAAAAACAAGCTCATTTTTGGTTAGTTATGCCCCATGGTGCCCATCATGTCAACACTTCACCCCTATCTGGAATGATTTTGCTAAAGCAATGACATCCAAAGAAGTCAAAGTAGCAGCAGTTGACATCAATGATTATCCATCATTATCAGGTCGTTTTCGTATATCTGTTTTGCCCACTATATATTAGTAAGTCAATTTTAAAGCACAAGTGAGTGGGGTTTGATTTCCATCGTATCATTAAGTGTTCGCGATGGTGTTTTTCGTCAATTTAATGGTGAACGTTCATTAAATGGATTGAAGAATTATATTGAATTTCAAGAATGGCAACGAACGGAACCTGTTTCACGATACTTCGCTCCAGATAGTATTCCGTATGTAGATTTTTATTATTTTAGTCTTTATAGCCCATTATTTCTGCGTTTAGAATGTCAATGATTAGTTCACTTTTCGATATATCGGTGCTTGTCAAAGTACGTTCAACGATTACAAGTTTCTATTTCAAACGGAATTTTCTCTCCGTTTAGGATGCGTACACAGTTTTATTAGAACAATACGGATGGCCAGCTTGGCTTATCTATATTGTATTTTCGATCGGTGTGATATTTATTGGCTTTATCCTCGGATTTGTAAGTTAATTTATTTAGTTTGTCTTTGATGATAGTCAATTCACTTGCTTTAATTTAGGGTTTCTTGATGATTATCGATTATTGTTTAGCTGGCACGCCGAAAGACGAATTTGATGATATTCCAGATGACTCTCGAGATGTCGAAGATTCAGTAATACAATCCAAATAATCATATTTAATTTTTCTATTCTATTATCTACTAGGACGAAAGTGATACACCAAAGCCATTGAAAACCAAAACTAAAGCGAAACCAATTACATCATCAACTCCACAACGAGCAAAAAAAACAGCAGCTTTGAACACGAAAACTCGTCCGTCACCACCTGTAGAACTACAAGATGACGAAGCTTTATTGGATGAAGTCCTTACTGGTGATCAAGATGACGATGACGTCGACAGCGAAGAAATGAACACTTCCGATGTGGCACAAGGTACCGATGAAGATGATCAAACCGCTAGTACATCGGTTCGTCAACGTCGAGTGAACAAATAGATCCCCTGATGATGATGATCTCAGAAAAGCGACCGACTTCTGTGATATGAATCAAGACGAGAAGAGAAACAAACTCGAATAAATGCTTATGGTTCTTTTGATAATCTCTTTTTGTTTGTCGGTGACGTGTGTGTGTGTATTCTAATTGATTCTGCTCTTTCTTTTTCGATCAGCTGCAAACAAATCGAATTCTTTTTTTTCTTTGTACATGCAAATTCTTCCCAAAATGATCCTCTTCCTTTCTTTTTTCGGTGAATTCTACAACAAAATTTTCTTGTATAGTAAAATAAACTAGATGAAATAGTGAGCGGTAATCATTAGTATTCCAGTCTTTTATTCATAATTGAGTTTAAACATTTAAGCATAAATGTCAACACGTTTTGGGCTGATGCAAAATTCTTTTTTGCTCTTTGCTTTCAGGCAAAGATAAATGGAGTTGCAGTCAAGGTGAATTTGCTTACGGATCAGATGGGCTGTTTCACAATGTTAACTGAGTAGAGTAAAATGGGAAAAAAAAACACTTCAAAACACTTCGATTATTTTCGACGAACCGATAAGCACAGCATTAAAATAAATAACAGAATTTTAAAACTAAAACATTCATATGCAAACAAGTAGAATTTCATCCGTCTACGTAAAAGCACTGCTATTGGTTGAAATACCGCTAACTGCTCACAGACTTACAGATACAAAAGTTTACATATCTATGGACGATAATGTCAATAGATTGCATGCGTAACTTACAAATCACTTATCAAGGAACTGAACTGTACGAACGAGAATCGAAAGCTGAATACTGAAAAGAAGAGCTTAATACTTTCTATTGATCGATGGGGAACAGAAATCAATATTTCAAATGAGAGAAAAGACGAAATGAGCATGTTTTCCCTAGAGCATTTCATGTTGTTGTAGTTGTTTTTTGTTTCGTACAATGTCGATTGATGAACAAGATGTTTTTTTACTCCTCCTCAGTGTCGTCTTTTATCGTTTGAATTGTATGCTTCAAGCGCCGTTCATCTTTCGAAACATGTATGCGTGAGATACCGCATCTTAACAGATCTTTTTTCTTCTATTGTTTGCTCATCAACTCATCGTTTAATCGTTTTTGATTTTTTTTCGAAGCGACAAATCATCATTATTATCGTCATCAGTTCATCAAGGAAAAAAGGAGAGAATCGACATGTCCTGTATGTGTACCTCTAAAGATAGTTCGAGTATACCGTTGTGCACGTCCATCGCCTGAAGATATGTGCGCATAAGATCGATATACTTTGATGTTTGAATGTCGTCTTTTCTTGTGACAATATATATATATGTATTTTGAGCAAGTGCATCATGTCTTTTGAGTGAGTGATTGATTGTTGTAATGTCGTTTTTCTGTACTCAATTAGCTCATGTTAGAAATTCAATGCTTATGTTAATGGAGTTGAAGAGCAAGACGAAATGATTAATTCATTCGAAGATGTGCATGTGGATGTATACATATCGAAGAAGTCAGGTGCGATTGATTTCAATCATATTCGAGATGGATAAGTGAAAAAGCTAACATTTCCGGTACCTCACTTTGTCAATCTAAAGAATGTTGATCAGCATAGCTGAAGTGGAGTCTTCGTTAAACAACTGATCGATTTTCTAGGTCGAGAAATGAAACGAGAAGATCGAATATCTTTGTTATTTTTGTGAAAAAATTTTATCTATCTTTTGTCCTTCGTTTATTTGTTTAAGAAGAGTCTAGTCGTTCATTTCGTTTTGTTCTCTTTCAACTTGTCTCATTCTTTGTATTCGCTCATTAATCAACATTTTAGAGCACTTTTTTTGTACATCGAAAGAAAGAAAAGTGGGCAGGCGGTAGTTTCAAGGGCTAACGAAAGAGATCGATGCTTTAGATACGTCCNCCTGCCTTTTAAATAGAATCCTATCCTTCTTTTTCTCTATTCCCTTAAGATATGAAATAAAAAGAACAAAGATGAATTTATACGTCTAGTAAGACATATTATCATCGATGCGGTAGGAATGATAGAATAAAACTATACAATTTCATTTTCTTCTGATGATTTGCCAGCGGGTGAATATATCATGGCATATGATTCAAGTAAAATCTTGAAAAGAAACGGAGAATTCAACGATTGGATACTCAAGTTATGTTAATGATTCTTCTTCTTGTTCTTTTTCTCCCATCTGAATATTTATTTGGCCAACAGCACGAGTCGTCCATCTTCATTATTCGTCCGTTTCATTCTTTTTCTGGCCAACCGTTCTACACCATACACACGATCTCGCGTGCGTCAAGACACGGGAGGGAGGAAGGGAGAGAGAAAGAGAGAGAGAAAGAGAAAAGAGAGAGAAAAAGAAAGAATAATTACAGTGCAATCGGCGAGACAACGAATCAGAACACATATATACATCCACATATGTACGAGAACGTATCATTTCTCTAAACTATTAGATCCCGTTCACATACGCGTTTACTCATTTATCTTCAACAATGCCTACTGATCGTTTTGCACCTTATCCAACACCATCTCATCTTAGTCACAGTGATTATCGAAAGGTACTAGATAGAATCGTTCGTTGTTTGGAGATGATTGCTTAACAACAAACTGTGCTTGTATTTTAGAATGCTAAGCCAATTATGGAGAAACGAAGACGAGAGAGAATCAATCGAAGTTTAGAAGAACTGAAGAATCTCATTCTCGACAATGCAACAACAAGTGTAAGAATTCTTGTCGTATTTCTTTTTTTTTCTCATGTATAATTCTTGATTTTTAGAATGTACGCAGTCATAAATTAGAAAAAGCTGATATTCTCGAAATGACTGTCAAACACTTACGAGCAGTTTACAAACATAAACTAGCCAGTACGAGAAATCATATATTCATTTGACAATGAAAAACATACGAATATTCGTTATTTAGGTGCCGCTGTTGTTGATCCAACGATTGCTTCGAAATATCGTGCTGGTTACGGCGAATGTGCGAATGAAATCATACGATTCTTAACTACAACACCCAATGCGGACTTAGAATTGAAAACGAAGCTTATTTCGCATTTGTCAACTCGTATACAAAATCTTTCTTCATTATCTATTTTACCACCTCTGCAACCATCTCTACCATCACTTCATCATGCTACTGGTCTATTAACAAAAACAGACCGCTATTCAGTTAATTCATCAACTAATAATCAATACATATTTATTCTATCTCAGCAAGAACAACAACAACGACAACAGCAACAGCAAACTCAGCAACAAGTTCAAAGCACATCGATAACATACGATGATGCCGAGTGTAGTTCAACATCTTCGAATAATTCAAGTGATTGTGAATCGCTAAAATCCGAATTTCTCACAGCAACACCTACGGATAGTCCAGCAAGTACAATGAATGAATCACCATCGAAAGTATGGCGACCGTGGTGACCTATAAGACGTTTAATTCATATTTCTGTTGTTGTTGTTTTTTTTGCATTGTTATTTTGTGTACATTTTAACGAGGAAAAAAAGATACGTGTCTGTATACAATGTTAATCCGTCTATTCGGCAGTTCATTAGCAGGTGATGAGATGTGAAAGTTAATTTGAAAAAATATTTACACCTCAATGTCGACATCTCGATGTTCAACATGGTTATATCTATTACTCCTGATCTCTCACGATATAATTCTTGTGTATACATTGACAAGGTGGAAAAACGAACGTGTTGAGATGCGCTTATCCTAACGAGATTTCAATACCAACACTTGACGATGAAATCGAGATGTATGAGTTCTTTACTGTCTCAATTAACTTTACATTTCTCTTGTTGCCTACATTTCAATCATCTGACAAGAACAAGTGGATAACATTCAATCGTCACTATTGTCGATAATGACCATGAAGAAAATTAGCGTTTCAATTTCAACTCAGAAGACAAAAAGAGAACACAACTTTTTTGCAATATATTAATAATGACTTATGTGAGTAATGATTTGAAAATGAGACATCGAAGAGAGAGAGTTAAAACAAATGTACAGTATCGATGACTAAAAGATAGGACATACATTTGTATGACAAATGGGTGACTTCGTTCGTTGAAATTATTTCGCCACGCCAAGATCAAGATAAATCAAATGTCGTTGTGGTAAAAGATGTTTGATATATCGTTTATAGAGAAAGAAATCGTGTAAATCGTCTTCAACAGTTAAACTTTGATTTGTGGTGAGGAGATTTAAAAGATTTTCGGCTTCGTTCTCATCGAACATATCTTCCATGGTTGATAGCATTTCAATGAACAGTTTCTTGTGCATATAGTTTTTCTTCGATTGATCAAGTTTTTCGAAACATTTCAGTAGATGTTGTTCATCGACAGGTTGATAATCATGTGAAACGTATTTCGGTAGGATTATGTCGATATAATCGGAGAGGTGTATTAAATGATGATCGAGATCGCTTTCCTCTCGGTCGGTTGTACGTGCTTGCGGATGATAGCGCATTGCTAAAACAATTGATCGTGATAACAAAAAGATTCCTATGACAAATTTCGCTTCTACCAAGAATTAGTTGGTTGATTTCATGATGAGACTAAACACAGATAAGGTTGGAAAAAACAACTTTTGGTTAGAGAAGAATACTAGCTGGTACAAAGCCAAGGGAATAGATGATGTTAGGCATATCGCGATCAAATACAAAATTTGTCAGATGACACTCGTAAATATAGAATGCTTCGGTTAGTGTTTGATATAGTTTCGTCAGATCGAGATTATTTGTTTGGTCACTCGACAAAGACGAGATTGTCGCGTGAAAGCCTAGAATGTTTGATGAGATATTGGTTTGAATAGCTGTCTAATGAACTTACGTTGTTCGATATCAGTTTCTTTGATAATAGTCTTTTGCTTTTTGGTTGTCATGAAAATGAAATCTAATTAGGTGATTTTGAAAATTTTGATTTTCTCTTGGAGACGGTCAATTTGTTTCTGTGTTATCGAAAGATCGATGTTTAGTTGAAGAAGTTCGCTCTCGATTTGTAATTCTCGCGTTCGGCTGTTGTGTTCGTCTTTGAGATAATGATGCAACCAGAGACAGATTTGATAAGCATCAGAACTTTTATGTCGAATGTAATCGGAAGAAAGCTCTGGTAAACGCGAAAATGTCTTTTCAAACTCGATGAGCTTTTCTTGAGAGAGATGATGCTTTTGAATAGTTTTCACGAAATTAGGATTTCTTCTCAGTTCATTGAGAAAGTCATCGGTTGAAAACAGATGGCAGAGAGCTCGAAAGAATGTTTTCAGACTTTTCGGTGTTTTCCGCCAATGCCGTAAGTTAAGAAACGATCGAAATGGAAAACAACTCGAAGTATCGCGACTTTTTCCAGCCGTTCTCAGTTTTCTAATGTCATCCACCAACTGATTGCATTTCTGCTGTTCTAATTCAAGATTCTTTTCATAATCAGTTAAAAGATTTATTCCTTCGCCAATCGAATTTTGATGTTGAACAGATTCATCAAATCGTCGACGAAGTGTCTTGAAATCCTTTTCGAAAAAGACACCCCACGCATATTTTCAATGAAAACCGTGGTACATGTACCTGAACATCATTAACTGTAAAGCCAAGAAAAGTTGTCATATAGTTTCGTTGCATCAATCGAACAAAATAACTCGCGCTTGTTGAGTACAGAAAGTTTATTATACTTTGTCCTCCTGATTTTCAACTATCGAAACATAGATGTGTTTATTAGTCATATATAATCAATCAGATTCAATCAATATTAAATAACAATATATTGGAATTTCTTGGACTTCCGCACGTTCTTTTTTTCTCTTCGGACGAATATGTACGGCTGCGGACTTTTTGTTTCTAGAAAGAATGAAATTCTTCGCGACATGAAAAGCTCACAGCCGAATACTCCTCGAACTCGTTTCTCATTTAATCATTGTCAATGAACATGATGACAGGATATAATTTTCTTTCTTGATTTGTCGATTAAAAATCATGACTAGTTTTTCTCAAAATAGAACATTATAAATATAAACTTCCTTTTCTCTGTTCTCCTCATTCTTCATCAAACACCTTCTGTTAGTTATTTCTTTGCATAATTATATTCTTTACAATCAACATAGGCTTCTGCCGAACACGATTGAAATGGCAACTGCACCGGCAAGATCTCATAATGTGAAAAAGAATAGAACAGGTTTATTCATTCATTGTGATCAAATATTCGATTCAGATTTCGTCCACTTTAGGGCTCTTCGCTGCGAATGAAATATATGAATTACAACCGACGAACGCTCCGTGTTCAATCGAGCCCGTTCCCGCGATTCGTCTTCGTAATAATAGTTTAGCTAGTTTTTTCTATACATCGTTAGAATCGAAACAGCAACAGACTGAACAATACAATTCAATGGCAGATAGTTCTCATAGCTTGACCTTGAATAATCAAAGAAATGCTTTTCCACCATCGAATGTTCGTCATCACAAGATGTGCTTTCCGTCAAGCTCACCAACACAGCAACGAACTCATTCGCGTCCTCACCTAAGCGACAGTAAAGATACCTCAACGAAAGCGTCGATTATGCAATCACATGCATCCGCAAGATTGAAATCGGAAGTCGATTATCTTCAACATAAGTTAAAAAAGCACGAAGAAATAAGTAGAAGTGTCCGCCTTCACGATCATCGAGTAAGCAAAAAGAAAATATTCTCGATCATACCTAATTAAGAAACATTTCACAAGGAAAATATTCTTCAGTACTTGTAAATATTGACTTTTGATTTTCTATGACGATGTATTTTCGAAGATGAATATCCTCACCGATCGGCGACGTACTTCTAAACGTCACCAAATTGATAACGAACGAAAATCATTATTGATCGTTTATTTTCAAGAGTACAATCAATTTTTTATTCTCCTAGGATCTGAATAGTACTTCACGAGATACTCTATCTTATTCAACTTCTTATCGGTTTCCATCTGCATCTACTGTTCTGAAAGCTGATCGCATTCATAAGCGTTTCTCATCAGCTGCAACTCATCAAACGATAAATACATCAGTAACAATGCCTACAATCAATGATGCATCCACACAAACAATTCCAATTCATTCGAATCCAATTGCACGACTAGTGCCACCAATTACTGAAATAGATAATAATCAAACAACAATAGAACACAGGCCAACGCACGCTTATCAAGTACCTCAACAATCCAACATTGGCAATGATAGCGTATTTCTACCGATTTCATCGATAAACCAGCGTTCAGCCAAAGTCGATCGACAGCAGAAAGATTTCAAATCTGTTTCATGTCCATTCTATGTTCTGTATTTAACAAATCTAACAATGCAACAAAATCTGATTAAAGATGAGAATGCACACAATAATGATCCTGACATGACGTTATCAACGAGACGTCGAGTACCAGATAATTCTCGAACAAGTATAAATACGTTTCAACGTCAGTCAACTAGAAGACAAATTAATAGTCGATTAAGCCTAAACACGCCTTTAACCATTGATGGCGATATGTGTGCAGCAAATACAAAATATTTGCCGACGACAACAAGACGCGAGGCTTCATTCAAACTACGCGATCTCCTTCGTACATCAGCATGGAATCATGTTCAAGTTTAACAGTTTTTTGTTCGTATTTTTTAAATTTTATTCAAAAATAAGTTTTTCCTTCGACTTTCGTTGTCCGTTTTCTAAACCCGTGTATTCATCCTCTATGAAGCAAAAAAAAAGATTACAGTTCGTTCTAATGCAAGTTCAGAAGTCATAACGATTGAATAATGGATCTCGAAGGTCGTGAACTTGATGAACGATAAGCTGCCGATGATTGTTGATGGACCTGTTGCGTATTCATATGTCGTGGATTTGCTGATATACTTGATCTTTCTGTCGCACTCAATCGATAAGACATCGTTGTTTTATCATACTTCTGACCTGAATAATGATTTTGAAACGACGAGGCCGAATCAATCTTATCTCGGCAACAACAATTCAATATTGATGGCGCGAAGTGCACTGATGATGCACATGTCATTGTCACAGATCGACGAAACTTGTCACTCGTTAGTAAGTATAAGAAGAAGTTCGTTGCATGCTGTAAATCGCTTAATTGAAACATAATAACAGTCAGGATTGTTAAACGTCGATAACGTAGCCAATGTTCGTAGTTTTCGTCAGTTGGCAATTTGTTAAAACCATATGTTAGGTCAAGTACAAAGTAGATACTATTTGGCAATGTAAGAAGAAGGAAAACGACAGCCACAGCAAGTAACATCAGTGTTATGTGACGTTGTCTTGAACGTATGACTTCACTTTTCTGTGTACTGCGCATTTCAAAACCTTGGCTGTCGGATTTTCTCTGCTGTTGCGATTGCTGTTGAAGTTGTTTGCTAAGGCGTTTCTGACTTGAAACTAGAGAGATGGGAAAAGAATATTTTGTTCATTTGTGAAATCTGCTGAAAATCGCTCGAGAAAATCAAGCCTTGCGGCTAGGAGTGCCTCTTTTCCATCGAAGATGATAAGCAAAATAAGTACTATTTATTATGTATGATTACAGATACAATCGTCCGCAATGAGAAACTTTCCCACAATAGCTGTAGGCAATAGAAAAGACGAACTTGAAAGCAATGTCTTCTTCACAAGAATACATGTTCGCTCAACCAAACTCATGTTACAAACAAAGAATAGATATATATTGAAAGAAACGCGAGTGACATTTATCATAGATCTGTATATATTATTTCTCCGATGCCTAAAAAAATCCTTCTAATTAGTACTACTCAAGTTTTCTTTTCGTTGAGGCATATTCATTGCAATCACGAATAGTACGTCTTACCCCTTTCATTGTTTGAATTTGTACCGAGTATCTGGCGAACGTTCGAATGAGACGTTTGTTCCTTCTGTCGTAGTTTGTAAATAATCAAAACACTCAATGTTAATATGAGAATGAACGGTAGAAAACACCAAATGACGAAATCCGTGTAACGCCATGTATGTTGAATGAATCCATAACGTTGCAGATCATAATAACAAAAACGTCGGTTAGGATAGTGGGGATACTGTATACTATCAATAGTCCAAAAATGATGCAACGAAATGATACTCGTCATGGCAAAGAGAAATATACAGACATATTTTGCTCGAGTTATCGTGCAAAAATATGATACTTTCAGCGGGAACCAAACAGCGAAGAATTTGTCAGCTGTCATAATCACGAGTATCCAAACATTGGTGTAACCAAGTACATAGATGAGAAAATAAAGAATTTTACATAGAATAGCATGTGAAGCAACTAATGCTGGAAAATATACAAGATTTTTCGTCAACAATACAAGTGGATCGAGCACACTGAGTGCTAGCATGAAAAATGCTGTTGATGTTCCACGCATATGTCGACTTCGTAAAGCAATAAACGATAAAGAATTACAGATAAGTGACACAGGTAAGATAATCAATGGTAAACATTTTCGGAGAACATCCGCTATGCGCGTTTCTGTCCAACATTCGGATAATTTCGCATAGGATGTTTCATTGATTGCAATGGAGCTGTTTCGACAAAAATCTGGTACGTTACCCATCTAAAACATTGTTTATACTGACAATTATAGAAAAAGAAAGAAAGGCGATGGTTTATTAATTAGACGAATATGAGTCAAAGGTTAGACGAACACAATATATGCCAGACCTTTGTGCTGTGACAAGTTTCAAGGTTTTGATAAGGAAAAAGATTAAAAAATGTTTTCTCAATCAATATCCTAAGGCAATTATCCATGTCAGCATTAATACATTCGTATCAAATGATGATCCGTTGACATATATATATATATATAATTTCATTGAAAACTCTCGTCCTAATCTTATTTTAGCAAATGTGTTGTGCTTTATATTTTATGTAACAGCCTAATCATCCGTTCGTTTTCTCGACAATTGACATTCCTATGGAAATTCTGACTTTTTCGATTTGCTATGCAAAGAGCAATCATAACTTATTCTTCTCTTGAGAAGGAAAGATGATTTAATAGGATCTACTTTATCTATAATTCTTCATATCTAAATTATGGTGATTTATCTTAGCAGGCAAGAAAAGCGATTCTATTTCGAAAGTTTTCATGGGAATAAGGGTGTATACATATACATATTTATCGAAAAACGAATAAATTCGTTAGGCAAATCTCAGGACACTTTCTAGAAGACTGAACTTCTCTTTAAATATATCATATTATCTACTTGATTAAAAACAACAAAGAATTGCTCTTCTTTTCCGCTGCACATTGCTCGAAACGCGAGAGCATTTCTAAACGACATCTTTCCGATCAAACCGAGTGTAAATTTCATTTTCTACTAATGGACCTATGTGCATCTATATATAATTTGATCATCGTACATTTATCTAATAGGTCTTCCTTAATCTCATTCGCTTGAAGTTACATTTCTCAAATTAAAATAAGATACTAATCAGTAAATCATATGTCAAAACGAACGGAAAAAAGCATCAAGGTAGGAGGATTGAAATAAAGTCGCCATATGCTCGCTAATGAAATAGGTTTATACAGACTTGACTCTTGAAAAACAACAAACGTACAGCTTCAGTTGTTGTTGTTTCATTTGTGTGTAAACATCGTTGATCTAATGTGGAACTGATGTTAATAGTAATAGTTTCACAAGCACTTGTGACTTGTCTGTCAACGACGATAGACTAATAGATATATCTCTTTATGTATTGAGGAGTGGAGCGAAGCAAAGCAAGAGATCGTAACTATCAGGCAAAGCGAAGCAGAACACGAAGAAGAGAAAGATAGCGTGTGAGAGAAAAAGAAAAATAAGGAGCAATGTCTTCCGGAGAGAAAGAGAGAGAGAGAAGAGGGAGAAAATGTAGATCGCGAAAACGGAAATTGTCAACGACAATGTTCAACTTATCAAAAATCAAATTAATACAAAAACTGCATAACGTGTTCGCGCTCAAAGGCCTTGCTCGACATTATCCAAATTTCTGTACAACACAAAAGATTATTCTCCCAAAACATTCTTCTCCGTCCGCCCCGAGTTTTCATCAATCCGTAAATGATAAAATGTCTGTGACAAGAAGATAAGCAGAATGAAATAGATATTAGTGGAAGAAAAGCTAATCGTTTTTGTAATCTATGGTATGATATTGTTTACGAGAGGCGTTTTCCCTCCCCCCTACACAAGAACGAAGAAATTGTCAAAACACATCAGAATTCAATTATCAAATTCAACACTTGCTTTTATGATTATTTGTCGACAGTTGATTTGATAATTCAAAACTTTTCCGCGATGACGCTTGTTCGAGTTCTCATTCGGAATGATAATCACGAGCAATCCCCTTCAATGTACCTTCTGGCTCATTTGAATATAAACTTCATTTGCTCGATTCTCTCTATACAGAACCATAATCAATCGATAAACCTATTTTGGGCGTCATTCGCAATCTTTTAGGCAAATGTCGTCAAAGAAAGTTTAAAGCTTATAATTATCCCGATTAGAAAACAGGAAATAATATCATAACAAATGTCAAACTGAACCGATATTGTTTTGTCAGATAGTCCATGATTAAAAACATGATTGTCGTTTCAGTTTCAGTCATAAAACGAGAGGTTGTAATTTGGCAGAGAAAGTAGGAATTAGTTTTACTTCGCAGACAATACCAGAGTTTTAAAAAGACGTTTCCTGATTATTGTCGCAGAAAATCGCTGATTGAACATAAAGAAAACATATTGCCGAATGAAGACGAACCGAACGTTCTTTTCCTCCAGTCCGGATAAACTCACCAAGCCACTTCCTATAGATCAACGACCATGATAGTAAATTATCAAAGACAAATGTTTTATCTCAAGAGAAATGAATCCGTCGATGATTTGTTAACAGACCTAGTCAACTGTCATCGCTTTCAATCTAGCTAGTTTATATTTCTTCATCTCATAGTCAAGGTTAATTATCTATCGACATCGATTATGGAACTTTTATTAATGCAACTAAAAAAATCACGACAAATATGTGTATACAGATGAGTACATTTAGGTTATTACTTGGATAATAAACATACGCTATATAGAGAACACCAAAAAAAAAACGAGCAAAAAGCTGGATTGTAATATACACAATGAGAACAAAAAAAAATACTTTGCTGCCCCGATGTGGATCGAGCAACATCTGACAAAACACGGTTTATTTCTTTATAGATTCTCATGTCAGATAATAACATACGTTTGACATTCTTTATACTCCAGTGTAAAGTTTTTCGTATGGCGGCGGGGGATGTTCAATATGGAAATGATGATTTTGTTGCGGTGGTGCACTTGGCTGCGGTAACATTGGTCGACTCTCAGATGACCATGGTTGCTGTTGTTGATAAGGATTATATTGTGGTTGGTAACCTCCAGGCCCTGTATGAACATAGATCGGTTGAGGTACTTGAATTGTTGTTGTACCTAAATTTGGAATTGATATCGACAATTAAGGCATATGTTTTCACAAACCTTGATTCCGTTTTCGATTTTTATTGTTACAACAACATTTTGCACAAATAACAACTGTTGTAATTAGGCAGCAAACAGTGCATAGAGAGACAATCACGATCACTGCAATGGCCACCTAGAAGAAGAAAAAGAAGTGCTTAGTTGGGTACTGATCACGTGTTCGTCTTACCTTCTTTGCCATTCCCAGAATTTCTTCACCACTAAAACAAAGCGAAAACTAGTGATGATCTCAATGGAATTTCGGATAGGATGAAAATTGGCGAAGCATAATGGAATAAATCATCTTCAAGAGAGACGAACCAAAGTATGTTATGAGGAGGAAAGTCATTCACAGCAAAATGTATGAATAGCATAATCATTCACCGAAAAAATTAGTAAATATGTTATTTCGAAAACAAGATTTAGATCGCACACTACATTTTTTCGTATTCGCCATTCTCACTACAAAAGAATAATTGATGATAACGATGAAGAAGAAGAACTACTTTAAACTATTCAGTAAGATTGACTAAAGAACTAACCTTTCCGTGTTTTGTACGGCTTTGGCAACGTTTATAACAAAACCAGCTGTTTGTATGGCTCTAGAAAAACAATTTCATTGAATAGGAGCATCCATGGATTCGAAGGAGATCATTTACTCTATTATCTGACGTCGTTGACGTTTTTGCACTTTCGGTTGGTTAGTATTCGATTCAAGACGAGTTACTCTATACAAAAAAAATGACATTGTGTACTATTTACGCTCAGGCTTGCCGTTTTTTTTCCATACCTAATTAATGTTCGTTCAGTTGTTGTTTGCCATGATTGATCGAGTGAATCATTGGTAATCAAATTGGTCAATTCGTGTTCATTGACAGGTACAGCTAAACAAGAAAGAGACAAATAACATAAACAAGACAACTAAGCATATTCGATTTACTCAGAATTGATTGTTGAACATTATCAATATTTTTCTCGATTTGTGCATTAGCGACAAGGATCAACAGGAAACTAATTGTCACTTTTGTCCAGTCTCTTCCCATTTTGAGCACAATGAATTCTAATCACTTTCGTTCAATTCGTAACCTTTCTTTTATACACACTACAAACAGTAAGTGAGTAAGTTTGAGGTCATTCTGTTTATATCATCATCACCGATGAATCATTGTTAGGCTTTGCAACAACCAATCGATCAAATTTTACCAAAACAAAAGATGGCACTGGTTGAGTGTTCGTGGCGTAGCGCTGCGCATGCGTGTGTTCTATTCAATTCGCTCATGTTATTATAACTAAAAGTTTAGAGCATGAAATAATCGAATATGTCTGCTGGTCGCCACAAACTTTGACTTTGTCAGAATTTGGTGTTCTCAGCTATATTTATTTCCTATTCGACTATATGGCTTTCAATGTAGCAGCACGTTGATGTCAATATTAATGATATTTGATTTTTTTTCTTTTGATCGAATGAGTGAATGAGTAATTCGAAGACGTCTTTGTGACTTCCGAGTAAATCCCATGACTTTGTCATGTGTCCTTCCAATGTCAGTATGTACTGGAATTGAGTTGTATTTGACAGATCAACTATAAAAACGATCTTCTATTACCTTTCATTATCTAATGAATATTTAGGAGAATTAATGGTATATGTATCAGTGTGGGCAAGAGAGAAGATTACGATTATTAGATAAGATTCGATGACACGAAGTCTGATCGTCGTTGAAGTTGAAACAATTGTTAATAGTATAAGGATTCGTTGCATTGTCTCGGAAAACTTTAATTAATTAGCACCTATTCTCTTCGAATTCATCTGATAATCGTTTTCGTGCATGTGGACGAATCCAATGTTGAACAGCCATTCGTATGATCGATCATTTAAACATGATGTATCTAACTGTCATGTAAATACATCTGACAATCCCATAAATTGATGGCATTTTAGAGAAAAAAGAGACTTATTTGGCCTTCTGTTCTACTATGCAATCACTTTTGATCGATTGATCAATTCCAATCCTTGATTTTGAATTACGATTGTACTTGCCGTGAATAGTTATACAAAATATATGTTAATAATTGCACACGCGTTCTCATGTGCATTCTGACAAGGCAAGAACCTCATTTGTCGCCCCTATTTTGCCGCTCTATCATTCATTTATCAGCGATATCTCTTTGTCATCAGTGGTTCTTTGCGCTCTCTCTCTCTCGCCCAGAGATCATATCTTTATCTGACACGATAGTAAATCTAATCAACCTTGATACTACACATATCAACATAAGAAAAATTTGACATTCCGTTTATTTCATGACGTAGATGTATGAAGTGACAAAAAACGACGCGATAATTATTTAATTGTTTTCAAATCATCGAACTCTTGTTTGCCTTGGTCGTGAGATCGAGAGAGCTTTTGATGTACGTATTCCATCATCTGTTCGATGCCAGAGGAAAATGTACTTGAACGTCGTTTATAACCCTCCTGAGAACAGTGCTGCCGATTCGTTGCGTATACTGATGATGATCGTTGGCATTTTGTTTGTTTGGAAAGTCGACGTTCGTTGTCAAATCCTGTTTGAGACATTGTGACAAAGACGTGTGTTATGTCAAGTTTGGAAAACACGGAGTTAAAAAAAAGAAACAAAACGATTAGTTTTGGTGAAGAAGATACAACTCGCTCACTGAGAATGGCTCTTCTCTTTTCAAAGTCGACTGAGAAAAAAAGAAGATAAAGCTTTTCTTCTTTTTTTCTATCAACTAAGCCTGGATTTTACGGATAAATAGAGAGCAAGGGTGTTCATGGACTTAAATAGAGCTATTTTAGTATCAGCTTGACTTGTTAATTAATTTAACTGTCGTGCGTATAAAGAACGACCGACATGCATTCAACGTTTAGTTAATTTCATTTTTGTAGTAAAGATTTTCGATATGCTCGTTTGGTAATTTATCACCTTCTTCTTCTTTTTTGTTTCTTACTCAAGAACAAAAACACAAAAGGAAAGATACACAATAGGAAAAGAAAATCGAGAATAAATTTTTTATCTTTTGCTTCTGACTACTGAACTTCTTGAAAGGAAGGTGATGCGTTAGCTTTATTTAATTGAAAGAGCCATTTGATTATTCGTGCATTACGTTCAATCACAGATAATGACGTTGATGGAACAACTGTTCTTCGGATATTTGATGGACTATTCGTGCTATCCAATGTCGTTTGATCGGAAAGTGATAATAAACTTACACTTTCGAACGCACCACAATCAGTAGGAGAAGAATTTGGAGGTGTGGATGATCGTAGTGGAACATTTAGTGAATCGAGTCGGAACTGGTCATGTTCAAACGGAGTGTCTTGGTACGGAGATCGACGAGATTTTCTAATATGAAGAAGATGATTAGGATTTTGTTTTGCACAATCGTTTCAACGTACGTTAATCGAAGTGAAGGAGTAAACTGTTGTTGTTGTTGTGGTTGTTGTTGATCAGTTGAGGTTTTGTTATTCAGAAGTGTCTGTCGATTCTGTAAAACTTCTTGACTTTTGACGAAAAATGCTTTCGATTCATCTAGCAATTCCGTCGCTGATCGATGTGAACACTGTTCTACGAAGAAAACAAAGAGTCAAAATATGATATTCAATCATCATATATCAATTACACTCTGTTGATTTCATTTAAACGACTTTCTCTCAACAAGTGTTCAATGATTTATGTGTTAGACAAGATTGGTTGACATTTACTAGACATGATCATAATGATAGCATAAAGATTTAGTCTGCTCAATTTTTGTTCACACTGACGTGAATTAAATGACATTTTATTACGTCATCCGTCTATGTGAAGACGAGTGTTAGGATAAATCGTTGATTTAACCGATAATCAGTCGCATGAAACACTCTCCTTCGTCTTTTTTCAGTGACGTTGACGAATGAATCGAAGATAAATAAAATAGCCGATCATTTAGCTACGATGAGCACGACGAGTTGATAAACATATCTGCTTCATTAACATTTCTCATGTAAACATCAACGACCTAATCATTCTCGTGTGCAAAGTCTCTGTCTCTTCATCATCGTCGATGTGCAGTGAACACGTCAGAAGTCGATGGATATGAGTGATATCAATGACAATAAGTTACGAATGATTAAGACTTACTCGATGAAGAAGCTGCAGCAGTTAAGCGAATTCGTTCTAATTTCATATAGAAATCATCGATTTTCATCTTATGACTGTTGTCTATCAGTCGAGATCGTTGTCTGTCAATGTAGTGATGCTGGTGTTGTTGCATCCTCTTCTTGTTCTTCTTTGTATATGTATATGTGTATGTTCAATTGTTCGTCGCTTGTACTTACTACGACTACTCCCTTAGTTCACCGACGACGTTTGGAGTAATGAGAAAAGTGACTACGAACGGGCAAAGAGAAAAGAGTAGATGAAGAGAGAGAGAGAGAGAGAGTAGAACAGCAAGACACAAGAAGAGAGAGGGAAAAGAAAGTTTGTGTTCAACCCTAAGAAAAAGAGGAGAAAACGAGAATGAAGAAATAGCCGATTGTATGTCTACCTTGAATTCATGAATATATACATAAGAAAGTAAGAAAAGATAGCCTTCATCGTAGCTTTTCATAGTAACGATAAAAAGAAGTAGTAAGATAAGAATTGTCTCCAACTTTTCTTCGTGTTGCATCATGTTTTATTCATATTGTTCAATTCGTGAGACATGTAACAGCTCTAGTTCAATCTATACACACATCCATCCATCTGTTTCATATATTTATATGTGATTGACCATTGATCAATTTTATACGACACATGTGTAACGAACAGTTGTAAGCTAGTGAATAGAATTTAGCAACAACTTATGGGCGTACGTTTTACTATTTCAAATATGAAGATTTCGTTTTGCTCTTTCCCACCCCCGAGATGTTAAGTATTAATTCTTGAGCATGAAACAATCAATCATGATTGAAGATCAGAGAAAGAAAATGATTAGCATATTGAAAACTACTAGTTTGAATCCATTTTTGGCCTTTTAAAATGAAAATATCCAGTTGCTCAAATGGCTATTTAATTGTATAATGAGAAGAAAAAGTCCAATAAATATCGTACAGATGTTCTATGTCATCATTTTGTACAAGCAGTTGCTCCTATCAAGTGATCGGTCGATATGAATTGCCTATTGTATGTATACAGAGACAGAGAAAAGGAAGACTTTGACAGCTTTCTATTCAAATGGTAAAATGACCGACTAGATGACATATTCTTGACTAGCACTTTACAGCGAACAAAAAAAAAGTGAAAAAAAGATTTGATAACTTTCAAGTAGACTTTTAATATGTCAGTTACTATTATACAAACGAGAGAGAAAATGAATATGAGCTTTTGTAAGCAATTTAGTTGTACACATTGCTCACACGTATTCAATTACTTCTTCATCTTCTTGAATACGATTGATTAAGATAACATATTCGTTAATTGAACAAAACACACATACCATGTACAAAATATTCTAATTGAACAAATGTAAGAGAGCATCACATTTACATCTGTTAGCTTATAGTTGTGCTATGATGGTAAAAAAACGAAGAAAATGTCAAGTCATATACTTTGAGCGATACGATGGTACAAAGGTCGAATGCCTCTGTTTGTTATTCGAAGAATGTTCAAGAGTTAGAAAACTCGACATATGCTTGTGACCCCGTTGTAAATAGTTATAGTAAATTATGGCTCATTAAAAATGAATCAACCTTTAACAATGCGAATTAATCGAAAACATTCAAATAACCGTACACATAGACTGACACTTTCGTTCAACAGCTGGAAGACGGATGAACGAAAAAAAAAGAACTAAATCATTCAACTGTGTAAATTATTCTCCTACGAATCGATCTCGATGTATCGTCATTTTTCTCTTTACAAACGATGCGACCAGTGAGATTTGTTTGATTGTTATCAGTATATTTTGTAGTATCGAATATCAATTTACATGTTCAATCTGATGTGCTCGTCGAAGGACGTTGTATCAAAGAGCAGCAAGTTTCGAGTGTTTATTTGTTTTATGTCAAAGATCAATTGTCTTGAATTGTTTTCGTTCGAAATCAACTCTAGTGATATTGATAAAAATAACAATCTTTCCATAATTATCATACAAGTATTTACTCAGGTCAGACATAATTGTCTTGGAGCAATGTGGAGGATTGACGAAAACTGGAAGTTCACATCATGGGTTTCTTTTGAAGATATTTATAATAATGCTTACGGGTAATTTACTTATATTACACCATATCTAAGTCTTTCGACGTCATCAACAAACTCCTATAAAGTCGAGATTTGTTTTCTGTGACAGACGGCGGAACAAGTGCAAAGATGATCCATCACTTTACCCTTGTATCCGTGCACTGCACGTTCGCAAACAACTTCAGTAATTAAAGTACCAGCATTTCATACAAATTACGACAGAAGTCCCGTCGGGAAAAGGTAGAACTTGTATACACGTGTATTTTCCGGTAGTTAAGCTGTTCATTTTATATGGGAAGATTAAAATAGATTGAAATTTTGTTTTCCTGTGAAATTCTAATGAGCACAGTCATTTTGACATTGATGTTTTTGCGTCTGCATGAAGCATCTCTCACCTATCCGACCTATCAAGCAGATTTTATCTCTTATTTTTTTCTAACTATATTTAACCGACCTTAAACAACCTCATATCGACTGAATGTCCGACAAGCGAACGATTATTAACTACGATAGAAAGATAGACTGGTTTCAAGAAGAAAACTATTTCATATTTGTCGTATCAGTATACTTTTACATGGGGTCGTATATCAGGAAGAAACGTTTTCAACAAGTTTAATATTGACATGATCACACGCACATGATCTAAAGTACACTAAAGATTGCATTACTCTTTCTTTTCTTTCTAAAAAATTAAGTTATAATAGGACATTAAGTTATCTCAATTTTAGAGATTGTCGTTTCACCATCAACGGCATCGTTGGGTGTATATGTCTGAACTTGTAACGGTAGGTTACAGAATATCATGGGAAAAAAAAGAAAAAATAGAGTTTTTTTCTTCTTTTTCTTCTTCTTGTTCTGTTTCCATTTCCTATCTACTCAATCTTCAAACAACAACATTAAAACTGTTAATATTCTCATAGTGAGAGTCTCTCTCGTGACAAGGAAATAAGAAGGAATAGATAAAGAGACCTATGGGATGTTAGGAGAGAGAGAAAAGTTACTGATAACAGACAAAGATTAAAAGCTTCTGAACGAGTAAATGAGAAAATTAATCTGTATGAAAAACATTCACAGGTGATTAGACCCTATGAATAAAACGACGCTATGTAGCCAGGATTTACGTTGTTGTTTAATGTTTAATTCTAGATGATATGCGTTCGACAAAAACAGTGAAATTTGTCGATCCAACACCGAATGACTCGCGTGTGGTTCTCAATGTCGGCGGAATGAGATTTGAGACTCAACGTGCAACACTTAAGAAACTACCGGCTACACGTCTCTCCAAATTAACTCCACAATTATCGTATTATGATCCTGTTTTAAATGAATACTTCTTCGACAGAAATCCGGGCGTATTCTCTCAAATATTGAACTACTATCGTACAGGACAACTACATTATCCAACCAATGTCTGTGGACCGTTGTTCGAAGATGAATTGTCGTATTGGGGAATCCAACGTGAAGAAGTTGAACCGTGCTGTTGGTAAGTAGAGAGTTCAAATATATATTTGTAGAGAACTTGACGGGTTGTTTCCAGGATGACCTATACGAAACATCGATCGACGCAAGAAACGCTTCAGACTCTTGATTCACTGGAATTAGATACTGTTCGATCAACATCTGACGATATTTTAAGAAAATTCGGTTGGGAAGATGATCTTCATTTACTCACATCGGGTAAATTGAAAACTCATCAACGTATAAGATCAATCATTTGGCAAATTTTCGAAGAACCACGCTCTTCGAAAGCATCAAAAGTAGATAGAAAACTCCGTAATCTCGACAACCACCGAATACATTCCACTCTTTACAGGTCATTGCATTAGTTTCGATATTTTTTATACTTTTGTCCATCACAACGTTCGTTATTCGCACAATGACAATTTTTGAAATAATTGATTACGATTTTGTTGATGTTTATGTCGCGAATAATAGAACTGAACTAGCATTAATTCATCACATTGATCGAGCTGATAATATAGCTGGCTTTAACACTGTTGAATGGATTTGTAAGTCATTTCCTAAGGAGAAATCACCAATAAACTTTTTTTTTCTTTCGTCCTTCAGGTAACTCTTGGTTTATATTCGAAATTACCCTACGATTTATTGTCGCTCCTTCAAAAAAAGCTTTCCTTTTCTCCATACTTAATTGGATAGGTAACAGTATATCCAAATTTTTGCATTTCATCTTGATCAACTATGGTTTCGAATAGATTTTCTGGGTACATTCTTGTTTTTCCTTACTTATGTTCTATACGATGTTTATCGATACGATGGTCACTATGCATCATTGGATTTACTTTCTACAATACGTGTTGCACGTATGTTCAAGTTAATCAACATGCATCCACGTTTAAGAGTCATCACCACAGCCATCACATACTCATCCTCGCTATTGAGTTTAACGATATATTTTTGTATATTGTCAATTCTGATTGCTGGTGCAACATTGTATTACGTCGAACGCCTAAGTAATCCAAGTGAAAGTCAATTGATCTCAGTTATTGATGGTATATGGTTGGCATTGACAACAATAACTACGATTGGCTATGGAGATACAGTCCCTAAATCACTCTTCGGTATGATATTCGGTGCGATAACAACGATTATCGGTGTCTTAATTATTGATTTACCAATGCCAATTATAAATGAAATCTTTGATAATTTCAATCGACATTTATTAGCGCGGCAGCAATTACCCAAACAACGGAGGCGAACTACTCCGGCAGCTATTCCACACAAAATTCAACCGTTGATGCCGTCGAACAGGCATAGACATCACCATCAACAGTAAATGTAATAAGTCGATTTCATTGTTTTTGTTTTAACTAAATAAACATCTACCGATTCTTTCAAATCTTCTCGTTCAACAGAGAAGAATGTAAACATTTTTGACATTCAATGCATGAATAACTGATTTTCTGCTTGATGTCAATGAGATTATCTTCGCTGTTCATTTACAGTAGGCTTCGTCATCATCGAAATCTGTCAGGAGAAGTTAAGTATTCTCCAACGAGAAATTTTTCGATCTTTCTTCGTTGCAAATCTGTCACAGTAAATCAAGAAAACATGCTCGAAAGCTTTCTGGTACAATATGCATTCCATCTTCTTGTTTGATTTCACACGGGTATGAACACGATATGACGTACATTCCCAATGTTTATGAAAATCCTCCAGAAACATGACTATAATACCTCTTAAACTGTTTGTTGTTTGCTTAAGGAAAATAAGTTTTTGTGTATAACTTTTCCACAGCGAAATATGCATCGAGTATGTGGGTATTTAGTTAAGTAGAATTAACAGCTGAGTGTTGAATGCCGTTAAGAACAGGCGAACGGAGGTTTGAACAAGGAATTTTGTGTGTAAATCAATTGAAAACTTCAATATCTTGTTTCATCTGTTTGTTTATTACTTTTCTAAGATCTTCTTGATGTTAAGTAGGCAATAATTAGAAAAAAATAAAAAACAAACAACAAATCGCCATTGTTTTGTTGACGTCGGCATAAACAATTACGGTTTTTTTCTTCTCGACGATTACCGAAGTCGACGAGCTTCACGTTCAGACTCAAGAAGCACGAGCACATCATCAACACGTCTAAATCAGATCAATCATTCAACCGAAAGAAGCCAAAGCCAGTTCAACTTACACTGGACCCTTGACGTTACGAATAATTGATCGTTTTGATGTCGAGGTATCAATAATTTCAACTCGAACTTGTGTACATTGTCCCTGACTTCCAGTACGGCCAAGAATCTTCACAACACGAGCCATAACACCGCCAGTAGTATTTTTTTCCATGTTGACTATCGGATTTGTTTAAACGGATTTCAAATAAAAAAGTGAAATCTAGAGAGAAAAAAAAAGCAGATCGATTGAAGAAATATCGTAGCGTATCAACATATTTTCCAATGCAATTCTTCGAAGTGTGTACACGAAGAAGAAGAAGAAAAGGATAGAAATTAAGAACAAGTTTAGTGTCGCCATCTTGAACATTTTGTACTTTGACCCTCACAAAATATTTTCAATTATCGACTAAATTCCTTCTTAAACGTGCTAAATAATCTAATTGATATTGATTTATTCAATTTCAATCCAAACTTTTCTCTCGAAACCAATCAAAACATTTCTGAGATCTGTACTTTATTCGCTGGACATATTTGACATGATGGCGAAAACAATCCATCTAGTACTCGAATCATATTTTCCAAAGAAAATCTAAAACATAATGCTGACAATCTCTTCTTCTTCGTTGACACCAACATTCCGTCGACCTGTTCTGCTTCGTCGTCATCATTCCGCATCATCAGATCTCTATCGTCCTCGGACTATCCTCATCGAAAAAGCACCGAATACAACGTCATATGGGTTTTCAATTCAAACCTACGGTTTTGCTTCATTGAATCCTCTCTCGACCGATGAATCAGCCTGTTCACTTCTCTCCCTATCGTCAGAAAGTACACGAAGTCGTCAGTCATCAGCGTCGAACTCATTCTGCCTATCATCATCTCAAATCGCACCAATACAATTAGTTACATACGTTGATCAAGTTCAAGAACAAAGTCCAGCATGGCACGCTGGCCTACGTCCTGGTTCAGTTATACTATCTGTCAATGATGAATCGGTTGAACATGATGATCACGAGGCATTAGTAAAGCGTATCACACAAGCATCATCATCGTTGAAACTAGTTGTTATTCAACAAAATATCAATAAACAAATAACATTATGTGAGCAATTGCAAACATTACATAAGCAATTGCAAGAAAAAGAAGAAGAATTGAAAGAATTATGCACACAGGAGATGACAGACACGGAAAATACTTCATTAGGAGGTAAGAATTCATCTCCATTTGTCTATTTCTTTTATTTAATGGTAATTATTTTTAGAAATCAAGTCTCCATCACCTCGTCTTCAACATCTATCAACTGAAGCAGAATGTTCATCAACATTTTGCAATGACAAAATTCCATTAGATTGGCGTCAGAGTGTGACAACATTTGCTCATCAACAGAAATTCGTCCTACGGACGTTACCTTCTAAACTAACACCAACAGCATCGAATCTCTCAGCAAAATATGTTAAAAAACGTCAATCAAACCCTTCGTATAAGCATCAGCGTAGTCTCTCGTCCTCCTCAATTGTTTTCCAGTGTTCTAAGCCCTCACTCTTTCGACATCACACTTCTCTGAAACATTCACGTCGCGCGAATCATCGCCGAGCACATTCCCATGAAGGTCTATTCACTCAAGACCAAACAATAGATCTTTCTGTTCATCCAAAAGATGATAGTATGGTTAAATCGGGCTGTTCTTTAGCCATGGATCTATCCAAAAGTTTTGACAAACACAATCATGCATTATCGTCATCATCATCATCGTCATCAACAGTAAACTCCGATGAAGATAAATCTCCAGAGAAGATCGATAACTCAATCAAACAATTCAAATGGAAATTAAAAATAAACAAATAGAACTATACTCAACGCTTATTTATTGTATAAAATTTCATATCTTTATTCTAAACATCCAGCCAAAAAAAAAGAAAACCTTATGTATATACACAACCAGTATTTTCTGAAAATCTTCATCTCGAATTCTTTCTGTGCTTTAATATATGAATTGAATATCATTGAACTGATCTTGATTAGTTATCTATCATTGTTTTATTTTCTTTCTCTCAAAAGCGTGTTTATATTTATTTCATCTCGACTTTAAATAAACGCAACAGTATTAGAAACTTCGACATTTAACAGAGCAGAAACACGTTGGATGTCTTGATTGATTTGAAGAATATTATCATGATTTGCAAGTTGCAGTCGTTGACGTGCGGCAGCTATTTTCTTGTAATACTCGAGAGCTTCATTGAGATTGCCGAGTTTTTCGTAAACAAAACCCATGTTCCTCAATGTTAACAGTACATCCGGATGTGTTGACGAATGATTCTTGATTAAAATGTTATATGCAGAATTATATTGTTGAAATGCTTCATTCATTTCATTTTGCAAGACATAGACATCAGCAATATGATTGTGCAGTTTCGCTAATTCAAACGGATCGCCTGGTAGATGCTTCTCTTGAATCTTTAGTGCTTTTTTGAAATATTCTAGTGCTTCCGAGTATCGTTCTTCTGATTGAAACACACGTGCCAGATTTTTGTAACATCCAGCTACTTTCGAATGTTCTTTTCCTAACGCTCGTATCCAGATTTGTAGAGCCTGATCGTAGAACTGACTTGCTTGATTAAGTTCGCCTTTTTTCAGATACACATTAGCTAGATCGTTATAGCTCGATGCAATCTCCGGATCTTCTGACCTTAACACTGTCTGGTTCGTTTCGAGTGCTTTCTCATACCATTTCAAACTTAAATTGTAATTTTCTTGTTTCAGAGCGATATCTCCAAGTCCTTGGTAGCAACATGCCACTGAATGATAATCATGAGGCATGTCCTGTAAAGTTTGTTCGAAATATTTTTGAGCCTCGTCGAATCGTTTCATTCGTGATAGGACATGCCCGAATGAGAGTAATGTTCTTTCGCTTTGATAACGATCAAAAATTACCTTGACCTTTCGATGACTATCGTGGCACTGTTCCATACGAATGACAACAATATTGTCGCTTTCACTTTCGGAAATTCGTATCTGATGAAAAATTGTTCCGGCCATGAAGAGTACGACTTCTGTACCATGCTCATAGTTCCAAGCGGCGATATTACTAAATGGTTTTGCGTCATGTTCTGTTGGATCGGCAGTGATTTCGAAAAGAACCTGTTTGGATCCGTCCGGTACAGTATGATTGTTGAGCATCGTCAATGCACGATTTCGATCCGGAACTGTCGAGAGAAATGCATTAATAGAAAGAAATCCTCCGCTTGACGATTTCAAGGACACAATTTCGTCGTTCGATAGTATCTGTGAACGATACGTGCGGGTTGGCGATGAACGTTTTGTTTCAGTTAGCTGATCATACATATCCCGAATAAAGAAATGAAAATGGTACAATAGATCGATATCGAAAGATTGAAAAGCTTGATCTAATAGCTGGTGGAGAAAGCAATCTCTTGTGAACCACCAAAATGCTCGAGTAGATGAGTACTTTGTTTCGAACTCCGAAATCACGTCCAATTCGCCTTGATCATCGTGATATTTTTCTTTGCACAACGAAATAAACCGATGCTTCTCTTGGTCACTAGGTTTCACTTGGCTGAAGTATTTGATTAATAATTGAAAATAGAAAAATGCGTCGCTGTTCGTTGCTGAATCTGCATGGCGTGAAGATTTCGGATGAAAAACACTGAATGGTAATGGAACATCGACTTGGTATTCATCTCGCTGAACTTGATCCGCTCGTATTTTTGCCAGTAAGATCTTGAGATCAACGATGACATCTTTAATCTGAAATTATAACAGATTTGCACAAAATCTCACTTCGAAAAACGTCACATTTACTAGTAAATACTTGTTTGCCCATTCTTCATTTCGTTTCTTATCCGAACAGTAGACATAGACTGCAATGAGATTGGTAAATTGCTGAATACGTGGTAAGATTTCTTGTCCTAACCGACCACTGACAACTAACACAACTTTTTCTTTTGAATTCGTTCGAATGTATTCCAAACATTGGTCAACTTTGTCGAAAGTTTGTAATTGATCGTTAACTTTCCGAAACAGAACCTGAGTATCAAGATTTTCTTCCGAAACGTTTACCGAACTGTCCAACCAGACAAGTGAGAATTTTCGAGTGTTATGTGCCGACATGAGTTAACAGAAAAGAGCATACGAATCACATTCAAATCTATTTGCAGTATTGCGAAGAAAATGAACTGCGATATGACGTCATGAATCATAACCACTGAAGCGTAAAATAACAAAAGTGTCTATGCGTCATAGAAGATATATCTATTGTTATGCTTCTTCGTATTTTTATCAGCATATAACGCTAGAGCAGAGTGCAAATAATCTCTCTTCGAGCTGTGGTTAAAAAAAAGTTATGTACTTCTGGTTGAGTTGTTTTCTTTGTATAATTAAATATATTTTAACTTTAATCCATTGAATTTAAATGAAAAAGAAAATGAATCGTTGCCGGTTCTTCTAACTTATCTCTTTGGTTGAAAATAAATTATACAATTTCGTGTTTCTAGCCGTTCAACTATAAGACAATCACAGTACTGAAAGAAAATCAAAAACTTTAAAGAGAGATATACGAATAAAACTTCATGGAAAAGTGTGTTTATACACAAATATTGATCTCATGAAGAACGAGGCTGTGTTCGCCATTGACCTATGAAATTATTAATTGAACGAGCAATTTCTCGTCCTAAACAAGAAAATCGTTTGTTGCGGTCAAGCGAGAATGATTCTCCTACCGATCGGTCGTGGATTGAATGCACTCAAGCCTTGTGGTAACAGATTGATATTCGACGAGACTGGCGGTGGTCGATTTGGTATCACAGTTCGATAGCATAACTGGAAAAGACGAGACACCGCAAGTAGTTTCTCTTCACGAGCGGTTTTCGATGTGGAGTCGGTCGTGTTATTTGTGTCAATTGGATTTGTATCTGATCTCTGACCAAAAGATATTTCATCGACGTTGCGATTGAAATTTATCGTTGCATCGTCGTTTATGTCGACTGGAGACGACGAATTCGGCTCCTTTACACGTGTTAATGCACTGAAAGGAAACTCGGAACGATTGAAAAAGAGAATTTATTTGTGAATATTAATATCATACCTTATTGAATAGATACTTTCAGACTGAGAAGTTGTAATGTTTGACTGTGACTTCGACGGACTAAAAACGTATGTGTGATCAAAGCCATTGATGTCGGTTAAGCAACATACTTCTGTGATCGTTTATAAACAAATTCATTTGAAGTTAAACACGGAAGAATCATGAATGAAAAATAAAGAATCTATGGAAGCAAATCAGTTGTTTTTTTGCTCAGAACGATGCTTTTAAAAATAAAACTTACTTCTTCACCACGAAGTAATCTTTCTGGTAAACAATGTCTATTTGCGAAAGAAAGATGATAGTTTGATTATTTATGCAGAATCAAAGCTAGTTTTTACCCGAACAAATACCAATCGTAAGCTAAAGTTAAATAAAGTATTTCCTCGACGGTTAACGATTGATGAATCCAACCGTCAGCCCAAAGTGACAGGCGAAGTAAAGAAATAAATAGAGGTGTACGATCCCAGCCTGATATGCAGTGCACGAGAAGTCCATGATCATCTGAGAATGATTGTGAAAAACTTTAGTTTAGCCTAAGAAATAAACGAATACAAACTTGTTTCTAAATAACGGAGAATTAATTGAAAATAATTCTTTGTTAGGTCAATGGAGTTCCAAGACTAATGAACATAGAATATTGACTTGGATAGATGAATATTTCAGGAAAATAATTGGTGTTACCTTCCAGAAAGACCAATCCGTAGAGACGAGTGATGATACATGATCGGGTACGTGAAACGACGAGTCATTCAATGGCAATGACCAATCGTAGAACATTAGTTCACCATTATATCTTTGAATTGAAAAATCTCGGAAATGTTCACAACCTGTACAAAACAACATGAGAAATGTATGATTAAAAGTCAGTTTCTTTACCTGGATATGGAAGAATTAATAGTTGGAAATCTCGATAGCGATTTTCTTTATCTGAATTTTCGGATGACGTGACACTAAAATCAATGGAAAGAACATTTCAAATCTTTATGAAACTATCAAAAGACAAGTTCTAACTTGACACCAAACATGGTTTTTCGTTTCTCCACCATTAAATTCACTATAGATCCAACATCAAGTATCTTCAGCAAGTCAATATCAGCACCACGGAGTTTATCGAAGATATTCTGTTGTTGAGGTACTTCAAGATTCGATGCAGCAGCGGCAGCACCTTCTATTGCAATTACCGGCGGTCCATCCAAGTCATTTGCGATACCCGATGCGCTCATTGGTATATCAACTATCGTCTGGTTTGTTGTTCGAGTACCTGTGTCCAACAGCCGATCAACACCTGAACGTGAATACACTTCACCCCACGATGCAACTGTTGAAGAACGACAGATGTACTAGAAAAGAACCAGTAGATCAGTTTGAAGACCATCGAAGAGCAATGGTTTCGAACCTTTCCGTCAACCAGAATAACGGGAACAACGAAACGTGAACGACATCGAGCAATGCGAGATCGAACAAAATAATCACGAAGATCAACTGATGGCTGAAGTTTTGGTGTTGTTACATTTGACCATTTATCAATTGTCGGGACAAGAATACGTCGAGGATAATATAGAGACAGTTCACCATTCGTATTAGCAATTGACTTGAAAGAACAACATCAACAAGTATGAAGAAAGTAATAAACAATTTTGTATACCTGAAAATCAAAATCTTGTCCGAAAAGACTAGTAACATTCAATTCAATGGTGGCATTCTACATAGAATAACGATTATTAGCTGAGAGAAGAAGAGAAAAAAAACATTAGTGAAACGAACAGTTGAATGCAGTTCTCGTGCATTATATTGAGTCTGTGTACCACTACGAAGGACAGCAATAATAGCATCGATATCTATCGTTGTAGGTCGTGCTGACGCTGTGGCTTGTTGTTGCATTGAAATAGATAGACGAGCCTATCTTTGAAAATCTCAAACTATCAGTGAAGAATCATCAGCTGAGTTGATTATAAATATAGGGAGAGTCAAAGTTATATCGGATTCGATTCTTCCAATAACCATGCAAAATTCATCTACTTGACATTTCAGATGGCGCTCGAGTCCTGTCATTCAACTGCTATCGAAAGTTTTGACTAACGAAGAATGATTCCAAACTGGCAGATCGCTTTAGGCGTCAATGGTAGTGGAGCATAGGTAATCGATAGTCCTGATTCCGAATCTCGCCTTGACTTTTGCTGCTAGGTTTCAGAAGTATTAGTTTTTCAGAATATCAGATAATAATGGAAAAAAGAATATTCATTTTTTTCGACCACCCAGGTCGAAACTGTAAATCACAAACTGGTTGAGTAGCTGACCGCTTCTCACGGTATAGATGTTTATTGACTACTCTACATGACCAGAATGTCCCTACTTCACAATGAGACACGCACTTATATAGAGAAGAGAAAGGGAGATGAACGATATCATTATCGTTGCAATATACTATATATTTTAATTATACATTTTCTTGCATAGTTTGTCCATAGCATGTGAAATTATATAGAATAAAATATTCAGAAAAGTTAATAAAACATGACAATATATATATTTTTGTGTTATATTCAAGATTTTGTTGTTAAAATCACATAGTTTAAACTCCTTGTCCACGTGCTTGTTTAATTATTGCTACTGATATCTGCAGTTTGTGGAAACTTTCAGCATTGCCACCTTTGTCTGGATGATATTGCAATGCCAATTGTTTATATTTTTTATTAATTTCATCGTTCGAACAGGACAGTGATAAACTCAAAAATTTGTAAGCATTCTCTACTGCAACAGTTTTCGGTAAATCAAAGAAATACTGCGTCAGCCAGTCCACTAATGCTGAAGCACTCAAAGAACCGGCAACGCCTCCAAGGACGCTACCGATCAATGTGCCATATCCAGGGAGTATAGCTGTACCAATAGCGACTCCCGCAACTCCTCCCGCATAACCACCAAGCACAGCTGCACTACCGTCAATAATTTGTTTTGCACATCTTTTACCAGATATTTCTCCATTCCACCACAAGCGAATACTTTTTAAAGCTTCCCATGATAACTGAACAGCCACAATGGCGATCGGAATTATTTTGCCAGCAACTACTTGGGCACGGGTAAGCGACTGAGATACTGATACAGCTATTAAAGACTTTTCCCCAGTCACGGATTCGACTGTATTCATTATTTGGGATATGATAATTGCTTGCCTATCAGCTGGAATTGCACGTATACCCTGAACAAGATTTAGAAGAGTCTCTCCGGTTTCAGCATAAGTGTGTAGATTATTGGATCCAGGAACATAGACCATAGGTAATTGAGAAACCTGTCTGTAAAATTCTTCATCAGCCATTTGATTATTATCAACAGTATCCATTGTCCCGAAATTACGACTTTCTTGGAGGTATCGTTCAGTCATCATTTTGAATCTTTGGTCATTGCTAATCAGTGCAAATAATGTATTCATATATGTTCTGGTGTTTCCTTGACGACTGAAAAATAGCAGTATATCAACGAGATCCTGATTGTTTGTAAGTATTTCGTCCAACTTTCTAAAGACCTAAATGATGAGCCAAATTAAAATAAAAATGTTGTAAATTTACAAGTGATTATTTTTGGGATTTTAACATGATTCTCTTCACGTACCTTCGTTGCCACTCAGTTTCCTCTACGCTCAGCATAACAATTTGAGAAATCAACTGCAGAGAATCATGTAGAAAACACAAAATTATATAAACAGTATAACAGAATATGTTCATATAATTGAACTTTTTGATAGTAAAAAATATATGAGATATTACTTCACTTTGGTTTGTTGGAATTCTACTTTAAATTCAACTGTCTCCTACCAAGCAAACGGAACTATATATATAAGCTCGAAAAACTCTTTTCAACTATAACATTCGATCTATACAACTTCATTGTTGATCTGATTTCGATTTTGCCAATTCTTACTTGAATTTGGATTTCATTATTGTTGCTGTCTTCCGTCATCATTATTTTAACCTTATTCACTGAAGTATTTGAATAGCGTGCAGCACACTTTGAATATTATACTGGTTGTTGTTGTACCTGAAAGCAGGTATAAAGACTATAACTTTTATTATACTGTATCTTTGACGTCGAACATGGATATAATGTTATTTTCTCTCCTTATTTTATATTAATTTTTTTTGGAGAAAAACACTACGCACACATTAATAACTGGGAATTTCCCACACAGTCAGATAATTTTCAGACTTTTTGATGTAAGAATGCCTATTCTTAGTCACGTTGCTCATAGTATCAGTATGAGAATCATATGATTTTTCTTTCTTCATACATTTAATATTGTTTTTATTACATACATTTTATGAGATAAATGGGTAAGGTATGTAATCTGTTCTCTGGCTTTCACATTGTTAACTTTCCCCTCACTCTGAAGCATGATTTTTTATGATTTTGTTGTACTTTTCACTGAGAATTATTATCGATAAATTGTAAGAATTTGATTTAACTGTTTACTTGAAAATAGAAAGAAATATTACAGCATTATAATGTGCCAACAGACACGTCCATCTAAATATCATATATTGAATAAATTGTTTGCTTGCTTGCTTGCTTATATGTCCGCATGGTCAAAAAAACATCGAAAATAGATTTTTCTGAAAAGATATTTCCAGAGGTATTTCGATGCGGAGACTTCAAATCTGATATTAGTTTTTTGAAATTTTTCATAAAAAAATGATTTTTTCGACAAGGGTTCATTTAAAAAAAAAATTTTTACAAGGGTTGACCGAAGGTGTTTTTGTGTCAAGATCTGGAATTTGGTGTTAAGTTTTTGAGAATAAAAAAAATTTCTGAAACCAAGGGCACTCATTTTCGTAAAAATATGTTGAACCATATGGTACCGGCTATAGTCAAGGTTTAGTGGAAAATCGACAATAGGAATTTGGACCATCTTGCAGATTTGAAAAACTGCATAGGCTTTCCTAGGAGTATTTCGGTACAAATTTTCATGTAGTATCCTACTGCCCAGACCTATCCACACCCTCACATCCTCATATGCACCCTCACTCTATTTCTAGGCAGTTTTTTAAATCCGGCAATATTATCCAAATTCCTATTGTCGATTTTCCGTTTTACCCTGTGGTCAGGCATATGTCGTAAAATATAAATTTTATTTCAAAGAAAATTAAAATATTGAAAATGGCAAGTAGCTATAATATATGAGTCGGTGATTCTTAAAGTGCTCGATTTGGATATGATACTTGATTAGGTCTAACTCTTCGATTTTGATTGTAAAAGAGCAATATTTGTATTTTTTTTCCAATTTCAGGTATTGTCCCTAAACAAACAAATGGAAATAGAAATACAACATAACAACCAAAGAAGAACATAAAATTTTGAATAATCTGTAATGAATTTAATGATAGACCAAATAGATTACATAATTGTAAAATTGTCCATGGAAATTGAAAAATACCAAAAACAATAAAAATTGATAAAACTTGTATAATTAATCTTCTTTGCTTCTTCCATTGTATTGATTGTTTCATATGAATTCTTTGGCGTAAAAAACGAAAGAAAAGTGCAAGAGTTGATATAATAATAATTAATATTGGTATTATTTGATGAAGAATTAAATCTATTTTGAAATGTATTGGATTTAATATAAAACAAGGTAAATATAATCCAAGAACTGTTGATTGAATATCAATATATTCACAAATTGAATATGTGTAAAAAATACTAATAGCATAGTATATTAAACAATACAATGGAATAATTATTAATGGAATATAATGTAAAAGAATTCGTTTTCTTTTGGTTAAAAACCATTGATTATGAAAAATAAATATATGTCTTTCAATAGTACACCAAGCAAAAACAATTGTTTGAGTTGGAAAAAAACCAAAATTCGAATACGACCAAAGTTTTGAAAATGGACGTGTAACTTGCCAATTTCCATTAAGTTGATAATAATGAATAATTAAAGGAAAATCAATACTTTCAATAATTAAATCGATTAAAAGTAAAACTATAATCAGATGATTATTCAATGCTTCACGAAGATTGCGATTGAATAAAAGATGATATAATGCAAATAAACAACATGGTAATGATATCATATTTGATATAAGAAAAATCCAAAATCGAACAGAATATGAAATAGGAAAATCTTCATAAGCTGAAGATTCTTTTAACGTAAAATTCTTATTATATTTTTCCATTGAAAAACAAATAGAATAAATTTCATGGAACATTTTTCATTTATATATAAATAATTTCATGTGGAAAATTTTTTAATATATTTTCTATGATAAATAGAAGAAATTTCTTTGAAAATCAAAATAGAATAAACTTTTAGTGCGTTGTTACGTATTTCACAGATGTTCTTTTTTATTTATCTAATATGACATTCTAGTTTTATTCATGCGAATATATTTATTCGCAAATTAAAAACAGAGATACAAATAATTAAATAAATTTGAATTTGAATATGAGTGAATTGCAGCTTTATTGTGCAATTGATGAAAAAAAATGAAAGTGTGTCTAGAGAGAATCCGATACTAGCATATAGTCCTCCATCATTTGGGTGAGGGTGTGTCGAGCAACCATGACTAGTTTCATCTTCCATTCAAGAAGACTCATTAGATGGCTTATGATTTTTGTATGATTCCCTTTCCCAAACCAACCGAACCATCCCTCATTTTCCGAAACCATGAAGGGTTCTGCGCTACACTTCCCGAACCTTTTCTCATATTACCGAACCATTACGGTTCCGCCATACACCTCTGGAGCCATTCATCCCTTTCCGAAGTCATCAGAGGTTCCGTACTGGACCTCCAGAACCATTGATTCCTAAACGAAGGCCTGAGGGGTTTCGCCCGATACCTCCAGAACCATCGCGATTGACTAGTCAGCACGGCCGGCCAAGTCGATGTAGTGTATGAGTCTGACCCCTTCCGAACCGTCGAGTTTGAGTAGTCAGTCTTTTGTTTTAGGCTGATATATGGCCCTGTTATGGCGTGTACTATCCGGCTAATCATTCAAATGACTTGGCTACATGGAGGTCAATTAGATAGATAAATATATACTTATTTCTTCCCATATATTATTCTTCGCTGTTTAGGTTATATGTTGGGCGGAATGCGTGAATGAAATGTAACTACTTCTTGTCAGCGAATACCTGTGCTTGTGCTTTAGAATTATTTCAGGCCGCCAGTGGTCTGCTAGTAATGGAGAAGCGCGATCAAGCGGATGAGAGAAAGGTAGGAATTTTCATTTTACATAGCTGTTTGGGTGAGTCTATGCTCAGCTGAGAATAGTATGAGCAATTCTCTGAGCGGTGTAGGTAGAGTGTTCTTGTGAGTGAGTAATCCTTTTCCATGAGAGTCTTTTTCTGTCTGGTCCTGCCCAGTACGGTAAGACGCCAGCACAGTAGAGTATTTCACTAGTTCTTCCTTTAAAAATCATATTTACACTACCAGACATCTGATCCTCGACGAGCTAGAAGGTTTATACATAGATGAAATTGTTTTGAGTTCTATTCAGGCATGTCATATATGATATACACAAGAAACTGAAAAGTTACAAATGTTTCTAGGCGCTACTTAAGTAAAAGTAAGCGTGAGAACTGAATTGAAGCAGTTCGAAAGATTTTTAACTTTCCAGTTTCTTGTGTATATCATATACGGCATGCTTGAATAGAACTCAAAACAATTTCATCCATGTATAAGCCTTCTAGCTCGTCGAGGATCAGATGTCCATTTATAATATAAGTCGAATTAGGCAACTCATGACTGACAGGCAAACTTTAAGCATTCGAGCCCAGTATTCAGCCGCTGTGTATTCCTTTCCTTCAGAAAAGAGAATAGTTCGAAGCGATTTGCCATGTTTTATTACTCGAATGATTACGATAACGACGACGTATCACACAAGCACAAGCATGTTGATGACGTTCAAGTAAACGCTTATTTACATGTAGTGGCAATGACAAGCCCGAACGAACTTGACTAGTGGACTTCTAACTTTTATCAGACGACTAATGTTGACAACAGTTTCAGTGACATGTCAACAGATGTTTTCCTACTCGCTGTAGTATGATAGGCAACGGCGAACTAGACAATTATCGCTAAATCAAAAATAGTAACAGTCGCTTGACGAGGTTGATACGACGCTATCTTTTCTTTCCACTAAGGACACCGGAAAATGTCTGATCTGAATTTCTTCTTCATCTCTTAAAACATTATTGCCATTAACATCCACACTGAGAGAACGGTACACCTTCTATGAAGCGATAGAATCATCAGTATTTGATACACTTTCTAGATACGTATTCATCAAATACCGACCGATCTAATCGTACTGCGTGATGCCGACGTTAATAGACGTCTAGCAGTTTCCCGCAAGTTCAATTGGATACCCTCGTGCACACTAGTTTGACATGAATGTAATCTATTCAATCAATTGCTGATATATTTGAAAAGGTTAAACCACTCATGATCGTTAATTGATTTCAAAGGCGAATTAAAATTTTGTGTAACGTTTTGAGCATACAGACTTAGTTTTTCCCTTTGTTCTATGAGGAGAACCAAAGATTGGTTTTGATTGATGATGAAATGAGCCAATAGCAAATGCGCTCGAGTTAGCGTCTCTTTTTCCTTTCCAGACTTGATTAGTAGTAGGTTTTTCTTATTATTTGTTGACAATTCTTTAAAGAATGGGTAGCTGTCCTAGCACTCCTAGTGAGTTCGCTTCGAAAAGTCTCGATCCGTTATGCAATGGCGAACGAATGTGGACAACTTTTCTATTTTCGTCACTATTCACGCTTTTTGGCGGATGGTTCATTATTCTCATATACGATTTTACCAAAGCATTAGCTATAAAACCACGGCGATTAAGACTTATTTCGGCAGTAAAGCATCTACTCCAAATAAATGACGTAAGTTTAGGGATATCGTCGTGAACATTGTTCATTTGCGCACATGTGAATATTCGATAGTTTTCTACAAGACGACCAAGCCTACCGTATACAGTATCGAATCGACGCAATGATGAGGAGAACGAAGATTATTTCAGTTGGTTACAAGCAATTAAAGAGTGGGAGAACAACTTAATATCGGGCCAAACAAAAATGGGAAAAACATTGGTTTGTTTTTCTTTCCTCGACGATATTTCACAATTTCTTTCTCGTTAATAGGTAGGAATCATCTTTATTGGTAGTATTGCTTCATTGATACTCTACTTTGTCGATACAAAAAATGCGTAAGTTCCTATAGAATATAAAATCAATTAGTTTTTCATTGCCCTGTTAATTCCTCCGAGAGTTGATCGTTTAATCTCCGGTGCATAGCTCTCTATACTAGAAATGAAAACTTCGCAAGTGTTGATGAATAAAGTAACACTATGCCGAGTGCTTATGAGTATAAAATTGCGTTTTAATTAGTTTTATCATCATGAAATTTAACGTGAAACATCTGCTAGCTGAGAAATAATCAAGAAGAATGATTGATGTATAACAAAAAGCAGCGGCCACCGTCGGTTGTGTCATAAATGACAGAACTTCCTGTTGCATGCTTTCAACAAATGAACATTTTACACAAATATTGTCAGACAATGGTAGTAAACAGGAAAGAACAATGCTCAGCCGAGTTTGCCTGACTATTTTCACTCAGTAATTTCAAATTTATGGCATGAGAGTGAATAAAGCAATTATGTTAAAATATTGATGACAGAAAAACGATGTAAATAATTGAAAACAAAATATCGAAAACTTTTCTTTAGGTTTATTGAATCTTGTACTGATATCAATAGATCGGTCACTATGCAAGCTGATCTTGGTTTGAATGTTCTCTTTTTGATCTATTTCTTCTTACGAGTTAGTTTCATGTCGAACTTATTTTACCTTGACAAATATAAAACACATTTAGTTTACTGCTTCACAACACAAACGACGATTTTGGTTTAGTCTCTATTCAATTGTTGATATGTTTACTATCCCACCATCGTTTGTAGCATTGTATCTCAATCGCAATTGGATTGGTAAATTCTAAGCTCTACTCACTGTTTTCTCGACGATCTCTGATCTCCTCGTAGGCTTTCGTTTTCTTCGAGCTATTCGCATAATGAATACTCCCGATATTCTACAATATATGGGCTTAATTGAACGTCCACGAACAATACGTATTGTTCAGCTTGCATCGCGTTTTATCGCTGTTTGGATTGCATGTGCTGGCGCAGTTCACCTAGCAGAAAATTCGGGTGACTTTTTCTGTAATTTTGAAAACGCGCAAGAAATCGATGTCTTCAATGCTATCTACTTCATGATTGTTACAATGACGACAGTAATTTATATTTCATTGCGTATTCTTCTTGTGCAATATGAGGTAATTTTAGGTCGGTTATGGTGATGTGTATTGTAAAACATACATCGGAAAGTTTTTCATGCTTATGTTTCTCATTGGTGGATTGGTAAGGGAGAAAGTATAAAGAGGATTTCGAGTCGACTTTGTTTTTTGTTTAAAGGCATTTTTTGCAACGATGATTCCGGAATTTTCGAATCTATTCGGAACTAGTGGTCAATATGCAGGTCGTTATCGAATCGTCAAAGGCAAACGGTAAGAGAGAAAAAAAAACGAAGTTTTATCCAGGGAAATATAGTTCTTTCTCCTCTGTCTTAATATGATTTTATTGGTGACTGACGAGTTCATTTGAATGTCAGGCAATTATTATATGCATAAAAATATAAATATTCATCATGAGAGAAAATTTCTTGGAGACTTGGATAGAAAGCCTAATTCACGTAATTGAAGACGGCTCAGTTGCAGAGATAATCAAACTGTCGTACAGAATAAACAACAACAAGGTCTACAAAATCCTATGCATGATTGATATTGTTATGTCTATACGAGTCAGCACTACTATCAGAAGAGAAACCTCTTGACATTACTCTTGAGAGATAATCATGAAAGGATAGGAAAAGTTTATTTTCTGCGCTAATAGAATTCAATCAAGGTTGTATTTAGAATATTGAATAGAATTACTCGGCTGAGACGAGCGAAACAAGAACGATTTAGATATATGATTGATCTACATTAGACAGTGGTCGATACTTAATTGAAGAACATGAAATGTTTCGATTTTCTCTCATTGCTATTGGCATAAACTCCATTATCAATCAACAAGTCTCGTTTCGATACTTTTCTCATGCGTGCTTCAATGAGGAAAAAAAACAAGCGTACTATCGTGTTTTAGCCATGTGGTCATCTGTGGACATATAACACCGCACTCGATGACAACATTTCTACGTGATTTTCTCCATAAAGATCGCGATCAAGCTGAAGAACTTGATGTCGTCATAATTAATAAGTAACATACAATCCTAATGCAGGAAAGTCAAAGTAGTCAATGGTTTCCCCACTTTTGTTCGAAGGAAAACACCAGAGATCGAAATGGAAGCGCTGTTGAAACGGTATTACACAAAAGTTCAATATTTCGTTGGAACGGTTATGAATGTCGCTGATTTGCATCGAATCCAAGTAAAATAATTGGAGAACTGCCTAACATTTAAGCGTGAAATTTATTCAGGTTGATAAAGCAACAGCTTGTTTAATCATCGCTGATAAAGAATGTCCCGATCCGGATGGGGACGATTCAGCAAATATCATGCGCGTAATCAGCTTGAAAAATTTCAATCAACGTATTCGAGTTCTTTTACAACTTTTACATTACAAGAACAAAGTAACGAATTGCTGAGAGAAGAAGTGTAGTGTTCTGTACAGGTAAATGTGAAATGTTTAGATGAATGTCGCATCTATACCGGGTTGGAGCGCGAAAGATGGAGATGAAATCATCTGCATTGCCGAATTAAAACTTGGCTTAATTGGCATGTCGTGTACAGTACCTGGATTTTGCACGATGGTATGGAAACAATTGAACCTCGATGTACGATTATTTGACTTTTTTAGATGACCAATATCTTTCGTATGTCAGCCTACAAGACACGTTCAGCACAAGAAATGGTACGTAAATCACATAATCTTGTCTAAACATTAGTTGTCTCGGTTCTGTTCGATGCTGAATGTATTTCAATCGATGTAGTTCGATTTGTTGCACAGAAAATGCCATTAGAAAAGAAAAGCTTGGAGGATACTAGTCCAAAAGGTTTAAAATACACAGTTGAATAACCCTTCTTCTCGTAGTTCTGCGTCTGTTGTAAAGATTCAAGTTTTGATGATGAGAATGTAAGTTCTTATCTTATTCATGGGGGCGTTATTGTGTGCTTTTGATGTGTGCATATAATTTAAACTACTACAGGGATATATATATATATATTTTTTTTTTTCCATCAATAAAAATATCGAAGAACGGTCAAGTAATTCAATGATACTAAATCATTGGAACAAAGATCATTTCATATTTTCGTTGATTATTCATATTTATGCTTCTCACATCCAACATTTATTCTTCATTGATCGTTTTAAAAAGTAATCAACGGATTTGAGTGTTTAATAGACGCAAGCTTGGCATTGGCGAGAGCTGTACCACCGTGGTGCAGCTATGGAGATGTACTTAGAAGAACTACCACATTCATTTTTTGGAAAGACATTTACTGAAATGGCACTGTAAGTTGAACTCTAGCAAAACAAACCTCACAGTTGTCTTTATGCTCGTTTAGAATTTGCTTTAAACTTCGAGTCATGATCCTAGCTGTTGAAATAAAACATACGGATGAAAATGGAAATACACGACTGGTTGTCGAAGTTGCGCCCAAGAATGATTGTATTATCCTTCCTGGGACTCGAGCTTTTATGGTTTGCAGTTCGAGTGAAGATGCAAAAAGGTAACGAAACATTTCAATTCTTTTTTGTCAGTTGAATTCTTGATATCGTTTGGATATTCAGAGTGAAATATTATTGTTCTACTTGTTATCCTGATGTTAACCAACTAAAACCTGCACAATTGAAGCGAATGAGAAAGTGTCGACACAGTAATCTAATTTTAAAAGATTTGTTTCTTCTCACCTTTGGTACCATTCTAGCAGTTTCTCCAGCAGAAATGTTACCATTCCAAGCACGTTCGGAAAGCCAAGCTTCCATTGGCAAGGAAAAATCGCAAAATCCTATTGTGTACATAGAAGATTTTGAGATAATAAAAAAAAACTCGCCTCTTCGTTATATTTAGGCGTTTGTTGGAAGGCGACGTTCAGCGTCCACTACTGATCTGTCAACCCGAACAGACTGATTCAGCATCACTGACACACAGTGAACCGTGCGTATCATATATGAATGTGAATTCGTGTTGCTTCTGTGTATATTCTTACCTGCTTTGTTTTCTTATTCATTGCACTGCATGTAAGTTCAATTGTTTGTTATTCCCCATAATTATATCTGTCTTTCTCAATGAATCGAATTAAAATTTGTTCTCTAAATCTTGAAACAGACTGATGGACGAAAATATATCGAACTTTGACTCCACTGGGATGTTTTATTTCACTCCACCACGACGTATTGAAGAAGCTGTTCTGGTATGTAGTTTGAAATCAGTTCAAAATTTTCATTATTTGATTGATAGCATGTGGAATCGTTACGTGAACGTCGTCTGGCATTCCGTCGACAGAATACGATGAGAAATGGCAAAACAATAGGTTTTCAACAAACACACCTCGCACCCCCTTTGCATCCAGTCCATTTTCAAGATCGTACGTTACAATCCGGAACGATTCATTTGATTACCGTTAATCTCTCTGGTTCTCCCTAGATGTTATCGTTTGTCTTCATGCTGACAAAGCATCGCCGACCATTGGTCTACGTAATTTTGTCATGCCGCTTCGTGCTAGTTCATTTCATCGTCACGAATTGCCGATAATTATATTTGTTACCGATCTTGACTACATAAGAAATGAGTGGGATATGATCTGTACATTTCCTGATATCTATATTCTCAATGTAAAGCTTCGGCAAAGAAAAAAAAAGGAATTTGTCTTTTATAAAACTATCTGCTTGTTATTGTTAGGGTTCACCAAGTAATCCATACAATTTGCAGCTGATATGTATACAAGATTGTCGTCAGTGTGTGATCATATCGACATTAGATCGAGAAAATCAAGATACGTATCTCGTCGATAAATCATCTGTACTTTGTACGTTGAATATCCGACAAATCGAAATGAAATCAGCTGGCTATGTTTCCGTGATGAACTTAACTGGACAAAACACATCGGATATGATGGCAAATCAAACAAAAGCATTGCTTCAGAATACTATTCGAACATTAACAACATTAAGTAATATTATTTGAATGTTAACCTTTTTCTTACGTTTTCATTCTAGCTATTGATTCTAATGTTCAATATGTTGAACAAGGTACAGATGTTTTTCTTTCACAATGGCTATTGAATTATTGAGGGTTTTTAGGGGATACTGACGAAGTTGACCTGGAGTTCTATTTAACAACACCGTTTGCATCTGGTACGTAGTTTTCATCACCAAGAAATTCAACTGACCTTGATTTGTTGAAGGCGCGGCATTTGCAGATAGTGTTCTCGATTGCATTTTAAGTTGTGTAAGTCGAACTTGTTCTATACCAATTCCTCCTATCAATAATCTCACTTTTAAGGCTTATTACAATGATAATGCAGTCAATTTACTTCGTAATATTTTAACGGGCGGTGTTGATTTACAATTAGAAGAAATTCTCGCTGAAGGTGGTGGTTTTAACCGTTGTGAATCATTTGATATACTAAAAAAGCGAAATCGTGCTCGTGTTGCTATTCTCGAAATCCGAGAATTAATACCAGACATTGATATTCGAGTATGAAACCAAACTTTTGCTTATCTTTTATCCATTATCTGTACTCGTTCACTTTTCAGACAGATCCAGTTACCTTCAGTGTACTATTCTGTGAAGCTATTCAACGCCACCAGATGATTGTCATGGGTATATATCGTTTGTTAGATGTATTACTTCGAAATGATCCTAAGATTAACATGAGTCAATTTACCGGTGGTCACAAGCGGATTGTTCTTTGTTATCCACCATACAATTATCATATGGATCCGTCGGATATGGTTCGTAGTTTGTAGATTATCATCTTATGAAAGACTTTGGTTATTTTAGGTCTATGTGATGCAGCAATCTCGTCCATTTGATCAACTTTCTCGACAGAACTCTTGCTCACTACCACAAACGCGATAGATAGACTTTTTTCTCGACATAGCTATTGTATTTTAAGAAAGTTTTTTTTTTACTATAATTATTACCTTTTATCAGCGTGTATGTCATCATTCTGCATTTAATTATATCAGTGATTATGTTTCCACTAATGACGTATTCAGAAATGGTGTAGCGAGTGAGTGCAGTCGATGAGCACGTTGCTTTGCAATCAAGTCTTATCACAATATATCGTTTTTTGTGAAAGCGTTTGGGAATGTTCGCTTTTTCGAAAACTACCACAGGGCGTTATACACCTATACGTTTCCCGCCTCGGTTACGCTACTAGTTTCGACTGAAAAACAATTTACAGTTTTACATCAGGACACTTCGACAAAAAAAAACATGTTGTGATAAAAAATTTGAGGTTATTATATAATGTTCTAATGTAAATTATTGCATCATTTCAAACAAATACAATCTCATCATTCTATACACGTTCAATTGACCAACGTAACCAACACTCGTTCTCTGTCGTTTATCAACATACGCATCGAAATGAATGAGTAATATGATGATTAATCGTTTTTTATCAATACTTGCGATCTTTCGCAGGAATTATTCAGTTTGTTTTCGTTCTCCGCTCTGAAAATATAATACGTGTCACACACTTCCATTGGAAAATTCTCCATGAATGAAAACATGCGTTAATTGAGTTTCGAAATGCTACAGTTACTACAATACACGAACCAATCACTGACGTGGTGAATGTTTTCTATCAATGAGTCACATTGTAAGGCAATGAGAGAGAGAGAAAAAAAAATGAAATATCGACTTGTCAGGTAGCTACAAGGTTATTCTGTTTCATTTGATCACATTTTCGCTCGTTTCGGTTTGCTATTCACAAGACAATCTTTCGTCTAACATTCAGCAATGTAAGCATCTATTTTGTGATTAAATCTGATATTTAAATAATGAGTTTTTATCTAGGGAAGGAGGTATCGCTAATCCAAATTATCAACCCGGCAATGTTTATTATACATCGCCAGGTCAATTTCAACATTTGCAAGGACAAGTCAATGACGTATATAGGATAAAACGCATTGGCTTCTTGCTAAAGATTAAATTTATTATAGGTGACGGAAATCATGAGAAATAACATTCGATTAGGATTGGAACGTGGTGCAAATCTTGATGATCTTGAAATTAAAGCAGGTAAAATATCCCGATTGAGATGAATTTTATTGATCACAACTGTTCAGAGGATTTGAGTAATACTTCCAATCAATTTGCCAACAATGCACACCGAGTTCGACAAAAATTCTGGTGGCAAAATGTGCAGGTAGATCCACACACATCTATTTTATCAATATCCTCTTCGTTTTATAATAGATGTGGATTCTCATTGGTGTAATCGTTATTATTCTTATTGTTATCATCGTTGGTAAGATGAACACAGTTCTATCTCGAAAGATTATTCTTATTCGATTATTTTTAGTACTTTCTGTCCTTGCCGCACAGAAGAAAATTTAATTCGAAATTTTATCTCAACACAAGCAGTCAATGTCTTTCATTTTCTCGTTTTTGGTCATAGTTATATGTTTGTTATCAATCTGTATGTTTTTTTTTCTAAATAAACAAACCGCGGAATATTTGCTAGAAAATCTCAAAACTATGAGCATATCATATACAAACGTTAAGTAAATCTTGCAATTGCGCATCGTGGATATGACAATAGTGAGTGAAGTTGTTGTTCGAAAATGTCGATACGTCATTAACGCGCTTGTAGATAATGCAATTTGTCTTTTACTGAATCATATCATAAACTGATAAAAACTCCTGTGACTAACCAACAAACTGATATTGAGATATGTAAGCGTTTCTTTTCGGTTTCATTTTCGATTCTTATTTTTTCAGAAACAACTATGTAAGAACTTTCACTAGCCTACGTTTCTTAGAATTAGTTTTCCGTGTTACTCTAGGACAGCGACATTTAACAATCCAAATTATCAACCGACTAGCGTTCGTTATACTCCGTCGACACATATTCAACAATTGCAGGACCAAACAGACGAAGTCAGTTTCGAAGAGAGTTCGATTCCGGTGTCGCACATATGTTCAATTAATTGATTTAGATTGTAAGTATACAGAAGAAAACTTTATCAGGATTACTCGATCGTGGAACAAAACTTGATGATTTAGAGTATAAAGCAGGTTAGTGGAAGAAGATTGTCGAAAAGGAAAAAGAGACTTTCTCACATTCATTTAGATGAAATGGCCCGAGCTTCAGATATGTTCACTATCACCACAGGAAAACTCAAAAAACGGTATCAAATCAAGAACTTTAAGGTAAACATGTCTATAACCTTCACCATTCGATAATAACCTTTCACATCTTTTATAGATGACTATTATTCTAGCTGTTATTGTCATCGTCATAATAACAGCTATTATAGGTATATAAATGTTCTTTTTTTTTTGTTTTCATTGTATAAGAATACATTTGATTCATTCTAGTTACTGTTGTACTATCAGTCAAATCCAAAGCTTAGGCTAATACTGACTTGTCATTCTTCTAACATGTCTCTTTACATACCGTATACTTTGTCATGTTCATGAATCTTTTTTGCACTAACAATGTAATAAAATGATAGACGAACGAAACGTTCATGTGAATCCAAGCCAGTTCTCTACTTAAAGTTAATGAGTCTTTTATGAATAAATGTAGGGCAAAAGAGACATTGTTGAACGCTGTTTACATGCATGAAAGTTAGCGTTTTATAAAATATCTTTCGAGTAAATAGTGAGTGCATATAAAATATTTGAGAGCTCTTGTCTGTTGACCTTGGAAATCATTTTTGATATTCAAGGAGTAGAGTGTACTTTACACACATTCTACCTTTTCAACGGTATAAAAAGTTTTAATGGAAGCTATAAATATTTGGTACCTTTCACTTTAACAGCCGTGTGCTTCTTCATTAGAAGCCAAAATGGGAAGTCGTAAAAAAGAATATAAAATGCTTATGATGGACGATGGCGCCACTTGTCGATCGGATTTTTAAATGATCAAATCTTCTTTTTTCGAAAACTCGCAATCAAATTTTTTCATTTTATCGAGTGGATTATTCAAAAAATATGGAGAAATTCTACTGTACCTAGAGGTCATTATTGACAAATCTATGGTGTAAATGCTCATCGAATGAGAATGAAATGAACGTTAGAGAACGGCAAATACGCAAGCAATTTCTTCGTTCGTTCATTCATACATTCTAGAAGAAAAAAAAGCGCTTCCTGCTGATTGATTGACAGGGTTATCCCTTGCTTCTAGCATAATGTATTGCGTTGCCACATTCATCTCTGCATATACTCAGATAGGAAAGAGATAGTTTGCTCGTCCATGTTCATAAATTGACCTCGGAAAGAAACGAAAGAAGATTCTTCAACTACTGTCATGCTTCTTCTTCAACCGATTGAATAATCATTGACAAGATTACAAGGCAAACCAATTATTCCGTATATCTAAGCGATACTGTTCTTTTCATTATTCTCTAACATCTCGACGTATAACAAATATTAATGGCGACTACAGCTCAATCGACTAATCTCGAATTACCTTTGGATATTCAACAAAAACTTCAAGAACTCGAACTTGAACTAGCTGAAGGTACGACTAGTGCGTAATTTCAGTCGTGAAAGTACAGCTCTGCGTTTTCTAGGTGATATTACACAAAAAGGTTTCGAAAAGAAACGTCTTAAATTGCTTGCTTCACACCAACAACAATCAGGTAAAACATATAACATTAATTTTGGACAAAGCCTAGAAAAACACTTTCTCATTTCAGCACAAAATCCAGTTTATGTGAATAACATTAACAACAATAATAATAACAATCATCATCAACATGAAAAATCTTCCCATCGACCATCAAAAATCCAATGTCGCCGTCAAAAACGTGATGGATACAATCGATATCATTCAGGTACGCTCTTCACCTTGAATTATATCTTATGTTCTATTTTGCCGTTTAGATGTTCGTCAAGAAGCAGTCAAACAAGCATTGGAACAATATGGAGCTCGTCCTATCCCTTCATCAAAGCGAGCTCTCAATCCTCAAACGAAAAGTAAAATTTTTTGGAAAACTACGTTTCATTCAGCAAAGCATTCATTTTCATGTAGACGAATCATCAGATGACGATGACATTGATGATGATGATCAAAGTAGTTCCACATATGCGACTACTGATGATCAACAAAATAAGGAATCATCGATTTCACCCGTTCCTATTCCGATACAAAACCATCATTATCAAAATCCTCCTACAGTTGAAGCTATTATAAAAAGTAGAAATTGCTAAATTCATTATGGTCATCATACTCTTTTCCGTTTGTTTCGAAGATATACAAGCACCAACGGCACCACCGCCTCCTCTCTTTTGCTCATCAACATTCTTATCCGATTTCATTCATCGGAGTCAAGAACCATCACGTAAATATCGAGACAGCTAAACTTTTTCTTCTCATTACTGATTGAAATCTCTTGAGAATCGTGGATTTCTTTCGTATATAATTCCCATTCGTCATAGAAAAAAAAAGTTTTTTCTTCTCTCGTAGTATCGAACATTGAATGTGATCTAACGCGAAGTGCTGGCGCACGTTATCGGGATTCGAATTCGGATTATGTTAATACAAGTCAACAACATTATGTTTTATATGGAGATCGCAATGCATCTGCTGATTCATCGATATCTATTTCAAACTCAATCAATCAAAGCGAAGGTATAATCAATAAATCAGCAATGATCGATTAACAATATCTATTAATTTGAATCATAGATGAATGTTCGTTGTATTTACAGTAGTAACAACGAGAGAAACTATGTCCATGAACGAAAAGTGAAAAAGACAAGTCTTCTCTTTCCTCCCTCCCTCTCTCTCGCTCTCACGCATACACACACACACACACGAACGCACACATTAACATCGTTCTTTGAAAGACATCGCATACGTAGACTCAGTTGACATTTCAATTCACTTCTTTTCTTTCTCCTTTTATGTGGTTGATTGTCGTATATGTATACATACATAGGAGACCTTATCGTTTCACGAGCAAAATACAAAAAAAAAAAAGAAAAAAAAGAATGTAAAGAAGTAAAGAGTAATCAACAGTTCACCATTCATCTGAGCCCTAAAGACAGTATTGATGATGATGACGATGAGCGGACAGGAGAAATACCATAAGGTGACAGACGATCAAGACGTTATAATATCTTGCACCAGACGAACCGCCCTCGGTATTATTTTTGTATAATAGGATCGAATCATCCGATGCTTATTATGTATATTTAGAACGTAAACCAAGCTTACGTGTTTCATCGAAAATTCTTGCACTTGTCAATACATTAAAAGTATGTCATCTCATATCCAAGACGAATGAAACAAGCAAATGACTTTTTAATCTTTTTTAATACTTGATTAGCGTCCGAAACGTAAACCGATGAAAGAATATTACGAGGATAATGAAGAAGAATTAGCAAGTAAGTTGACCTCCACAGAATTATTGCAAACTATGTCTTCCGTTTCGATATAGTGCCACCCATCGATCCTCTTGCTCCAAGGCCAGAAGGTGGAATATCGGTTCCGTCATGTGGTGAACAATTAGTTGTTTCATCGCAGTGGCCCAAAACCTTTCTAGCTGCATTACAACAACATGCTCTCCAACAACCTCGCACCAATGCTATTACAATACTTGATGAACAAACAAAACCCTCACAAACACTTACATTTCGTAAGTCGATCAAGTCCGTCATTTTTCTTTCTTCATGTTTAAAGAATAGCAATCGATTTCACTTCATTACTTATCACCAGAGATCAATCTATAGCATGATTTCTACATGAACGAATCTTTCTCTTTCAGTTAAATTATTGACGCGTTCACAAAAGATCGCGTATAATCTTCTTCACAAAGTTCATTCACATGGTAATACCGGCAGTAATTCACGAGAAAATTTACTCAAACCAGGCGACCGTGTACGTAAAAAAAGTGACATACAATTATTGTTCATGGCAACTATTTTCTTTAGGTGGCTCTGGTTTACTCAAGTAATGATCCGATTAGTTTCATTTGTGCTTTCTATGGATGTCTACTTGCTGGCATCGTTCCCTTGCCTATCGATGTACCGTTAGCACGTCGAGTAAATAGAAATTTGTATGAAAAAAAAAATGAAATCTATATGCGATACATTTTAGGACTGGCTTTCCCAACGTATCGGTATTCTCCTTGGTCAACTATCCATAAAAGTTGCACTAACATCGGATTCATGCTATCGCCAATTGCCAAAAGTGCAACAGCACACAGCGACGTCTTCAGCAGCAAATCTAAATGAGATCGTTTCATTCAAAGGCTGGCCCAATTTGATTTGGTTCATAACCGAACATTTAACCAAACCGCCAAAAGATTGGACTATCACTGATTTGCCACGATCATCTTACGAAACGACACCAGCCTACATTGAGTACACATCTGTCAAAGATGGTAGCATTGTTGGCGTCACCATTAATTACGAACAATTATTTGTACATACTCAAACACTTGTGAATGCATGTAAATATACATCCACGGACATATGCTTATGCTGTGTGGATTATAAACGTCAAATCGGCTTGTGGCATACGATTCATGCCAATATTCTTTCGGGTATGCAAGTTATATTTATTCCAACATCAATATTAAAATCTCAACCATCATCCTGGTTATTGTCGATCACAAAATATCACATCACAACTGCTATTGTACGTTCACGGGATATGCATTGGGCAGTATTAGCTGTACGTGAAATGACAAATGCATCACCGACAATAAATTTATCATCATTACGATTATTATTGATAAGTGATGGCTCCAATCCATGGTCATTAACTGCTGTCGATACATTTCTTTCAACATTTGTTTCCCGAGGTCTTCGTTCCGATTGTTGCTGTCCTTGTTCATACTCATCTGAAACATTAACACTATCCATTCGGCGACAGTATCATTCATCTTTGTCAACGCATCAATCAGGTCGTGGAATACTTTCTATGCACGCGTTAAGTTATGGCGTTGTGCGCGTTGATCAAGATAATAGTTTAACATCATTAACAATTCAAGATGTTGGACATGTACTACCTGGTGCTATCATCGGCATTATCAAAATCGATGGGCCACCATTGCTTTGCCAAACAGATGAAATTGGCGAAGTTGTCATCTCATCAAAAGCAACACCGAATGGTTATTGGGCCTTACCTGGACTATCAACAAACGCATTTAAAGTTATACCATTAGGATCGGATGAACGACCTATTGGTACTCAGGAATTTGTTCGATCTGGCTTACTTGGATTTCTTGGTCCTGTGAGTCGACAAAACAGCTCTCAAATCGGAGTTAATTCTTTTCTTTCTAGGGTGGTCTTCTATTTGTCACGGGCAGCCGCGAAGGTCTGATGCAAGTGGCTGGCCGAAAACATAATAGCGATGATTTAATCGCTACAGCCTTGGCTGTTGAACCGATGAAAGTCGTCTATCGTGCACGTGTGGTGATCTTTTCCATACGTGTTCTACGTGACGAAAGAATAGTTATTGTTGCCGAACAACGACCTGATATCGGCGAAGATGAATGTTTTCAATGGATGAGTCGTGTCCTTCAAGCAATTGACTCCATACATCAAGTGGGAGTCTACTGTCTTGCTCTATGTCCAGCAAATACATTACCTAAAGTATGGAAGCTCACACGTGTCGATTTGAAGTGCGAACACGTTTGATTTATATTTGCAGAGTCATTCGGGTCTGATCCATGTTCAAGAAACGCGCCGACGCTTATTGGAAGGCAATTTACACCCATGCTCGTATGATAAACAGAGGAAAATAGGCATCGTTTGATTTTGGCTCTTTAGAGTATTGATGTGTCCACATTCATGCATTTTGAATTTGCCCAAGCCACGCGAACATCATCCTGAACGAGAAGTGGGCCCAGGTGCAATTCTAGCCGGTACGATTATTCAAGGTATGCGTTTAGCTGAGGCAAAAGGTGCAGATATGACTTTCAACGACGAGCAAGAAGCCATGGAACAAGGAAAAAAGGTAGATTCTAATACAAAAATAAGTTCGTCATTATAATTCGTATTTGCAAATTAGTTTCAATACATTGATGACATTCTTCGATGGCGTTCGATGACAATGTCCGATCATGTTCTCTATTCAGTGATCAATGCTAAAGTCAGATATTTTCTTGCATATTGAACTATTCAATCGAAATTTTGCATTATTATATTAAGGGTCAAGAATCTGCCCACATCACCTGTTCAGCTATGCATAAACGTAGCGAACGTATCGCATTGACAATGCTAGATCGAATTGAATTGAAATCATCCGATCATGTTGCGTTATTGTATCCACCATGTGTAGATCTTGTTTCAGCATTTTATGCTTGTTTATATATTGGTAATAGGAAAAGGATACATCTTAGGCAAATAAACTTGTTCTCCTGCCCTTTAGATGCTGTACCAGTGTCAATTCGACCACCACATGCTCAAAATCTTTTGAATACATTATCAACTGTAAAAATGATGATTGAATTAAGTCAAGCCAAAGTTATCCTAACGACGAGTTCGATAGCCAAACTACTTCGGTGTAAAGTAAGTTTAGTATCAATGTTCACAGTCTTCGTTGCTAACTCATCTCGTTCTGTTTTCAAGGAAGCGGCAACACTGCTCGATCCAAAACTATGGCCATTGATTATTGATACAGATGATTTACCCAAACAAAAGAAAAATCAAGTTCTTCCAAAAAAGTCAACATCCACGCAAGCTCAATCACTTTGTTATTTGGATTTCAGTATCTCAACCACTGGATCATTAACTGCTGTGAAAGTAAGTGAGAAGTTGTACTGAGATGTTATCTATACGAATGATTTTATAATCTAGTTGTCATATGGTGCTATTGGTAATTTATGTCGCTCAATTAAATTAGCTTGTGAGCTGTATCCAAGTCGAGAACTTGTTCTCTGTTTGGATCCCTATAATGGGCTTGGATTAGTACTCTGGTGTATAATTAGGTAAATGTCGATTCATTTGTTGTATTTAGCTAACAATTACCTGTGGATATTTTCAGCATCTATGCTGGTCATCATTCAATTCTGATCGATCCAGCTGAAGTGGAGCTCAATCCATCAGTATGGATGAACACAATTAGTCATTACAAAAGTAACTATTTACCAATGTACGGTTTTCTGATCGCTAATCGTCTTTTCTCTAGTTCGTGATACTTTCTGTTCCTACTCGGTGATGGAACTTTGTACAAAAGGATTGAGTACATCCATTGTTGATCTAAAAGTGAGTTTTCTGTTGAAATTCTCAAATTAATCAACATCCTACATATGTTCTAGAATCGTGGGTTATCATTATCATGTGTACGCACATGTGCTGTTGTCGCCGAAGAACGACCACGTTTACAATTATTGAATTCTTTTGTAAAACTATTTCAAACATTAGGTCTTAATCCTCGAAGTGTGAGCACAACATTTGGCTGTCGAGTCAATATCGCCATTTGTCTACGAGGTGCAAGTGATCCTGATCCAGCACCTGCCTACGTTGATCAACGAGCATTGAGAAATGATCGTGTAACTCTAGTCGAAAAGGGTAGTCCGCATAGTTTATGTTTATTAGAATCAGGAAAAGTAAGAAGCACGTCTATTCGCATCCCATTGGTCTATTTCGATATTTTAGCTTTTGCCGGGCGTAAAAGTTGTTATTGCGAATCCGGAAAGTAAAGGACAATGTGCTGATGCACACTTAGGTGAAGTAAGTATCCGATTGATTCTGTTCTTGTCCCATTTATGAAATTTCGTCATCCTATCATTTAGTTATGGGTTCAAAGCGGCCATAATTCACTTGGTTGTCAGATAATTAGCTATGGTGATAACAATCAACAACAAGGATCAAATCAGAATTCAGATCAATTCTATTCACACTTGGCCACGGGTGATACACGACAGTTATATGCTCGAACAGGTTATCTCGGCTTTGTTCGTCGAACAGATTCGATTGCAGCAGATGGAAGTACGTCTTTCAACTAAATGAAGTCGAAAGCAGTGTGCAGCAAACGAATACTTTGTATTTTAGAAAATCACGATGCCGTCTACATAGTCGGCTCTTTGGATGAAACACTTCTCATTCGTGGTATGCGTTATCATCCGATTGATATTGAGAATACAGTTATGCGTGCACATAAACGTATCTGTGAATGTGCTTGTTTTACATGGACAAATTTATTGGTCGTTGTTGTCGAATATGACGGCCTCGAACAACACTCACTCGATCTTGTTCCGTTAATAACAAGCGCTATCCTTGAAGAACATTATGTGATTGTTGGCGTTCTTGTCATCGTTGATCCGGGCGTTGTACCGGTCAATTCACGTGGTGAAAAACAACGTATGCACTTACGTGATGGTTTTGTATCAGATCAACTTGATCCTATATTTGTTGCATATAATATGTAGCTTCCCTTCCTGTATATACAATCATACAAGTTCTCACCTTTCGCTCGCTAATACTCACCGAATCTTTGGCAGATATTTTTTAATAAAATAATCCCAAGCAGAAGAGATTTGTTTTTGTAAGAAAGACAAAAACAAACAATATAAACAGTAGTAGTCATTTTGGATCTTTGATATCGTCTTTTGTGTTTGTTTTTGCACATATGAAAATCGAATTCGAATAAAACTTGCACGTGTTTTTTCTGATATCAAGATTTGTCTTTTTTTTTGCTTTCTTTTCTTTTCGATTTCATTATGTATTCCATTCTATTCACTTTGCTATGAATTCTTTGATGTTCAAGTTCTTCTTCTTTCTGCGAATTGAATCATGACAATTCTTTTTCATCGTATGAATAATAAAAGTTTATTACAAGCAATGAACGGCGAATAGTTACTTCCCTTCTTCTCTGTCTTTGCAGATGGCTTCTGCTAGCACTCCTTTAGAAAATGAAAGTCCAGTAGAAGACTACAGTACATTTCAAAGTATCATGCGACATGTCATGTCGTTGAAAGACCCATTGGTTTCTATTCTTCTCATTCGTCATCCGCCTGTGCGCACAAGTGTTGAAGCATCGAATCAACGACAAGTTCCCTTGCATAGCGGAGCGAAAGCGATGCTTGTTTGTCAGAAAAATACAGATCAATTCACTCTAATTGTTCTTCCAGCTCATCTATCTTGCGATACTAAGAAGATTGCAGTGGTCCTCGGAGTACCATCATCAAAAATACGCATGGCTACAGAGGATGAAGTTCGACAAATCACTGGCTGTATACCTGGTGCTGTTCCTCCATTTGGCTCACTCTTTCCTCAGAAGGTGCGAACACTGATTGACGGGAAAATGTCGCAATCGACATCGCATCCTCCGCCGTTAACTTTCAATCCTCAAGTGAAATTATTTTCGACGAATGATCCTGAATGGCCGAGTGATTTGGCACACGTTGCTTTACCAGAATTTACCGACCATGAACGAAATGATTGTATTAATTTCAATATTGGCCTACGTACTGTGTCATGTTCAATACCGTTCAGTGATTATCTGAGAGTTTTAGGAGAGAACAGTTATTCTATTTGTGACATTTCAAAATAAAGAAAAACGTGAAAAAAGAAAAGAATGTCTATGCTGCATGTCTCTTCATTAAATAAATTAGTAGTAGGAATGATAATAAGAATATGCTGGTGGACACGCGAAGTGTGGCGAATGTTGGTACATTTGTTGTGAATGATCAGACGAAGGATACGAACATTGATTTGATGTTGTTGATGAATGGTCGCTATCATCGAGTAGATCAGTTAAAAGGCGAATATATGCTGAAGCTGTTCGGAGTGTTTCAATTTTAGTTAACTTGTCTTCCATCATTGGACTATGATGCGCTGATAGATCCGTTGAAGAATAGTAGCAAGATGAATCCATAGGAAGTATGGTCCGTAAATGTTCAAGAGCTTCATTGAGCAAGCGCATGCGTGTTCGTTCACGATCGTTCGCACGTGAACGACGGTGTTGTTTTAATTGTGTAGCTAGGACTGGATCAGTAACACGTTTACGACCACGACGAGATTTCGTTGGAGGATTGAGCATGGATACTGATGAACTATTTTCTGTGCTCTTATCCATTGAAGAATTCATTTCTGTTTTGAGATCTAGTCGTTCAACCAAATGAAGTAATGTTCTCGAAGCGCATGGATATATATATATATATACATATATGAGTAGTACCATATATCTCTGTTGGATGTTCTTTTTTTTTCGTCCAAAAAATAGACGATTGGTCAGTAGAGCGGTGATTTATCCAATCGAGGAATTTCTATCGTTGCACAGCAGGAATCTGCGATCGATAGATCGTTTCTATATATAATTATCTTCACACAGCACGCTGCCGTTCATGTGCGTCGCACTTGCTCACCTTATTTTTCTCAAACAACAATTGTTTAAAAAGGCGGAGAACGAAAGGAAGTTGTCAAATGAAATTGCTTGTATCATAGATAGAACGATGACAATAACTTCAAAGAAACTAGTAATTTCCCATTTACATATACTTTTGTTGAAATGTAGATGTCGAGAAGCAAGTATGTTGAAAGCGTGATCGACAAATATTTGCAAGGGATAAGTGAGAAGTGTATCGATCTTGATTTAGTTGTTTCCGTTTCTCTTTCTTAACACTATATTGAACACGTGTCTGGTTAATCGAATTCTTCTAGTTGTTAAAATCATCAGGAGGTCGATCACATCTCCCTTTCTAGAGTAATACTTGAATTTGACGTTTGAATAACTGAGTTGCCAATGGGCATCACATATCAAAATGAGTTTGAATATTCGATTTAGTTTTCATGCTGTGTTTGTTCTGTCAATCATTTGTCGTCGAGACAAATAAGTGTAATTATCGATGCGGTACCATCATGGAATGTTTGTTCTTTTTTGCTCATACACGCATGTGTCGAAAAAAAGAAAGAAATTAGTCAGGAAAAGACTGTCAACCGGAAAAGATGACATACCTTTCAATTACATCTATCAAATAGTTTGATCTTTTCGTTTGATATCTGCCGCTACATTCGGTTCTATGGCTGAGATATACGAACTGACTCGCGTGTGATTTCTTTTCAGGAAGATGCAGGAGTTTGAAATTAAATGAAGCGGAAAATAATCCACAATGATTGATATTTTAATCCGAATCGAAAACCAAAGATGTCGTTAGGTGTCGCGATTGAATTCTTGTCCAAATAGAAGTTACGGTCAACCATTAGTTGATGCTATTGCCATGACAACGAAAGGAAAAATTAAGCTATTTTATTTGTCGATCTTTCGGTCCAAAAGAAGATCTGTTGTGTGTGTTTGCATGTCAAAAAAACCTGATTTTTCCTTACTGATCAACAAATCCGGTGCTGCTCATTACTAAGTCTTCCCGTATTCTTCTCTTCTCTCGATTATTTCTTGATCAATCTTGTTTTTTAAATGACGGATATCCTGTCATCACATATTGGATGGTCACGCAGTCCTATGCCAAATGTGTCTCAACAGCAACAACAATCGCAGCAGCAAGAACAAGCTTTCCAAAAAAATACACGTCGCGCTTTACCTAAATTAAAAAATGATCTGTCACCACAAGCAACACCGCGTAAAGTTACTCTTTTCCGCAATGGCGATCGTTATTTCCCCGGCAAGCAAACGGCGATCATTCCACAGAACTATTCCAATCTTGGACAACTATTACAAGAACTATCCACAACGATCGATTTGCCTTATGGTGTAAGACGCCTATTTACACCTAATCAAGGATCGGAAGTAACAGACGTTACTATTATTAAAGATGGTGCTTCGTATGTCTGTGCTTCATTCGAACCGTTTCAACGCATCGATTATGCTACTATATCCGTCCCACGTTTGACATTCAATATCGAGCAACGTAAGCCTTCTTTTTCTGTTTTATTCATGTTGATCAATAATCTAATGGCCGATCTTTCTTCACACAAGCAGATTATAATTATTCTTCTTGGGATATTTATGAGATTTCTCTATGCACTATTGCATGTTTAAGTACTCCACAGTGTTTTCTTTTTCTGCTTCTTCATCTTCCATAAATTTTTACTTATTATTATAGAAATGTATTAATTGAAAATCAGCAGAAGAGGAGAAGAAAGAGTAAAAACCGACTGAGACCGAAAGAAACAAAAAGAAAAAAAGCTATTATCATTTTACAGGTTCCAGGGGTGATGCTTATAGAAACCAGTTGACATTCCATTTTGATAATCCTATCAATTTTGTTCTCGTATAGGTACAATAAAAGTTTAATCCTTCTAATTTTGCAAACTTGTCCTCTTATCTTTGACGTAGGTGTTGATAATTTTTTGAGGCGCAAGGAAATCGGAATAAATGAGATATACAAAACTAATTAATGACCGAATAGCACTTTGAGCATTCAACTTGAATGAAATAACAGATTAAAATAGTCAAGTGAGACGAAAATTGTCAACTAATTTATTTTTCTATTTAATATTAAGTTCGCCATCCAACGCACGAGGTACAACCGTCACATCGACTGAATATACGCCATCTGCCGACACTACCGACTGCTAAACCTGCCCCTCTGAGTACGTCTCCAACGAACTCAAATGTGAACTCAACAGTGAATCGCTTCCCAGCGAATAATCTTCTCTTACAATCGATCAGTCCTTCGATAACTAATTCCAATCAACAAACACAGAAGAAAATTCTTTCCAAACCAACTAGATATTCATACGATGGCACACAAAACAAATCGCGTCAAATCACAATTGTCAAACAAGGAAATGAAAAGCCGCATAAATCCATTAATATTTTCGTTAGTCGGCGAACCGTTCAAAGTTACGAACAACTCCTATTGGACATAACCGAATCGTTTGGTTATCAAAAGAATCGAGCAGATAAAGTAAGCAACATATATCGAATGAGACAGATGAATAGGCAGACAGAAAAAACCTCAAAATACGTCTTATTTTATTGAAGATCAGGTAAGGAGAAAATCTCATTTCTTTTTCTCGAGAAGAGTTTTTCCGCATCGCCCTTTTCCTGTCAGTAATACATTATTAGAAAGCAAAACTTCTAGCTACAACAAACAGGATGAGAACTTCTCTTTCATCTCTATCTCTCATGCGTAGTTAATTTTTTTTGCTGGCATCCCTGGTCTATCGAATGGATTCTTTTTGAAGAAAAATACTTCTCTTCTCTAGATCAGACGATTATTCACTCTCAAAGGTAAACAAGTGAATGGTATTAATGATATTTTTCGCGAAGGTAATCGCATTACCAACTTGCATTGCTCTTTTTTTTTATTCAAGACTTAATCTTTAGATGATGTTTTTGTTGCATCAACCAATTCTGCTGATCTTTCATTGACGGATTTGCAAGAAATTAGCGTAGAAATAATGAACGATCCTCAACGTTCGACATCACGCAATGCTGGTGTTAGTCGAAATCACTTTAAACAAAATTTGCAGCCACTTCGCGATCGTGAAACACCGAACACACAAATAGGTGTCACGACGAACGAGAGTAAAAAAGTGATTAGTATACGTGACAGTGGCTTCCTTGACGATGAAGATGGACTATCGGGTAGAGATAGCGAGCTAACAACATCACGTAAAACACCATCACGGCTTGTAAATGCAACGAGCAAACAACATGAACTTGTTTCCGAAGACGCAACAACCCCTAATGATCTTATTGGACGCAGACAGAAAAGTAAGAAAACACACCGAACATAGCCGTTAATTATGACATTTTTATGTCTACAGTCGAAGAATTATTAATTCACTTTCTTTGAGCCTTTTCATCAGGAAAGAAACGTCACATTATCTTCTCTTTTCTAAAAAGGAACGACACTTAAACCGGGAGACACTAAGACAGTTGATCAACAACGTGAGCGTGAACGTCAACGCTTAAAAGAAGACGATGATGAACGTCGAAAGAAACTGGTAGCTCGAAAAGATCAGCCAGCAGCGCAAAAATTCGAACCATTAGCAGTCGACATGAATAATGACGACGTTCGCGATCATAAATCGAAGACACCAATAGCTGGTGCCAGTGTATTTTCTCCGAATTTCCCTTCAAACAATGGTGCTACAATCAAAGTGTCCAACCATAAACCCACTTCCATAACGTCATCAACTCGTGTCAATCATCATGATGAGAATAATCCACTTACTACAGACGCAAACGCTGCTGGAGCGTCAGCAGAGACTATTCCGAAAAAACCTGTATTGAAGAAACGTTCGTCTGTATTAGTAAGATGAATATTTACGAGAGTGCTTCAGAAACTAATCCTCTTTTCTTTCTCGTCTAGCATACGTCATCCACTGTTGTCACAGATCGATATGAACTTGGGAAAAAGATGGGCGACGGGAATTTTGCTGTTGTTCACCGATCAAAATTACGCGGTAGTGACCGTGAGTACGCGATTAAAATAGTCGATAAATCCAAAATGAAAGTAAATGAAATTTGTTCGAGCAAATGTCCAATTGATAATTATTTTGTCTTTTGCAATTGCAGGGAAAAGAATATATGTTGGATCATGAAATCAATATTATGTACATGTGTAACCATCCGAATATCATTCGATTATTCGAAGATTACGAAACACCGGATGAAATCTATCTCGTGATGGAATTAATTAAAGGTGGAGATCTGTTTGATTATATTACCAAACATCGCCGTTTTGATGAGCCAACGGCTTCGTTGATGATTAAAGATGTTGCTGAAGCACTATTGTATTTACATGCGAAAAAGATCGTTCATCGAGATTTAAAACCGGAGAATTTATTAGTAATGCAAAGAAGAGACGCACGTATCACAATCAAGCTAACAGATTTCGGCTTAGCTATGCAAGTGTCTGGACCAATAAAAACCGTTTGTGGCACACCAACGTAAGTCATTAGGAGTTTTATTTAGAAGAGAGATCCAATCAATATCTATTTTGTAGTTATGTCGCGCCGGAAATACTTGCTGAGACTGGTAAAACTTCAATTTGAAAAACAAAATGCAGCAAAGCATGCTAAGAAGGATTATTTTTGATCTAGGTTATGGGATGGAAGTTGATTGTTGGGCTGTGGGCATCATTCTGTATATTCTTCTTTGTGGTTATCCACCGTTCAAGAGTCCCGATCGAAATCAAGAAGCGCTATTTCAATTGATTCAACGCGGGAAATTTGTCTACGACACGGAATACTGGAGTTCGATATCAGCGAGTAAGATTCACTGAGTAAACGACATCAGCTGTGATATTGTTATTCGATCTATTTTTAGATGCAAAAAATTTAATTGATCATTTGTTAGTAGTTGATCGGCATAAACGAATGCGCGCTGATGACATTCTTCTACATCCGTGGATTATGAGTGTCGGCCAATCAAAACCCATACGTAATACGGAAGAATTAAAAGCTGCTTTACGCACAAAGTATGACACAAAGATCAAAGAATACACTGAGAATCAAGCACCGTGATTCTAAGAATACCAACGGCATTAAGCAGTGACGTTCGATTGTCAGATTTTGATTACTTCCGTCCACTTAAATAATTCTTCACTTCGTTCTTTTTCTAATCTCTTGTTTTGTTTTCTATATTTTTCTTTGCACAAGTTATTCACTTCATTACTATATTTGATAGACGAAGGAACACTAAGTATATACATATATATTTCAATGTATTCATCATTATTTTCTTTTTGCTGCTCATAAAAGAAAGACGCTTTCATGATTTGCTTTGTTTGACGAACAGTGATACGACGAAATGAAATAAAATTCTTTTGAACTAATCTGATCTTATACCATCGAATAAGGACATTTTCTATGTTTGTTTTGAATGTTACACGAAGCAGGTGTAAGTGGTTCACAGAGAATATCCAGACTCATTAAATACGCATTTTATGACGATCTCTTCCGCTAAAAATTATACTAATTGACTAAATGATAACTTTCCGTTGGAAATCGATACGTCGAAAAGTAGCGTCTGGATGAGAAAAAAACAACATCATCATTGGTATATCTTCATTTCAACATTCGCATATGAAACTTTAGTTTGTGATTTTATTAAAAATAAACTATAAGTAGGGTAGAACACTTTGAATCCAGGGCAAATAGAAACCAACACGTGTGTAGATTCCCGAAGAAATAGATGCGTCACATTGACTATTACCGTAACTAACGATGCCTGTTGCAACAAAATGGCCTTGGTTTTGATTATTATATTCTACAACTAGTAAAGGACTACCACTATCACCTGAGCATGTATCGATTGGTAGATGATTGTAGCCTGCACACATTTGCCGAGTGGAATCGATAATCGATTCTTGACATTTGCCGTTTCGCTCATCAACGATAGGCATGACGACATGTTGAAGAATTGGCGAATTCCGAGTACTTGGCTTGGATGTCAATTTGCCCCAACCACTGACAACTGCTGTGGTTTGCGCACGAGGATAGATGGATGATTGTATCGTTGGCAGACAACAAGGTTGCAAATCCGGAGCAAATACAGTTGTAATTTTAAGTATGGCTATATCATTGACGAACATACTGTTATTGTGTTGATATTCGGGATGATTGAACCATCGATCAACATTGTATCGTTCACCACGAAATTGACGAAGGTCATGAGCTTTAGCTAACAGTTGAATTTGATTAGGGGTACGTCCATTGAGACAGTGTGCTGCAGTTAAAATTGCATTAGAAGATATGATAAATCCCGTACAGAATGGATCTGTTGAATATTGTTCAACTAGTGCAACTAACCATGGATACGTAAATGGAAGAGTATCTTTTCCACCGACTATTTTGCCGATTGATGATTTTTGTTGACGAAAATTTGGACAGCCACATGGTCGTGGGCCGCAAACAAAATCTGGATATGATAAGAGTGTTGAAACTGTATGTCGATAACGAATAAAATAAAGAACAAGCAATGTAATCAATACAGCCAGTATAATTAAAGCACAGATTCCACCAACACAAAACAACAGGCTACGAAATGATCTTTGTCGTAGTCTCGGTCCAGATGTCGGCCTATAGGGAGCTGGAGGCGGCGGTGGGAGTGATTGGGATGCACTGTAAGGCTGTTCGAAATACATTGCTAATCTTTTGTTTTATTATGTTACGAATAATTACTTTCTGTGGTCTGTTTTATATTTTAGCAAAAGAATTAAAATGATTCAAATGTTAATCTCAGCCTTTTCAAAGATTAACGACAAAAACGAAATGATTCATTGTTTTCATGATAAAAATATGGATCTTTTTTCGTAAATCAAAGTTTCTTTTTCATCATTTCGAGCCGGATTCCAGCTAAGCAAGAATATCTTATTTGAAATCAAAATACAAAGAGTCATTACCGTGCATAAATGAAAAATATCTATTTGAACAGAGTAAAACCCTTTTATTCGGATTATCATTCGTTGTCTTTTTAATCTTGTTTATCACGACAATCGATGTCAAGTACATATGTATGTTTTCATCAATAGATATTTAGCAGTTTTAACTTTTATTTTGCTTGCTCAATACTGTTGATTATGCAGGATATGTAGAGACTTTTAGAGTTAGTTTACAAACTTGATAAATCAAAGGCATCGGATTCATTTCAAATCGAAAATTCCTACTCACGTTTGGATCTTCAGGTTTAGTTATTGGTACAGAAAACTCAATGGAATCTGATTGACATATTTCTATTCCATCGACAAAAACCAACACTTAGAAACAATCTAGCCGCTATACAAAAGATCAGAACATACTTACCAGTGCTTCTACGACTTGCAGAGAATATATTTTTCATATCTTCATATCTATGTAAGTAGACAAACATTCATATTCAGTTCTACGTTCATCTATGTAAACAACATACCCTTAAGCTCTTTGATCGCCAGTATACTGCCATTTAATGTCGACGACATTCCGGAGATCTGGTTCTGCTCGAAACAAACAGGAGCCAGTCATCGGAGCTTTATGCCACGCTTTTGACATTTTCGACTAGTTTCAGCACGTGATTGTTGAGTTTCGTAAAAGATTATTCTAGAAATTGATCGTTTTGAGTACTTGACTATTCGAAAGTAAATCGCTAGTTTTACAAATTTTATTTATCAGATAAATATTATTATATGCATTTGTTTGCTCTGAATTCTAGTAAACCAGATTAGACATATGTAGAATAAGGGAATGAAAAATAATATGGTCATTCCATGTAACCTATCGAAATGCAAATGGTAATAAGAAAGACAGGATCAATTTTCGAATTAAAATCGTCGGCAGTTCGTAAAGAATAGACAGACTTATCATCACGTGATGTGCTATGATCAAAATGGCTGGTATTAGTTACTACCACATCTGTACCATAAGCAATTGTATATGTTCTTTGTAAAGGAAAGAAAGTCACATTCAATACATCATCAAATAGTTCACTTGAAATTAATAAAGGTTGTTGCAACAATGATATCGATTTCATTCCGTCATTAGTTTTATTGCGCTCTTGTTCTGAGTAAAATTGCGGATCATCTGTTATTGGATATGGATACGACGCCATTGTATTGAGAGTAGCTATGACTGCTACATTGATTCGATTTCTTCTCCAACCAAGAATATGATAATAGTGTAGAGAACTTTTTTAGGAAGTGATCAATCAGCAATAATAAGTTGATCTTGACCAAATACGTAGTGTAATCGAATATCGAAAGTGAATAGATTTGCTGAATTCGATTTATCATTCAAACCTAAATGTTCTTGATAATCATATCGATAAAAACATGTGAACGATTTTTTAGTAGTTGAAACCGCTTTCGTTTCTTTTTCCAGATCTATTTCAACGATTCAATAAGATCAGCACTTCCTGTGCATGAAAGAAATTTCTTTGATTGAAAAACGAGTGATTGTGCTGAACATTTAAGTGTTACTCAACTGCATATCTAATCATACTTATGAATAAGTCAAACTATTTCTTGAAGCACGTGACCATACATTGCTCACAGTACGCGCAGCTGATCGTTACATAGATGGGACAAAAAGAAGGAAGACATATTGATGTATGAACTGTCTCTTTTCTTTTGCTCTGTACATAGAAATAATATCAGCGAGAGTTTGCAAGATAAAAACTGCTTGATTCGTATTCGGACAGAAGATACAGAATAAGACACATTTGTGTAGGTCGGATTACTTCTATGCATCAACTAAGAGAGACGACAACACTGGTTCACTCGCATAATTGAGATGAACTCTTTCCTATCACAATATTGGTTGTATCAATAGAATGTCCCAAATAGTATTCTTTTTTAGGTAAAACTCTATCTAAACAGATTGTAATGAATTGCCTAATATAATTGAAATGCATGACATTGAAATTGTTTCAGTTGTGCACATCGTTTCGACTATTAAAATTATCATATCAGTCGTATCTGTTTATTGAAATGTCATTCTAATCTTAAATAACATAATTTTTCCAAACTATTCTTGTTATTATTCATATTAGACTATATGGCAAGGAATGGAGACAAACCATCAATGGTTAATATAACAGAACGATATAATCGATCATCTTATACTCTAAAAATAACCCACTCCATTTGGCTTAGTAACATATCGTGTCCTACAACATGATACTCAATCATACTAAACATTTGGACAAGGATGTCAGAGGAAACTACGAGTGCGAAGAATGGCAGTAATATGTTACACAATTAAAACGGATGGGCGACGAGTTGATGTTGTTAACAATTTCGACTATTATTGTATAGGCAACATAAATAGAACAATAACTGAAAATCCATTAGAGTCTCATTCTAACACCATGGGCGGCGCAAGACCAATATGTAATAAATTTTCGACATAGAGGTACCTTTTTGATAGAGAATTGAGTGATATCATTTGCCCCTTCCATCTTCATCCACACAAATATATATAGATTTTGACTTTGCCGTATTAATTAAATGAACTTCTAGAAATGTTGGTGCAAATCTTCGCTAGTTTCTAGAAAGGTATTGAGATATTATAGACAATTTTCCAGAAATCTTTTGCGAAATTCCTATAAAATTTATGGAAACCTAAGGAATTCTTGAAGATTTGTGGTAATTTTTCTGTGTTTTTATAAAAGTTTTGAAATCAGTTTTCGAAGAACTACAACAGTTCAAAAGAAATTTTCTGTCAAAATATTTCTATTTTGAGAAAAACTTATTACTCTTCTTTTTCTTCTTCCACGTTCACTTTTGATCATTGGCAATTGCATAGCAAAATTGTCTTTATAGACTTTTGTTGAAGGTATGATATATAATTCTGGAATATCAGTTTATTTAATAGCGCGTTAACTCCAAATAAAATTAGTGCATGTCTTTTTACTGAAAATTTGTCCTTTCGAAAAAATCAAATCAAATCTCGAGTTATCTATCAGTACAAACTGCCTTTTGCTTTTGTAACTATATGTTCTTATAGTAAAACATCAATAATCAAAGAGAGTAATTGCTGTTCATTATAGTGCTGGTGTGGCATTTATCAACGCAATTTGTAGGAAAGAAGGAAAATCCCACATTGGCTACATGTTTTTTTTAAATAAAAACTATAAAAAGATGTGTATATAAGAGAAGACAATAAGATCTATCAAACGATGCAGCGGATAGGTGAGGCAATTGGTTCCCTTCACCTACATGGTGCGCCGCCAATGACTAACACAACTATTTATTTTATTCCGCAAATCGATATGAAAAGATTTATACTTGAAATTTTTTTTATTAAACACGCAGGAGATCATCTCAATGTCATTGCAAAAATGAGCTCAATTTTGATTGGTTTCACAAGACCACTCATAACTGATACTTACACATTCACTGATAATATGATGGATGGAATTAGTGATAAAGAAAAAGAACGTAATTAGATTTTATCTATCACAATTAAGAAACTATTGGGTTAATGGTGACGATAATAATGAAGACTTTTACAATAGCGATTAATAAAGAAAACAAAGTGGATTCGTTGATGACTAAAATATCGATTACTCAATACTATACTAGACTAAGCTGCATAACTGAATAAATAGATTTCAAACAAGATCTATACGAACTTGTCTGTTAATTGAAATAAATTTTTAGAGAATAATAATGTTCTAATTCTTGATCCACAAAGGTTTCGATAAAGATAGCCGATCCCTATTCATTAACAGTATCACTTAGAAAGAAATAAAGATTTTCCCGATACTCATCTTTATTATTTTAATTGATAATAGAAGTAAAATTATTACCAAGAACGTTTCAGAGGTTTTGGAGTACGCTTAACAAGTTTTGTTGAGAGTGAGTGGCTACAGAACTGGTTCCTGCAATGTGCAATACTACAAAATAGAATGTATTCCTTGCCGAAAACGGCCTTAAAAAGAGCGCTGAAGTGTTCAAGGGAAGAAATTTGAAACTTCTCTCTTCCTTCCTTTTCCTACTACTAGACGTAACCGATACACTCAATGGTTTCTTCTAAAAGCATACCCTCACCCGATTAATTTTTAAAAAAGACTCGCAAATGTTGCAAACTTACAATTTGTTTGGCTTCACAATTCTGTTTCTCAGTAAATTATCCGATGGTCCTACTCACGTAGTGATGAAACCCTTTCTTGTTTGTTGTCTATATAATTTTTTTAATAAAGTTGTCGGTGCACCTTTACACTGTTGTACAACTGATCACTTTCGAAAATGTATACCAGCAGTCGTGAAGAACGTTACATGGTACAGTTGAGAAGAAAACTTTACTTGACCTGATGTGACTGAATTTAGACAAATCAAGAGTTGAGCCGAGACCAGATCATTGATCAGTTGAACATTTGTTATCGAGTGTGCCATAAATACACTCCCAAAGAACAAAAGTAATATTCGTTTCGGCATCTACATGTGTTAGTAGCGAATTTTAATTCTTGTAGTGGATTCGATCAGAATATTTGCGAATGTAATCATCCGCAATCAGATCATCCAGATAAACCCAATTCTTCGCATACAACGAAATGGAGTATGGCAAACAATACACTACTGAAGCCAAATGCCAAACATGGGCCAGTTGTGAACAATGGAGTTGTATGTACATGAAGCGAGAGATTCGTGTTCATCAGCATAGTGTATTTTGAATTTAGTATGTTCAACTTGCTTTGGATACACCCGTGGAGACGCTTGAGAGGATCCTTCTCGAGGCGTGGAGAATTCCTCGGCCTGACTTCATCATTTCAATCATCGGTGGTGCTAAATATTTCAAACTAACTGATCGGCTTGTAATGAATTTCATCGACGGCATCACTAATATCGCTTTGAAATCGAGTATACTTCATCGAAACTCAATGATAGTTTTAAAGAGCTAAATTTAGATGCATGGTTAATTACAACGGGCTATCAAGTTGGCGTTGCTCAACTAGTTGGCGAAGCGATTAGTCAAGTTAGATTGACACACTTAAAGACAAAACAACTCACTGCTATTGGTTTATGTAAGTGGGGTTGTGTCAGCAATAAAGAACAAGTTTTACGTTCGAGAACAGAAGAGTTAGATGAGGTTAGATTGAATTGAATAACGAAATCGAAATATCTGTTTTGATTACTACAGAAATTTGCGGACAAATCAACACCCTCGATGAAAAAGAAAACAAGGCAACGATTTAGTGGCGAACATGATTTAGAAATGAATCATACTCATTATGTTATGCTAGATGATGGGACTATTCGTGAATATAATATAGGAGATTATCGAACACGCTTAGTAGTACATCTTGGAAGGTTACAACATAAAAACGATGTTTTCGGTACGTATTTGTTTTGATTTATATGTATCTTACTACTGGATTAAATTTCTTCTGTTCGTTCGATATCTAGTTCCGGTTGTTACATTAGTTGTTGAAGGAGGAAAGGATACTCTAAAAAATGTATATTATGACTTAAAATCCAATGTTCCTGTTGTAATTGTTAACGTAAGATTACAGGAGATAGCATGATATTTTTTGTGAATCTTTCGATACGCATATCTAGGGCAGTGGTGGAGTGGCAGATTTTTTGCATCGATGGTTGCTACGCACGAAAGATCTTGATAATGATGTTAAAAATCGACTAGAAGTTTATGACATTGATGATATCAATTCGAACACTAATACAGCGTAATGTTGTTTTCTCTCCAGTCGTGTGAATTACACATTTTTGTCGTGTAGTGATAAACAATCGGGAACTACAGATCCGAGCCATGTCGACCCGTAAATATGGGATATGATTTCGTTAGCATTCTAATATTATTTTTTAGGCTTTACGAGCTTTTCGCAAGTTATCGAAAGCTCTTGGAGGAAGACTTGCGAAATGTCCTTTTTTTCAATCGAACCAAAAGCTATCAAGAAAGTCAAAGTCAAGACTTGTTTGATAAAGATAAACCAGAATTCGACACGCTAGTTAAGCAAGCTCTATATTGTTTACAACCAGCTGTTCGATCGAACCTTACCGTATGCAACTTAAGTTCGGACTTGAATTTATCGGAAACGATTTTTCGAAGTCTCTGCTTATGTAAGCTAAAATACCTTTTCGATTCTGTGTTGTGAGACAAACTTTTAGCACGGCAAACATTACCGAAAAGGAAACGAATCGTTCGATCGCGACCCCCAGAAGAAGAAAATATTGAAATTGAATCTCAATACTCCATTGATCGAAAAGAGCAGAATGCAGAGAGATCCAACTTACTTCGCATCGCAATGGCTTGGAACTGTGTTGAAGCAGCAAAAGAATGGATTTTTCGAGGCTCATTGAATCATATCTTAGTAAGATTTCTAGTTTAATATTATTTGTTAAACAATCATACGCTTCGTTAGGATAAACATCAAGCTTTCATCGATGCTCTAAAAAACAAATTACCTTCCTTTGTTGATGAATTTCTCAACTTAGGAATTGATCCAAGTGAAACATTCTTTGGAAAAAAAGGACTGTTCCGGAAGTATCGATATAAAAAACTCCTTCTCAATTTATACACATCCAAGGAAGTGGTATGATAGCTGTTGATTCGAAAGGAAATATTGCTATGCCCGTATATTTAGAACAATAAACGTCGACAATTAAAATATTTCATTGATGAAGATAGCTCAGTGAAAGAAAAAAAGATAGAAACTGTGGAAAAGCTAAATATGGTTCTTCTGCAGTTGATTGGTGATAAAATGCACAAACTATATTTTGATTCATTTGAAGACGAACACGCGTATCGTGAAGTATACAGTCTCTCAGTTATTGATGAAGATTCAGATACAATCGAAGACAAAAAGTCGAATTATTCCAATCAACAAGCTCGAGATTACATAATGCGTGATCTGTTTCTGTGGGCGATTCTGATGAATTATGTTGAAATGGCCAAAGTTCTTCTATCGCATATGAAATATCGCATTTGTCCAGCATTGATTGCCACGAAAATCTTCAAAGAATATCATAAAAATGCTATTCATGAAGATCTGAAAGCAGACTACAAGACAAGTGCAACATACTTCGAACAATATGCCATTGATTGTATAGACAAATGTGACGACCATGATCGTGAGAAAGCATGTGCGATCATTCTACAACAAAACGAGCTATATGGCTACACTACTTGTTTACAAGTAAAGTAGTTCTGAATATTATTTTCCGGATAATCATTTGTGCTGAAATATGTTTGTAGATTGCAGCAGTCGCTGATGATAAAAACTTTCTCTCTACACCTTGTTGTGTTCAAGCTCTGAATAATATCTGGTACGATAAACTATGCCCCGAGCAAGGAAGAAAACGTGACGTACTGGGCTTGGCGCTAGGATTTCTAACATGTGGTTTGGCAGCTCCTCTATGCGTTAGATATCGAGAAGGTGAACAGGTTAGACAAAAAATAGAAGGAGATGACAAGAAATATAGGAATTGCACTTTAGAAACCAAAAACAGCTGAGCCTACGGATAGCAGGTAATTTCTTCAGTTATGAAACGAAGCGGTAATATAGTTATTCATTAAAGGTATCAGTATCGACTGAAGTCGAATGGACTGAACTATCATGATTCGCTTCTACTGGAATATCCTCATGAATCTGTACCTAAACCAGCATACGAACGGTACTTACCTAAAGTGATTAAATTTCATCAATCGCTCCCGATTAAATACGCCTACCATCTGGTATGTACACGGGCTCTACTAACATATGCTTTGGTATTTGCTAAATTTTTTATAGGTGTCCTACATTGTGTTTCTCCTATTCTTTTCATACTTCCTTCTATTTAACTTTTCACCACCAACTGGTAGTTCGCCATCCATTCATTGGACTGAAATTGCCACCATTATTCTAGTTACTTTTATGGTAGTAGAAGAAATCCACTATGTGAGTGCTTGATGTTCGTTTCTACTTCGCTAGTAATTCACTATTAAACTTTATTTTAGTTTTTCAGCCAAGACAGTCTCAGTTGGCTAGGCAAATTAACGAATTATTTCGGAAGTTTTCTAAAACTAATGACACTCCTTTCGTTTCTACTCTTTTATATTGGATTAATCCTCCGGTTTACAAGTAGTGATTCGGAGCAAGATTTCGTTTCCGCAAGGTTTGTTCCTTATATATGAATATTATTTAAATACGTTGTACTCTGCAGAGTAATCATGGCTATTGATCTGGAACTCTGGTGGCTTCGATCCTTATCATTCATTATCGTAGTACCATTCCTTGGACCACAACTTGTCGCTATTTGGAAAATGGTATTCTACACATCTCAACTCCTCACCGACGTCTTTCTTCTTTTCTCTAGCTCAAAGATCTCTTATTCTTTCTCTGCATCATTGCCATTGTCATGATTGCCTATGGTGTCGCTTCCCGTTCCATGGTCTACTATCCCAAAGTCAACGGCTTCACCACCGACACAGGCGGTCCTATCGATACTCGATTCGATGGTCGAAGCATCTTTCGTAACGTCATCTATCCTGTCTACTACTTTCTCTATGGTGAATTCGACAACGAACTCATGAGTCTCGATGGTATGGTATTGATCAGAAGACCGCGATCGATCGATCGATTGATAGGTTGAATACTTGTGATTGAGTAGGTCATGCAGATGCTGGATGGTCGATCTCCACTCACGTGCTACTTGCTGTTCATCTGATCTTTGTGAATATTCTTCTGACGAATCTTCTCATTGCCATCTTCAGGTAGGAGTGTGTCGTTTGACAGTGATGAGTGATATAGTGGATGTTGTAGCAAACGATATGAGGAAGTGTATGACGAGACGAAGAAGATTTGGCACTATCAACAATATTTCCTTGTTCGCGACTACTTCACACGATCACCATTTGTACCCCCGATCAGTTTTGTCTACAATATTTGGGACCTCTGTCGCATGTTCTCACATTTTTTGCGCCGACATTGCTCCAGCAAAAAGTCCGGACAGAATCACAAGAAGATATTCAGTAAACTTATTCTACCAATACCTTGACAGTGTATCTCAATGAAATATTTGTAGAAATGATTGCTAAAGATGAAATTCTCGTAAGAGAATGGCAGCTGTTTGAAGAACTGTCCACATTCGAATATGCCCATACTGAAGTGAAGAAATCTGATTCAATTGAGTAAGGAAGAGCGCAGTTATTTCTCTTATGGAAGATTTCTATTAACTTTAGACAATTTCATGGGATGGAAACTTCTAACGAAGAAAACGCATACGATCGGATCAACGAAGATAATGTAACAAATAATACATTCTATGATCTCCCACAAGTGCAAAGTGATCTATTGGACTTGGATTCTGCGATCAACGATGTTATGACACAGCTAAAAAAAGATCGACTCCCGGCAAAAGTAATTACCTATAATCCGTAGATAATCACATCCGGCGTATACATTTTCTATCGTTTTAGTAAACCAAGATCTGTGAAGACTCTTAATGCCAAATTTTTAATTCCATACGCTTTTTTGTTGACTTTAACTATCACTAACATCTGACGATTGATCTAAAAAAACGTATCTCCTGGCTGTTTTTCTCTTCTAGATAGAGCGATCATACAACTAATGTCTTACAGTATTCCCTCGATCGCGTATCAGGTGAAAAGGGATGCCACACAAAGAAGACAAATAAGATATTTGACTTATTCTAGGCTGATCAAGAGTCTTCATTAGCAGAGCATCTCGGCAGACTTAAACTGTCCTACAGAGTTTGTATAAAATTTGTTCCAAGCAGGTTTGCACGCTTTCATGAGTACAATGTAGATGAATTCGATTCATGAATCTCTCTTTTTTCCAGTCAAAACAAGAAGGTTTGTGTATGCAATCGATCGGAACGACTTCATCGTCAAAAAGGAGAAGACGATGAAAAATGGAATATGCGAACTCATACTGAATCTGTGTTGTTCACACATCAAAGTTCACTGATAAACAATAATGCTTTCGTAAGATAATATGTATTGAAATTTTATGATATTAGCCTAAAAATTTAGTTTGTCCGCATCGCTCCTGATACAACAATGAGTAAAATCGAAGAATTATTGCTTCATGTGTGGCAAATTCCGAAATCTAAACTAATTATGTCGATTATTGGCAGCACAACGTATTCGAATTTCACTGATCGAGTAGAATCAACTTTAATGCGAGGCATTGTTAATGTCGCGAACAAATCAAGTCTGATTTCTACTTCAGCAACCAATCAAATAGACCTAGAAGTTTCTCTAAATAGATGTATGGATAATAACAAATGGATACAATAATCGCATCGTACGACTCGTGGGACAAGCGATCAAAAAACTTAAATTACAACACGCAAACAATGAAATAATTGCTATTGGTATATGTAAATGGGGATCAGTTAAAAATGTGCAAAATTTAATAGATTCTGATGGAACGGAAACAATAAAACAGGTAGAATGCTGTGCTATCTGAGATTCTTCCATCTATACTCGGATACTGATTTAGTCGAATAATGGAAATATATCTGTATATGAACAGGAAGATGAAGAGCAGAGATTTTCAAAAATTGAACAATACGAACTTGAAGCCAATCACAGTCACTATCTAATGTTAGACGATGGAAGATACGGATACCCCGATACGGAAGATTTTCGAACACGATTATGTCTGAAAATGGCGAATCTAGAAATCTATGATAAACCATACAGTACGCATTGTCTAAAGAAGTTTTAGGTTTCCACCTGATTTTTATTTAGCGCCAGTCGTTACGGTTGCAGTCGGGGGAGATCTTGACACTATCGCAAATATTTTCTACGATTTAAGCGAAAACGTTCCTGTTGTCATCACTGCCGTAAGATAGATGGATTAAGTTTTTGAAAATTCGAATTTGAATAACATGCAGGGTAGCGGAAAAGCATGTGATTTCTTCACTCGTTGGCTGCTATATACAAATCAATTCGATAATCCGTCGAGTGAAAGTGACATCTTGTATGGTATTAATGAATTGTGTGAAGATAAAAAGAAATCTTCGCGTTCACGACCGCCTCATGTGATCATTGATGGTCACAGAACCATTCTTTATACTTTGTTGCATCTCGATTCTTCAGTAACAAAGTAAAAACAAAAAATGTTGTTTCTTTTGTTAATTGATGAACAAATTTCTCTTCGAGACTTGAAGATCTGTTTAAGGACTACTACACACGATTGAAAAATGACTTACGACGTACATTTTTTGCACAAGGTGATCTCGACGAGTTGAGATTACGAAATGTAGATGTTTCAACTGATGAAAAGCAAGATGAGTTGTTATCAAGAACAGTGCGACGAGTTCTATTTTGTCTTCAACCGTCCCTTCGCCGAAATATTACGATATTCAATTTGAATTCAGAAAGCAGTTTTTCCGACACATTGTTCGGAAGTATTTGCAGATGTAAGTTGGTGAAAAAAGCAGAATAGGAGCGGTGTGTTCACTATTGTGTTTCTAGCTTATGAAACATTCTTGAGTATGAAAACAAAGCGATGCGAAATGATCAGCGCAGAACGAAATATTTCTGACTACGGAAAACTAAACGATGGAAAGTCCAAACTACTGCAATTGGCGATGGATTGGAATTGTATTGATGTAGCGAAAGAGTTTGTCCTACAAAATTGCTTAGACAACATATTGGTACTAGTTTTCTACATAATTGATGTCTACATGTATCTTGTTTTATACTTAGAATCCAGAGGAGATATTTATCGAAGCTCTGCAACGAAATCTACCCGCTTTCATTGATGAATTTCTCAAATTAGGCGTTGATCCAGGTGAAATTTTCTTTCCACGAAATGCATTTCTAGGGTCAAATGAACGATACGATAAGTTTATAAAAGATCTTTATTCAACTGAACATATTGTAAGTAGATATATACTGGCACATATGGTAAAATCTGTTGTATATGTTCATAGAACACAACTTCATCACCAATACAAACATTTATTGATGCGAATGAAAAATTAGCCAACAAAAGGATTGATTCAATCGACGCACTTAATGTTATTTTTCGTGTTCTTATTGGTGATTATATACATAATCTGTATTTCGACACATATAAAAGCGAATACGAGAAGCGTATGGAATTCGGATTGACAAAACGAAATACGAAAGGATCGACTGATATCTCACTACCAACCAATGAGACAGCCAAAGAACTTGCTCAAGATTACATCATGCGTGATCTGTTTCTGTGGGCGATTCTGATGAATTATGTCGAGATGGCCAAAGTTCTTCTATCGCATATGAAATATCGCATTTGTCCAGCATTGATTGCCACGAAAATCTTCAAAGAATATCATGAAAAAGCCATCCACGAAGATCTGAAAATTGACTACGAGACAAGTACAACATACTTCGAACAATATGCAATTGATTGCCTACGGGAATGCGTGGAAAATAATGCAGATCGCGCATGTTTAATAATCTTACAACAAAACAAGCTATATGGCTTTGTCACTTGTTTACAAGTAAAGTAGATCCGGATGTTGTTCTTCAAGTTAAAATTTCTTGTGGGATATATTTTTAGGTGGCTGCTGAAGCAGACGACAAATCTTTCATCGCTTTGCCATGTTGTGTTGAAGCTTTGAATAGTATTTGGTACGATAAGTTATTTCCTGAACAGTCGAGAAAGCGCGATATACTAGCATTGATGTTGGGATTTGTGACGTTTGGATTGACTGCACCTGTAACTGTACGTTATAGAGAAGTTGTAGAAGTAAGATTACTCTATTTGGTTGAAGCATTTTTTCTGAAATATGCTTTCATAGGGTCGACATGGCGAATCTTTAACAAAGATGTATGCGTGCAAAGCGAACAATAGGAAAATGAGTTTTGTTTCATTTTTAGTGTAAGCTCGAATGGAATTACTTATTGTGATTCGTATCCGCTTCAATATCCACGGATATCTGATTCCAATTCTGGATTAAATCGGTATCTACATCGGTGGAAAAATTTTCATTTATCACCAATGGTCAAATTCACTTACGATTTTGTACGTGTACTTGAGACGTGAATACATACAATAGTAGAAAAGTTTTGTTTTTCAGGTATTTTACTGCTTCTTTCTTTTACTCTTCTCGTATGTTCTACTATTCGACTTTTCACTACCAACTAACCACTCACCGTCGATTCATTGGACTGAAATCACGACTATTCTTCTAGTTAGTGGAATGCTAATTGAAGAAATACGATTTGTAAGGTTTCTTATGCGAAAATGTATTTTGCGATTGCTGGTTGTGTGGATAAAATTTTAGTTTCTGGTTCAAGATAATCTTACCTTGATCGGCAAATCGAAGAATTATTTTCGCGACTTATTTAAACTTATGACACTACTAGCATTTATACTTTTCTACATTGGATTAATTCTACGATTTGTATATGCAGATTCAGAAGAGAAATTTGTTGTAGCAAGGTAGATTTCTCATTCATTTGTTCTGCGAAATACTGACATAGTTTGTAGAGTAATTATGGCCTTCGATATTGAATTGTGGTGGTTACGATTTTTATCGTTCATCATTGTAGTACCATTCCTTGGACCACAACTTGTCGCTATTTGGAAAATGGTATTCTACACATCTAAACTCCTCACCGACGTCTTTCTTCTTTTCTCTAGCTCAAAGATCTCTTATTCTTTCTCTGCATCATTGCCATTGTCATGATTGCCTATGGTGTCGCTTCCCGTTCCATGGTCTACTATCCCAAAGCCAACGGCTTCACCACCGACACAGGCGGTCTTATCGATACTCGATTCGATGGTCGAAGCATCTTTCGTAACGTCATCTATCCTGTCTACTACTTTCTCTATGGTGAATTCGACAACGAACTCATGAGTCTCGACGGTATGGTATTGATCAGAAGACCGCGATCGATCGATCGATCGACTGATAGGTTGAATACTTGTGATTGAGTAGGTCATGCAGATGCTGGATGGTCGATCTCCACCCACGTGCTACTTGCTGTTCATCTGATCTTTGTGAATATTCTTCTGACGAATCTTCTCATTGCCATCTTCAGGTAGGAGTGTGTCGTTTGACAGTGATGAGTGATATGGTGGATGTTGTAGCAAACGATATGATGAAGTATATGACGAGACGAAGAAGATTTGGCACTATCAACAATATTTCTTTGTTCGTGACTACTTCACACGATCACCATTTGTACCCCCCATAAGTCTGGTGATGAATTTAGCTTCACTACTTCGAATGGCGTATCTCTTTGTTATAAAAGAACAAATCCAAGGCAAAAGTGCAAGATTTACGAAGAAAATTTTCAGTAAGTTGAATTAAACCTATGGATTGATGAAGAGCGATGGATTCCTTTTTAGAAATAATTCCTAGAAACGAATCGCATGTCAAAAAATGGTGCCGATTCGAAGGTGCATCTACGTATAAGTATGCACATGATGTAGTGAAAACATCCAAATCGACTACAAAAGGGTAAATTAACGAACAACTTAAGATTCTCGTAAAGGAAAGTGTGTTATTTAGAGTATCTTCTACGACAAATTCAACGGAGATTGATAAAGGACAATATGTAGCGAATATGGAAGCTAACACAAATGCAACTGAGAACAGTGTCAAACAAATCCAAGATTGCTTGATAAAATTACGTTCGTCAACCGAGGAAATGCGTAAACTACTTACGGGAACTCACAAAGCGTGAATTGCGAACGTTCTTTTTTATTACTAAAAACAAAATCATTGCACAACAGATATGATGCTATTTTCTTGTGACTAACATCAATAAAATGACTACTTTAATAATATTGACAGAAAAGGAAGTCATCGGGTTCTTGATACGTTATTGCGAAAGTACGCCTTCACTGTTATTTCGCAATTTTGTTCTTATGGCCATGAAAAAGAAACTTTCGCAATTACATCTGCGCATTATAATACAAGTATAAAAGACACATTAAACTCTCTCCAATCCTTATTCTCTCACAGTCTATGCTGATACGAAGGTAGTAGTTCATTCTATCTATCAACCAACTCTTTCCATTGCTTATCAAAGCGTACTCAATTACCGTTTATTATGGCGAGACAACGTTCTGAAGCTGTAGCCGAGGCTATGTCCAAGGCGCATAATATTCGTAATATGTGCGTCATCGCACATGTCGATCATGGCAAATCAACATTGACCGATGCGTTGGTGTACAAAGCCGGTATTATTACCGAACAACAAGCTGGTCAACGTCGATTTACTGATTCGCTGGAAGCGGAACAAGAAAAAGGTATAACAATCAAAT